ACAACAACAAGAGCAACAACAAGAGCAACGACAGCAACAAAACAACAGCAGCAACAACGAAGCAGCAGCAGCAAAGCAGCAGCGACAAAACAGCAGCAACAAAACAGCAGCAGCAAAACATCAGCAACAAACAGCAACAAACAACAACAACAGCAACGACAGCCACAGCAGCGACTATTTAAATACTACGAAAAACCCCCGAGCACTAATCAATGTGAACACTAGGGGACCCCTAAGACGCCACTAACGTGAATGCTAAGGGACTCCCTTCCCCTTTAATGTGAACACCAGGGGACCCCTAAGGCGCCTGTGATGTAAACACTAGGGGACCCCTCGCCTTTAATGTAAACACTAAACCTAAAGGACCCCTAAGACGCCTCCCAAGTAAACACTGCAGGCCTTTTATGCTGCCACATTTTCAAGAGGAATCGGTGGCAGTACTGCCAACTTCCTCTTGTATTTAAAGCCTGCGCGCCCCCGCTCCCCTTTGCCGCAGCGCGGAGGGGAGTGCGCGCCCTTCGGGCGCCCGTTTCACCTTGTGAAACCATTCACCCCCACCCACGTCCCTAAAGTATCCCTTTCCCCTCCTTAACGTCTCCCGGGGCACCCGGGCCCGGGGAGTCTTCATGATGATAATTTATTTTTTGACGTTTCTTTGACGTTGGATCTATTGTCTCTTTTTCAGAAAAAGAGACAATATTGAACAATCCGCCGAGTTTGTTGACAACACCTGATGATGATACGCTAGACATGGAGAAGCAATTTTTGGAGCGAAGATCCAACATTACGCACTTGGCTTTTCGACAGTAGTTTCACGTGAAAGTGTTCGAAGCGCTATTGTACTGATCTGTTCGGGCTACGCTCTTGATCGCCACGACAGATGTACAAAACCTCCAAGAAAACTTACTAGGATCACAAGAGCAGGCCTAACATGCCCCTTTTCACAAAGATTCAACGCAGTCGATCTCAAAGGGAAGGGACGTCATGCACATGAAACGAAAATGAACCCCTTTTTAGGGGACAATAGCACGATATCGATCGAAGAACTCTTCAAGCACAAGCATACAACGGTGCTAAAACTAGAAGTATTTTCATCATCGTAATCTTCCTTTCTTGGAGTAGTAGCTACTAGTACAAGACATTCATAAAAGATCAAAAGAAAATGCCTCGTGAAGTGATCACGATTCAGGTTGGGCAATGTGGAAACCAGATTGGCTGTCGTTTTTGGGAGCTTGCACTGCAAGAGCATGTGTTGCAACACACATCTTCTCAGAAACACGGACCTTTACCATTCGACGACGCTCTCTCCACGTTCTTCAGGAATGTGGATAGTCGGACTGAGCGCGATGTCATGCCGAGTGATGGTGCCAGCTCTGCTGCAGCGAAAACTTATGATGCAAAAACTGCATATTAAGTTTTTCATTTTCTTATAGTTTGATTTACTTTTAGGCCACCGACCACGCACCACGACTAGTACTACACGTGGTATGCGTACTATGCAATCGACACCTCAGCCTTAGCGGTCCTTCATTAGTTTTAGTGCTTGGTTGTTCTTCATTACTTTACAGTGCTAGGATCATGATCTCCATGATCATCTACACGACGATGCCGCACCTTTAAACGTACTTGTGTAGCAGCTTTAAATATACCTGCGAGCTCGAGCCGTCTTGGTGGACATGGAAGATGGCGTTGTGAACGCCTGTCTGAGAGGGCCACTGGGAGATCTGTTCGATCCGAAGCAGATCGTAACCGATGTGTCAGGAGCCGGAAATAATTGGGCGCATGGCTATCATGAATACTTACGAGTAGCTTGATTTTGAAGTTACTCTATCCTTTACCTACATTCATTTCTTTTACTTTTCCTAGTTAGATTGGCTCCGCCCATATCTTATACTTGATGACAAGTACCCTTTTCTCTTTTCTATCTTCCTCTGGTCTTTCTTTTTTCTAGTTAGGTCAGTCTAATCCTCGCCACGGTTATAGTCTCAGAAGTAGACTCTGTTCTTTAGGGTGCGTGGCTATTGATATTGATTCTCAGAAGCAGAAGAGGTCGCAGATTATATCTTATTTCTACGAAAACTACACATCACCTTCTCGTACAGTGATACAGGCACAACAAGATCATGAAGGCGTCGTCTTGTTCTAACTCTCGGCCCTCGCTATCGAAGTCGCATTCTCTCTTCGCTCAGACACGCAGCAGAAAAATGCGACAGTTTGCAGTGCTTCCTGCTACTGCAATCAACAGGAGGCGGGACCGGAAGTGGCGTGGGGACTTATACACTCAAAGTATGGCTTTCGCTTTGAGATCATTGCACAAGAATATAAGTACAGTTAGACATAGACTGCTGCTCGTTCCTTCCCTCAAAGTACTATGGCTGTCGCTTTGAGATTGCTCGTTCCTTCCATTATACCTCCCACTTTCATTTTTCACAACTCAGTCTAATACATTTATATCGCACTACTTCTAACCGCCATGCTGGAAGACGAATTCCCCGATTATTACCGCTTCGTGTGCTGCGTCACGCCTTCGCGCGAAGACGACGTCATCACGAGTCCTTACAACGCCATGCTTTCTTTGAGCCAAATGGTTGACCATGCCCATTGCGTCTTACCAGTCAACAACGACTCCCTGATCACTCTAGTGAACCGAATCAACGCAGCTAGTGCGCCAAAGACGCGGGGAGGTGCTATTGGCGGCACCTCGGCTGTTGGGAGTTCCCTACTTGGAGGCCAACATCAGGGATCACAACAAGCACAACAGTTTCTTCCGATAACAACGAAAAGTAGCAGCTCAGCAATTGCCTCGGTTGCAACGTCAACATCCGCACAAGCAGCATCAAGTTCTGGCACTACGAAGAAAACTGGTGAGGGCAGTCCTCCATTTGGCGACATGAATTTGCTTGTCGCACAAATGTTGAACCATCTGACAGCGTCGATGCGGTATGCGGGATCGTTGAACTTAGACCTGAACGAAATCACGACGAACCTCGTACCATATCCGAGGATGCATTTTCTCAATTCTAGCCTTTCGCCTTTGATTATGGCGTCGAGTTTTTTTGTTTCATAAACGAACCTATGCTTGTTGTGACTATCTATCGCAGTTAGGCATTTTTTGGAGTCGGAGTCCAATTACGTGGCTGGAGTACGCCAGACAATGAGGACGAGTTCACTTAAAATGGAAACTCGGTGGTCGTGGTTTATAATACTTCCATGAATTAGGTCTCTTAAGTAGTAGCCGAAGCCATTGCCATCCTCTCTAACTTCCCCATCAGCAAGGACCGGAAACTGCTTCCTCGCAGTTTTGACCAGATGTTCTCGGACGTGGCGCTGAGCATGGACAACACACTATGCTGGAACACACTTCAGGTGGCAGCAAATCGAGCGGGTTCGGGTGCTGCCTTAGACTTATGCTGGCATATATTCCATTTTTTTTAGGCTCGTAGTTGTACCCTGTCCCCCCTGTTTTTTCTGAAAGTACATGATGGGAGGCTTGCTGCTCAGGTATTCGACCTCTAGGTGTATAATAGCGTCCGCTTCAATGCACTGTTCTCTCCGCTTCAAAGCGTTGTGATTTTGGCGTTGTAATATCTTCGGTACAGGTAGTAGAGCTACAGTTATTTTTATCACGGGTTTTGTGATTTTGGCGTTGTGATTTCTTCGGTACCGGTGGTAGAGCTACACTGTAATGAAATGCACGAATTGGACACTTGGGGTTGGGGTTGGTCCTCTTTACACGCGGGCTCGGGTCTGTTGCGTTAGACTTAATAATGTTGGCATATTTATATTGACTATTTTTTTTAGGCTCATGTAGAAGAGCGTGTCGGCGTTACTCATGCCATAGCGCTATCGGTTCTCTGCCGCGTCTCTACTCGGGTCGCAACGGAATCAGGCAGCTTTCTTGAGTTGTCACGTGGTTCGAAAATGAATGAATGAATGAGTCGCTTCATCTAATCTATGGAACAAGTCATGCGCCTCACATGGTCCCGGTCTACGACCAGTCGAATAGCGCTGCGGGAATATCAAGTGCTGCAGCTGCGAGTGGAGGAAGCTATTTGATAAATCCGAAAAATCACATTACCTTGGCACAAGCTTTTCTGGTCAGATCGCGGGACTGTGGGATTGCGGATGTAGCGAGAAACGTACAGAAAACAAAGGAAAAGCTGAAATTCCTCCCATTCAACGAGGATGCTGTGAATTAAGGCTTCCCATTGTTGGTTCTACTTTTTTACAAAAGTCCGTCGTAGATAGGATTTTTTATGTCCTCTAAGTAATCAAACAGAAGTCGTACGTAGGTAGATTACTTTTATGTCCTCTAATACTAATCAAGAAAGCTCTTTTTTATGTCCTCTAAGTAATCAAAGCTCGGATTTTTTATGTCCTCTAATCAGAGCTCGGATTGTGCAACGCAGTGGCAGCAGGTTTCCCGCACAGTTGTCTCGGTCTCGCGAATAATTGCGGGATAGTGCCTGGATTGTTCGATAAAGTGAACAAAAACTTTTATCGTCTTTATCGTCGGAAAGCGCATGTACACCACTATACGGCCTACATGGAACAGGCAGGTTTTGACTATGCGAACGAGAACCTGAGGAGCCTAACGAACGACTACACTCAAGTCGACCGACACCATACGCCTCCTCCAGAGCACAAATCGTCTGACGCTGCATGTGATGTTATGAAAACTGTGGATTTGCTACTTCATCTACTTCATGCATCTTACACTTACAACTAAGAAATCAGAACAAGATGAACTAGTAATCGCTTAGTAATCTTCTTCTCTCATTTTTCACTTTCAGATTCAGTTTCATCTCTACAAACCAAGAATATCATCCACATCAAACCTGAAGCTCTAACTCTCGCCAAGGTGGAAACAGCAGTGCAAGAAGGGACCAAGAACCCGACTGGCCTTCGTTGTTGTTCAAGCCTTCCCAGCACCTTTTCGAAAAGGCCGCACTTCATTGGCTACCGAGACCTGTCATATAGTAGCTAGAAATAGCAAAAGGAACACTTTGCCGATTGCTGTAATCTGAAAAGTTGGTCGTACACGACCACATCATGTTGCTTTTGTGATGCACGGAACTCTTCTACTTGGGCATCATTTGAAGGTGACCAGCACTTCCATGACATTAATATAAGGAAGCTTCAAAAAGTGTTCTTGCCTGCAGCAACCTCGACTTCTGTTGCGATTGCAGCGGCGTCTAGGCGATGACTGCTCCGATAACTCAAGAAACCGTCTTCGTCTCTGTCTCTGTGCAGTGAAAAATTGAATGACTCCGGTAAGGTTAAACCGTTTCACGACAGCTGGAAATGGTGTATCAGTATTTTGAAGATTGATTCCTGAGTTTTCCGAGAGTGCCAACTGAAATAGTAGAAGAGGGACAAAAATAGCAGATGCCAGAGGAGGCTTGTCTTCCTCTCTTCATTGAACGCTACTACAAGAATACCTTGGCTCTCCCAGAATTCATCATTTAATGCTATCCTTTTCATAAACAAATACAAAGAAAGGATGAGCCCAAAGACAAAGTAGACTCATACTTCTTTTGCCGAACAACAACATAAATCAGTTGCATGACGACCGTCAGATAATGACGCTACTTGATTTCCCTACAACAGGTAATTATTTAAGGTCAAAGTAGTATGAGAAACGATGTGCCTTCCTAGGCCGCAGGCTGTTCTTCTGTTTCGATGTTTTACTCATTCAGTTCGCTGCGCAGCCCAAATTGTCTTAAGGCTACCGCTGAACCATCCTCTACACTAATATCCCTGGCTCTTTTTCTAGTTGAAAAGGAAGCCAAGGATGGACTCAGGGATTTGAACGCGGTAGCTCTAATAATCGGCCGAGTGGTGCCTTCTCATCTTCCCAGCAGCCACCCGCATCCTCACATCCAGGCCCAAAAAGGGACATTCATCTCCTGCCGCCTCCGAGCTCTGTGACATATCGACTAAACAAAGCAGATCAAGATTACTACGGAGGAGGAGGAGCTTCGACATCTTCGTCCTCTACGGGAAGCAGTACTAGAGATAATCAACGGTCGACGATAACTTCGTCGAAAGTTTTATGGCCTAGTAGGAGCAGCTAATGTCACTTTTATGTTTCCACCAGCAGTAGCAGTACCATGCTCGTTATTGTAGTCTACTTGTGGATTCTTCGTAATATTTATACTACTGTCGGTTCACGAACTACAAGAAGGCGAAAAATCAAAATGGAAAATTACAAGGATGGACTTCGACTTCATTATGTTGATGTTGAAATTGAAAACCCTTTCTAATACTCATAGCGTCTCCAAGTGTGACGGTGACGAACAACGACCCTGGTAGAAGTATCACTAGCCCAACCACGACTACAAGGGTCACATCTACGAGAGGTTCTGGGAATTACACGACTTACAGTGGTCAATACGGTTGTGGTCAATACGTCAACATCAGAGGCAGTACTACGACGATGGTGAGCCCGGTCGAAAGAGTTCCGCGAAATATCGACTCGCTCCTGAGGTTCTTCCAGAGCGATTACTTCAAAAGCGAGGTCTTCTATCTGATGCATTATCTGTATCACGACGAGCGGGCTGGAGTGCAGGACTACCTCGTCAATCAGCTTTATCAGAAGTACTCAAAAGATACTTAGATGGTGTCCAGGACTACCTAGTTAATCAGCTTTATCAGAAGTAATTCTGATTTTCTCTCCTTGATCATATTGATATTCTACTTGTTGTAGTTCTACTTCTATTCCTATTCGTCAAGGTCAACTTGATTGGCAATAATACAAGTTCATGCTCTTAGTTCTTCTTACTTTCCAAATTCTTAATATCGAAGTCAATGGGGATAACCATAACGCAACTCTCTTCCAATAAACTCTCCCAGGTCCGATGTTGAAGTTGATTTCTATTTGTGCCAGTTAGTCCAGATTTGCGTTGCCCGCATGTGCAGCAGCAGTTCAAATGCCATCAAGAGTACTTCTGAAGGTGGGAAAACTACTGCACCAGCGAGTGGGGGACCCGATCCGGCGCTTAGTCTCTCCAAATTTCTAGTCTGGAAAGCGCGTCAGTCCGTTCATTTCGCGTTGAAGATACATTGGCTCGCGATATCGGTGTTTGAGGAGAAGGAGCAAACGCAGGAGTTGAAGATCGCAGGCGACACCCTGATCGATCAGGTGGAGCGCGCGGTCGTCAATGCACATCAAACCAAAGTGGTGTCGGGGAATGCACTGACGGCAGGAGCTGCACAAGGACAAGACAGCGAGAAACTCAATATGGCACGAGATGAAAAGTTTTTGGCAGTGATCAATTTCAATATGTGGTAGCACTACTTCCTAGAAGTCTTATTCGAATACAAGACAACACATATCTGCTGAACAGATCATACAGAAGATGAGCCCCGTTCTTCTATTCTCACCACAGGATGAAGGTTTGAAATAGAAAGAAGATTCTTAGAAGCCTTCTTCCCCTCCTCCTGTCATATTTCAACGGACGGATTCAGTAGGGGCTCCGATTGAGCCCAGAGCAGGATCTGTTTTGATGTATTTGCGGAGTCTGAAGCGTGACACAAGAGGCAGCTACTTCGAACTAGACGAACTTGCACCCAACGTCTATGCAAAAGACCAGCTTGGCAACTCAATACCACGGTTAGAGGAGCAGGCGAAGATTTTGACGGTATTCTGGTTCCATATTTAACTAATTCTAACAGTTGTTCAGGATCCATATAACTAACTCTATTTTGTCAGTCCAGGATCCATATAACTAACTCTAACAATTTCAGACAACTTCTCATCTGCCAATATCCTCGTCAGTCCGCACCGCTATCATAAGCATAAATTCAAGTTGTTGTATTGAGCCAAGGTCTACAACCCAGCAAAATACCCGCCAGGTAAACTACTGGAACACGCAACTCGCTTTTTCGACGTTCCTTCTCTCCCTCTGCGAATATGTGATGCTGAAGACGGACAGGGATGCGGCATTGCAAAAACCTTTGGAGTTGCTCAATGTGTGGCTCCTAGAACGACGTTGTTTCGGAGCAACAGCCTTGCCAGAATTCCAGATGATTGGTCTCCACATGCCTCTTAGCGGGACTGACACAAGATTGCAGCTGCTTCGGGTCCATGCGCAGGATTGCAGGGTGTTTTCGTTAAGGCTGGTTTTTCGATTTCTTCCGTTGATGGCGTCAATTGGCCGTCATAACGTATTTAATCAAGAATCAAGTAACTCCACATATACATACTCTGAAATTCTCCCTCCCTCCTGTGCCTACGTGTAAGTCCTGTCTAATCCGCACAAAAACTCGAGCTCCGTTTCTCATCGTTTGCGAATTCGGAGATTTAGACGAGGTCGCAGGTTTGGAGCAAGACTCAGTTGCGGGAGCTATAGAAAAAAAGCTAGATAATTCTGAACGAGCACAACAAGGTAATAGCCTCCAATCAGCAGGTCGCGACCTAGTTCACCAAGAAGTGTGTGAGTTGCTGGAAGAGCCCTACGATGCCACCGAAACACTGGAAAGTGTGCTAGAGAAAATATCGCTAGCTGACTGGGTGGCGAAGGTATAATTTGTGTAGGATCATACTGATTTAGAAGATTATTTAGTGTCCGCCATTAATCTCAACGGCTACGGTACCGATGGCACCACCCAGCACTGCTAAATTAAGACAAAATCGGTGAAGCCTTTCTATTAAGTCTTCACTTATAATTGCTTCCAATCCAGGTCTACCAGCGTCCACTTGATGACCAGAGCAACGACTTTGAGTATGTGAGTGATAACGAGAGGGAGGAATTTCATCAGTTCGAGGTGATAGATGACGAAATCTATGACGAAGACCTAGACGCCACCGACATTGCCAAGGACCGTGAAGCAGCCATGAGCCGAGTCGAGAAGGAATTGAGTTCGGGGATTACAGAGTATTTCGCGTCCACTATGCTGGATCATGGTGGACTTCTAGGTAGTGACGGTACAGTAGGTGATGGAGCCGCTACAGTAGATGATGTAGGAGAACAACATGCAGCAGGAGTGGCCTTGGAACCAATAGCGCACACTAAATCGGCACCAGCTGCTTCGGGAAGGGCTGGCCTTTTTGGGAGAAGGAGTCCCGGTCGTGGGAGTAAGTCGACGACAGCCAAAGAAGCAAAAGCAGCAGGCTTGTTTCAAGGGTCAGCCGCGTCTTCATCACCTAGTTGTACTAGTAGACCTAGTAGAAGTGGAGTAGAGAAAGAACCAGCAGAAGGTAGATGTAGTACTCCTATTGAAACATCAGGACGAGTGGAGGTAGCTGCATCCTCTTCAACTAGTAGCAGTTCCGGTAGAATAGACGAGCCCTCGAAAAATACAGAGAGTGCAGTTACAAACGGAGAATCTTCAGAAACTCCTACTATCACCGGAGGTGTAGTCGTAGGCTCAAGCCCAGCTAGTTCATCCACTGCACCGCACCCGGAGAGCACGACAAGTGAGGCAGTTTCTTCAACGCCATCTGCCTCAGAAAAGGACAATAATGACATACCTCCGATATCAGCCAGTAGTAGTGATGTTCTCGTAACGAGTCTGAGCGTTGGAGAAAACGTCGAGCCTGATTTCTTTATGCAATATTGAAGTAAAAGAGTTCATCATCAAGTCTCTAGTACTCAGATTCCCTGTAGCTGTACATCTGCCACCGCATTTCAATCAACACTGTAGTGTAGAATACATAGTGAGTCTCCATCCAAATAGAAATAACGATGTTGAGGACCTTTCTCCTTTCATTCCATCCAAATCCGTTTCCTTGTCAAAGCAGTTTCCGGCAAAATTCGAGGACCGCATACAGATGCGGAAGGTCATTGCCGCAGCAACGAGAAAGCAAATATGGGGAGAACCATGGCAGAAGAAGAAACGAAGACTAGAGAAGCGGTCGTCCTACTCCAAGCTGCGGTCATGGTGCTTGAGGAGTATGATCGTGAAGAGCGGGGATGACGTAAGGCAGGAAGTTCTGGCGTCCCAGCTGATCACGCAGTTTCGCTGGATCTTCAACCAAGCGCCGGGGCTGAGTTTATATCTGCGCCCGATCGAAGTGTTGATTACTAAGGCCTGAAGCGCTACTCCTGTACTCCTACATATCCCAGAACTTTTGCTCGTATATAAGCGCTCCATTTTGGCAAAGTCCCAACTCAGAGATCACACAGCACCCTAAAAGGAGTCCACCGCACCCTAAGGGAAGTCATCTGAAGATAGTGCCCTCATCCATTCAATAACAAACGCGGTAGTCGCCCAAGTATCTGCGTTGACTCCACAAAGTGGGCTCTGTTAACGCTGAGTCTTTTCAAAAGCATCTAATGGCTTGGAGCGCCACTCGTACTCCTCCATGTCCAAGAAGAGTATTGCACCCCTTCCAGTTGTTAATCTCTAATCCGCCCGGCGCAAAAAGTGGTCTGATGGAGATGGTCCCCGATAGTATTTCGATCGACAGATTGAAACGGAAGTTTCCGGATTTGTCATTAGCCCAGATATTTGAGCGGGCTTTCGGGGATAGGCTTTTGACCGCAAAGCGGAACTTCACAGAAAGCACTGCGGCGTACTCGCTGGTCTGCTACTTTTTTTATGGCGTGAAACTGAAAGAAAGTATATATTTTGGCTTTAGTTCTTCTTGTCTACTTACAAAAATGGACTCTCAAACAGGCGAATCCAACCCATTACCTCTTCTAATCCTTGCAAGTCCGCGACCGACACAACGCAAATATGCTCTTAGACCGAGAAGGGAGGATCGTGCACATAGATTTCGGGTTTATGCTCAGCAACTCACCAGGAAACATCGCTTTTGAAACGTCACCGTTTAAACTGACCCAAGAATTCTTGGATATCATGGACGGGGAACAGAGTGAACAGTACTACTTATACTTTCTTAAGTGGATGTCCTATGCTGAGGAAGTCACATGTTGATGATGTATTTGGAAAACTACCACTAGTGATGCTATGATTTCATCTGGCTATCATCATGACTGCGTACGGAGTTCTCCACAAGATGAAATTCAACTTTCTTGTTCTGACTCACATCAACTCGCATTCACCTACAACAACGTCACATCATCAGGTACCAATACTTCTGCACGCTCTTGATCCGGGGCTTCTTAGAGGCCAGAAGACACGTCGAAAGGATTAGCACGATCATTCAGATGCAGATGCTGAACAGCAATTTGCCTTGTTTCTCCGGAAAAAGCTGTGCTACGATCGTGACGGAACTCGAAGAGCGCTTTTTCAGAGGGCTGCCGGATGACGCTTGCATCGAGCAGATACATCAGCTCATCGATGCCTCAGTGAACAACTGGCGGACGAAACAGTACGATAACTATCAAAGAATTACTAATGGGATTCTCTGAGATGGCATGATGGGCATCTTCAGGAAGGGAACCACGTGTGGACGTGGAGCGGGAATAGCCTTCATTTTCTGCGTTCGTCTCAAATGGCAAAAAGTCACAAAAGATGACAGTTTCTATTTAAGCCAACATAAGTTCATTTCTGTTCTTCGGGATAGGAAAGGGTTGCTGGGCTTGAGTTAGTATTTCTGAAAGTTTCATCTGGATCTAATCGTAGTAGTGGCTGCGTCTGCGGCAATTGTCTTTATATTTCTGTTCTTCATTATACCAAAGTGTTTACTCGAAACTACCAGCTGCTAATTAAGATTAGATTGTCTATGATTGAAGTTACTTATGTCTGAAAACCAAGAGGGAACCGAGACTGAAAGTGCAGGAAAATTTTGATTACATCCAAAACAAGGATGAAATTCGTGCACGATAAGTTTTTGAAAGGCCAAAAGCGAAAAATACAAGAAGGGGCGGTGGTTTTGAGACGCACGAATGGTCAGGGGAGCAACCTCTTCTCCCCTTGAGGTTTCTAAACGATTCTCGTGGCTCCTAGGTGTTCGATCTTCTTCGCATACGCATGCCTTTTGCCTGCTACCACAATAATTGTGGCTCTCGAGGATAAACAAGGGGATCCTGTTCCAAGTGTCGTAAGAACAAAGCCGTGCTAGAGCCTGACACGAGGCGGATCATTGGATCTTTTACGGGTTCACCTATTTCATTGTGAAGCACGCAAAATGTAAATAGTGCTCCCAAAGAGATGACGATGGTGATCCTAAAAAAATGATAAAGGGCAGGAACGCATTCTCCGCTGCCCATCATGGCAGCGGTACAAGGCACCATACCAAGAATCTATCTTGCTGCTCGACGAAGATGTTAGAGTTAGTGGCGCCCAATTACGATTACCTGGCGGGTGCAGGACGGTGGCGTGGACGACCTGTAGCGAGAGAACTGCGCTCGGCGAGGACGAGAGGACTTCATACCTCAAGATTGCTTCTTGCTAGAGGTAGCAGTGCGACGGCTTCGAGGGCAACTGCTCTGTCTGTGCCTAACAAAAATTCTCTCTCATCCTCCTCATCATCCAAGGACTCTTCATCATGGCCCAACGTTTTCTTGCAGGACAAGCATCTTCCCTCAGTTCTGGCTGCTATGAAGCGGACGGGGATAGTGGAGGAAGAACTCGTCACGAGTGGTGCTACTAATCAACATGTTGGGGAGAGATACCTTAAAAATGGTGCAGAGCAGCTACATCATTGTGTGCTTTCTTTTTCCTCACGGGCATCAGATGATCTGGAAGCTTCAAGAACATGTGAGTCTCAAACCACACATCAGAGTAGCGTCTCATCTTTCGGTGCAACTTTAATATCGGCCACAGCATCGTCATCTTCATCAAGTAAAAGATCCTATTCAGCTTACGGTAGGACCCCTAAGGAGGCGAGACTCGCAGCTATGCAGTATATGCAAAGAAACACACCGTATCAGCAGTTGGACCTGAGGACTCAAGCAGCGATATGGAGACAGGTTTTGAACAGCCTTAGGTCAACACTGGGCGTTCAAGAAGAGCACTGTGAGTTCACCGTACCTAAGACAGAGGAGGACAAGGGAGATGAAGAACAAGAAGGGGATTCTACTGGTGCCCCTTCCGGTGCAACGCTAGATGAACACATTTGTCGCTACATTTGGCGACTTCCAGGTAACCTAGTAGAGCCTTCGTCCATCCGTATGGAAGGTCGTTCTTGTGGGTCAAAGGATGCGGCACGAATCAAGTGCTGGACGGGATTGGCAGAGCAGGCAGAGAAATACCTAGAGTGTATACCTGAGCAACTGAGAAATGCGAAAGCAAAGGAGCTAGAAACTCTAGAGGAAGCGCGTGTTGCTGACGTCAAGAAAAACGCTGAGTCTGTGTGGACAAAGTTACCAGAAGAGGATATGCGTGCACTGCAGAGCACGCACGACCGCATAGTCAGTGCGTATAGGGATCGTCGTGTTATGGCCCAGTTTGCATGTTTGCGTTTGGCTTTGACTTCCTTCGACAGTTCTGACAATGTCATATTTTTATTTCGAGGGATAGAGATTGGTATTGCCTATTGCGAATAATTATCTTTGCGCCGGCCTAGTAATAGTATTAGTAATGAATGCTGGCCACTATAGTTTTTAGTCAGACGGATTTCATTTTTTATGTATTTTCGTTTCCTAGATCATAGGCGTGCTCCAGCACCGGTAGTATTTTTAGTATAATGAATGCTATAATGTCTGCAACGACGAGGACGAAGCGGATCACAGCGTTACTAGTGGCGGATCTCGCAGTACAAGGAATGGCGCTCACCACAGCAGTAGAAGCAAACTGACGATCGACGCCACAGAGAGCTGTTTTTCCGTTCGTCCGGTACCTGGAGAAGCGCAAGGTTTCGTCCATAGTATGGAGTGGTGCCTTCGAGACCATCCCGGTGCCGCATCAGACACATCAAGACTGGTGCGGGGTTATGGGCAGACCAGATTTGGTGCACGCGCTAAAGCCTGTGAGGAAATGCTGAGAGAACAAAAGTTGTTGATGCCTGACAAGGAACAGGCAGGTGGTGGTGGCGTATCTGAAGCAGATCGTATAGCCGCAGCTGAGATACGGGCACTGTGCAAAGGAGGGAATTTGTCGAAAGCAATGAGACGGGGCGAAGATTTGCTGGCCTCAACCCCTTCCATGGCTGATAACAACGAACACTACCGTGACCGTCAAGCCAGTCTCGCTTCTCTCTTCTTGCCGGATTTGTGGCGAGGAGCGTTGTCAGAACACCATGGATCGCCAGCCTTGGCATCAAGTGCAGCACCAGAAGTCATTCGAAGATGCGGTCGGGTCTTGCCCGCAGCCTTGTGGGAAACGCTACTCGACGACACCATCTTTCAGATGAGTTTGGGGAAGGACACTAACGGTACTACTAGCAAGACCGATCGGATTCGCGAACAAAACGAACCGACTGCTCGCGATGCAAATCATTTACTGCAGCTACTGTCACCGTTCAATGCCGACCACGTTGTTCTCTCAAGTTGGGGCTTTGTTTCGGCTGAGGCTGCAAAATACTGGCACAAATTCCGCTTTTTAGCTGCCATGGAACGCAGGGCAGCGCTACAGCGCACTTTGGCAGGCGAACAGTTTTTGCCTGAGTCACTGATGACTGATGAAGACGACAAACACAAAAATGCCTTGATATCGACGACAGCGACGGAAGACACAGACACAACTGTTGTTGACACCATCGCAATGACAGTTGGCGATTGCGTGCCACCATTTCTTTCTCTGAATTCTCTAGAACATCAAAACGGCAGCACAGAAGCTGCTGCATCGCAAGCCGAGATCAAAACAGGCGACGTCTTGCGAGTTCAAACTCCGCAAGGGCGAATGCTTGTTCGCGTCGTTCGTCAAGAACGTGTGTTACGGAAGTACAGCACGACAGCAGAAGCGTCGACTTCAGGAAATGCGAGAAGTAAGAATAGTCCAGATGAGCAGTTCAAGACGAAAAAAGAAAGAGTGCCTCGTTTTTACTGCAAAATGCTGACATCTAGTACTACAACCAGCAGTAGTAGTAGTACAAATCCCTCTAGCACTTTGCAGCACGAAGATGACGATGCGCAGCAATTGGATCATTTACAAGGCACTGTCCATCTCAACCTACACGAAAAGCAACAAGTCTCGGTGATCCCTCTAGACTCTGAAACCACTTTTCGAAGGCAGATAGCAGCTTTACGTGCAGCTTGCTTCGACCCTCGACTGTCAACACTCGCCGCTGTGGCCGGAGGTGCTTCAGCAGCTGGAGCCAGTTTGTCAGGGATCAGCGTTCCTGCACTAACCGCACGCGACACATGTCAATTCGAATACGATGGGTGTTTCTTAGCGGATGTGATTTTCGATGGGGGCAGAACACCAGACACTAACGATGATCCTAGAGACAAGCATAATCTATCTCTAGTCCGCAAAGTGTTCGGCCCTCCAGGTACGGGGAAGACGTATGAAGCCTGTCGAATAGTCGCAGAATGGCGAAGAGAGGACGAATGTGAGTTGTATGGTGCTGTAGACGTAGAGGAGGAGCAGGAGGACTATCATAATACTGCTTCAAGAACTACAGCTCCTTCCACTACTAGGGCTAGAGTTGAAGACAAGCGCAGAACATCAACTGCCGACGACGAAAAAACATCATCGGACGAGAAAGATGAAGTCAATGGAGAAAGTTGTGAGGCGGAAGCAGAAGGAACATCAGTTTCTACCAATGCAGAAGCGGCTGCGAACCCATTTGGGTCAACCGTTTGGTCATCTTCTTCTCCTTCGAAAAGTAGACCATCGACTGCCCAAAAGATCCTCTGTGTAGCTGACAGTAATGTCGCAGCTGACAATTTGTACCGACATTTGAGGCAACAGCACATCGGGTGTGTCCGATTTCGATCCTTGGGACAAGCGCCGCCAAGTTCTCTCATCGCTAAGAGTATATCTACTGGACCACCTTCTACACACCTCAAAAATCAAGGGAAGGGTGCAACCGCGGGAAACGCACAAAACCTAAAACTGTGGCGGGAAGCTGTGAGTCAAGTGCAAGTGGTGGTAACAACTTGCAGTGGTGTTGGTCACGCTGTATTTGCTGGGGTAGCCTTTCCACGTGTAGTGATCGACGAGGCCACACAAAGTACAGAGCTTTCCACATTGATAGCCTTGGGTCGTCGATGCCGTGAGCTAGTGCTGATAGGCGATCCGAAACAGTTACCACCAACTGTTCTTGGGCAAGAAGTCGTGGGCTGTGCTGCTTCCACCGCAACTTCAACTCCTTCAGCGACTTCTACGTCTTCATCCCTGAAAACAACTCTGTTCGACCGAGTCAACGTGCCACCAGTCGACACAATTGAACTGCTAGCGCAGAGGAGAATGCACCCTGATCTCCTAGAGTTTCCAAATGAGCACTTCTACGGAGGGAAACTCAAAACCATCGTGCCTGTGGTTGTTGAGAATGGAAACGAATCTTCCTCAAGTAACCGAGAAGATGCCGATGCGTTTATTGATGGCGAACATCAAGGTGACAGATCAGGCACAACATCTTCGTGGTCATCTTCGACAAGTAGCAAAAACGAAGGTTTTCTCTTCATGAGAAACCGTGTTTCTTTTGTCGACTCCAGTTCGACGTGTGCTGAAGAGGAACAAGAACAAGCTGAAGAGGAAACGGTTGCTTCGACAGGAAGCAAGCGCAACGGCGTAGAAGCAGCCCTAGTGGCGCAGTGGGCCCATCGCTTCCTCGCACACGATTCTGCTGTGTCTGTCGCTGTGCTGACGCCCTATAGCAGTCAGAAAGAGTTGTTGGAAAAAACAATCAAAGAAAAGACACCACGTCTCTATATCTCAACCGTCGACGGATTTCAGGGTAGTGAGGCTGACGTTGTTCTTCTCAGTCTAGTACGAACGAAGGCGTTAGGGTTCGTGGCTGATCGGAGACGCATGAATGTTGCGCTCACGCGTGCAAAACAAGCTATCGTCGTCTTTGGGTCCAGAACTTTGCTGGGGAGACAAGACAAGAACTCAAAAGATGTTGCAGATGGTGAAAGAAGTCTCTGGGCAGAATGGATCAAGCGCTATGATTTCAAAGATTAGAATTAGGGGTTCGGGTTATAATTCATCGAGATTATATGTTGTAGTATCCATGACCATGTTTCATGTTCAAGTTCATCGGCGACCACCTGACGACCGGTATATTCTTTTCAAAACTAACGATCATTATCGCACAAAACCGAGGAGATAACCATAAGAACTCGCAAACGCAAGCCAAGCATAACGAAAGTGAATACGTCAACACGGAGAACAACTATTGAAAGGAAGCAAGAGCTTCCCTTTTCAGGTCAGTGGCTTTGTGTTCTCTAGATGCGCGTTGTGCCGGATGGGAGTGCGTCATATTTGATCAAGGGTGACGTAGCCCATCTCCTTAGTGTCTGCAGCCGGATCCAATAGTGACATTTCAGCACCGGGTCAACGACAACGATCATATGTCTCCTGGCATGAGTGGTTCTTCTCTTGTTCAGAAATCGAATGAATGGTGGTGGTGGCGATAGGTTTAGGTCGTGCCTCAGCTACAACTACTGCAGCTTGCATTTGTAGCACCTGCTGGTGGCCGCGTCTTCATGATGAATGATTCAGCTCTATCATGAATATTCACATATAAAAATAAGATCAACTTCTGCTTATCCTACTCTCAATAGTCTTGTGTGTACTAAAAAAGTTTGGAAAGTTGTTTCGCTCTCCGCCCTGAGAGTGACTGTGACCTTCTACATGTCGATGAGCTGGGAACAAGAAAAGCATTTCAACAAATTACTTATGCGTACGAAACAACAAGAAGCCTAATTATGAATCGCAAACGACCTCTATGATGTCCACATCATCGTCATTTGCAGTTAATTATGAATCGTAAACGACCTCTATGATGTCCACACCATCGTCAGACAGAAAGAGAAGCCATGCTAGAAGAAAACGCGGCCGACTTCGTCTGTCGTCGCCGGTCGGGCATGGAAGACGACCACCCCTTGAAGGAGGAGAAGCTTGCTGTGGTACGGTTCGAGGAGGAGGCTGCGTAGTACATGGAGGGAAGTATGCGGCACGACAAGGCGATCACTGTACGCAAGAAGGAACAAGGAAACCTGGACTCTCGCAGCTTTCTAGTCGGCGAAAACTAAAAAGACGAGCACGAGCTAGGGATGAGCTGAACAGAAATGGGCTTACCCTCGAGCTGCAAGCGGTGAATCACGCCCGACATCGCCCAGAACGACCACCAGACGAAGGCAATGCCACGTCATCGTCCACACAGCGAACGTCAACGCGGACCCCTCGTATGCGCATTTGTCCTCGTTCCATGGTCCTTGCGTCGTCTGGCGTAGGGGTTCATGCAACATCGTGGTTCACGGGAGCATCTAAAAGAGGCACAACAGAACGAGGGGGCAGTCCAAGCCATACAAATGGAGCCGTAGCAGATGCAATGGATGCAGTAGGAGTAGCAGCTGCAGTGGATGCGGCAGATGCAAATGGAGTAGTAGCAGCTGGTGCTGGTGCAAATAACAATGGATATGGTTGCTCTGGCGTTGGTGGTGGTGGTAGTGGTCGTGGCGGCGTCACAGATGCTGATAATGCAAGGAGAACGGCTGGGAGTGTTCTCCCTGGTGTTGCTCCACCTCAAAAATTTGCGTCCTCGGGAACTTCCTCTGGGTCAACATTATCTAGATCAAGGTTCATAAGTCCCAGTACATCTGCAGCGCCAGGACGTAGTCGTGGGGGTGGTGGTGGTCACGCAACTACATCGACATCTAGCAGCAGTAAACTGACCTCGCCTGCACCTGCGTCTTTGGGTTCAACAGCTGCTACTGGAGATACATCAACCTCCTGCCCCTCACCTCCACAGCCTCCACTTGTAAGGATAGATTTGCTGTCAGCACCAGAGAGCAATGGAGGTGGTGGTGGAGGAGCTGCAGGAGGTGAGAGGACTGAAGCTGAAGGGGTTAATGGGGTGATTGGGAGTGCACCGATGGTAGTAGATAGTACAGGGACACCTTCAGGAGGAAAACCAGTTCCAACTGCACCTTCAGGAGACCAACGTAATGTCGCTACTACAACAGCACCTCCCCCGGATAGTGAAAGTCGTGGCCCCTTTCGTGTAGGCGCTGCTTGGCTATTCGCACCAATAGCATCCATCATCGGCGGACGTGGAAGCGAACCAACTGCCCAAATACATCTGAATGGGGGCGAAGAGGATGATCTAGGAGGTGTAGGTGGGACAGTTTTAGCAATAGCGACTGGACGAGCTAGTCGTGGCGTAAGTGGTGAAGCTGCTGGCGAAGATCAAGAAAGTGAAAGAGGTAGTTGTCCTGATATTAAAAAGTCTGGTCGTGAGCAGCGGTTCATCCTGCAGGAAGACCCAAACACCGATGCGGATGCTCCCGATCAAGCACATGATAGTAAAAAGTACCAGGGACTCCAACTAATACCTCCGGGTACGACTGGCAGCACGAGTACGCAAGACTTAGAACTGTCAAAAGCCAGCACGAGTGCTGCTGGTACCACCATGCTCAGTAGCCTGGCGCATTCAGAGCGAGAGCCTGGCTGTACTACACGGGGGCAAGAAGATCTAAACGTGAGCGGAATGCAGGTCGAGGATTTCGGTACTTCAACACAAGATCTTGGGAGTAGTCCACTCGTTCTTGCGGCCTCCAGTAATGAGTTGTCCTGGCGCGAAGCTGCCTTAGCGTCGTTCGGACAGCTAACCGGTCTGAGGTCTACCGCAAACGCTCCAAATAGACCAGGACCAGGCTTCCAAAGGGGAACCTCTACAGCATCAGATACGGAGATGACTGCATCAGACAAGGTTGCGCCTCGACCTGGTGAGCCGGCACGGCATCTACTGATGTCGCCGCGGCACGAAAGTGCAAGAACACAAACGGAGTTGCTGTACGGTCCTGCACCAGGGACCTCAACTAGCGAGCTGTCGGGATATCCGAATAAGAGCGACAGAAGTCTTCACGACCCTAATGGCCTAAATAAATGCGGCACCAGCGCGAAGAATAGCAAAGAACGAAAGTTAAGTAGTAGACTTGTCATAAAGTATAAAGATGAAATCCATTTTCAGGAGCATGATCTTGTTGAAGGCTTGCTTTTCTCATTCTCTGTTGACGGAAAAGTACCTACTTACAAAGGACCACCACGATCGATGCTCCCAACCACCAGGAGCGATGCCTCCATCTCCTTCTCAAGGTCTAATCAAGAGCAGTGGACTTCTCGACATCGAGCAAGATTTCTCGGATCTAGAAGACAACGTCGAGGATGGTCGTTTGCCTCGTCGAGGCGTCAGAGCACCAGATGTCTCATTAGACTCACAACTAGGGAAAATCGATGTTGTTGGCTTCTTCCCAAATATAGCAGATGATGCTGGAGGCCACGCTGTGCCAGGGCAAGAGCAGCAGTCTTTTCGAAAGAACGGGGTTGCCGCGGCACACGACAAGGCCACTGCATATAGTAGAGAGGCGATGTCATCAACATCAACTCCCACAACCAGTAAAAGCAACACGACCCCGTCGTTCTTAAAAAAGAACGATCAAGTTCAAGGACCTGAGCCACAACAAAAGCCTCGTGTTGGTGAGCCAGAAGCTGAGGATGCACAACATGCCCAACCTCATGCTCATAGTACTAAAACAGCGACCACAAGTGATGTAGCTGCGCATCCATCAAGCTGTGAGCACGCGGACGTTGTTGTTGTAGAACGGGGACAAGGACCGGAGCAGTCTAGTAAGGCTTCCTCCATTAAGACTAGTAACAAGAAGGCCTCTTCTATGTCTGGAGAAGCAGCAGGAGAAGTTCACCTATGCGAGCAAATGCAGGGTCTCCGACTGCTTGACCCGCCTGCGGCGAGCGCCAAGAACAACAAGGAAGCAAATCAGAATATGACCCCAACCTCAAATCGAAGTACTAGAGCGAAATCAAAAGGAACCCTCACAGTTAACGGCCAGGCGGTGGTGGCTATTACCGGGTGTAATACATCAGGTACAGGTCGTGAGGAAGGTGCGAGTACGGGAACAGGAGACCTTCGTAGTTGTATTATGGATGGGGAACAACACCAAAATTGTTCTGAAGCCCATGCAGCGGATCCATGTGCTTCTGACGGAGCAGGAGATGCACAGGCGCAACAACAACATCATCATGGATCTTCAATGACCGATAGGACGAGTGGTTGTGATTCAACTACACAACATCAAGCTCAAGGTCCAAACGTTTACGTTGACCCACAACAGGCGGACCTAGATCTTCCTAGTCAAACAAGGCCTGAGGTCCCGACTCGAACCCTTGGTATACGCAATAGCTTTTGGCGCCAATTGTGCAGATGTTCACGGGAGCCAGACTTTACGGATGCCCTCGATCGCGTATTTTCTAACTTTTTTTTCGTGAAGATTGATTCATCTGACTTCTTAGCACGATAATATATTTATATTTATCTGTACGTACCTCCAGCTTAAAGACACACGTTAATATTTTTAGTACAACATTGTCGTGCACCAGGAGCTGTAACAGGTGTGATCGTCCAATTTCGCACACTCCGATACTACCACCCACAGGCTCATAATCTGCGGACAGCGTCGCGCGAGCAGACGATAGATGATAGTTCTGGCGCTAGCAGTGCGCATCAACTCCAACTGATGGAGCAACTCCTAGTTGAGCAAGGTGAAGGTTATCAAAGTAGCTACTTCGAGATGCCGACAGACCCTCTTGGCTATCTCCATCCTCGTTACCACGTATCGGAATTGAGCACCCTCGAGGAAACGCGGCCTCCGCGGATAGCCAGTGAGGCCTCGACAAGCTTACACGCGAGCTCGTCCAGCGTTATTTCAATTTCGGTTCTCAAAATAATATATGATCTTCTCTGTGTTTATTGTCTTTATGTTTATTTGCATTTATAGTGGTCGTAGGACAGTGATAGACCTAGATGACGACGCCATCCGGATGGTCGCCCCTCCTTGGTGGTGGGGGGACGTTCTGTAGTTAGTTTGATTCTCACTTAGCAGTTATTGAGTGTCAGCAGTGGTATCTTTGAAGTTATTTAAACGCAATATTATCTGACCACAACCACAACCAGGGCCGTCTCTCCGTTGTGGCAGGGACAGCTCCGCAGCACCATGGGCTTGTGAGGCTACCGGGAAACCGACAACAACGACAAAACGCGCCCAATCAAACTCCTGCTGACCGTGCCTTGGATTCCAATCATACATACATAATCGAACGTTTGGAGTTACGATCAAATATTTTTGTTCTTGTGATGTTCGATAGTTGAAGTTGGCGTAGGCGTGCCTCTCCTGTACTCGTGGTCGTTTCTATGATGGTTAACGTTAAGAAAGTAGATGTTATAGTACCCATTTCAGAGTAGTTTATAGCACGCATGGTGCATGGAGTAGCATGGAGTGCATGGAGCGCAGAGCTTTAAGGGGCGCAAGAAGCTCCCCCTTTAGCTCCATGCTACTCCATGTGATCCATGCACTCCATGCCATGCGAGCTGTGAAACCTTATAGATTGCTCTGCCATTTAAATAGTGCAAAAGCAAACATGGGAAGATCTCGCATGGATACCATGCGATTGGGTTCGTACTGATCAAGATGTGAGACAGCACATTAGGTTTAGGGATTTCCTGTTCATCTCTTCTAACTTTGGAGTTGAAGAAACGAAATCGGGATGAGATAGATTTTTTCAACCCAAATCTGAACCCTTGCGTGTATGACGAGGCAAGCCGTTGCCTCCGTCCACTGCTTCCAGACCGGACACCACGCCCTACGAGCACGAGGGGATCGGCACTAAGTTAAGGGGCTTCCTTGCTCTGATATTGCTTCATTCGTCTTGTTGCAAAAGAGAACGAGAATGAGAGGGATGATTCTCGATGTCAATGTTGACTTGGTCCCCTCCTTCTTTTGAATTTAAAGGGAAGACGTTCTTTATAAATATAATAGAGCATTTGTTAAGATAGATGATCGATGGCATGCCTGGACATGCCTGGCATGCATGGCGTGAGCCAAAGAAGGTTAGGCCGCGACCTTCTAAAGGGAGCCCGATGAAAGTGACGGGTGGCGGGAGCCATATGAAATGGCTCCTGCACGTTGTGCTCCGCTGTTGCCCTTGAGGCTCGCCCTTGTCTGTAATAGGTTGGCTGTAGTTGCATTTCTTTTACAGGGAAGACGTTCTTTATCAAAAGACGTAAAATTCTTTGAAAATCTCTAATAACTGGCGCTGACAGCGACGGCGCGAGACCCTGCATACCTCTACCAACCGCGCCCGGGCAGAGATCGATACGGTATTGTGTGGACGTGAAGCTGAAGATGCTGCATCGCTATATATAATGATAAGCATCAGAACATTTGTCATAGGATCCGTGGTGCAACATCGAAACCCGTTTCAAATAGTCCCCTTTTTAGACGATGAGTTTGAGTCGCAGTCGCAGTCGTCACTGGTGTTTTCATCTTACATTTGTAGCTCAGGCAGCGCATGCACCGCTTAGAATATCAATACTCATCCAGATTCTGTTCCTGCTCCTCGGAGCATATTTTTATTGATTCAACAAGCAACACTATCGAGATTTAGCAGAAGTACTAGATCACTCAACTACAACTAGTACACACAGAATTATAGACAAGAAAATACATCAATTTCAATTTCAAATGCTGTTTTCAATCATTCGCTTTCGTAGTTGTATTTTCGTAGTTGAAATCGAAGATTCATTCTACTGATTTGATTTTACGCAAACGCAAGAATCGTGTGAAGATAAGGATCTCAGTACAGCATGAAGATGGATCAATGTCATTTTCAATGTTGTTCATCGTCCGAATTCATTGTTATTGCTACTGTAGATGTAATTGATAAAAACCCTTTTAGCACTGCTTTGAGAAAAAGAGCAATGGGTTAATTTATATCTTGATCATGAATTTGTGGGCAGGTTAACAAGTTCCCTCGAACCTATCCCGTCCCGGTCATACCTAGGTACTACAGTCCGGTGCGCAAAAACAACGGGAGCTGCAGGCCCAACACAAACCCCCTTTTCTGCGAGCTCTGTGTTGTTAGCTAGTCCAAGAACACAAATCCGCTAGTCCAAGAACGCAAATCAACTAGTCATCATAATATGTAGCAACTGACAACTGTCACGAAGATGAATTGGGATCGATCGTAAAGATAGCTCTAGTTTCTTCGATCTTCTTTTCATGACTGCTTCTGGTTCTGCTACAACATGATGAACAACAAAATCTAATGATTTCCAGAGCTACAACTCATAAGGATGCATATTTTTTGAGTGAGTTGCGCTTGCGATCTAGTCTTGTCATAAAAACATACTAAATGGGCTGGATACAGCAGTGTCTTTTTTCTTGCTACACGTTGATTTTCTTACATCAGATAACCGCCTCCCTACCGTTCGTATCATTCCATGAACAACATACAACATAAATATCCTTCACTTGCACATTTTATTCGGTCCTTCCTTGCACCTGATACTTATCTTCCGCCCTATCTGTAACTGTATCTGTCATACCTATTCAGTGACGCAAAAAGCACATCATGAAAGATAACGACCATCATTCTCATACATTTGATTGTTCTCCATGAGGTTTGTCCTCGCGACAGCACATGCCATTTTTTTTGCATTGCCAACACGCAGATATGCTTGGCGAAAGAAAGGGCTATTCGTTCTCGTCATTTGATGACAGTACGTAGCACCCTACTGCGTCTGCGTGTACTGTCGTGTGTCTCTTTCGCGACTTTGACTTATCACTTGTTACTGAGACGACCTCATGATCAAAACTCAGAGTTGTAGGAGGGCCAGGGCCACCGTTCTCAATTGTAGAAAAATGAAAGAGGACGGAATAGTCAGAAATTGCATCGAAATGAAAGAAGAGTGACATCCTAGCATTGATTCCTGATGACGCCGGACAGCGATCAAATCGCGCATAGGTCCCCTCTCTAAAATTGAACAATGTGATGAAGAAAAATGGTTCGTGCGACGGTTATTTCGATTCGACGGCCAAGACCTCCTGCTGTCAGAGATGAACAGCAATATGTTGATCGACTCGACGGTGTTGCAGTCGCAGATAATGATCCGCATCAAAGAACGACCGAAGAACAAGAATTGGTCCTGCCATTACTCGTGAAGGAATATCGTCCACCGGTTAAAACCGTACAGGAGAAGGACTCATCGTCCAACCCTCCTTACAGTGTCGTCCTCGTTGGCAAGGATCTTGTCTCACAAGCGTGCTCACATCTGCGACGATTCGATGTGATTCACTTCCGCAGACCGGCGGCGAACAAGGACAAGAAGGTAATCGATATTGCCTCTAGCGAAGAACAAGAACACCAACATCAACGCAAAACGTCTATCATCATCTCTGACGATGTTTTTCTTGAAACCGAACCGAACGTACGGAAGGCTTTGAAAACGTTCAAGGGATGGGCACATTATGGGATAGAACGAGGTGGAGGTCGATTGTGGGATTTGGCGTTGGGATCACAACTGCAAAAGTCTTCTAGTTCCACACCCACAAGAGAAATAGAAGAACCTGATAGAAGAGCCCTTTTAGGAAAACGACCTTCAGAAGACTTGGTACTGGACGTCATCATTCTGTCCAAGCGACTCGTCAAGGAGGGCGTCTGCTGTTATCAGGTTATTGACCGAGATCACCTGGCTATGCCACCGTTGGGTGGTCTCACGTGTGAGTGTGCGGAAGATGCCCACCAGTTTATCATGTATGTGGATAACCACATGGACGCAAGACAAAACGATGAAGCTCGAAGCGGACAAGCAAACAGTCCGGATGCCGTTTCTTATCATGTTGCTCTTCATCGGCTCTTCGTCGGCGATCTGCTTCGAGTGAAAGTTCTCGATTTATGTATAGCGGTTGTGAATTCAATCTATTCAACATCAGTTTCACCTCTAACGCTGGGTGAGATCATGCTGTATAGTTGCAGTTGGAATGTTGACTCCTTGTAGAGATGATGGAGGCATCTCCAGTTCTAGCAGCATTGAATTTGAAATGAAGTGGAAGTAAAGTAAGATGTCTCAAGCTCCTCAAACCTTGTCCATTCCTCCTTTTCTAAATGAGGCAGAAATACGCAGCAACATCACATATCTTCGAGTATCTACGCTATTTCGCGAAGAAGAACCTACCACCCCCGCAGCTGTGGAAAACTACCAAGTTCGACGACAAGCTCTTCGATATGAAATGCGAGAGCGTCTAGAAAACGGGTCCTTGGAAAATCGAGGACAACATGTCGATGGTGCAGCCGACGATAAAACTACCACGCGTGTGGTGAAAGTAATCAAGTGCATTCATCTCCCGGAAGGACATAGTCACAATTCGAGTGGTCGTCCTCCGTTTACTGGTGCAGCTGTAACCTCCACAGTCACGTCTCCTGCTTCTTCTCTACTCGTCTACGACTTACATGCCCATCGTTTAGAAACCATAAGTCGTGCTATTTGCGATGAACTCGCAGATTATGTCGAAGTACCCGCTGTGGTCGATGTGAAGAACATTGATTCCGATCGAGCTCAAGATGCAGATAGAGACTTTCAGAATATGGAAGTAGAGGACTCTCCGGCAGACGAACAGGAACAACCAAAAAGGATCACCAAAACGACATTCCCAATACCTACAGGAGTTGGGGGGATTCAGAAAGCAATATCAGAAGGCGACTTTCTTCTTGTCACTACAACGACAACCGCGACTGTCAACACTGATACCGAACAAGTAGGAGCTGTCAACACTTCTGATATCCAACAGAGGACGGCTTGCCTCCCGTATCCGTCGTGGGGGTTCCATGCTCGAGAGATGCAGAGTCACTTACGCGAGATAGAGCCTTTACAAGCAAGTGGTGGAACTGGACTGTATGATATTGGGGCTTTTATAGTCATTGTTCGTCTACTGTTACTGTTTGAGAACTGTAGTTGTTTTCTTTGCTGGAGAAAGGTCAATCAGATAGAATTTCGGCAGACACATGCTTGCGTTACAGCAAGATAATTATCGCAAGTCGAAATTCTTCCCTCTTGAAGATCTTCCCCAACATGATGAGATTCTCAGTCCGTGAGTACAACTAGACCCACCAGCACTCCTCCATTGTCATTCATAGAAGTTGGGAGCCGCCACTTGTTCCAGGTGTGCAGGATAAAGACCCTCGTCCTTTGTTTCTGGTTCCACCAAGGGCCACGAGCAGCGGCAGAAAGCGGCTTGAGGCAGTGGCATTTAGGACGAGAAATGCGTTACGTCGAAAACAACGACTTCTTAATCGACGAAACCAAACGAGAGAGAACAAGAACAATAGCGAAGAAATAAGAGGAGCTCCTTTGCTGGAGAAGGGCCCAGACTTGATTGAGGAAATTTCCTCGTCGGATGACGAAACCGAGCAGGCCTTTGACGTGGATGGGCTGGGAAACATGAAGGGGGGAACTTCGTTACTTGTGTCAGATGATGACGACGACGAACGAAGTACCTCTAGCTCTACCTCCGACAAGGTGGAGCACCTTATTCAAATACGCCAGAAGATACTTCACCAAGTTGGGCAAGGGAGGTCAACATCTCTTCGTAATCATAACAACGCAGGAGCTTTCATCAGAGGTGGCAGCAACTCAGGACAGGACGATAAGAAACTGAAGATGAAGAAACGAGAAACAGAAATCGTGAAGATGCTTGACATTCTTGATGATGCGATTCATCCACATCCTCGATATAGAGTAAGGAGTGTGCAAGAATTTCTTTCACAGAGGACAAAGAAGCACACACCTCATAGTGGGGAACCGAAACCGATTCCTCCGATCGTCGATTTAAAAATAAGCCCCGGCATGCGCATCGTTGATGTTTGGCCGAAGACCGCGACAGGCGCTGTTTTCTTCGAGAAAGTGCCGGCTGCGCGAGACTTTGACATAGACCACGTTCTTGATAAAGACCGCAAGAAATGCGCCACAACCAGTACAAGAACAGCAGGCTGTGCAGTAAGTAGGCTTGAGAGTATCCGTTTGGGCTTTTCGATCATCGAGGAGCATAACCTTCAGGGCACAGGAGCGTCAGCAACAACCGGATTCGGCTTTCAGAACAACCACCAGCCTCCCCAACGGTCATCGATTCCAGTGGTGTTGTACTTATGCTAAGTGAAGAATACAAAGGGTGTAGTAATTTTTCTAGACACGACATTATGCATATGCTGCTTCGAAATGTTCATGTTGATGTTGGACAGACCACCAGCATAGATAAAACTATTATTGAATGACTCCTCCTCTCCCTCTAATACCCGCAAACACACGATCGCAGCTCCTCAGCGCTTTCGGAATACAACAGCTTGTTTTTACGCAATGGGAAATTGAAAGTGTGCTCTACCCTATAGTACAGCAATTGCTAAATCGCTTGCCCTTTATCGACCCGGACAGCGTTCTCAGAATATCTACGCAAGACATTTTGGTCCCACGGCAAACGACACACCGAGCTTTTCCTGTAATGCTTGGTCAGACGCTGGTGAATAGGTTTTGTGATGCGAAGTGGCTGGCTGAGCGGTCTGACTTTGTAACTTGCAAGGTCTTGGGTCTACTTCAAGACTCAGCCGCGGTTCGTCTTGAAAAACAACACGAGAAAGAAGCGACTGGTAACGAGCAAAGTGAGATTGATCAAGTTGGAAGAGAAGAACAATTGGTAGAAAATATTGAGGAAAAGGTCAACAAAGAGAAAGAGCAGGAACACGATTTTTCGAAAAGTATATTTGGGTCGTCTAGCTCTAGTGGAGGAAAGAGAGGGCTGCAAGGGAAAGGACCACAAGGAGATGCTCCTAAGCCGCCAGACACCAGAGCACATACCTCAAACTCAGACGTCTTCAAAGGACAGACTCAGACTACATGGACAGACGATATGCAAGACGACGATGACGAGGAAGAGTTCATAATAGAACTCGAACCTCCTCCTATAGACGCCGGTATTGGTGGAACTAGAAGTGTGTCTTCAATATCTGCAACCGGTTCTAGTACTGCTGTTGACGACGAAAAAATGATATCAACTGGTGCTCTAGATATCTTGACAGAGATGATTAAGCAGCATGAGTGTCTGAGATCAGGGTCAGCAACGACAATAAAGGAGTCTGTACTCAATCCAACACACTGGAAATGGAGTGGGACTCGACTTTTATGGAGTTGAGACGTTGAAGTTGGTTTTTGATCATTTTATACAGCATTGATATTGAAGACCGCTCACGACACGAAGATCTGTATCTGTATTTATAATCTGCTTCAAGAGCATAAGCGTTGTCAATTGTGGCGATGTTCTACTCGTTGTTTTATCCTTGGTTGTCAGGTGATCATGTGCACATCCAGTATTCGAAAAAAGAATAAATGAAGATCCCGATGATCCGTGCGTGATCAGTGAAAACATCGATCATTCGAAACAGAAGTAGATCAAAGAGTCAAAGATCTGTTGTTCCTCGTGATCTGAGACATGAAAACTAACTCATATTCTATTTTCGTTGATGTCACAATCCATCACAATTCCTTTTCAGCTCCAGGTTGAGTAACTAACATTTTGGCTTTTGAATTTTTCCATCTAGTTTTTATCGAATCGAATCATTATCATACGCCCGAGAACGAGAAGATTATGTTTATGTTTTATCTGAATCCAGTTAAAGTTCGTTAAAGTTATATGTAGTACGACCCAGCTAAAATTTATGTCTAGTTGACCACGACCTTGAGAGATTCGTAAAGAAACGAGAAGACCCTATGAATGTTCTGTAAAACCAACGAGATCTGCGACGACCATCTGTAAACGAGAACGACGACCTAAATTCATAGCATTACCATCTAATTCTAACGACCTCAGTGAACGAGTAAGTCTAAAAAGCTTATCTTAAAAAATAACCGTAACTGTATAACGAGAAAGCCCGCAACCACAAGAAGGTCGAGCATATTGTGAGAACCATCAGAGAAGCCCCTTAACCTTATGTACCTAATAAATAGCATTTTAAGTAGCATTCTAGATTAGTAGTCAAATCTTCGACAAAATTGACAAACATCACACAGACGAGAATTCGCTAGTTGCATGATTTCTTCTGCTTGTTTTGTCCCACAACGAACCCCGAAATTGTTTGGATGATTTCGAGATTCTCATTCTCCTAACTAGTTCTAAATGCGACCTTTAAGCGTGAGAGACTTACTTTAATCTTCAAAACTAAAGCGACCCTCAACGACAATAGATAATTCATTTCTACATGTACTGGTAATTACCCGTAGGTACCCTGACAACATAAACATCAACATCCAGCTTCAGTTCTTCTTGTTAGTCATTTTCATCGACCCCTAGCCCTACTAGTTCTAGTTGTATTTTTTCAACAACAAGACAGCGATCATACTTTCATCAAAGCGACATAGATTTAGAATAACGACATGAAAATGCCACGTCAACGACGTCCACACCCTTTGCCTCCAATCAAGGTCGTAACTGAAACACGGACTCAACAGCAGCACGATCCTAGATCTTCTCCCTACGCTATGCTGAACGCATCTCCTACGACAAACGCTTGGTATCGAAGTGAACCACCACCGCAAAGTAGTCACCAAGTAAGTCTAAGTCACCAAGATCATAACAGCCTTCATGGAGTTACATTAGGTCCTCTTGGAGGTCAACAACAACTAGAGCAAGCATCTTCGCTGTCATCAACTACAGCTGTTGACTACAACACTGCTATGTCAACTCTTTCTGCGGGGGCGGGACAAGGGCAAGCACCAGTGCAGGTGATGCACCTGTGCCGGCGGTTGCAAGACGAGCTTCGGCGTGTCCTGGCAGAGCGTGACTCCTTGAAAGATGAGGTGGCACGATTGGAATTTGAGAAGGTACTACTCCTTCCATTGTTTGATGGCGTACTTTTTCCATTGTCGACAGCAGTACAGAGGAAGATGTTGCGTATCTAGAATTCGTTACAACAAGCATTCAGCATTTCTTTTTCTTCATCTTCCGACATTCTCATAATAAATCTTCACTGCATATCTCCGAGTCTCATCTTTAAAAAACCAACACAACAGGACAACATGTTTGCCCTAATGCAGAACGAGGAAGGCAATGGAGCAGCGACAGTAAAACCACTTACCGAGCTAATCCGACAGCAGGAACAAGAGATGGCGCGTTTGCGTAAGGAGAATCAAGCTTTGTCTAAGTCTTTCGAGACGTATATCAAGGCTATTCAGGGATGTTTCTTGCCCTCTCCTCGCGACGCCATGATCAACGCCGCATTGGCCGCTAAGCGCAAGGCTGATAGGACCTTCACAAGAGGCACCAGCAATTATTGTGGCGCATCAAACAGCGACGACACGGATTCTACATCGGCGAAGAGCACAGTCAGTTCCACACCTTCGCCAGCACCGCCAGGTCTAGGTGGAGGAGGAGACGCTTCTGACACCACAAGAGCAGGAGGTAACTGCGGTATTTCGACTGCGTCTGAACCAGGAAATTCATCCAACGAGCAGCAGCTCTATCTGCCACCTTGCCTAGTCGGAGGTGGAACTACTAGCACAGCTGGTGGAGACGAGGACGATGACTCTACGAATTACACGACCTACAATGGCACCCCTAGTCTTAAAAGTAGGGGACGAAAGAGCACGAATATGACAACACTGTCCGACAAGATTAGGGAAGACAACGACCGTTTCGCATCGCTGGTGACCGAAGCACCTGTTGAGAAGATAGTCAAGGAATTGGTACAACATTTTCTACACTCTTTTTTCTGAATCATCTCTGAAATTTTTATGACTCATAATTGATTCTTTCGTAAGTACATAGACATAGAAATGATGTAATGTGATGACCAACGTCCTCCCCCTACCTACTTCTGTAGTAGGTACCAACAGTCCCTCCTCTACAACTAAATCATCCGAGAAGGCCTTTCCAGCTTCTATCGCCGATCTAGATCTACAACTACAATTCAAATTCATTTCTTCTATCTACTTTGTCTCTTCTCGTCAGGTCCAAACTCCTACTAGTTGTACTGCGCTAGAGCAGCAGTCTACACGAGGACGAACTTCCGAAGTTTCCTTGTCGACAGCCTCATTCCGAAGTGGCGGAACGAGTGGAACAGGAACGAGTGGAGCACGTCCTCCTCCACCTCCGCCGACCGCCAAGCCACCAGCGCCGCCGACCGACCTATCAGCAGCGACGCGTAATTTGCCAGCTCCACCTAAGATTCAGCCACCTGGCGTAGAGGCCTTGCAGCAGAATACAAGATTTGCAGCATTAGCGAGTCCGTCAAGACAGCCACAAAATCGAGTTACACCAAGTGCTGGAAGCCAAATGCCATCGTTGGAACCTACCTTCAGCTTTGGGGCACCGCCTCCTCAACTAGGTGGAAGCACTAGTAACGGCACATCATCGACAAACAATATGAGTGGATTGGCAGTACCAAACGTGCCTTATCATAACCTTGCCCATTGTTCACCACGTAGTCAGGGCCATCATTCTCCAAGAGGCGGAGCGTCGTACCACGATCATTCACCTGTCAACAGCAATGGCCCAGTGTCTTATTGGGGTCCGCCGAATCGTCGAGCACCAGAATCCTCTGGTAAAGGAGCACCCATGTCGGTGTCCCCAGTCGTGGCAGCACCTGTAGTTCCTGCATCAGCGACACCATCATCTTCTACCGCTTCAATGCCAGGAGGTGATCAACATCGTGCTGAACTACTCAGAATGTGCGAACGCTATGAGGTCGAGAAGCGTACCGCAGAATGGTTCGCGCAGCCTGAGCATTCCAGGTATTGGGAAGCGCTAGTTCACAAAAGTGTGGAACTCGAGCGACGAAACGATGATGGTTCGATGAGGGTGAAAAACTCATCTGCGTGGTTGACGAAATTCTTCAACGTTTTGCGGACTAATCCCGATGAAGCAAGACCAAGAAAGGGAAGTGGAATGCCAGCTATATTCAATGCTGCTCAGCATGGTGGAAATGGCGATCATTCCGGTATCCCTACAAGTTCTTGTGGAATGTCAAGCGCCATGTATGGAACAACAGGAGATGAACCATAGCTTTAACTTAGTTGCACAGTTGTAAAACGTCGAAGAACTGTCAGGGTTTAATTAGACATAAAGAATACACATTCTTTCACCTAGTATACTCATGATCGTTCTTCTTCCATCTTATGCTCTTACACTCATTCTTGTTTGTTTGTTTTGATGCGCTCCGGGCGACGCGTGCGATCCCGTGTGCTCTGTGTGTGTTGTGCTATGGTCGTCTGCCTCAAAGAACAAAAAGTTATTCAAACATCAACATCTGTCTCAACGTCTATTACCGATTAGTGACTTACACGGTTTTTCTTTTTACATTCATTTTCAAATTGTCCCCGCTATTATTATTATTATTTTCAAATCGTCAGGAAGAACGAATGCGAAAGCATTATACTTAATATCAATCTATCATATCGAACATGTCGTTGTATGGATTATGCGTTGCAGGTCATCTACGATAAAAAGTATAAGATTTACGTTTATCGGGCAGGAACCCCCCATCAACAATCAACTGGAGTAGAAGATTATTTCTCGACTATTGTCATCAGCCGAAGGATTCAGGGACAAGAATAAAGCTAGAATTGCATGTAGAATTCGTTTTATCTATCATTTTTCCAAGTTTCTTTGTACATTTACTACAACACCCTATGATCTTTGCCAAACTAATCTCCCAGCTAGCATGCTCTACCTTTACAACTGAGTACACGGAATGGATTTCTAGAGCAGAAAATATGTAAGTTTTTTCTTCATGTCCAAAAAGTTCAACCTATATGATCGATGGTCGTCAGAAGGGTACAGCATCATAGAAGTTTTCGACCACTTGAACAATAAGTAGCTGGCTCGTCCCTCACCCTCCTTTGTAAGAATTTAGTCCAGCTTTAGAGGAATATGATCGTTTGGTAATCATCATCATCATCATCGTTGCACAGCGAAGACGAGAGCAATGCAAGCAGCTCGTAGCTTCTATTTTAAAATCAATCACAAAAAATGTCATCAATCGTTGGTCTTAGTAAGGAAATCTGAAAAAACTTGGAGTAGCTGGTTCTTTAGAATTTGCAAGTAGTACAAGAAGCAGCTATGATCGTGAAGCGATCATGTCATTCTTGAATTACTTCTAACGACCCCTATCTAGTACCTTCTCGTTACGGAATGATGGTCATTGTAGAGATTGAATGTTTTTGCTCATACACATGAGGCATGAATGAAATTTAGGTGGTTTGTCGTTTATCTAGGAACTTTTTTCTCGTCGGTACGTAGATCCAATGTATTCCCCACTTCTCAGTCAGGGCATTTGCGATGTCTCGTGAGCAAAAACCATGTTGCACAGCTTACTGGGTGTCGCATCAGACGACGAATTCCTTTCGCCCTAAAAAGGTCGGAGAAAAATACAATATCTCTATAGCTCCATCAGTAGGGGGTTCGTTTGGTCGAGCAAGCAAGAACAATACGAAAAAGTAGTGTTCTTCGGTCTACCAGAGGACCAACGGCGGATGAGTGACGGTCGTGCAGTGGTCAGAATCTTTATGTGGTGGTCAGGATCACAGTCAACCAGGTCACAACCTTGTACAACGAATAAAAACAAGGTTCAACAAGATCGAGACCCGATCGTGAAGATCCTCCGAGTCCGACGACGACGAGGTCGAGTGGTCAGTTTGGACAGCAGATTCACCAAGGAGAAAATACTGCATAAGTACTTGAACTTCTTGTAAATGTTGTGCGTGATAGTAGAGGAGTGAAAGCATCGAGCAGGAGCAGGACACACAAGGAGGTGCACTCTGCACAATCTACGTCTAATTCATTGAAGTGTTGAGCTACACATTCACATACACACCATTCCATAAACATCTACAACCTTGAGAACAAGACAACTATCACACGAGATGAAAGGTCCCGTTGGAGGTGGTAAAAGTGCAAATGCTTCAAAGAAGCCGCCCATTCAGAAGCCGCCCATCCGGAAGGGAAAGAGCGAAGCAAGGAAGCAGCAATATTTGCGGTCTTTGTTTTTGGTTGCAGCCATCCCGTTTGCGTTGACGGGATTGATTGTTATGGAGGACGGTGGGTGGATTTTTGTGCCTGTTATCTTCCTGCTAAACCTAAAGTACCCTTGTTGTTCTGCTTCTGAACAACAACAAGGTACTATCTAAGAGACAACTAAGTAGACCTTTTTTTATTCTCATTCTTCTCGTCTAAAATCTCCATTTCCCAATACAACACGATCACGCCGAAATGGTTACGAGCATGGTTCGACAAGAACTTCAACAAGGGTAATAACCCGTGGAAAAAGTCACCTCCTGGTGCGACGGCTGGCGCTGGGAATAGCACTGTTATGGGCGTATATCATGTTCTACAATAAGTGTCTAAGGAATACTATTGTTTCGGCATTCCCTATCCAGTGCCATGTACAAGTACTTTCTAAGTCCTCATCTTCCAGTACGGCGAAAGATGCCGCGTCAGCGAAGGAAACTACGGGACCGAAGTGGAAGCTCGCAAAAAGAGAAGTTCCACTGTCAAAAAGTACTACATTGTCGTCTCTTTTGTTTCTGCCCTACAGATGATGATGAAGATGAAATCGTAAGAATCGTCCTGCAAAACCTTTTTGAGTCTATCTAGACCTTTGGCTTTAGATGACTTGAGTACTCTCGTTTTTACAGAAATTCAACTCACGTTTTTTCGAGATGTTCCTCTGGTATCTACTTATGTATTTTTTCCTCACCCAAACTTGACAGAGATGAACAAGGCAGATGTGCGTAATTTTCGACAATATTGGATGCCTCAGGAGGAGGATTTCTGGGAGTACCTCCTCCAACACCCACGAACCATTGAACAAGGAGTTTTGACTTTTGTTTATGGATGAAAAAGATGGAACATCTGACTTAGACTCATGTTCGTTAGATGTTATCGAGGACATCAAACCGGACAACTAGGACAACTCCAACCTCACTTATATTCAAAATTCCCACCCGAGCCCCACCAAGAAGAAACAAGCAAAAGCCTTCTCTCCTTTCATATTCCTGTCGATTCAATTTCCCACCCCAGGAAGAAACAAGCAAATATAGCCCTTTCTCCTTTCATATTCCCGTTGATTCGGCCTGCTCCTTCTGCAAAGTCCTGTTACGTCATTTGAACGAAAAGCAGCCTCACCAGATCGGAACTACTGTGCCTTCCAGCACCGAATATACCAAGCCGGAAAGAAAAATTCAAAGAACATTGCTGAGTACTTGTTTTATCACGCACCGCGTGCAACAGGATCGACAGGATACAAACCATATCATTTTCAACCCCCTCGTCTTCCTTGCTCTTCTTCGCTTCTCATTATCACGCATCGTCTCCCTCATCACGACCTAGTACCTCTGAATTCTGACACACTACCTCACTCACTCATCACTCCCCTCTCACCACCTACCTCTGAATTCTCACACACTATCTCTGCCTTACTCACTCATCATTCCCCGCTCCCCTCTCAGATGACCAAGTTCCGGTCGTCCTCCTGGACGAAGCTGCAATGTCTCCTGATTTCGGCGACAAATATGGAATTCCGCATATCTCGCCAACGGCTGTGTACTGGACAGTGGAAGAAGTAGAGGAAGAAGTGCTGGTGGAAGAAGATGAGGATGAATTGTTGGTGGACGCCATGAAGAACAACACCCAGGCTGAGAACGGAACATCAACTACTACGCTTGAAGGCCAGACTCACAGTGTTGTTGAGAAAGTGAAAGAAGGAAAGAACAAGAATGATAGTACTTCGTCTTCGGCTGTGATATTTGGTGATGCAGAAGATGCAGCATCGAATGCTAGTGCTACAGCTTCTGCAGCATCGAATGCAAGTGCAGCTACTGCTTCCGAAGAGGACAAAACAACTACAACCGCGACCTCAAGTGAGACTTCCGAACAACATCAGGGGAAAAAGATGAAGAAAAAAATCATCAAAAAACTCGTACCAGTTCCGATCGTCTACGACAGTCGATCCCGGCCTCCACTCTATCGTCAACCAGTGAACCGAGTCATTGATTTCATTAATTCAATCTCTGACGACCGCGATGAACGTTTGATCTGGGCAGCAAGAGCTGAAAAGGAGTTTGGAGGTATGATTGGTCTTCCTTCTCCTTCTTCTCCTTCAAAAAAAGCGAAAGGAGATTCTCCCTTGAAAGAAGAAGAGCAAGTCGTGGATGAAGAGGAAGTGGATACAAATGAAGGAGGAGTCCGAGTTACAGGATTCCAATGGGACGATGAACAACAAGAGAACGCTACAGCACAAACATTCGAGCAGGACACTTCTTCGATCACGACCACCTCAAACTCGACAGAGCAAGAAGAACTTCCAGCATGGAGGATGCCAGTTGTCTACGCTGGCGAGGACAAAGACGAAATTCTTGGAGAGGCAAGACTTACTAATGTTATGAAACAGAGGATGGTTATAATTGTTAGACTTACTAATGTTATGTTGAAAGAGGATGCTTATTGTAACCTGCGTTGGAGGTTGTAATGACGATCCCTGCACCTGCAACTCGAGAAACAGCATCAAACCAATATTACAGACTCTGATATTTGTTTAAAATGTTTTCCTACTGTCCGTAGTTCTTGTACTTCTCTCTCACGTAGTTGTAAGTTGTGATAGACGTCGCACTGACATCATCGACTTCTACACAGCGAACATTTCACATTTCTTCTACTTGTTTCTACAAATAGATCACTTCGAAAAAATTCATCGGATTCTAAGGATAATGGTGCCTCTCGTCTCCAGTTTTTCTTGTCACCGGAGATGGCCGATTTGGTCGAAGACATCACCCTGGAGAGATTCTACGCCTATCAGAGAGTTAATCAGGCCCGCCCGCAACCGCAGGACTCTGACGACATCGACGATTTCGCTTCTGACATTTTGGAGTGGACTGCGTTGTTAAGGGATGTTGCCAGTTGTTCACCGGTTATCTAAAAGCACATAGTTAATAGTTAGTGTATGAACTTCTGCTCTTCAAGGGTGACATGCTTCGACCTGTGCTGTTACCGTCGTGACTTCGGTCTCGATCGCTATCAGGACTAATCTCTACGGGCACTACTAACAGTGTCATCTTCAGGGATCCAAACATACAAGGGGGAAAGGGATAGATATGCGAGCTAGACGGGTCAACTTGCAGCCGCTAACTTTGGGGCAAACCTCTGTGCAGAATCAACGCGTGTTGGGCTTCCGTGATGCTGACGCTTTGCGTATTGACTCGAGGCGTTACATGATGCGCGATTACTCAGTGGATACGCTGAGGGAAGAGTTGAACGTACTTGAACATCGCCTTTCTAGTCAATCTCAAATCCTACATTTTACTTCCTTGTTTTGTACTTTAATCTATATAAGAAATTCTTCAAGACCTCTTTCAACTACTACCACAGTGCTCCGCCAGGCAGCAGATTCCTCCAATGATGGGTGAGAAAACGCTCAAGGACACAGCAACCGAGACGGTGGTTGCACAACAAGAGCTTCCGACGATGACAGCTGAGACTGCACAGGAACCCGAGGCTGCGCCACCTGCAAGTTATTGCAAGAGCTACAACAACATGTGAGAACAAGTGCAATTTGTGCAGGTCTTCGTGAAAAAACTCTTGAAATATTTATCATGGTGGATAACCATAATCTTCTAATAAATTGGCGACGCACAAATTCCTGAAAACCAGCAGCCAACCGAGGAGCAACAAGAGAACCAAGCGCAACAAGTGAACCAAGAGCAACAACAACTCAGCCAAGAACAACTACAACTCAGCCAAGATCAAGAACAACTACAACTCAATCCAGAACTGCTAGATCAAGAACTATCATCTGATGAAGATATGCCACACGAGGACAGTCTCCCTTGGAACCACTACGATCCGTGCCAACCTTACCTTATTAATCGACGTCATGTGCACACTGACTATTAAGGCTACCACAGAGGAAGTCCATCTCCATGATCTCCCTACACCTACACACAGCTACAAAGGGAATAAATATAAAGGAACAAGTCCATCTCGTACATCTGCCTCTCCCCCAAGGAGGTTTCAGTCGTGAGTCTCGTGGTTGAAGCATCATCATCAGTATCATCATCATCAGCATCAGTATTCCTGTTATTTGTGAGAGGAATAGAAGAAGCACTCTTGAGATAAGGACTACTGCTTATCTTCAAGATGGATTTCTTTCCCTGCAGGTTAGAGGGATGTCCGTCTCTGCAAGGTAAATCTTCTAAGAATATCCCCTCGAACGAGAACCAGAGGAAAGAGAGCGAAGAATAAGCATGAACTATCACGGGGGGTCCTTCGAATACCCTGCCCCAGACGAGGACCTGTCTCTTAGTTTTGGGACGAAAAACCAGGCATATGTTATGACTTGACATTGAAACGAAAGTAAAAAGTATGATAAAAACATCGACAAGAAGGAGGAACATCTAGTACTTGTTCGATTTTACTGACATCAATCATCTTAACCTTTCTAACCCCAACTTCCTGATGAGTCGTATGGGCTTGGCACTGGCTCCGTCATTCAGCCGTCTTCACGTGGAGTCGTTGCCGCACCACATTGGTTAAGGCTGCCCCTCCTCAAGCATCTCCTCAATAAATATCATGATCGATCCTTGCTTGGTTCTTCTTTTTCCGCTTGAAAAAACAGCTTCTTGTTCCAAGGATACAACTATTATACTCTCAAAAACAAAGGAAGATGCTTTCGGTGGGGTAGCTCTAAGTTGAAAAAAGCATCGCCGTGCTGATCACAAACTGGCCAGTGTACGACAAACGAGTGTTAATGGCACTCCGTCAGGCGCAACAGAAAATGCAATTTTTGATGCATAGTGTATATCTGGACATCCGTGAAGAGCCCAAGATGCAAAGGGAACGTATTGTTATGGCTGTTAAAAATACTTAGTTGAATGAATGTATGGCTCTGGTATTTGGTAACCTGAATTTGATCCTAAGGGTTCTCTTCTTGTTTTCCTTTAGGATCAAACTCAGGCTACCAAATAGAAACACCAGAACCATTCAATGAAGTTGAAGGATGTTACTATTTTGATCTTCTTGAAGGCTGTTACTATAATTTTCGTGTTATTTGATTCTACTTCAGTACTAGAATCCCCATTCTAACACTCTCGACACACTTGGTTTGTGGTATGACGAGCCCGCTGATTTCTATTCGGATGCTCAGATCACAGAACTTGGAATCCCAAACAGCAGATATGCGACTTTTACTTACGGCTTGACGTGTGAGCAAAGTCGTGAGCAAATAAGACATTCGAGGCGCAGCTTGAAAGAATATTAAAGAGTGCAAGAATTCGTTAGAAAGATAGTACTGAAGATAAGTAGCAATAGAAGTAAGTTGAGTCCGAATTATTGATGCAGAAGCAGATAGATACTTTCTTTGTAACAGATTGATAGAGGGCCACCACGCACCACGGCCACCTTCTTCCTCTTCTAATCGTCCACAGCCCCTGACGACTTAACTGCTGAATGGAATCAGGAGGATCAGAAGATGTTGGAGGAAGTGGAAAAGGAAGCATCGAAATACGGGTCTGAAGAAACTCAAGAGTTAGAAAAAGCAATGTCAGAATTAGACCAGGTGATGAATGGCGTAGAGGTAGCGGGTGTGGATGAGAAATTGAATGCTATCGATCACAGCCAAGAAAAAAATGCTGAAGATGTTGAAACTGCTAATAGTACGAATGCAACTCGTACAATTTCTGTCGGCGAGTTGTTGAACACGACTGCTGGTGCTGGGGACGATGGTGCCACAGCTGAAGAAGGCAAGAACAGCACTGACAATGCTGATGGGACGAATGTGTCTTCTTCTCCCGTCCATGGACCACAAGAGAAGCCGCAGAAGATGACACCTATGCGCCTGATCCTGTACATGTCCAGTCGCATTGGTAATGGACCTCCTTATCCGGAGTACTTCGGCGATTTGACGAACAGTCATGCGATCTTGGATTGGGTCGCGCGCTCGCTGACGGAACCATTGCAGAACCAGATGAAGGAGAAGAAGAACAAACCGAGCAAGAAAGCCGCGAATGTAGTTATGAACAAGAAGAGATTTGAAGAACAATATTAGGTTTGATATTTATATTAGCTGTGTAGAAAGAAATTCTCAAGGGAACGAGAAGTTCTTGTTAAACCATTTTTCTAAAAAAGGCAAGCAATGCAGCGTGCAGGACCCGGATTTCGGTCAGGGCTTCCAGAACCAAGGCACAACAGCAGCACCTGCGGGAAGAAAGAAGTGTGCGGCCAAGGGTCTCTGAGGAGACAAGGGATACAACATAGATTACAACAAGATTCTTGAAGTTTTCCGGTGGTTCCTTTACCACTATAAAAGTCAAAAAGTATCAGTATCTACAAGTGATTCGTATTAGGTTCACGCATACGCCATCATCATGTGAAGAAATCCAAGAATTTTTAGAGATTGAAGGCCGCATCACAAAAGTCACATAGACATTGATATCAAAGAAAAGAATGAACTCCCGCTCCCCCGGGAACTTCCGAGAGGTGAGCTCCGGGTGACTGGTAGGAAACAAGAACTACGGCCGGCCGGGTGGAGCGGAGGCGCACGCGCCACCGGGCTCCCCAAAGGAAGCTGGCGTCTTTTTTCTGTTGTGTATTCTTTCTCTGTCGGGTATTCTTCCTCTGTCGTTGTTTCGGGTGCTGTTTCGGGCCTCTTTTCTATTCCTCTGCGCCACCCGCTCGCAAGGGGTTCAGCGGCCGGCGCGCGTGTCCTCTCTATCCCCGTCCTGGTTGTTTTGGGCTTGTATTCTGCCGCGCTGCGCGCAAGTGGTCCCGCGCGGCAGCGTTGAGCGGCGCGCGCGTCTCTACCCCCCTCGCGATTGTTTCGGGCCTCTATTCCACTGCGCAGCCTGTTGGGTTCCGCGCAGGGTTCAGCGGCGCGCGCGTCTCTTCCCCCGTCGTGGCTGTTGTTGTTGTTGTTGTTGTTGTATCTTTCTGCCTCTGTTGTTGTATCTTTCTGCTACTGGTGCGCTTTGCTCAGCTCTTTTTCGCGCGCTGTGCTTTGTTGTTTCGGTGTGCTGTGCCTGGTTTTTTTGGCGTGGTGTGCTTTGCTTTTTTTCGTGTGTTGCGCTTGCTTCGTTGTTTTCGTGTGTTGTGCTTCGTTTTTGTCATATGTTGTGCTCTGTTTTGTTTGTGTGCTGTGTTCTGTTTTTTTCGTGTGCTGTGCTTTGTTTTTTTCGTGTCCTTCGCTTTGCTTGCGTTTTTTGCTGTGCTGCGGTTTCTGTTTTTGGCCTGAAAAGTTCAGTTTATGTACATATCCTATGCATCAGGCATCTTCATTCCATTTCCATATTCATTAAAATATTTTGGAAAAAAAATTGGTATTGGACCAGCGTCAATACATATCTCTGTCTCTGGTCTGTAATCATACCAAATAAGTTTGATGAGTCATTTTATCCTTTATTTTTTGCTTTCATGTTCATCCACGATAAAAAAGTTTGGAATTATATGCACCCCAGCACTCCATTCATAGTTGCTGTAACTAAGACATAACCCCCCTCCCCCAAGACGAGCAAGACGGCCCATGTACATGATTTTCATTGAACTCATGGTCCTCTCGCTGATGGATGCCCATCTCTGGAGACACGTAGCAACTACAAGAACCCCAAAATGAAGATACGGATAATGTGTCAAAAAGTGTGAACGCGTCTATCTGAAAAATTCTCACGTTGAATTGTGCTTGTCGTGTAAAAGCAACGACGTTCTTTCTGACGGCTCCCCGGAACTTACCAACCACAAAAACGATCCATGCTGTGTTCCATTCTTTCTGAAGACGTGATGTGAAACCAGATCTCTAGAAGTAATCAACTTGTATTGTATAGGAACGTGGATCTGGATCTTCATGAAAGGCTCATGTCACCATCATCTTGTGACTGTCAGGATCGCAACTTCAACAAGATCTCCTTAACCATGGGAAATCGCATAAAATGATCTGTGCAAAGAAAAAGGAAAGATCTTGATGCAAGTGTCAGCTGTCAGAGATCGACAGACGAAAAGACAGAAAGAGTTCTTGGAACTGGAAGTGAGGTCTTTTCGTTCTTTGTTCGATGATTTTCGTCATGCGACGTGATCATCGTTTGTTATAGTCTCTAGCAGGTTGTACTTGTGGTACTAGGTGCATAAGTACTTGTACAACAACTTCGCCTTCGGGGTGTTTTAGTATAATCGTGTGGTCTGCTCCAGCTCCTGTATATGACATAAAATACAGCGTCAAGTCTCAAGACAACTTCTATTCAACATTCACTTACATTTTTTCGACGTAAACTTACTACGACTCTATCAACAAAATGGTGAAAAAAGCTACTGGTTCGGTTAAGCGAGCCCCCGGCTCCTCCAAAAAGCTGAAAGTGACGAAGCAGGGCGAAACGCAACTCCCGAAGGGCACTGTGGTCATCGAAGGCACCGGCGACCGTGGCGACATCCCTGACGATGGCGCTTTCGCCGACCCGACTAAAGCCGTCCTCAGACCCAGAAACGAGGGCGAATCCATCAAGATCAAGGAGACCGTGTTGGCCCGTCGTGACCGCAATCTGAAGGCCAAGGCAGCCAACGCAGCAAAGATCCAGGAAGAGCGCAAGAAGAAAGTACAAAAGCGACTCGCAGACAAGCTTGTCACGCCAGCACGACTGCTGAAGGACTCAGAGGTGCGACGCAAGGATCACTTGAGGTTGAAGCGAGTGCATCGTGCGAAGAAGCAGAAAGTGAACGAAGCAAACGGCAAGATCCTTTTGGTGGTGCGCAACAAGCGAAAAAACCCAACGCCAGCTGTGTTGAAGATATTGAAGAGATTGCAGTTGGAGGTACACCTCACATAAATATACATAGATACACTACATTTTTTCAGAATCGGATGTTGATTCATCCTTTTCCTGTCGTTCTTGTTCAATGATCTGCTAAAATATGAAGAACTCTACTGCGAAGACTTTGCAAACAACTGTTTGCTCAGCACTCTGTCACTGACTTAATTCCGGTCACAATCCCAACACCAGAACCACAATACGGTAACCTTTGTGCCATATGACGAAGCCACATGCTTGGAACTCAAAGTTATCGAGCCATTTGTGTATTGGGGATACCCGAGTATGAAGATAGTAAACGAACTACTTCACAAAAAGGCGACTTTCCGAACCAGCGCCAATGAGAAGGTACTAATGAGAAGATGTTTTTATTTGGATCAAATTTTATTTAGACATCTTCTATGGATGTGCAGCTGCAGTTATCGATTTTTATATTTTTGAGTTCAACATACTAATGCTTAGATGATGCAGTATTTCGATTTCGTGATTTAAATCTTACAATCGCATCTTCTTCAAACATCGCAAACTCCCTTCCGAGGCAATTCAGGTCACCCTCTCCAACAACGCACTCGTTGAAGAACACTTAGGGGATATTGGCGTTCTCTGTGTCGAGGATATTGTGCAAACCATTTATAGACGCCCTTCCGATGCGGATTTTCAGACAGTGATGGCCAGGCTATGGCCCATCGACCTCGGAGATTACACCAAGAAGATCGCAGAGGGCTTTGAACCGGAATTCAAGAAGCTCCACTTCGGCAATGTGTCGAGGAAGGTTAATAAGATTATTGAGGAGGTGTTGTAAGGTGGGGATTGTACATCTGCATAATGGGAAAAGGTTGGGATTGAAGGACGACACCGACACTCTAAATTCACCACACTTATTTTTCCCTGGGAATATAAGCAAGAACGAACCGCATTTTACAGGAGCGTGAACAATTCCTGATGACGTACTGCATCGATTTCAACAAATTGAAAGAGAAATAAAAGCCAAAATTAAGCAGGCATGCGCATGTTGCCACGAGTTTATCATGGTTGAGGGAAGTCATTGTCCCATCGTGTTCGACGAGTGTTTGACTTCTCCAGTAACTGCGTCTGCGTCGGTAGTTCTTGTGCTGGTTCATATGCAGCGTGCGACTAGAAATACTCCCAGGTACAAGTGATCCTGAGTGCATTAGCGTGTGAAAAAGCTCTTCAGTGAGAAGAAGATCTTATACATAGATTCGAAATCATCACTGTTGAGAGGTTGAAAGCGCCGATGAAGAAGCAGAGCTCGAGATTACTTACGCTCAGAAGAGAGTACGTAGGGGTAGAGCAGCGGCAAAGGTCGTATTAAAGGGGGAGGGGAAGTATCCACGACCTTATCCATGTTAATCATTCAACTTCAATCGCGATAAAGCAGTGTATCCTGTGTTTCGACGTGACTTACTTTATTTTAGAGTCATTGACATAGACATTGTATCCTTTCGAAACCGGAAGAACCGACTAGTACCATTAACATTATCAGTGGTTACACTTAATATAGTCCACAAGAATTACCTTCATCATCATCAGTGGTTATACTTTCACTTATAGTTGTTAAGAGAAGAAAAATGGTAATCACGACCGCTACTCTGGCGTCCTCGTCCCCTACAGGCTGTCAGGCATGCGAGATCCCACTGGATACAAATGTTGTCCGCATTACCGATGCCACCTGGAGACCAATGGCGGACATGTTCTTATGGCTTAGGCTTCGACGGTTTTCAACTACACACAGTCACAGATACAATTGGATTGTAATTCTAGCAGCCAGAGGACCGACTTTGTAGCTCCGTCACGCCACAGTGCGTTTTAGTTACAGGACTCAGGACTAAAGTCTCTGCACGTTCTTCTTTGTTTTTGTTTTTCTCTAAGGCTACAGCTAACCGACGGTGCTTATTGGATTGCGGAAGGAACCGTTGTGAACCAGAATCCACCACTGAAGGAAAAACGAAACGTATGATTACGTACTTTGAAATATTTATCAACAACGAGTGCTGGTGCGAAGGAAAAGAACGAGTGGTGCGAAAACAATAGACCCATACAGTAAACAATGTAGCTTTCTTCATCTCGATGTTCATTTACCGCATATCCACCCACTACAGGCCCAGTGTTTCGATGTCATCAAGAACAAAGACGGCAAGTACTATCTAGTCGGCAAAGAGCGTTCTGACGTCGGCGCGCATGTGGCCAGCAACATTTGTGTCTTCCGGAAGGGTGATTTCGCGTTACGCAGTGGCCAACTTTGCACAGTCGTTTCCGTAGGGCACTCTGAGGACCCGCCTTTTCTTTCTTTGCAGATTTTAGGAGAAAACAAGGAAGTCGGAACAGAGCTCAGTCGGTGCGAGAAAGTCACTTACGGACAAGGATTGCAGTGGAAAAGGTGCCTTTATGATGCACTCTTCGAGTAATAGAAGGAAAGACCACCACGCAGGCGCACAACTACGTCAAAAGTTGCTAAATAGTACTATCGCACTTCTTCTCATTATCCACCTCCACCGAAAAATACCCGCCACAACAGGCAAATCGATCGCAACGAGATAAAGAATGAAGGCCTTGCAGTGCCAAGAGCTGGGGGACGTGATCGTGGTCCCGCTGATAGATGGTCCGCGGCTGCTGCATTCTCTTCGGGAACGCGACCGCCTACCGGAAGTCATGTAGCTCAAAAATGATAGGACGATTACTGACAAAATAGAAATTCTGAATTTCCAAACTGCTCTATTTCCTCAGGAATTTGACTAGTAAACAGAACTCGTCCGACACTCGTGGCACATTCAAATTCGTTAGTGATAATGAACACCACTAAACAGAACTCCTCCGACACTCGTGGCACATTTGGCGGCCCAAGATATGGCTACGGCAGCCGCAGATACGACGACTATCGCGGTCGTGATGGCGGTGGATCTTCTTATCGTGGAGGCAGCTCTTTCGGACCCTACGAGGATCAGAGAGGTCCACCTCGTGGATCATCAACCCATAGTAGTGCGCGTGGATCCTACCGGGATCGCAGCTATTACGAGAACTATGGAGGTGGACCACGTGGAAATGGTGGCAGTTCGAGTTACAGCAACAACTATGGCGCGTCAGGAGGGGGAAGCGGGAGGCCGCCACTGTATCCTTCTGACACCAGAGACCGGAACAATTATACTAGAGGATCTTCATCTTCCGACTACAACAATGGAAGGTCTGACCGCTACAGCAACTATTCTTCTAGTGCACGAGGTGGTGGAGGATCATACGATTACAACAGTGTAGTTGCAGGTGGTCGAGGCTCGTCATCTTCCAACAACGACAACTACAACTCGTCTGCGAGTTCCTACAATTACCAGCCACCGGGAAGGAATAGCTCATACTTACCTACAACTACTTCTGGATCGTCATATAATTCCTCATCCTTCCGATCTGCTTTTGGAGGTGGAGGGGAACATCAATCTTCAGGAACAATGCCTTATTCTCGTAGCGACTACTCTTCGCGATACGACACCGAAGACCTCTATTCACGAACACCTGATGGAGGAAAGAAAACAAATGGTGGTGGAGCCGGTGGCCAGAAGAGGGACATCCTTTCCGAACTTTTGATGGGAGGTGGAGGGATGCTTGGAGGTAATGATAATGTGCAGGGTACTAGAAGTTCCACATCGACATCTGGAGGTGGACCAGCGTCTTCAAACGCAGCAGCACAATTCCAGAGGCACGAGGATGAACAAAGAAAAGTTCTCGATCACATCGTCCGCAAGGAAATGATGGGGAATGAGAACTACAAACCTCCAACCTTCACTAGTGCGGATAGTGATCCGTATGGCGGAGGCGGACCACAGGCTGAACAAGGAGCAGCAGCTCCTTGCGACAAGAACAAGCTCGGCATAGATGGCACAGTCACGCAACGAGTCCTGGCTGGTGGAGGACGTCTAGCGATGGACGGAGTTAAAACCCTGACGGGAAAGAGCGTGGAGGTGGCGTCGGTGGCAGCTGGGATTGTTATGCGTCGAGTACATTCCTTTTTTTTGTCTTTGTTTCACGAGTCGGATTATAGTAGGTGTTTGTCTTTGTTTCACGAGTCGGATTATACTAGTTCAAGAACACCTTGTTTAGCTGAAATAATCTATACCCGATCTGTAGCATACATGCAAATCGTATCCTAAACTTTGACTTTCATTCCGAGGCAGTTCCATGAAACACGACCACAAGAGCCAAGTTTGCTTTTGTAAACTTGCACTTCTCTAACCTCCGCGCAGAAGGTCTCAAGCTTGCTGCAGAGCTAGGCGCAGAAGGAATCAAAACAGCAGCTAGTGCAGCAGCTACTGCTAGTGCTGATGGTTTCCGGCAGTTCATGGCTGACTTAGCTGCTCCAGACTCCCCAGACGACATAAAGCATCCGCAGCGACCACTTGGATTGATCTCCAAGGATCCGCCACTTCACAGGATAGGTCTACTAGGGGAAAGTAAAAACGATAACCAAGTGACAGACTCGCAATTCGGCACGCCTCACACGGGTGACAGCAATCTGCCACCAGGTCTGAACACGTTTCACTCTTTCGACGCTTCGCCAGCTGGACCTAGGGATTCTTTCGTCAGCGCGCCAGAGAAACCCCCCCTCAAGGATGATGAAGACCAAGATGTAGTGGATGTCAAAAGAAACATCTTTGCTCAAGAACTCAAAAGTGCTGGAGGAGGTGGTGGAGGTATATCATCTACTAGTACATCTTCTACAACTGCGCAACAAGCAGGTGCCGATGCGGCCAGCACCAAAGCTCCACCTGGCACAGGAGATCAAGGCCCAGCGCAACAAGCAGGTGCCGATGCGGGCAGCACCAAAGCTCCACCTGGCACAGGAGATCAAGGGGCACAAGATTCTCCCGATGAACAGCACGAGTTCACACCAGCTTCCCTCGAGAACCAAGCCTTGGAGAAGGCGATTTCAAAGTTATCGAAGAGTAGGGAATCTTCCAAAGAGAACATTAATGGCAAAAAGACAGCTGATGTTGACATGGACGATCATGCAGCTGGTAGTGGAGCAGGTGCTTCCTCTGGTGCAGGCGGAGACTCCTCAAAGATGTCCGCAGATCCTCGAGGTCGTGCGGTAAATCTGAGTGCTTTGGAGTTGCTTTTTCCGGATTTGGATTCACCACCCACGACAGCTTGCTTTCCACCTGCAGCTAAGACAGCTTCTTCTCTTGCCGGTCCTCCTCCTGACGCCCAAGCCAAAAATATTTCTTCAAGTACTAGTACCACTTTGTCATCAACAACAAAGATGCCATGTCCACCTGTGGTCACAATGTCCTCTGGTGTATTGTCAGAGGTAAAGAACGCAGATGCAGTTGTCCTCCCAGCAGTAGTTTCAGGCAATACTGTTATGAAGATCCAGCAAAGACAGAGTCCAGCACCAAAGTCCGAAGACCGTGGCGGTGGCTTTCGTAAGGTCCGAGCAGCAGACATTCTAGATGTGATGGAGAAGAAGGAGAAAAAATCCCGAGACCCTTCGGTCAGGTCTTCATCCGAGGATGCTAAGCATATTGAACAAATGGGTGTCGTTCTTCGTCCTGGACATGCTCCTGCGCCTAGTCCTCCCTCCCCTCCGTTCGGAGTTGTACCCGAAGATGTTGTGCTTGGCGAGGATGTTCTTCTTGATCAAAAAGTACAAGAAGAAAGGCCAAAAAAAAGTACTTCTAAGTCCTCTGTGTCTGTGGAAGTCGAACAAGAGCAAGTAGCAGAGGTGCAAGAAGAATCTCCGTCAAAGGTGGAGGCGAGGACAAAGATGGAAGTCGACGAAGAAGTGGCACCAGTCTCTAGCACTCATGAAGATGAAGAGGATGCTCCCGTAGCATCTTCGTCTTCTAAGAAGAAAAGCGAAAAGACTACATCTAAGACTACAGCTTCTGCTGCAAAGGAAAAAGCAAGTACTAAGCCAACTTCCAAAACCAAGTCCTCGGTGATGAAAGCTAATAAAACTGTGTCGTCTATTAAGAAAAAATCTGCGCCAGAGAAGTCTCCTACGATAGCAAAAAGCGTGATGAAAAAAGCTGGAGCCTCAGGACCCGCTACTCCTGCACCAAAACCAAAAGCTGCTGCAGCATCTAATCCCGGTACTACGGGTAAAACTCCAGCACGTGCGATGAAAAAAGAGCCGTCTCCTGCGTCTTCACCAGCTGCTGCAGCTAAGAAAAGTGCGATGAAGAAAGACGCACCTCCACCAGCTGTCGCTTCTTCGTCTTCTTCTAGTACTGCTAAAGCAAAAGCAAAGCAAGCACCCAAGACTAGCTCGTCAACGAGTTCTAGCATGAAGAAAGACAAGCAATCAGTAGCAACAACAACGAAGACAGGCAAGCCAAAACAGGTTCCAGCGGCAGCAAAGAAAACTCCTGTAGTTGCTAAAAAAGCACCAGCTGCAAAGACTAAACCGAAAGCCAAAGCCGTCAAGGCGGTGATGAAATCAGCGGAAAAAGCGAAGCCAGCTGCAGCTATGAAAGCTGCTTCGAAAGGACGAAAAAAGTAATGAGCTACACTCTGATACATCAGATCATTTTCTGTTTTTTAGCTGTAGGTCTAACACCAAGACCACTGAGAGGTAAGAAAAACAAATTAAGATTATACCTGAAAACAAAGAACGACGTGTTCTTGTTCTAGAACGTTGTTTGCTCAACGTTTCTTTTGTGACACAGATAGTAGCGCAAAGGTGTAGGAGGTACTCGAAAGTTTTCTTGAGTGTTGTGTAACCACGAACCTCCTTGTGCCTATCTACTTTCAAAGACAAAGTAATGAAATAGAAATGATGTTTCTAGGACGACCCCGACGACGACTCGTTCAGTCGATAGAGATCAAAATCAATCGAAATTCGATAAAAGATTGTACGCCGAGAGTCTAAGATACCTCCGACAAAATCAGTGGTCCAACAATAGTAAATTATGGTTTTCGTTGATGCAAGTTATAGAATTTGAAGAGTCACCAACAACTTCATTTCTAGTGTCTATGTTTCGTCAGAGTGATTGGTGTGAAGCCTGAAGGCATCACCTAATAATCGTTGTAAGCGATAATTGCCCTCTGCAGCCTCTCTTGAAGCTAGTGTCTACCGCTCCCCGTCCCTTGTGGTGGTCGGATCCCGACGCACTGAGACCGCTGTGACCCCGTCATAGGGCAAAATGACGATTGGAAAAGGGCATTGATCGGAGAAAAACTGCGAGAAGGTGCGAGAAAACTGATAGAGATAGAAAAAGTATTGACCGTGAGTCTTGTTGAGGTCGAAGTAGCAACAAGAAAGTGTGTGAGTTTCTTGTCACATCTGGGAAGTTAGAAACATCTGAGAAACTTAACAATATGTCCTCCACTTTTTCGCCTGCACCCGCACCCGGAGGCCGCACAGCTCTCGTGTGCACAGTGTGCTACACAGTCGGACTGCTGTGCTCGATCTCTTTCATCTACAGTTATGCAGCTTTTAAAGGTGACTTGGGAGCCCGATTCGCTTGGGACGAGTACTCGCTTGCTTACGTCTTCACGTTTGCCAATATGGGACAAAACTTCGTCGTCCACATGGGAGCACTCTACGACAAGAAAGGACCTGTGGTCACCTCATTGGTCGCTGCATTGTTCAAATTCGTGGGGAATGGTGGGATGTTCCTCCTGTCGAAGTTGCGCATAGATCAGCCATCACTGTTTGTTATGAGTGTAGGGAGTCCATCTCCAAAGTCATCTGGACAAAGAAAATAAGAAGGCACAGAAATTACTATTGATCAAGACAAGATAAGAAGGAAAAGGGGCCCAGAAGATGACTTGTGAGATGTATTCCCTACTCCTCGAAGCTTGGGCTGTTGTTCTTTTTGGATGCTCAAGCGACCGGAGCAGCCATCATCATGGCCAATATGCAAGCGCAGAAGCTGACGCCACAGAGCTTCAAGGGAGTGGTAATAAAAGATCAAATCTAAGGTCTTCAATGGAACAAATTATAAGTAAAAGAATAAGACTATAAGTAAAAGTCCGTCTTATCTTCAATGGAAATGAAGTTCAGGCTTTGCCTTTAGTCCTAGTAATCTTCAAGAATAGGAACTGAACACCCGCCCGGCTCACAATATCTTCAACATCTCTTCCACTTCGTACAATAGTACACAAATGCACAACATTCATCTGCTCTCCATGCTCCCGCACCTACAGGTAGGCTCCATCTGTGCTGCTGCCTTCGGCTTCGGAGCCACCTTGTGGGTGGCCAATTATGACGGGTATCTAAAGCCAGACATCGATTCCCACTTCCTTCTCAGTGCAGTCGTCTCCAGCGGGTTTCTAGTCTGCTACACGCCGATGCTGGCATTGTTTCAACGGGTCTTTCCATCTGCGGAGACGACCAAGGATGAGCAAATAAAAGTAGCTGAGAAGACCACCAAGGATGAGGCAAAAGTGGATAGGTTAAGGAGCAATAGTCGGGATGTAGTAAGCAGGTGCCATTGCTTTTTCGTAAGAGCGCAGGTTGTTTGCGAATGCCGTCCCAAGTAGATGGTCATGTTTTTAATGAGCATGAGCAGAAACATGAAGTATGCCCCAGGTCGTCACTCGTATAATCTCTAGAATCCTTTCTTCAGAAGGACAAAAGGGATTAATTATACGGCATTCTCAAAATAGAGAAGCTCCTCTATTCTGAAAAACAGTTGTGGCACCATTAATTTATGTCCAAAAGGCGAAAATCACGAACGTCAACGCCAAAACGAAAGTCTTCCTCGGCTGTCAGTGCCTCTTCGTCATCGTCTTCTAGTAAAAGAAAGAGTAGCCAAGGACGAGGAAAGGATAGCGAGAGTACTACTGAGACGACTACTAAGGCTTCCGCTTCCACCGCTGCAGCTTCCGGATCGCAGAAGAACAAGATCTCCATTAGCGAACTTCTCCGCTCCTCCGACTTCATCGCCCTCTTCTGCGCTACGCTTGTCACCTGGAGTGTTTCAACAGTGTACATTGCGCATTTGGCGGGGATGGCAGAAGCCGCCGCAGCCTCAAGTGCGGTGTCCGCACGGATTCGAGGAATCTACCTTTCCTGTTCGACTCTAGGCCGTTTGATAGCCGGACCTTTGGCGGACATTACAGGGAGAATTTGCACCTTGCAATTGTGGATCGCGTTGACGAACATCGTAACATTAAGAAGGAACAACCATTAGTATTTGTAATGTAGTTAAGTAAGAACTTCTCAAGAGAAAGTTAAGAGTAGGTTAAAGTAGGTGCTTTTCTTACCGCTTTTTATGCCTCTCCTAAGGGAGAACGAGAAAGGCATAAAAAGCGGGGTAAGCGAGCACCAACAACCTACCTCTAATAACACTCTTCGCGGCGATAGGAGGTCTGCTGTTTTTCGGACTGTCAGAGATGAGCTTGACGGGCAGCAGCATAGCAGCTGGGCTGGCGTTCGGTGCGATATCGGCGTTGATCTTATGCATGGTCGTGTCAAGAACAAGAATCCAAATCCATGTTTAACGATATCATGAAAAGTAACTACAACTAGCACAAGCACTCAAATTTGAATAGAATTATTTTTAGACATAAGTTGTACAAGGAAAGATGGTGGAAATGGAAATCATGATCCTCGTCGTCCTCTAACTCTACCCCTCCTTTGCCGGCAACTGGCACCAGAAGTGAGCGGAACGGCGTACGCGATTACGAAGGTGGGCTCACTAGTGGTGTCGACGATATGGATAACGCATGCTGGGAGTGTGCTAGAGAAGCTAAAAGCCGACCGAGGACACACACTCACCTGTGTAGGTGACGAGTGTTATCGACCGACCTTGTTGTTTATTGCCGGGACATGTGCACCGTTGACGCTGTATTCGAGCAAGTGGGCTTTGGATAGCATGCGAGGAAAAGCAAGTGGAGGAGGAAGTGCGGGTAATTATAGCAAAAAGAAGAAAGAATAACATCAACGAACATGGTTTAGTGACTTATGAAATAGTGAAAAGAAGAGAGAATAACACGATTAGGTTTAGTACTGGTTTTGTTCACCTCTTGCCATACATCTTGACGACAATTTGATGTCAAAAAACCATACATGTTGACCGCCCAGGAGAAATGATTTCACTTCTAGAGGATGCTGAGACTGAGGACAATCTGCAAGAACCACCTGTTCTTTCGGATTCCCTTTCTTTCGGATTCTCTCAGCGTGTGTTCCTCCTTATTGCAAGAAGTTGGGTCCTCGATGTCGGAGTCCGAATCTTTTTCAAGAGGACGAAGTCGAAGATGGCGTGACTCTTATGATGAGGAGAAAGATCACGACGTACATCTACGTCTACACGTGTTAGTACCAGAGTCACAAGCAGCAGTGAGCTCTACTTTCTGATCAAAATAAGCGATGAAGGGACTCCTGCTTCTCTCGGTTCTGGCGTGGGTGCTGCCATCGCTCGCTATTGGGTTTCGCTTTGGTTCCACATCCACAGACGAACCATTCGACACTCGGAATTCATGCTGGCGATACTACGATAAAACACACGAAGTGTGTGTGGAGCATCCAGGGGACCTGTGTCGGCAGCATTTTTGTGGACCCATATTTCGTGCGACAGGTATTGACCTTGGACTCCTTTTTTTTCTGCACAACCTGGTCTTGAACATAATGGCCCGACCATGATCTCCATCAACCTCCACATTTCTAATCATCTATTATCTCGATCTCCTAAAATCTTCTGCATGATCTACATTACAGAAGTTTTTACGACTAAAGATCTCATCAACAACTAAATCACGACATCAAACCCTCTGATCTTACAGCTGCAAACTGCGGTGGCAAAGATGACAGTGATTGGGGCCGCGAGTGGGCCAGTCTGCAGGCACGGATGAAAGTCGTATGCGGAAACGAGGATCCAAGGCACGCTGGGAAAGATATCGAGGCATCTACGGACGAGAAATACCAGGATTCTCATATGCTGGATAAGCCGTTTGCACCGTGCGAAGGCAGCTAAGAAGAAATGGTGAACCGGATGAATTTGAATACTGTATTTTGTGCACTGACCGCGAGATCAAACAAGCTTACCAACACAGACAGGAATACTCTAAATTTCGTCGTGCAAAGAGGACAAGAATACATTCACAAACATTATAGACGAAGATGTCGAGAAGTAAATGATCTTTCTTTTTTCCAATTTTTCACGCAACATGAAGTTCAAGTTGTAGTACACCATAAAAAGTACACATCATATGTATAGGACATGCAGCACCACATGGATCACTATGCGTGATGCTTAGCATGCACGCTTGAAGATTTTCGTGAAACTGAATTTTGAGTAGAATGACAACATCCTCTGTGGAACTAGAGTCAGCGCTCAGGTCCACTATAAAAAAAAAGCCAAAGCTAGTACTAGCGGAAACTACCATGAGCGAAAGCAGAACAGGAACAGGAAGGCATGAAATTCCACGGACAAGAAGAGCTACGTACCGTGTAGGTATAATACAGAAAGCACCACTAAGAATACTGTGAAGATCGTGATGAAATTTCAATAACTACGTCAGATAAAACTCAAAAGAATGGATGTTTCTGTAAGGCCCCCAGCATATTAAAAGATGTTCCAAAATTTCCTTTCGAAAGTTCGATATTTGTCGAACTTCACCTTCGACGAGAACGAGACTGCGTATACGACTGGTGTGTGGAAGGTTTACGATGGGGTTCGAAAAGCAGACAATTCTAAGTGCTCCATCTTCATCGCCCTCGATGAGCACAAGACTCTCGCGCAGAATGCTGTGCAGGCGCTCAAGACGCTGCGACATCCGTATATTATCAAGGTATTCTACTTGGATAAGATTCCATCGCGTTTTCCCTATCCTATGTTACTAGAAGGACGGTGGGATCTCATGGCATTGGCATCTTTACTGTCGTCGCCTTCCATTGATTATGAACAACACTTCTACCATCAAGATTGTTTCCTGATCACATCACAGGTTCTCGAGGTGGAACCAAAATGCCAAGCAACAGGGCGCGTCTACCTTGTTACGGAGCGCGTGCGACCGTTCGCAGCACGCGATGCTTCAAATAAAAGCGCACACGTTTGGGGCGCGTATCAGATGTGTGCAGCAGTAGCGTTTCTGCACCAAAGCGGTAGAGCGCATCAAAATTTCGATTTAGGATCAGTATTTCAGACGGAATCTGGAGATTGTCGTTTGAGTGGGTTTGAGCTGTGCAGCACCGCAGGAGGCAGCTCGATTGGTAAGAGTAGTATTTTTTGTTTGATGGAAAACTCTGGTTGGAAGAGCAGACATAGCGTTTCAGTTTTCACTAGTCTCGAATACTGAAATCCAGTTCCAATGGAAATACCATAATTTTTGATTTTATCTAGAAAAAATTGAATTTAATTCCAAGAAAAGCATATTTTTATTTAGTCGTCTGTAGTAGGCTACATCTTGCTCAGTCAGACTCAAATTCTACTGAAAATTAGCACTCAACTTGAAGACCTCAATTTGAAATCCAAGAATTTTTGATTTTGTTTAGAAATTATCAAATTCAATCTTCTGTGCGATTACAGCTGAGCACATTCCACTCACATAATTGGATCTGTTCGACTTTGAAAAATCTAGCTCAAATTGAAAATTTCAATTTGAAATCCAATAATTTTCAATTTTATCCAGAAAGAATCAAATTCAATCTGAGAGGAAGCTTATCACAGAGCGCAGTATAGTCAGATTGTAAGATAGGATGAATTTTGAAAATTCTAGCAGAAATTGAAAATTTCAATTTGGAGCAAGAAATTTTGATTTTATTCCAAATAATTCAAAATCGATCTTAATCGACGGCTATTATCCAGTATATCATACATCATGCACATAGAACGGATCGTAGTGTTTGGATTTGAACAGTATACCATTTTCAAGCTGAATTCTAGAAATTCTGATTTTATTCCAAATAATTCAAATTTATATCCAATCAATGTATATCACCACCTCTCCGGTATGTTTCTGGAGTGATATATTTACTTTTTTTTGATGAGTATCGATCCATCGTTACGGTTACCGAATTCCAGCTTCAAGATAAAATTTGTGAACACCAGGTTCTGTGCTCGACAAACGACGAGAAACACCCCAACTTCGTGAAAATTCCTTGCTCAACATCTTCGATATTCGAGAAGGCGGACTCTCGGGCGAGAAACTGGATTTAATCGGCGTGGATGTCTTTTTGAAGCACGTTTTTCGTAGCAGTGGTTTGCCCTCATCCCTCGGCGTGACGCTGCAGGACTTGTTATCGAGGCCAGTAAATAATGCTGCTGTAATTATGAATAGCAGGACCAAGTACTAACCATCAGTAGCAGCATGGTAAAGATAAGACCGGAACCGCCTGACCTTGTACACGTTTCTGGTATCGTTTCGAAGGTAGACCAGTTCGAATCCTATCTGCATGCTGCTACGTACTAAGGACGTAAGAACGTGAATAATCACTACGAGTATACTGTAACACCATGACTGTCCCCCCTTCTAATCCCTAACGCCTAGCAGACTGCTCGTACTTCCAAGAGCATCCTGTCGTCCGGGTAATGAGCTATTTAGAGAACCTGCACATCAAAGAGCCTCACGACAAGGCTGAGTTTTTCGATCGATTACCAGCGGAGTTAGACTTAGTCCGGACTGGCCCAGAAAGAAGTACCCTCTTCCCGCTGATGCTGCCACACTTACTGCAGACGCACCAGCAATTCGAGCAGTTTCGGCCAGCCTTGTTTCCTAGTCTTTTGAAGATCGGGACAGAGTTGGCAGACGATCATGTGAGTCAGGACGATGAGGGCCAGACAGGAACTTCTTCCGCGGATGCTGGAATGAGCAAGACCCTTTCGCAGTCTTCTGGAGGAGGCACCACGACACCCTCTTCCTCTGCGAATGACTCCCTCTTCCGCGAGCAGATAGTCCCTTATCTACTCGACCAATTCAAAGTGCCTGATCGTGCAGTCCGCTACAAGTTACTCCAAGCACTACCACTGTTTCTGCCCAAACTGGATGAAAATACGATCCAAACGAAGATTTTCCCTGACGTGCAGAATGGGTTTTCAGACCAGAACGCATCGATTCGAGAGGCGACAATCAAAGCCATGGTCCTATTGGCTGAGCGGCTAGACAAAGCCTTGGTGCAAGACAAAGTAGCGAAACTACTGCAAGGCCGATTGAGGGATCCAGAGGGGCCGTTGCGGACTAATGCGGTGATCTGCTTCGGAAAGTTGGCCAATCGTATGGCAGGGAGGATAATAATAACTTCATTGACAAATAAGACCCTGATAATGACGGAAACACTACCATAGTTGATCAATCATGGTGCGTTTGCGAGATTATAGCCGCGTAGACTCGGGAATCTAAAATTAGAAGTAGCATCGAGACCAATCATATCAAGTAGGAATCATCTTCACCAATAGAAATACAACTTGAAGAAAAACAAGATGAAGAGAACACGCATTGACCCTATCACACCCCTTCCATATTCGGCTTTCAGGATGCAGCTGGCGTGCTAAAACCCGTTTTTACCAGCATGCTCGCTGATGCTTTCGTGCCTTGTCGAATAGCAACCCTGCAGGCCATTCGCGCGGTAGCAGGCAGCGCAGATGAAATTTTTTATGTGCGGAATTCAATCAGAGTCAGATGATCTAAAAACTACAAGTCTACGTCTGTGTAAGACAAAGGCTATGGCTAATCATCTTAACAAGCATCTAAAAATTCCAATTGGAATTCCAATTTACTTATATCTTTCGGAAAAATAAAGAACACTCACATTGTTCTGGATGAAGCTATTCCCCGTTCATTCTCCCACGTTCCAGGATCTCGCTGGTATCCTCTTACCGTCCGTTTCGCAACGTATAGCGATGGAAAGCGAGCCAACTGTCATCGACACAGGTATCCAAGTGCTGCGGGATCTCACGGGGATATTGGCACAGAAGAGGCAAAAACAACAGGAACAGGAGCCGTCTAGTGGCTTGGATGGCGCTACTATGTCGTCTACTTCTGCGTCGTCAACCTTCAAACATAATCTAGAAAGTAACAAAGGTTCTGCGGAACCTTCATCAGCGGCAAGTTCTTCTTCTTGGGGCACCTGGGCGTTTTCAAAATTAGAGATGATGCAAGGAAGCATGGCCTCTAGCAGCAGTACAGGGGGTGGAGGAAGTACTCCGTCTTCTATACAACATCCGCAAGCATCAATTGGTCCTCCACCTCCAACGGGAACCGGAGCCGGAGCGAAACAGCCGCCACCGCCACCAGATCAGCAGCAGGGTAGAGGAGCATATGGCTTCCAAAGAAATGCGCTATAATATGCATAAATTTTCTGCTTAATATGTGCCCAGTCAGATCATATTTTCTCACTAGGACCGGAAAGAAATGCGTTAATATGCATATTTTCTGCTTAAGCCAAGAGCATATTGTCTCACGAGCACTACCGGAATTTTTGAAGTTGAACTTGAATTTGAATGGATAAGATGTGCTTCTTCACATCTTCTTCACTGAAATGATGGTGATGATGACCTCGTCGACCTCTTCTTCTAACTACAACACATGTCGACAAGCCCACCATCGCCTGCTGCGCAGTCAGCAGCCGTTATGCTGAATGCTTCGATAGGCGCGCGAAATTCTCCGAAAAGCGGCAGTGGCGCAAGTAGCTTTAAAGTCCCGTCACTCGGTGGCCGTGGCGCAAGTCGGAACCCGATTCCAAAGATTAAGGCACTATGTACTGGCTAAGTCTTCATAACGATAACAGTCGTGTTAAGATATAATTATCAGTCTTTGCAGTTGAGGAAGTTGTCGCTGTCCTGCTCGTAAGCAAATGATATATTTTTGCGTTGATTTTATTGAGTGGCCTTGCGCTTGCGAGACTTTCCTTACCCTGGAGAGCTCTAAGAAAAGTATTTTCGACAAGAATCCGCGTTCACCTGCCGGTGCAGGCGGATGGGATGATGACGATGAAGACCTGTTTGCCGAACTTAATGGTGGCGAAAAGAAGGTGGAGTCGAAGCCTCCACACATGCTGTCCATGATGAATACAGAAGGAGGAGGAGGAATGACTACAAGCAGTTCCTCGTCATTCACTCCTTTTGGCAGTTCTGGTTCTGGAACTACAGGAGGTGGAATGAAAATCGGAGGAGCCTCAACGTCCGGTACTAGCACCTTCTCGAATAGCGGGATGAACGCTGGGGGAGGTGGCCCAACTCAACAGCAGCAGTTTTTATTTCCTGCCTTTTCAACCTCAACGGCTTCTGCTTCAACATCAACAACATCGAGTCCGATCAAGCAGTCCCAAGGTGCCACTGAAAAAACGGCTCCTCCCGTAGCTCAGTCTGTGAAATCGCAACCAACAACTGTACGAACAGAGGGACCGATTACTGATTACATCACAGATAACTACATTTTTCAATCGTATTTGCTGATTGATCTAAAAAAATGTAGTTGCGATGCACTCTCTTTGACATTCATCTAGTAGGACTGATATGTCTTGTTCATAGTCTAATATGTCTAGTCCCAGTCAAAAAAAAGAAACATTATCTCATGTTCTTCTTCTAACACTTACACCTGCGCAACAGACTGCGGCGATGTTTGCACCTCTGAAGAGGGAACAGAAAAAGACACCCACGACGGTCCTGGCGGCAAGCGAACTAAAGCAGTCAGCGGAGGATGCCTTCTGGGATGAATTTGAAGATTGACAGTAGTACTCAGTAGACACGACCTTTTTAGTAGAGTGCTGTTGACGGTGATGTTGTTGATGTACTTAGTCTTACATTGTAAGAATCAGAATATTTTTCTTCTGATGTATTGGTTGCTGTTACGTCTCTATACCTTTTTTTTATACAAGAAAGTACTTAGAAGAGCAGCGCAGGCACAGTAATGATGTTGTTGATGATTCCTCGACTTGTTCACGTAAGACAAAGTTTTGAAGATTATCCATTATTCCTTCCTTCTATGTTTTTAGTTTTACTCTTTTTTAGCAAATACTAGTAGATCCACGTATACGAGGCTATATTGATTCGAAAGAGAATCTGTTGCATACGAAGACAGAGAGACAGGGAGAGTGTGCCAGACAAGGAGCTGTAATTGTATGAGAGGAGTTTTTAACTCTGTCGTGTCCGTCTGTCTGTCACACGAGGTGGATTCCCTGCGATCCTATACTATGCTACCTGATATCCTATCCTCCTCTCTTCTGACTTTGATTGTTGCTAGCGGTCTACCTGGAGGACGACTTTGTCTCCTCGTAGTGGATTCAATGACTACAGAATGCTGACTCTCTTACACTGAGAGATGTCAACCACGAATACTAAAGAGAAAAAGTAGAAATGCAGCTAAACCCTGCGGATGGCGGATCACATCCTAATCCTAATCCTAAAGTGTGTAGTCGTACGTACTCCTGTAATACTCAAATAGTGAAGTAATCCTGAAGATCATCATTATTGCTCAATTAATGAAGTAATAAGGATCTCACTGAATCCTCTGATTGAATCCTATGTGGAGGAGCGAGCATATGATTGAGTCCTATGTGGAGGAGCGAGCATATGATTGAATCCTATGTGGAGGAGCGAACATAATTTCATTGAATCCTATCATGTGGAGGGCGCCGAGCAGATCTGCATTTCAACTCTTGTGCCGTCGGTGCACCTGGCATCCCTGACACGATCAAGAAGCTTGAGCTTGATGAGCTTAAACATTTGCTCTCCAATGTCCAAGGAAAAGCAATAGATTCTATGAAGACTACGTGCAGCAAGAAATGTCGATGACCAATTATTCAGTGGAAAGCACCTCCACTGACATTATTGGCGGTCTTTTTGAATCTGATCACCATGCATTGGCGATCCAGAAGCCTTGTTCCAGAAGGTTCTCCATTCTCTTGCTTCGATCTTGACTTACTTCCACTGACACGAAGTTGCAAATGCGCAGCCTCAGTTCTTGTGAAGAACGGATGTTGAATTCTCACAGCTAGTACGATCATAAGTCTAACTGATCATGTGGTCCTCATGATCGTCATAATATTCTACGTGGTATGCATAGTAGAAGAGGAACAAGTTCTCTATCTCTATCTCTATCTATCCTCTCGACCTCCTTGCCTTCACATTCAAAAGAAGATTGATCTAAGACGACAAAATCGGATGCGTCGTACTCATATGATAGATTAGGTGTGCGTCCTAGTCCTTGTACTTCAAAGCTCCTCGCTATGACAGCCTATTGGGTCTCGCACAGACAATAGAAAAGAATGACGCAATTGTGAGGTTGCCATGCTACCATGATTGGGAGAGTGGCGGTAGTGGTTGTTCTGGTTCCGGTCTCCGACGCAGTAGAGCTTTTTCAATCGCATTGAGCATAAGACAGCAGCATCCGCATTGTGTTCCAGTCTCTGAACGCGCATCAGGGATAACTTCGAATGAACGGGAGCGGCCCCTGTGATAATTGCGGTACTCGTCCCAAGTCTTCCATCAACAACGCGCATTCACGAGTACCAGGAGTACAACAAGAATTATAATATAACTTACAGGCTAACACAAGAACATCCTTTTCAAGATGCAGTCCTACGAACATCACTCCTGGGGAGGACCACATGGACACCAGGGTGGACCACATGGACACCAGGGTGGACCACATGGACACCAGGGTGGACCACATGGACACCAGGGTGGACCACATGGACACCAGGGTGGACCACATGGACACCAGGGTGGACCACATGGACACCAGGGTGGACCACATGGACACCAGGGTGGACCACATGGACACCTGGGACAGCACCAATACCCTGGTGGAATGTATAGAGGTGCAGGTGGCGCCATGTCAGGAGGGGCTGAGGCAGCGGCGCTCGCAGCAGCAAAGGAGTTCATAGGGAATGAAGGCGATCCCGATGCTGTTATGAACAACGGACAACTTCTGTTTTGATTGTCTTCAAAATTTTTTATCGATTTTGAAAACATTCGATCGATTTTTGATTCGGTCCGCCTTTTGTACAGCAACGACCTAAACTACAAGTTGTTCTTCGTATCTGTCCTACTCGTGAGCGATTTGATACGTACTATTCGTATACGAAGAATGGAACAAGAAAACAAATACTGATGAAATGTGTCGTCCCGATACACATAGATACTCCTGCGACTTCTAAAAACAAGAACCCAGACCGCAGCCAACGCCCTCAGGGAGATTGGACGCTGCAGATGACAGCGCAAGGAAGCCAGTACTATTGGAATACAAAGACTGGGGAAAGCCGATGGATGATGCCTGAGGAGCTGATGACGCCTTTGCAGCTCAAAATCGCAAAACTGACACCGTGGAGAGCGTACTCTGATGCAAATAAATTTTTATCAACATCAACATAAGCGTGGCTTGATGCTGATCGAAGTATGATCATCATAATTTTCGAGAAACTACAACTTTTATTACATGTTGTCAATCTCATAACTCAGCGCATGCTTTCACTTCCAGAATTCTAAGGCTTACGAGATCATTACTTTACTTACTATCTCAAACTCACATCTCATCAGGATTCCGCTTTGGGGCGACAAGGTATACTACTACAATATGAACACAAGAGTGGCTTGTTGGCGAACACCGGAGGTTGTGGAAAAAATTCAAGAAGGAAAGTTGGATCAGATAAAGGATGACGACGAAGAACGTGAGGAAGATGAAATCTTGACTGAACAAGAAAAACGCACGAAATATTCCTATTTTCTGCGCCACTTGATCACTACGACCTTGGCGGAAGAGGAGATAGGGGACTTAACCTTTCTCAGGGTAGAAGAGGCTATGCCAGAAGATCAGAAAATTGTCGAAAAGCGAATAAGAAGGCAGTGCTTCGTACTTGCTTTGACTTTGGTTTATTACCACCTAGTACTAGTCCTTTAGAACAAGTCGTCAGCGTACTCGTCTAAGGACGACGGACTCTCTCTCTCTCTCTCGCGAAAGAACTCGCATATAATAAGTAATTAGAAACTCTCTCTTTATTCTCAATCTCAAACTCGCATATATTAATTAGAATTTAGAGACTCTACTCTCTTTCTCAATCTCAAACGCTCAGGCCGAGTACCTTTCCGCGATGAAGAAAGAGCGATGGGCGAAGCAGGAACAGGAGAAGAAGGAAGGAATCGCGCTTCTTGAGAAGGAAATGCAGCATTATCTGGAACAAGCAGAACGCGCAGAATTAGCTTCCGGAGTCAATATTGACGAAGTGCAACTCCCTTTCGTCCGATTCGAAACCCTGGACGCAACACAGTTCAAACATTGGGTTATGATCAACAAGAGAAGTTGTGTAATTATATAGCAAAATTATATGCATAGGAAAACTTATATCCGCACGATAGCTTCCATGATCTTGTTCACAATGACTACAACAAGCTAGATGCATGGATACAGTGGTGAAACTAGCTGTATCACGGAATACAAGATGAAGCACTGATGAATCATCCCCTTCTACTAACAACTTGTTCTTCAACACTACAACGAGTTTAGTTTCCCGTAGCTCAACATAACCATGATATAATATCATCACTTTCTTCTAATAGCCGTTGTGTTTCGCAAGTAGAGCATAAGCGCATGTTCTATCGCGTCCTTGCCAAGTTCTTGCAGCGAAGGGAGAAGCGAATGTTGAAACGCCAACAGACCCTGCTTCCCCAGTTTCATGCTTACTTGTGCAATCACGAGAAGATCAACCCAAGCTTGACGTGGGAGGAAGCCTTCGAAATTGTTGGTAAAGACAGGCTGGGCAGGCTCTTCGTGAGCGAGTTAGGCCAAGTCGAGGCCTTGCGAATTTGGAAGACGTTCATTGAGATGGCGGCATTACCCGGGGCGAGAGGCTTACTGCATCCTGCAGTGAGAGAGGACCGACTCGCACGACAAAACTTTTTGCAGTTACTCCGCGAACACGATTTCTTACCGCAGAAGATGATGGAAAGAGAAGCAGGTGTGGGAGCAATTGATGCAACATCTTCTACGAATGCAACAGGTGCAGGTGGAGGTGGAGCAACAGCTTCTTCTTCTAGTAGTTCGTCAACTGGACAAAAATTACAAAAAGACTTCTCTTCTTCTTCTTCCAGTTGGAATGAGGTTCGTAGCGCGGTTCGTAGTTGTCAAAGTGTAGATGAATTACAGCAACATCTGAATATGAGCGGCTCCTCGTCATCTATTGTGATTTCCGACTCCATTCTGGCGGATCCTAGAATAAAAGCGAACGAAGCGATGATAGCAGCGATAGCGGACAAGAGAGCGTCTTCATCCTCAGCATCATCGGATAGCGAAGAGGACTATGTGGTTGTAGCGGATTCAGCAGATGATGAAATCAAGAAGACTTCCGCATCTACTTCCGGATCTTTAGACCAACAAGCGCCATTTTTAGCATTGGAGGATTGCAAATTGGTGGCACGTATGAAAAAGCACATCAAGCACTTACACTCCGCAGAAGCGGCTGAGATCCAGAAGAGGCGGTTGTTTTTTCGTGAAGAAATTCAGCCGAAAATCCAAGACGATGATCGGTATCAAGCACTCCAAAGGCTACACGTCCAGAGGAACACGGTCGCGGCATGTAGTAGCCCAGAGAACATTTACGTCTTCCACGAAGAGCACAAGTGCACCGTCTTGCAATTGACGAAGTTAGCAGCATTACGCGCAAAGCACAAGAGCAAGAACAAAGGCACGACTGGCGCGGGTGAACAGACGAGCGCATTGACCAGAAAAAGGAAAAGTAATCAGGTTGGAGGTACTGGTGCAAGTGCAGCGACTGGTGGTGTGACGCCTTCTTCTGCTACAAATGAAGTCGTGATGGGGACGACTAGTGGTAATGTAGAAGGTGTAGTGAAGACCCCGTCCTCTGCGCAGCAAGGAGCAAATATTAAAGATTCACCTGCTACTTCAGCTATAATTGCAGGACGAGAAGATCTAGTACTTAGAAAGCCCAAAACCGGTGAGGGCGAAGCTACTAGTGGTAAAAATGAAGACAACAATATTACCAGAGGAGGTGCAGCTGGTGTTGATATCGATGACAATGAGGATGATCAAGAAATGCTCCTAGAAGAGGATGAAGACGTAGAGGTAGATGGTGAAAACCTTGGAGGAGTGGACGCAGACTTTACGGCTTTAGCTGGCGCCACGAAGCGTCGGCGCTTCGTGAATAAAACGATGCGAATGACGGAGCTCAAGGGTGAGCGCACAGTGATCGTCAACGCTGGAGCAATTAAGAGCGCTCAGAGGACGACCCCAGTTGTTCTAGAGATGAATGAAGAAACGGGGACAGTGGTCCGTTCCACAAGAGCCCAACATGGTTCACCGGAGCGGTCATCTCAACATCAAAGTCAAACAGGGGTCTCAACATCAAACTCCGGTTCTTTCAGGCGAAAGCGTAGACCTGAAGACGCGGTTAATGAACTGGTTCAGCGTAATGACCCTCTTGCGGCTCTACCCGATTCGTCCATCGGAAACGTTGGAGGCATTTCTATCATCGGCTCGATCAAGCAAGTGCCGAAACGCACGACGAGTCCGTCCCGAGGCCCCGCTGGCACAGCCGGAGCAACGCCTACTGTTAAGACACGACGACTCTTGTTCCTTTCGCTGTTTCTAGTACTTCTTATCGTCAGTTGATAATGATCAGGTTGACGACTTTTTATACAGGTGAAAAACTTTGTCAATGTGAATCGTGTTTGAAGATGATCATGCGTCACTTCATCAAGCTGTCGGATCAATAATAGATATGTTCTTCTAACCATCGCGGCTCCCTCGTTCAAGCACAGCAGGGCGATCTTATCGGACCGCCTCCGTCCGCGGTCAAGGATGCCGACGCTTTGCTGGAGGACTTGGCTTTAGAAGAGCAAGGGAAAAAACAACTTGAGCAAGAATCAGTTGATCGCGCAACCGCGTCCGCTGGTGTACTAGTCGAGTTAACAGATGAAGCCGGTTTGTCAATGGTCGAGCACGCACTAAAATCTCCTAAAGCAGCTGCGACCTCAGCAATGGTTCAAGTAGTCCCTGGTGGTGCTAGACGACGTGGACAGAGCTTGCAACAGTTGCATATTCCACGACCTAACGATATGCCGGACGATGAAGAACTGTCACAGGAAATTGAGCTTCAAGTAGAGGAACTGGCCCCACCTGAGGGACATGTAGAGCAATTCTCACCGAAACAGAAGGCTCAGCATCTACCATCCCTGTCGAAAGCTATGTCAATTCGGCCACCTGGAAGTGTGCGCTCAGGTCCGTTTGGTACTCTTGGTGCGGCTGCAGTAGCTGGCGGCGCAAGTGGCGCTGCGGGAAGTGGTGGTGCGAGAGGTACTATCGATATAATGGCTGTGGTTTGTGTAGAATCTTTGTCTATCAATCTACATCAACAGCATACAACTATTTATGCGTCATCAGCTTTGCGATTCTGCTTCTACCTTTTCTCATCTTCCCATCTTCCACATCCACTTCCTCCTCCAACCACTACCACACCAAATGAACTTGAACAGAACCCGGCGTGGTCGTCAAAAAGGCGAATTACAACGCGTTTTCACCGGAGAAGCAACCCGCCAATTCAGCCGGTGTTGATGAGCAGATGCCTGATTTCCAACTTGGGGAAAATTTAATCGACAACCATGACGAACAAGACCTTGCGGAAGGAGCACACAAAGCTGAAGAGCAAAGTAAAATGAGGAACTAGAACTACATTTTCAGTGAGATGAAGGCATAGGAAGAAAACAAGGGGAAGAGTTGTATTTTCTCTCGTTGAGCAGGTTGAGTCAATCTTCGCTGACAATCCCATTGTCTTAAATTTGCTGAGGCCTCCCATACGCATGCCCATACCTCCTCGCGATGACTATTATTTTCCGATCACTTGCTGATGAGTGATGAACAAGTTCGTCCCACAGAGAAGATTCGCAACACGTTGTACCCGAACGAAGATGGAAAAATTATCGTAACTACGAGAAGAGACGAGTGAACAAACATTTATACACTGGGTAACCGTTGAGAGAAAAAAAGCTACTTCTGAGTTGTTGGAGAAGATGAAAATTATAAAGCGGATAAAAAGGTCATCAAACTCAGAGTCGTTGCACAAGCCCGTTCATTTGCACGAGGACATCATGCGCTACATTTACATGGTTCGTTGGCACCACAACAAGTATCAGAAACAAACGAGAGACTTCATCACCATCTGTCGTTCTTCCCTAAAAAGATAAAGATACTTCTTCATGAATGTCCACTGAGTACCTTGATTCTTCATGAATGTCTAAGGCCTACTTGATTCTTCATGCATGTCGACCACCCGTTCACCAGACGATAGTCTTCCAAATAATGCTTAGTGTTAACAGTTTTATTGCTCTATCTATTTATTCCGTTTCCTTCTACCTAGTACTTAATCACTTAGTTTCAAGTACAAGACCTACAAGTAGGCTAAGGAGAAACAAATTTGATAGAACATTGACAGCATTGCTCGAACCGGAAGAAGTTTCCTATACTGATAGTGAATGTGAATAAGTTGCTTGAAATATAAACTACAAATACAAGAACAGTTCCTCAATCATATTGATACTAGATAAAGCTCTTGTTATTTATAACCTAATTATGCTACTCCAAGAAAATGAGATTCCCGACCTGGCGAGAGGCAAGAACGAGCATGGGAGCGCTCCTCAGTAGTATGAGGGACCAAGTGGGCAAGCAGGCTTGACGATTCCGACACCCACGGCCTCTACTTCGTGACTGAATCTGAACCTAGCAGTACTCCTACTCTAGTGCCACAGGTGATAAATGGAAATCTTCCGTACATGATCAGTTGTATCAAGAAGACCAAGAGAAGAACACATCACCAGCATAGAAAGAGCAACAACTACAACGTCAACGAAAGACGTCATTGCACCATCTACTGCGGAAGTTCTTGTATTTCTGAAGTTATTTTTGCAGTACAAGGGCAAGAATTGCCAATTCCACGAAAAGCCTGTGTGAAAAGGAAAATAATAAACTCCACCGTGTAGTGCCAGACCAGTCCAGAGATCGTGTAGTGCCAGACCAGTCCAGCCATCGTGAAGTCAACTACCGCTACGACTGGCGCTGAACTTCGAGCCATCGTGAAGTCAACTACTTCTACGTACTGGAAGATCCTTCGAACTACAAGTACAGGTGCGACTTCGAACTACAAGTACAACTAGTAGTACCGAGGTGGAAACTCACGAACAAGAACAAGAAAATGTTAGACCCTAGCTCCGGATCGACTGGTATGCGGCGCAGAGGCAGCGCAGAGCCACAGGAGAGTAAGGCAGAGAACGACTCGATCATAAAAAGATTCGACATCTACAACAAAGTCCATGATGACTACAATAACAAAACAAAATCTGGGGGAACGCTGTCTATCGTACTACTACGTTTAAATACAGTTTCAATTTGTAGGAAAAATTTGGAGTAAAAAGCGAAAAATGTTGCAGATCAATGGTCTGACCACGTAGACGTTGAAATAAATGCACTAGATTTATAGTCGAAACGTGAAATCAATTTTGTAACACACTCACACCTTCTTCTATCACCAAGAACTCTACTACCCCAAACTCTACTACCTTCAAATCTACCACCCCCCCACTCTACTCCAATTTTACAGATAACTTATGTTTCAATAGCGTTGTTGGTTTTTGGAGAGCTGCGGTGGTACCTGACAACGACTATAGCGGATCACATTGTGGTGGACACGACTGCAGACGAAAAGTTGCCAATAGGGCTCAACATCACGTTTCCGGATTTGCGCTGTGACGAAGTTAGCGTCGACACAGTGGATTCAAGTGGAGAGAATCAAATAGATATACGAGGTACTTCGTTCGACCCTGATTCTTTTTTGCTTTTCTATCTCAGAGCATAGTAGCATAAATTTCTTCATTCTGTATGTTGGTTGTTTCTCTTTACCATCGCCGTTTGTGCGTTCTGATCGTGTTGATGTACTACTGGATCCAATTATATATCAAAGAACATGTAATATAGATATGTTGCACACAACCTCGATTTACTCAACAAATCTTCGATTTCAGATGGAGGCTTGCAGAAGTACAATATAGGCGTTGACGGCAGACTAGCAGACGACTTCGAAGCACCGGAAGGTATCTGAAAACTTAAACTCTTTCCTTCTTGGCCGTCCGAAAGGATACACTGCTGGAACTGTCTCATCCTGCCGATAGACTAGAAGTACTACCAAGGATGCGAATGAGTGAATGCTTTTACTTCTTGGTCTTGCTCTATACCAGCATTGATTTGATCTTGATCTATACATCATTCATTGGACTCTCCATCCATCATATCCCCTTCCTTGTCCAGGATCGTGCATGTCATGTCTTGCCGCTGCATCATCGGTTCCTGAGGGTCAATGTTGCAACAACTGCCAGCAGCTGAAAGAGGCATACGCGACAGCGGGCATATCGTACTACCGAGCACTGAAGACGGCAGAACAGTGCAAGCAGGTTGTGGGTTGCCTTGTTGACGGGGATGTTTTGGTGTCCAAAGTGGCTGGAAATGTGCACGTTGCCCTGGGAAAGTCCGTCGTTCGTCAGGGAAGACACGTGAAAATATTTCTGACTGAGACTGCTTAAGATGATACCTTAAATATAAACATGTATAATTCGCTTGCAGTTCAAAATATGATCATGTCGAAGGAGGTTCAGAAGATTGAGTGATTATAACTTGCGTACGCGCACGAAGTGTCGGTGTCAAAAAGTAATTTCTTTCTTGTAATAACTATACGAAAAAACACGAAGATGGCATTTGTAGTTGAAGAAAAAACACGAAGATGACATCTTCATCATCCTCATCCAAAAACTCCACAGGTACACGAATTCAACATTCGCGATGTGTCGGAGGGGTTTAACACGTCGCATATCATAAATCGACTGCAGTTTGGTCCTCGATTCGATGGGCTCGTGGATGCACCGTTGGAAGGTAATAGATTTAGGTTCTGTGGTATTGTATAATTCCGAGTCTGCCATAGGCGTTACTCACGCCCGAAGCAGTCGGTCTTTTTAGCTGCCGCTTCTCTACTCGGGTCGCCACGGAACCAGGCAGCTTTCGATGAGTTGCTACGTGGTTCGAATGAATGAATGAATGAAAGAAGATGTTTTTCTTGTCGTCGATAATTCATACCTTGTCAAAAATTTTTCTATGTCAGGGAGTAAGGCTTAAAAACATGTTCGCTTACCGAGAAGAAGCGTCATCATCTTCGGATGAACATGAGGAATACTAAGAGTCTTTCTATTTTCTAATTCCATTTCTACAACCAGGTGTCGCCAAGATAGTCGACCAAGGCGCTTTCATGTTCCATTACTATATCAAATTGATTCCGACGCAGTACCTCGAGGAACGGGACCCGGAAGGAACCAAGCGCTACACACATCAGTACTCATCCACTGAAGCATCCCGCAACGTCCTCGTGAACACGGAACAACTTATGAGAACTAGTTTGTCTACTTTCTTCAAGTTCATGACAGCTACAACATCATTCATTTATAATACATGTGATCATGATGCTATTCCTTTAGAAGCCACTGACCACGATGTCGAGCTATGATGAATCAGATTCTTGATTTTGCCCTTCGGAACTCACAGTCAACTATCGAAATCAATCATGTTCAACATGATTTAATTTCAGAATTCAAAACGCCCTATCGCTATCGTCCTCCTTCATACCGGTAGCCGGTTTGCCTGGTGTTTTCCTCGTGTACGATTTCTCCCCGTTTCTTTTATGGCTTTCAAGAATGAGTGTACAATAGCATACACGCAGATGTTGCTACCTCCGAAGAGAAAAGAACAATCACTTCCTCTCAGTACAACAACAACGGATACTAGCGTCTAGCGTGGGTATCTTAGTAGACTCTTTCTACTCCCAACATTCCTGTAGCTGTACTAGGTCCTCCCACTCCCACTTCCATTCCCATTCTAACCTTCGTCCAGAAAAAAGTCGCTTACACCCCATTTAGTCGGTTTCTGACATCGCTTTGCGTTATTGTTGGTGGGGTCTTCACCATCGCACGCTTCTTGGACAAGGTGTTGTACGCGACCGGTCGCAAATTATCTCAACCGGGAGGAGGCAAACGCAACATGGCTCTGTAGTGAGGAGCCATCTTTTAGTGGATGACTTTAATATAGAGAGAAGTCATGGCTCCTCTGTAGTGAGAAGTCATGGCTCCTGTGTAGTGAGAAGTTAGTGGATGTTGACTTTATTTTTCAGGAGTCATTTTTGCTTGGGGATGGAGGTGGAGTGGGAGTCAGTGGAGGAAGTGTGAGGTGGAGTTGGAGTGGAGGAGGTGGAGATGGGAGGAAGTAGAATTTATCCTTTTGTGGTGGAGACGGAGAGGATGAAGTTTGTAGGCGAGGAGGAATAGGTGGTGGTGCTGGAGGATTCATCCTTTTGAGGTGGTACTAGATGGTTCATTTTTAGTAGACGGAATGGGAGTGCTGCTTCTGAATATGGAAGAGGATTCAGCTTCAGATCCGGCCAAGGGTTTTCTTTCCCTGTACACGTACCTAGTAGCTCTTTTTTTTCATTTTCTTGATGTCTGCGAAGCAAGAAATCAATATTTCGCTATCCTGTACAACTACGACTTGTAGTGGCCCCTGCTGTCGCAGATTATACTGTAGGCCTAGGCTTCTCGAGGGTAGTCGTGTCTGCAAACACAAACTTTTATTTTTCTCATATCTACTTGCAAAACCAATAGTTCTGAAGAAAGTCAAAGCAACATTGACTGATATGTACAATTTTTTATATTTAGGAACGACCTGCATCATAATCTACAATTATCGTTGGGCTACGGGGACTTCGTTTCGTTGAACTCTCAACTTATCAAATAACTGCTCCAATCTAAAATATCGAAGTAGCAGTGTGATCTATCATTATTTTGGCAAATACTATTGTTATTCATCCACGACGTTGGGACTAGGACTATATCAACGTTTGTTAACATTCATTGCAACAGTTATTCAAAATACAACAGAGGTATCTTTTATCGTTGGTAAAAACATTATTAAACTTGTAGTTTGAGGTCATTCCGTGCATGAGGATGACACCCGAAATTAGACGCGAGGCGCTGGATCGAAGCACTACTATGTATACCCTCATAGTGCAGAAATGATCTGTCCTAAGAAAACCCAACGTGTAAATACAGGAGATTAGGTCTTCTGTTAGCATGCATGAAAGGATCATTATAACAACATCACCAGAAGAACAACATTTCCGCCCCTTTATTTGTATTACATCAGTTCGTAATCGTATTCGATCACTAATCTTCAGTAACTATCAAAACCTCTTTGAAATTGAAACATCTTCAATCTAGTACCAGACTGCAAAGTCATCTGCTATCTCCTCGGGTATGAACCACGCAGATTGCAATGGAGCATCACGCGTTACGGAAGATGAAGATCGCCTCAGATTTATTACAACTTCTAGTTGTTTTTCTTAAATTCATTGGTAGCATAATTCTCCTCATCATCGGTATCAACTACAAATTGTATTCAAGCACATCAAATAAAATGTACAAGAAAATAGGCATCTTGCAGCCGCAGTTAATGTATAGGAAATTGTTGTTGATGTTGTTCGTATGGGTCTTAAGCTTGTTATCGTTATCAATTTTTGGATGTAGGAAATTGGGATAGTGTTTTTATGTAGAAGAACAATCGTGATCATCATCACCATCCTCCATCGAACCACAACATCAAACAAAGTCATCAACAAGATGATTTCGAAGAGAGGTCATAGAAGTCACTCAATTCTAAATTTGTGAAGATTTTTGATACAAACATATGTATCGTGATAGTCAGTGATAGAAGCAAACTGGTGATGTAACTTGTGAGTGACAAGAACAACACGCAGAGCAACAGCTAGTTCTGTTTTTGCAGGTCCATATCGTCTATGGTCGGTCATGTCGTTTCTCGTCGGGGCCTCCAATGTATCCATATTCAGTCTTGAAGGACAAGATGAGAGGAGAGACAGCGCGAGAAGATCCGTCGATAGCGATACCAAGCCTGTACTAATATGGAAGGTCCTCGTCCTCGTCGTTTTCTTGTGGGAGGAAAAAACCTCGGTGTACTTGTGCCAAGTTAGAACTTCGCTCTTGGACTCAAAAAAATCCTCCTTCGCACGACACCAACAGCAAATGTCCTAGTATTAGACCCGCAATATGGACAAGACGAATCAGTGACTGTCTTAATCACAAAGCACTAGTATTTTTATAAAACACATACAGATACAGTTACACAGAAGATTCTTGGAGAGAAAATGCCAGGAGTATTTGCAGAGGAATTGCAGCATGTGTGGGCGACGCATCTGCCTTCGAAGGGCTCGATACTCGAGCACGAAGGAATCCTGCCAGGAACTGTCAATCGGTTTGCTAGTCACAACAGTGAGGCAGATCTCGCATCAGCTGCATCGAAAAAACTGCTTACAACGATGTCCAAAACATCTTCGAACTCACTGCTGCACAATCTGACAACGTCATTTTTCTCCCTGCAACCGAGCGCAGTCAGCGGATCTTCGTCAAGCACTAGCAGGACGATAAGAAACTATGTTCCTGGAGTAGGAGGTGGTGGAGTATTTTTGCATCAGCATGGAGCAGGAACGAATCCTTCATTGTCCGTCGGATCTCTTGTTGACGTTCACGCGAAGAAAAGCGGCATTGGGGGGACAGGAGGCTCTTCCAAGAAATCTTGCTTTTTCGCACTTCCTACTGGACAAGATGGAGGAGGAATTGTCGCTCCCGTTGCTTCATTAACTTCACCGAATGAAGGTGGAACCATCGTTCTTGGCGGTACAACATCAACGTCAACGACAGGAACTTCTGCAGCGTCCTCGTTTTTGGCAACTACTTCTAATGCAACAACCAGCACACATCCTATACATCCAGTTCCTGCTACTTCGGCAACCTCCTCGTCTTCAGGTCGACCACGAACTAGCTTCGCTGCAGAGGGTGGCCGATCTGCATCGGAAGTAGCACACCCTGACGAGGAGGAAGAAAGTGTAGTAAAGGCTGACACTCTACTGTCCGATCCTGCTGGTCATCTTCATGGGAGGCATCGATTGGAAAACGACCCTGCTTCTACTCTTCAACATGACGACCAAAAAACTACATCACAACCACATGGAGAACCAGGAGCACAGCAAGATGAAGGAAGTTCCAACCCGAACGGACCTAGCAGTTTCCTGAAGCAAGAGTCGTTGCCCCGTGATGCCGCAATCCGAGTTGACATGCTGAATAACAACAACTCCCAGTACTATGGGGACTTCTTCCTAGGCACGCCACCGCAACCTTTTACGGCAGTGATGGACACGGGCTCAGGCCTAGTGTGGGTTCCAGGTAAGAAGTGTAGTTCTCAAGTCTGTCTGGATCATCACCAATATGATGGGCAGAATAGCAAGACGCGCGGGGATATCCCTGCTGAAGAAGGCGTGACAACCGCGATCCACTACGGGACAGGCTCCGTGCACTATCAGCAGAGCGAGGACACGCTGAGGCTGTGCGACTCGAAATTGAATCCGAATTGCCGTGACGTTGGGAAAAACATACTCACGATACCGAAACAGGCAATGGGTAAATTATACCTAGACTTAGACTAACTTGTTAGACTTTCGAAGATTGCCGTGACGTGCGGAAAAACATACTCACGATACCGAAACAGGCAATGGGTAAATTCCTAGACTTAGAATTTCACTAGCTTAGACTTTTTCTTCAGATTTACTTTTTCTTTCAGATTTCCACGATGTTGTATCAGACGAGCTGCGACCTTATGAATATGATCATGTACATTTTTTCCAAGATTGTTTCTACATCTGTGCATCTTTCCGCATCACCATGAATCATTCATTGATGCTCCGCTCATCACAACATCAATAACTGCACAGGAACAAGCCTCGATCAGACGGATGAACCTTTTAAATGGCTCCCATTCGACGGCATCTTTGGACTCGCTCCCTCCGCTTCTAAGGGTTCAGCGCTTGCATCGATAAAGAAGTCTGGCGCTTTGGCGAACAATTTGATGGGGTACTATTGCTACAAGTTCTTGTAGTACGTCTACTTTAATAATGTTTGTTTAATATTATCGTTTTCGATATCCTAAGTAGCAAAAGAAAAAGCTATAGCAAGCTACTTCCTACCACTTGCTAGCACTCCTCTTACTCCATGTGGATCTCAATCAATTTCTCAATCTATTTCAACAGTTGCTACCTCTCCGAAGACACGCATCGGGTTGGTTCTCTGTCTTTTGGAGGCATAGAGGATCAGTACATTGCGAAAGGGCATCCTCTCTACTGGCACTCGATCACGCACCCTAGGGAGTGGCAGGTCGCCATCCAGGACATCGAAGTCGACGGCGAACTGCAGCATGCTTGCGATAACTACCCGAATGGCGAGTGCACTGCTGTGGTCGACACCGGAAGTTCCTTGGTCACTGGTCCATCGTCGGAAATGGAACCAATATTGGAGAAACTGAGGATAGCTCAGGAAACTGCTGGTGGTTATCATCAGGAGATGGGAGATGATGGCAACAGCATGATGCCTAACACTATTAACAACTCTTCTGAAGGAGCATCGTCTGGAAGCATCCAACAACCTGGTCCGAACTCCTGCGCCAACGTAGACAACGGAAAAATGCCGACAGTCAGTCTTTTGATCAAAGGAAGCGACGGCCTGATTCGGTATCCGCTCACACCACAAGACTACACCTTGGCCAACATCAATGACCAAACGGACCAGCCAGAGTGCGAGCTAGGGTTCGGATCGATGGACGTACCTGGGAAGAAATGGGTCATCGGCGACACTTTTCTGCGGAGATATTTTATGACACCGAACTGCAGCTGTGACTGTTCACAGCTGTGTCCTAGACGTTGTACTAGTATTTTTAGCAGTAGCTCCTGCTGCACGACTAATGGTAAAAACATCATTCAAGATCAAGAGAAATCACCAGTAAAAATATAAGGTGGACATTGGACGACACAGAAACATGATAACCACTTTCTTCTTCTTGTGACTAAAATAAATAGCATTTTTCCTAAAAAAACTATTCAGTGTCGATCGTGATGCTCCTATCATCTCATCCTGCTCTAATCCCCACTCGATCTTTGGGTTTGGGTAGGTACATAGTACGTAGCTGTAGCACTAGCGGTAGAGTCACTCTTCGTCTAATATGTATGAGGTCGAGCACTTCTAACATGTGCATGTATGAGCTACTAATATGTATCGTGAACAATGCGATAATATCTCATCCACCTGCTCTAATCCCTACTCGATCTATGACGACGACCAGCATAGAGTGGGCTTCGTTCGCTCGGTGCATCCGGGCGAAACCAACGCACCTCCAGCAAAACATTTGGCAGTTGGAGCATCCCCTACAGAAAAATTACCACGTGTTGCGGTTGCGGGATTTGCGAACATCGGAGGAGGAGGAGGAGGAGGAGTAGCAACATCAGCAATCGTATATGGTTAAGGCTCAAAATATTTCATTTTCAAGCGTCATTTTCTTCTATTTCCTTCTTGGGAACCTGAAGAAATGACCCGACGAAATGAATTGTTTTGAGCTCTAATATGGTGCTCTTACAAACGGTATCAATCGGATATTTCATCCAGCAGCTGCAAACGATCAGAATAATGACAATGAGGATGAAGACGAGATAAATTCTAATCATCTTCGTAATCGCAGATCTACTCTTACATCTGCTCGGCAACCCTCACAGTCAAGTTCAAGGTGCGGAAGAACACGAGAAATGCGAGAGTTTTTGTAACGATTGAGTCTCTCACTATGGCGCTGAAGATAGCCACTAAGACTAAAACAAATACATCTAATGATAATTATGATTCCTTAATATGTAGCTTTTCATGAGTTTCATCTTTCTCTTTGCAGAACTGTTGAAATTTTGTAGGAGATGAATTTCCAAGAAGATGATTTTCGACTTGATGAATATACTAAGCTGCACACCGTGAGCTTCCTTTCGCACGTTGAGTTCTTTTTCTTGTCGTTTCTGGTACCTAAAAATATCCTCCTGACTCGCTGCGTGACCACTACAACGCCATTGTAGACACGCAAGGGGCATGTGAGCATTACGGATCTACACATGAAGACTAGTAACGACTGAGGCGTCGTATGATCTGGCTCTCTTTTCACGTTTGTTCATTCTCAGTGTTATTCTACTCTCTGTTCTTCAGTGCTGAAGTTTAGGAAAAACTAAGTTGAAATCTCCCAAAAAATAGATTCTTGAATGTGCAGGCGAGAGGCGCCTCGTGCCTTGCGAATGCGAGCGTAAGCCGCGCAAGCGCGTGGCCGGGTGACGATTTGTTCAGCTGCTAGTAGTCGCTCAGCTAGTACTATTCTGAGTTTTTCTCAGTGCTATGTTGAGGCAAATCTTCTTCGTTCTGGTGTAGGTGATCAACCATTCCCTTTTTGTCTTGTTTCTGATCCTGATCATGGACGATGCAAAGAGAAGAACGGCAGCACTTACTTCAAGTTCAAGAACAAAGGGTTCAGGACACTACTGTATTTTGTCGAAATTAATATATTACGAACAAGTGTCGAAGTAGTTGAGCTTGAGGTTAACCTAGAAACTATTCATTTTGATGTGATATTGTTTATAAGTACCGTCCGTGTAGTTGTAGGGTAGCTGCTGCAGTTGTAGGGTAGCTGCGAAGAAGAAACCTTGACCTCAAGAGATACAGAGCATCACTTTTAAAGCATTCACTGAATCAGCAAGATGTCGTCCAACCCCGAAGACGAGCGTTCGAAGGCTCTGATCGCGGATGCCGTCGCTCCCCCGGTCATTCAGATCGCACAGCTGCAGGAAAAACAAGCAGATGTGGAGCTGCGTCAAGTTGACAAGAACTGGCATGATCGTCTGCTCGACCTGTGTTGTGAAACGCCCTCGTTGCTGAGCTACAACGAGTACTGCAAGAAGCTGGCAGCGGAGGGGTACCAGGTTACCCAATCGCAAGTCAAAAATCGCGTTCGGAACTTTCTCAAAAAGGACCTGATCATTCCGAAGGCTGGTGATGCAGGGCCGACTGCAGACACTTCGAGGCCCCTTGATGGTCGCAAAACGGTGCTGACGATTCGTCAACATAAGACGAGTTTGCCGAAGGGCCTCGTGGATTGGTCGAAGCGTGGGGCAGTCCCGGACTTTGCGACAGAATTCGCGCAGTCGGAGAAGGGCAAAAAGTTTCTCCTCTCGCGGTTCGACGACAAAAATCTAGTCTCGGCCGTTATGAACGCGCTTCGGGTCGGTTTCTTTTGTGCGACAGACCAACTACAGACAACCATGAGGCTGTTTGAAATCTCAGACCCGCGCATTTTTAGCTCCATGAGGATGGAGTGTGCGCCGCAGCGCTACGGAAACCTAGGTGCTGCAGTCTACATGTCGAAGCGACGCGAGCGGGCTCCGCCGTTGAAGATCGGCGAGGTTGTAGGATTTTCTGATCTAACAGACACAGAGCGAAGTAAATATGTTCCTGGTTGGCGTGTTAATTCGTACGCGTTAAGAGGTGAGGGCGTGGAACACAGGCACGCACACAGCATGTTCACCAACTCGCCACCTTCCTCTCCCGAGCAGCCGATGGTGCTCTACTACGGAACGAGCCACGTAGCTGTCGGGTTCCGCGACCTCAGCATGTTAGCAACAGCAACATTACTGACACCTGAGTCAGGAGACACGTCAGAGGCGGAAACGGACTGCGATGGAGGCGACGTGAACAACAATAAATGTGAAGAGCCCTTGCGCTTTCTCGGCATCGACTCTTCTGACTACGTTGTCGCACGGACGCTCATAATCAAGCATATGCTACTTTCCGAAAGAGCTACGGCCGAAGACATTTTGGAGGTATGGTATTCTTCAACATGGTCGGAACCAACTCTCAATTCCTTCCGTCGCGCCTTGTCTCGTGCCCTTGACGAGGCAGAGCGATGTAGAGATCTCGGTCCTCTACGGAGATTAACCCAATGGCGTGCCGAGGTTGAGATATTCGCCTGTGCCACCACTCTGCAAGCGAAAGCGAATCATGCGTATCACCACTGGTACGAAACCCAAGTGAAGAGCGACCCTGAGCAAAATACATTCGAGATCGGTAGCTTTTTGGAGGAGTCTGACCGCATTGCTGCCTGCCTCTACACAGCAACGGGCGAAGTCATCGCGAAGAGCCGACAAAATACTAGTACACTGGAGGAGTCCTCTGAGTGGACTAGGAAGTCGAAGTTTGCAAACGTCACGATGCTTTCGAACGACCAGAACGACTGCGCAACAATCTTCGATCTACTCCCGGTGCAGCGTGTCTTGGAATCGAAAGCAAAAAACGGCAATTGTAATATTGTCGACGCCATTGTAGCCTGTTTGCTCGACGATATCCGGATTCTGAAGGACCGGGTGACGTCGAAAAAAGTCGTGATCATGACGCCCCTGCGAGCACAGGTAAGTCTCGAAGACAGCGACGTGCTCAAGTTAAGGACGCTTGTTCCTGTAATTCATCTTAAGAGCAGGCATCTTTGCCACGTTTTCAAGAGGAAAAGGCGTCAAAGATGACCTTCAAGATAGATGAATATATGTGAGGTCTAATCAAATACATTTACTGTATAGCTGGTATTCCACGAACCATGTCCTGGTCGAACGTGGTGGACTACATACGATATTGCTCTCGGGAAAAATAGCCTTTGAAGGCACTGAACGTGAACAAAAAGAGTTGTACCAGACGCAGCACTACGCCTACTCCATGAACTACCAGCATGAAGTCCACGGAATGAACCTTCTCGATTACGACAGCATAGCTCAGCGACGCACAATTTTGCAACAAATTCGCACCGTTACCGGATGTACTAGAAATAACGAAACGAAGACCGAGTACAAGAACAAGACGTCAGCTGCATCTTCGAGCAAGTCGAAGGTCGTGGAACAAGAGGAACATCTGTTGCAGCCCATGGTGGACAGTGGACTTGCCGAGCTCGTGGTCGTGCCCCCGGAGACGAACGTGCACAATTTAAGGGTTCCACAAATTCATCTTATAAGAAGCATCTTACTTTGAAACGGTTTCAAGAGGAACGAAAAGAGGTCAAATAAGATGCGCTTCAAGCTGAATTTAAGGGGACGCGGTCTAAGCAATGTCGTCGAGTACTGCATGGCACGTAAGTACGCGCCGCGCTGGGTCAATTGGTTTTTTGGGAGGGCAAAACAAGCCGCGCTAAGAGACGTGGAGTTGCAACCTGTCGGTGAGCCGACGTTCGTGACGAAAACCGGCCATGCTAACTTCGGTGGATCGTACGGAGTGCCGGTCTATTTTTCCTGGAAGTACCAGAACAAGCAGGTCGATCACAAGTAGAGAAAAAAGGTCTATTTTTCCTGGAAATACCAGGACAAGCAGGTCGATCACGTAAAGTACTAGAGGCAAAGGGGAAGACGTGCCAGAACATACAAGCAGGTCGATCACGAAAAGTACTAGAGGAAAAGCGGAAGGCTGATCAAGGTGATGGAATAGGAATTGTTACACACAAATACTCGACTTCGCTTTCATCAAATACTCGGCTCCGCAGTATCATATTTATACTACAGCATTATGGCTCGAGTAACAGAATACTTTAGCAACAGAATGAAAATCTAATTTTTATATTTGTTTTTAGCTATTTAACTAGCTAGTTAACTAGCAGGTGGCGAGATGAAGAAAATAGTTTCTTGCATTCTAAGGCCAATGAAATTGTTACACACAAATACTCGACTTCGCTTTCATCAAAGCGCTCATTCCAAATGATGCTCCGCAGTATCATTTACAACAGCTTGAGTTTCGTCAAGCTCAGCTGCTCATTCCACCCATACATAACAATCTCGGAGATTATAATCAAAGTTGCCATCGAGATCGACAGCATGTTGTTGACGTACAACTTACCCGTGGCCGTGGGCCCCACAGATTGTCCAGACGCAGACAGCACGACTCCAAAGAAAATAACACAGATTCTTGCCAAGCAACTTTGTAAGGCGCTGCATCGGTCCTAGTTTAGGTGTGTAGAAGAGGCAAGAAGAAAATACGAGCGCAACACATGCACATGGAAATGAATCGTAAGTCATCTTCGGTGTATTCTCATTCTGTAACACAAACACTATTTTTCGGTGTATTTGCGACGGGGACGGACCTAGTGATCTGTAGAGAAGGATCAGCATCGCCATCAGTCGACGTGAAAATTATCGGTGACACCAACAAGAAACAGACTCATCTGCTGTGAAAGTCAATCCCTTCACACCAACAATCCCTTCACACCTCATGACACCTAACCTAGTGCCCTCTTATGCTACATGAATAATAGCTATCACTTCTATATTACAACTTGATTTATTACCTCTTCATGTTCATATTGAATTTGCGCGCAGCGAGCTTAGGAACTCTGCAATATATCAAGTCGGATGAAGTCGAAGATTAGGATTAGAAAAACGAAAATTGGCCTCCAGTGTTGGCTCAAAAACATCGACTAACAACATCATCATCGTTCTTGGCGTAGACACGCATTCTAGAATCTACCTCATATAATCTTGGCCGCGTTGGCATCCCATCCTCAACATAAGTACTTATTCACAACTTGTTTGTCTTTATCACGACTACACAGTCACATCATCAAGATGGCGTCGATGAGTGTAGTCGAAGAACAAAACGAGGCCCTGAAAAGGGAGCTCGCGGAGCTTTCGGACAAGCTCACAGCGCAGCAGAGCTCAGGACAACATCAGTATGACGAAATTTCGCAATTGAAAGCGAAGATCGTCACTCTGCAAAAAACCGTCGATACAGAAATGGCCAAGAAAGAACAGGTTGAAGCCCAGAATATCATCTTGGGCTTGCAGCTCAAGGACTCGCACGATACAGGCATCGGGAAAAACAAACTGAAAAATTATGATGATGATGGCCTTGCGTGGTCGTTTGGGATCGTATATGCAGTATGATGATGATGATGCGCAGCTGAGAAGAACAACTAGTATTCAGTCACCTTATTTTCCTCCGTTAAAAATAGTCTTAGCAAAGCTCCTCACCTTCAATTATCACCTTTACCTCGGGACATATTAATAGGTCTACATCAATATTGTGAATGGTTCCGGTATTTGGTAACCTGAATTTGATCATAAGGGAAAACAAGAAGAGAACCATTAGGATCAAATTCAGGCTACCAAATACCTCTATACGCATTGAGTCTTCTTGTATTTTTCGGACGAATCCATCGGTACTACATCAATATTCTATTGAATCTTCTTGTATTTTTCGGACGAATCAATAGGTACATCAATACTCTATTGAATCTTCTTGTAGACATATGTATGCTCCTCTTGTTACAACCCTTTCTAACATCCACAAGTGAAGCGGCCAGATGAAGAGGGACGTCCAGAAGCTGCGAAAGCTGCTACGAAGATCATACGAACGGTGGACCAGTGGTTGAGACAGAGGGATTTGGAGCAAGCCTTATTGCGTGGAAGTGCCATATCAGATATCGGATTCTCGACGTTGGTACTTCTCTGTCTTTTGGTTTTGTCTAGGATGACATAGAAGATCTTCTTCTTCTTTTCGACGTTGGTACTTACTCTGTCTAGTATGACATAGAAGAAGAAGATCTTCTTTTCGACGTTGGTACTCTGTCTATCACATTTAATGAAGATCTTCTTGTTTTTCTTTACTGTAGTCACTGGGGATTTATTGCGCGAGGAGCACGACACTTCAGCATCAGCCGCTTCTCAACGAAGAAAACAGAAACCTTCCTTCTATTTGTGAGATGTATGTATCAAGTTCGTATCGAGAATCATTCACAAATAACAATCCTACAACCACGGCCGGGCTCAAGTCCTAATCGATTGTGCATCCACCACCCTCTCCCTCTCTACACCAGGCGCAAGTCCTAATCGATTGCCCGTCTTTGCATACGCTGGATTTGTCGAAGAATCAGCTGACCATGGACAGCTGTTCCGATATATGCCAAATCGTCACCACCGCACCAACAATTAGCTACATCTCATTGGAGGCGAATCTGTTTTCTTTAAGGCTAGTCTATCACTGTGGCCTATGCTGTGGCCTATGTTGAGTATGAGTAGAATTTATAAGCTCCCCATGCTTAGAATTTATAGAGAAAGTGAGCGGAAAAGAGGCAACCCACTCAAGGAGGGATAGTGATTGACTGCCTCTAATTTCTCTGCGATCTATCGGCTACTTCATGACGGCAATTATGGAGAGGCAGAACAACAATTCAGTGACGCCTTTAGCCATTTTGCATATGCAGGACAACGATGGAATCATCCAAGCAATCGAGGCAGACATACAACCGACTAGTGCGGACGTACTGACTGAGTAGATCTAGATTCTATTTCTAGGTATAGAGGTGCTGGTTGATAATCCGGATCATATCGATCATCATGTAGATATCATTGTGTCTGTATCTATCATAGAACCAATGCTCAACATTGTATCGATGAATTTTTCCTTCCATTTTTAACTCGTTCTACTTCCAAGTCGGGTCGTCCTTTATCCGAGGAACGTTCCCTAGTTATTTCTATCCAACCCACCAAAACAGCTAAAAGCGTGGCCGAAACTCGCTTCATTGCCTAGTCCGGCTCCGGCAATACTGCTAGCCTTGAGCAAAGCCCTGTGGAAATTCCTTCACGATACTGGTCATCCGCAAGTGAAGAGCACCAAAGTGGAACAGGTAATCACGATACTTCTGGAGTGGGTACTTAGTAGACTTACATATATCTATTCAACATTCACTCACTCATACCAGGATCTTTTGAAACAATTTGAATTTGCATTTTTTGATTCTTACAACAAGCAAGATGCATTTCCATTCGCGTGGTCTCATCTCCGTGTACAAAAACCTCCAGGTAAGATGGAATCGCATGGACCCTCATACGATCAAGAAAATGCAGTCAGCGCTCAGCAAAATTCTGCTAATTAGTGAAGACGATGTCTCAGACAAAAAGAAACCAGGTACTATTTACGATTGCATCAATTTGAAGCGTATGGAACAACTCTACTGGACTTTAATTTTTCCGTCGATGAAGAACATACAATTCTATCCGCACTTCCTCAAAAAATCTAAGAAGCCACATCAAAAGCAAAATCTATATTTCAGCCACATCAAAAGGACAAAAACGGAAGACGAAAGTAAAAGTGTAGACGTGAAAAGGATCATATAACGATAAAGTAATAGTATATAAATAGAACAAGCTAGGCCTAGCACTAGATATAAAGCTTGAGGATAAGACACGGATATAGTTAGTCCTACTTCTCGCGCTGTGCACTAGTTTGGTGAACCGGTACCCTGGAGCGAACTAGTGGGTGCACATAGCGCGAGAACCGAGCACTTCTCTGAGGCACGCACTGGCTTCGGCCGCCATAGATGAGAAGACCTCCAGGGCAGAAGGACGAACGCGCGGCGCCTAAAATAGACGGATCCTAATATAAACGTGGCCACTAGAATTTTATTAGATATTTGGAATACCTGACTTTTTTGATTTTTTGTTTGCTAGTTAGGAGTGCTCCACCGATATATTTCAGCCACCTTAACTGCTGACCAAGCGATATATTTGCCTAGTGACGACGTCCCTATGGAGAAGGATGACACGAAGAAGAAGGATGAAAAAAGTAGTGAAGCGGGCAAGGACTCAGGTGACGAGGGCACGGGTAGAGCCGACTCGAAGCCTACTGGTGGCGCTGCCTCAAGTACGTCAAAGATGGACCTTGGGTCGAAGAGCAAGACATCAGACCATCTAGGATCAAAGTCCTCTACACATAACAAGGCCATTGTTGCGACTGGACGAAGAGATAAGTGCAACACCTTCAACCTGAAACAGATATTGACGAAGAACGGTACTATCGGGATTAGAATAGTGCAGTCTCCTATTAGATTTTCTGATAAGCAACCAACAAGTCTGGAAGAAAAACACATCTAGTTCTATTTGTAGTTGTACTTTTAGAACACAAGAACCTCATCTTGATTCTTGAACGTCGTCATACTTAGAAGTTTCATCTTTCCCCCACCTCGACCATATCTTGAAGGCACAATCCTGATGAACATGTTGGAGAGGATGCTGGACTCAACAGCTATTGACGCCAGAGATATCGAAACTGAGAGGACTTTACTAGAGCATGCGTGCCACACAGGAAATCTAGCACTAGCAAAACTATGCTACAGAAGAGGCGCGAATCTCAACGGAAAGAGCTTGTCAGGCGACATACCCTTCACAATCGCTACGAAGAATAAACGGTACTAGAAGTAGTCGTGGAGTGTCATTCTCTTGATCTTTGTTTAGTTGTGAGAGCTCATGGCATCTGCTTTTTCTAAATCTTCTGACAGGTACGACATCATGGAATTCTTGCATCTCTATGGCGTCAGCGTCAACTCAGCAGATAACAACGGCTGCACGGCTATGCACGTACTGATACCGACTAAGTGTTTTTTTTGTTTGGATGCATGACTAAGCATGCTCTAGTAATCTGATCATCACTTCGAGAAGTTAGAACTATCATGATCAAAGTCAAACTTCACTTGCTGTGAAAACTTGCACCTCTATAGTTAAAGATGCCTTACCCCATGAGTGGGTACATCAAGCAATCAATCAATCAATCAATCAATCAAGGAAGATCCACTCCACCAATCCCCAGGTCGTAATCTGAAGATGGTCAACATTAAGAGAACAGACACAACAAGTCCTTCACGTTCTTCGTTCGAAGCTGTATCTTTAATGTCCGTAGCCACACTGGCCGTAACCACACTTTTAGGTCGCCACCGCCAACAATGATGTGGACGCAGTCTGCCGATTGGTGGAGTGGGGTGCGGATGTCAATCTCCAGGACCGCATCGGACGAACAGCGCTCCATTTCGCAGCAATCGGTGGGCATAGTGAGGTCTGCATGCTGTTGCTGGAACTCTTATGGTCCTGCTTGCAGTAGAAGGAGTAGATCAGAAATGTTGCGATGTACGTAAGTAGTCTAAGAACAACGATTTGTGCTTGAACTTATATGTTGTAGTACTACAAGAACTCTGAATTTATCATTATCTTTCTTTGCAGTCGTCAGTCGACGAAAACGAAAAAACAATGAATTTAGCCTCTTGCATTTCTTTTTCTAACCCCCGCCGCCGACCTAAATGCGCGTGACGCCAAGGAGTACACCGCTGTAGCCCACGCTGAGAACAACGACCACTTCCAGTTGATGGATCGCCTAGTGGCACTAGGCGGAAAGGGTCACGGTCTGCAGAAGGACGCGGCGGGCGACAATTCCAAACCACTGGGCTTCACCAGTGTCACGGCAGGTGAACTGAAGGCGTCTGCCCTAGGCAGACTGGCGAAGTGGAAACTGGATTATAAGGATAACTAAAGTGGAACCCATTGGATCATCACAAGATCTTAGGAGTTCGTCTCAGTGATGAAGGACTTCAAGTAGCTGTTCGAACGATCATGAACACTCTGTTATATGTAGTTGCTCTGCGAATAGCAAGAACAGATAAGAAGATTACAACTATTCATAAAAGTACTACGTATTGGACGATCATTGTCCGTATGAATGTGCTGGTGCTTTCTATCTTCAAGATTCGACCTGTATAGACCTTGTACAGTATTAAAGATCAAGAGCTGAATCATACACCAATCTGACCATTGTTCGCAGCATTAGTAATAAAAGACACACACATTCATATCGTCATACTAGTATCTATCGAAATCCTATCACATATCATAACATGAGCCGCTCGCGCTCCTCTCTCAGCAAGTATACATCTGTATCATGCAACAGTTTTGACCTGATTACGTATTACTTACATAAGATTCATTCTTGTAGTGAAATTTGTGACCTTATCATACATGTTACGTAGTAGAACTTAGCATAGTCGTAGTAAAACGAAATCCGCTTATAGACAAATCAAATATGCCGTAAAAAGGTTTGGATAACGACCGACAATGTAGTGAAGAAAGCATTTGCTATAGCAGTAGAACTAAAGAAAAGAAGCTAGTAGCTCATCGTAGTGAAAAAACTTGCATCAACTCATTCGCAATCGTAGCCATCAGTGCAAAAATTTCGTAACTACAAGTCAATCTCTGCACTGAAGATCCAAGACAAGGGCTTACCACAAGAATTCAAAAGAAAAAAGTAAAAAAACGCCTTCCCTCAGGTCCACCGCGTGGAGGCTTTCAACGGACGTTTACTCATCGAAGTGTCAGCATCTGTCGTTTTTCGATCGACTCGGCAATCAAAGTGGTCATGACCAATTCCAAGTGCAGAATCTGCTGTCAAAATAAAAGCCAAGAATCGTGTCTATCGGTTCATCTGTCAGAGATGAGGGTCGGTCTTAAGCCTTGAATCTTGAATCTTAGTCTTGTCGAGGATGATTCGAAAGTTTGATGTTCCTCTCACGTAGCAAGTAACCCCAACGCAAGCACAAATAGATTTACAGAGCGGTCCTCTCCTTTGACAAAAGTTCTACAAAAACAATCACTCTACTACCTAGTTGTACCTACTACCAGCAATGTGTTGACCTCCGCGATCTGTGAGATTTATCTTAGAAGCAAGCTACTCCCACCACTACTATCGCAACGACCGAACAGCATAATGGTTCCCGGCATCGCTGCTTACACGGACACTCTGTATCAGGAATCCATACAGGATAAGAGTGATCCTATGCTTGGGATGTTAATGCAGAATGTGCGCAATAACCTAGAAAAAGCCTTCGTAGCAGCAAAAGAAGCAGAAAGGCTAGCTTTCCATGTCACAAACTTGGCTGGATTTGTGAAGTGGAAAACGGATCAATGGAAAAGCACGTGGGCGGATGATTAAGGCTACTGCAGCAACAATAAGAGAAGTACTACACTACTTCTTCTAAAGTTTTTGTTTTCCGTGCAAGCTTCCACGACATGTTGTGTGGTGATTATTGACTGGTTCGAGTGGTCGTGCAGGTGCACAAGCACATCCTAACAAAAGAAGTGATCGCTACTTCTAATTTCACGACGCCGAGACGGGAGGTGGAGCCTCATCCGGAAAAGCCTTGCAATATGCTGCCCCAGCACCTTTCAAAGCTTCTGGGATATTCTTGCCTCCGCCTATACCAGCGTCAAGCGTTTGCGCTTATGGAGCAACAACCACAGGCGGAACGACCATTGTTGCCGGGGTGTTGGATTTAGCGTGCCGATGGCGTGAGGGGAGTTGTAGCTTTGAAGGGGACAGAGAACGCGAATATAGGAGAAGGAAAAGGAAACGCAAGGAAGACGTCCTGAAGTTACATCGTTCTCTGCGCGTTTCCGCTAAGGATACTCGTCTACTAGATGACCATGCTCCTCCTTGGTGTAGTGCTTCGTTTTGCTAGTGGAAATGTACGGTTTGAATATTAGTTGCTTGTTACAACTCCCCGTCAAGAAAGTGACGAAGCACTGACTGGTGTTTCGTCCTCGTCGATCGGATTTTATTGAGCTGTATTGCTTAGTTCGGTTCGGGCGATATGGCTATCAAACGCATTGGAATTGGCTCGAGTTTCGGAAATTATACAACGAGCTTCTCTTAGTGTTACTGATTCATTACACACCCGCTCGATGGGCATGATGACTACTCAAGACGTGACTGTAGGGACAATCTCTAGTACTACAGCTCGTCCGTGATCGTGAATCTTTTGTTGTGTTACTCGTTACACTGATATTAGTCATACCATCACGACAAAAAAATGCCTTCGTCCCCTGTCAGCAGTCCTACTTCTCAGGCAAGAAGAACAGCAGCTGTGGGACCACAACCAGGGAAAAACCCAAGTCCTGCAACATCGATACGAGCTCAATTCGCGGGCACTCAGGACTTGATTGCCGCAGCGTGGCGAGCCTTTGAAGGTGATGTGGAGTTTGCCGCAACTAGAGAGGCATTCTTCAGCAAAGACACAGCAGCAGCTCACCTAACATTCAACAGCCGCGTGGCAGCACATGTCGCTAGTACCTTTCATTGTGCGAGATTGTTGTATGGTTGGGAAGCAGAAGAGTCTTCACGGAAAGGTACGTGCAGGAGTAGCGAAGGTGATGAATATGGGAGTTTTAGTTTGTTACCGACGTCTTTTGCATCAGAACAGGGTGGAGCTTCATCTCCTTCTAGTTCGCCAAAAAGAACAGCATCAAGCAGCTCAGCCTCTTCCATGAGTCCCACAAGAACAAAAGGGGTTCCTGCAATAGTCAAGAAAGAATCGTCATCGACACTGCATCTGAGAATCGACGATTCAGCCTATAACTCCGCACCATCGGTGAAATCGAAAGCGGAAGCGAATGACGCAGCACGACCAAGAAATACTGCCGCGCCTCCGCCTTTGCTTTTCAACTACGATTGGGCTGGACAGGAAATGCTTTTTCGTTACGGCTTTGCCCATTTTAGACGGAGAATATGTCGAGCACCTGTGCCAGAAAGGATTTTGAAGCAGGTGGAAGCGGAATTTGACCGCTGCGCAAAGTACTGGCAGAGTAGAGAAGGTGCAGAACTGCTGCACTCAACAGCTACGACTGCAAAGTCGGGAGGGAAAAAGACTTCATCGACAAAAGCATCTTCTTCTTCAGGCGAAAAGGCAGATGAAGAGTCTCCTTCGGTTGTAGAATTTATAGGCAAACTAAGGCAAGTAATTCGCACAATAATGGCAGCACACAAGGTCTTGGAACAGGCAGGATGAGGAAGGATCCTTCGAAAACAGCGATGACCTTCTACTTCTAGAAGTGTCTTTAAATATTGCCACGAAAGCTCGCGATCAGGCGGCGCTTCTGGACGCCTAGGGCAGACCACCTGTTCTACAAACAACATTGTGTTAGATCCGCCTGTTATTTCTAGGTTTGGATCCTGTTTTTTTTTTGCTTGCGAGATCGCGTGACTGTGAAGTGCTGAGGATGTAAAAAAGTAAGCAGAGAAGTTGGTTGCAAATCTGTATTTTGCGAAGATCGTCACTACGAGTGAGACCAGAAAGAAAAAATGTCTTCCTTGTCGTCTTCATCGTCACTCCTTGCAGCGTCTTCGCGACGCACCCTTGCAGCCTCATCTGCCAGACGAGTTCTGGTTCTTTTACCATCACAAGGTGGACAGCATCCACCTCAACGGCGCCTTTTCCACTTCCAGTCAGCAAGAAGAAGATTTGTCGCAGTTTCTACGTCTCCCTCTTCGTCCATGCAGAAGCTTGAAGAGCTAACACAGCAGATTGTGAATGCTAGTGCTGGTGCGTCAAGTTCAAGTAGACCTTCATCAGATGGCAACATGTTGGTCAACATTCCTGCTCAAGAATCTTCACGCGCAACCGGCTCATCTATGATCTTTCCACGGTCTGCAACCAGTACCGAACTGGCGGGCTTTGTGCCTCGCGCACCGCGCGTTAGTGAGAAACCGAAAAAGACGAATTTTACTGCGAAAGTGCTGTTCTTTTTCTTCGCATGTCATGCTTTGCCTGTGGCTTTTGCTATTCGATATTACAGGAAGCGGCGCGACGAAAGATTTGCGAATACGCTTTTAGCACTACCCGACACAGCGGAAGCAGTAGCAATGGAAGCGGCACGTAAAATATTCATAATGAATGGACACCTTAATCTGAAATTCCGTTCATAGTCGCGATTATCCCTATAATTCTTCTTGTGAACGAAAACCACTGTGGTATGAATACACCATTAATTCCAGCAATTCCCTATAAGAGAGCTGAAATTGTCTACGCCACGACAGGTGTCGCCCGATCGAGCACGAATGCTTTCCTACTGACGGCACACGGTATGCAGAGGATCGACTGTGCCGCACCTGAACCGGTTCGGGTTGTGCCAAGATCGTCTTCTGCCGATTATAGTGCAACAGATACAAGAACAACAACAACTAATAGCACGACTAATGAAGAACAAGATCTTCTCGCCTCTATGGTCCCTGAAGACGTCGCTGCGTTATTTTCCCACGTCCCCGACCCAGAACAGCAACGACGACCACTCCGACAGGTGCATTTTGTGTTGGAGAGTAGGGCACAGCTACCAGAAGACAGACGTGCTAGTGTTTTCTACAACAGTGCACTGAGGCATGCGTATGCGACAGTGAAGGGGACGGTGAGCGTAGTGGAGGATCAAGAATTGAAGAGTTACTACACTTATTCGGGACCATTGTCCTTGTCAGTAGGTGGGAAGAAGATCCTTTGCAAGTTCGTACCCGACGAAGTAGAATTAAAGACGTTCAACCAGGAGGAACAATGGCACTCGAGGAGGTTGAAACTGGAGGGAGACGATAAGTGGTGTTTACAGATGCAATAAACTAAAACTTGTTGTAAGTAATGGACCGACATGGACATGATTGAAGAGGACGGCATTTTTGAGGATCGTTTGTAGCATCCCTGTACTAGTATGAGACTCTTCTTATTTCGGTACAGAAATATTAGTTCTAACGCATATTGCTTTATAGTGATATTCTCATGGTTCCCCTAGTGCAGAAAAACATGCACACTTCAAGACCAAGACGAAGCAAGCTTCTGTGAAACAAACAAGGAGTGGACAACTGAGCACTTCAGCGAGGGGCGAGGGAAATTGATTTTTTTGCACATACTTACTCAGATGAAGAGGAGCGAGGACAGAAAAAGTGAACGCAGTGAAATCAGACTGTCTGCACTGAAAATGTGCATGTGTCTGTGCCTCCAAAAACACAATCAACGTGCCGACGCTATTTGTTTCACTGACAATTACACCTAGAAGTTGTTTAACTCGCTCCCATTTTTCTACGACAACAAGAACAACTTAAAGTAGTAAAAAGAGTCACAACATGTCGCTCCTCGGTCCTGCCCTGCGAAGGGCGGCCGCGGCGCCGCGATATAACCCCTTCGGGCTTGGCCTTGGAAGTCAACGATTCTTCGGTTCCGTAGTGCCTAACGCAGGCGCCGCACCGACAACGATCGACCATCGAGCACTAGCCGCCAAAGTAGGTCATGTCCAGAGAAACATCATGATATGGCTTGTTTAGCATCCATTGGCATTCGAAGCGATTAATGATTCTGATTGAAACACCGACTAGGACTCCCACGACAAACTTTCATGTTCATCTTGTTCGTGTTGCAACATTATCTCTTGATGCATGCCTCGTGTAATTACTGAAAGTTTTAGTGACCACCACAACGATCTCTTTGTCTTACCTCCGATAAATACTTCCACCGACCAGAACCTACATTTAGACTTTCCTAGTTTCTGGAAAATGAAGATGACGAACTTCAATGTCTCCAGTATGTTTTCTCTAACCACCGCAGAAGCCCAGCGTTGCATCATCATCGCAGGATTGGCCCATAATCCGAACGTACCTCAATACGATACGCCAATTGGAACACCCAACAACGATATGCGTCGTGTGGGTGAAGTGCCACATGGATATCGCTTATGACGGACGCTCTCTTGTTATTTTTTGAATACTACTAGGTAGTATCTTGTAGAAAAGAATATATACAGGTGCAATTATGACTCAGTATGAATTGTATTGAAAGCGTCGCGGAATCGTCCCATCAAAGACGAAAAGTTTGGGACTCAAAATCGGGTCGTCATGATTGGGAAAGAACGCCCCCACAGCTGCTCATCATGGTCAACAACATTCCTACAAAAATTTCTATTCCACCTGCCTCGTCCCCATTTTCATAATCCCATACGCATTTCGTGAATACTCAGCACACGCGGAACACAACGCAGTACACGAAGAAGTTACTCCCGATCATCTACTTTCACTTCGTCGAAGTGGTGTGGCTTCTCATTATGTACCAGTTTGCGTAAGCGATGACTCGAGAGCAGCAGATGTTTATCTTTGGGCTTGGGGTGCTGGTAATTCAACTTTCTTAAGAAGGACTACACCTACACGGGGGCGTCACTCGTCAACAGACATATTTATAGTGATGAGTGATATATAGGGCACATAGGATGATCAGGTGAAGAAGAATGTCGTCAGAAATATGACTTGCGTTCTTGTTTGACGATGTGCACCTTGTGCCTGCGGTGAATCAGCAACCAAAACTAACAAAATAGTCATCTCTTGCCGAAAAAACGTGCATACAACGTCGTCGACTCTGATTTGTACTAAGATCAGTATCCTACAGTATGTTCCTCAAGCGAAAGATCTAAGTAGTCCAAAGAAAACAGATAAACGGACATTCTCATGATCATGTAGCTTCTGATATTGTCATAGTGGATCCCCATCTGCTTTTCAAACAAAAAAAAGCGCGGTCATGATGATCCACAGAGACAGATCTGCGGCAGGATCAGTTTCCGTGACTCTTTTGTAAAAACGAGCTGCTCCTTCCTTTTTGATGATCATCATCAGGCTGTTGTGCAGGTTTCATCATGATCGTCAACATGGAGTAAGTTGTATTAAAGATGTCCTTCCTTTTTCAAAACTAGCCATAGATTTACGGAGAGACAAAAATCATGAAGCACTCCACGAGGACTCCCAACGACCCTCCGCCAGTCCAACGCGAGACGTGGCTAGGGTATGTGGGAGAAGCTTTGTTTGACAATTTCGAAAAGCAGATACCACAGGAACGCCTATCCTTTGTCGCCTATGATCTCGATTTGTACACTTCACGTATTGGAGGAATACCTGAATGGTTCCAAGAGTGTTTGCCAAGGGTTGATAGTGACGGGACGAAACCTAGTTGTATCGACGACTTCAATGCGGTCGCGGTCGTAGGAGGAGCAGGAGCGTTATCTTCCACAGGAGCTTTGAACAAAGAGCTACCACCTGTTTTGGAGGAAGAAGCTGTTTTGGAGGAAGAAGCTGTTCTGGAAGAGGAAGGCAACGAGAAAGAGGAGGCTGAATCTTGGTCAAAGGTTGGAGGAGGTCAGCAAGATCGCGCTAGTCTGGACCTCAAGAAGCAAGCCTGCAAGAAGCAAGCAGCCTCAAGCTCACAGGAGCGGCCTTTGCCTTTAGAGAAGCCTTGGAATTTGTGTCTTAGTTGTGGCAAGTCTTTGACCTTTGTGTGCCAACTCTATTGTCCTCTGGAGGAATCCGATGCGGCGCCTCACCGTCTATTGCATCTTTTCGGATGTAATAATGGGTGCGCGGCGATACCTAGGGGATGGCGAGTGTTTCGGAGTAAGCTGAAAACACCTAGACCACCTACGCCAGTTGTCATTCCATCCTCTGGTGGCAGCGCGGCCGATCAGGTTTCTTCACAGGAGGAGACGGCACTCCTGACTGCCATAGCAGAAGAAGTCACAGCAGTTGTCCCGGAGCAATTGCATGAAGAGAAACAAGAAGACCTTGATGAAGAGGACGATTGGACTTTGGGTGGCGGTGAGGACGGCTTCAAGATGGACAGCTTTGACGCCTTTTTATCAGCGAAAGAGACTTCATCTACTGCAAATCATGGAGGAACATCAGATCCATTGTTCAGCTTCGGCTCTACTACCGTCTTTGGCATGTCCAGTTCCAGCAGCTCGATTGGTACCACCACCGCGTCCCTAAGAGACGCGTTAGCACCGGCTTCAGCATGCGTTCCTGGTATCGAGCTAGGACGATCATGGCCTTGCTTTCACCTGCCGATGGCGCCGGAACCGACTCAGAAAAGCCGCCTCTTAAAAAGCGAACTGGAACGGGCAGAAGTGTTATTGAAAAAGTACTTGCAAGACGAGCAAAAAGAACAAGAAGTGGAGGAACAAGGACAAAGGCAAAGCGCCAGTTCCTCCTCGTCCGCTCTGCCTGGTGCGCAAGAACAAGGGCAAAGTCCAGCAGAAGAGCAGCAATCTAGCGAGCAAGTAAGAGCGCTTTTACTAGAGTCGAGTAAGAAGAAACTCCGAGATGAAGAGGATGACGACGAAGAAGACGACCATTTGCTAGATGGCAAGCCAGTACTGGATGCAGAGGAGGAGGATCTAGACACCGTATGTGGCGAATTTGCAAAGTTTCAACGTCGTGTGCAACTCTCTCCTGAACAGATTCTGAGGTATCGCTTCGGTGACAACAAGTACCTGAGAGTTTTCAGCTCAAAGAATGCTACGTCCGCGCCAACAAGACATAATTGCCACAAGACGACCAAGAATTCGCCCAACAGCCGCTCTCCTACATCCAGTTCCACTACTCGTCCCTGCCCAAGCTGTGGTGGACCTCGTGTCTTTGAGTTTTCTCTGTTGCCGACTTTTCTCTACCAAATCGCCAAAAAGTGTCCTCGAACATTACATGCGATCAAAAAGCAAGCGCAAGGTGCTGCTTCAAGATCCTCTAGAAGTAGACACGAGGAAGACATGGATTTTGGAGCAGTGCATGTTTTCACATGTGCCAATGACTGTGACGCGGCTTTTGCCAGTCCAGTGGAGGAGGCGGTTGACGTCGAGGAAGCTATATAGGCAACACGAACACAGACGTGGCTGTCATGCAAAGTAGTCTCCTACACACCCATGGATGATCACGACAACGTGACATTTTTTACATTATACAAATTCCCAACACACTCGGCCACAGCCACACTAGCGTCAAAATTACATACATCATCACGTTAGTTCGCTGTGACTCGCAAAATAAATGCGAATGTGTTTGACGAATTTGCTGTGTTCTCTGAAAGGAAGTGTCTCGTCTGTGTCTGTCTGTCTGCCTGTGGTCTGTCTCGTCTCGTCTTGATGGACGTCTAAGCGGATCCATCGGCAACAAGCGTCAGATCTTCGCGTTCTCGACAGACTTCCTGTATAGTGTTGTCGGTCCACGCCACAAAATTGTCGCTGAGTAAGTAACAGTCTGCTCAGATAATGACTTACAAGACGAGGATACTAGTACGTTCATCGGTGCAGATCCTTACCAGCAACAAAGTGTAAAGCCAATCGGTGACCGTCTGCAAGATGAACTTGTAGAGACAAGAATCGATGATCGTGATCTTCGCATTCTTGCTACTATTCGGTTCCTAATCGGTCTGTGATAGACGAGATGAACGCGCTGCACAGGAGAACTTCTACTCATCTCCCTGCCGACCGCTCGTCTCTCTTTCTCTCTCACGTATATTTAGGATTGCTTATGTTGGCTATGGTACCTTTACAACGACATAGACTAACGAAGTACAGGAAAGAGCTATTTAGCACGATTATATGCATTTGATGCGTTCTTCTTTCGATCGGGCTAAAGATGCTACACTAAATGAAAACAACATTACCTCCCACAACCCACTCCTCATCGTAGTCACCAGGTGAAAGGTGATGTCGCAATGACAGGTAGTGAAGACGAAAGTAGGTAACTGAATCTACTGAACACGTTTATTTTGATAAACTATCAAGTTTCTAATTTCGTCTGGGTGTAATATTGTTATAAAATCGGTGATATACTCGCTATGAGCAGGACTTCTTGTTGTATCCCACAATTATTGGAACACTCAATGAAGCAAATGAGAAATATCCATGAACTTGATGTAAATGCTAGTCTAATTTAATGACAACTATGTTAATGTGTGGCACCACCGGTGCGGTAAATGGAAATGCAAAATAAGAGAACTGATTTTTTTGTTTCAGCACCGATCACTCATCAGAAATATACGATAGCTTTCACCCAATCCCCATTAAACCAATCTCTTGTTGAATTGTTATCATGCCAAATCCCCATAATGACCTCCATTTTTACTTTTGAATTTTGAACATTTCACTTTTTCCTCCTCCGACCGTCCGATCTCGTTCACGTTCACGTTCACGCTCTCTCTCAACAACGATATGAGACAACAATGATATTGTACGACGAAGATTGGTTCTTCCCTCTGCTTTTTAAGACAGAGGGCAGTGTCGGACTCAGATCTTGTTGGTACGCCTTCCCTTCCGCAATCTTCGGAGTCCTTCTGCTCATAGCGGAGGACAACATCAAAGATTTCAGAACGGATTATCTAGGCATTGATGACGACCAAGTCGGCAGCACGCAAATATGGGCTGCTACTACAAGTATTGTTGCTATTTTTCTGTCTCTCTAACAAACTCTATGTCTCTGTGGCAAGGCTAATCCTTGTGGTCCTTGATTAATCGCATCAATCTGCTTTAGTCCGTCCGCACACTATTTCATCTCTTCTGCCTGCTCTTGTTATTTCGCTCCTTGATATACCTCCGTCTGTCTGTCTCTCGGAACAAAAAAAAACAACCCACAATAAACAACACAGGCACCCTCGCGCTGTTGATGAGTTTTCGGACGTCGAGAGGGATAGCAAGATTTTGGGAAGGGACTGGTCTCATGCATCAGATGCGAGGTGAATGGTTTGACACGGTGTCCAACTGCGTCTCGTTCTCTATCCAAGCAAAGCGCCAGGATCCAGATGGCAAATCCCACAAAGTCCAGAAATTCCGACATACCCTTATTCTTATGATAGGGAAGTACTAGTACTAGTAGAAGATGCAACACATTAGAATTGTGCTCATCACGTGCTACTAGTAGTACTAGAAGAACTAGATCTAGACAAAGACAAATTATAGGACAAATCTTGAAGTTATATTTATTCCAGACACGACCTTAGGAAATGAAGCAACACATTAGAAGTGTCCTCATCACGTGCAGCAGCTAGCAGAGTCGAAGCTAGCAGAATTCTCTGCAAAGCTACAGATCATTTTTTGTTTTTTTATAGAGAGATCATCGTCTTTTGAATTCTAAGGCTCTCGACGAGATTGTTTGAATGATGCATGTACTTAGTTCCCGTTGATCCATTTAGTCTTCTAATGCCCGTCTGATGAGTCTAGTCCATGGGTACGCACTTCAAGAGGTCTCCGGAGACTTGATCGATGTGGAAACCATTGACAAGAAGGGACTACATCCCAAGACCATTGCCTACCTAGACGACCTTTCCTCCTTGTACAAGTTCAACAAAGTGGAGCTCTGTTTGCACTTGATCCAGACGTTGATCATTTTAAGGCTATTTTTTATGTAATTTATTTTCTATCTTCCTCTGGTCGTCGTTCTTTTTTCTAGTTAGGTCGGCTCCACCACTCAATTTATTGACCTACTTTTGAAGCATCTTGAAGCTGTTCCGTCTCAGGAGAAAGAAGGAGCTGCTTCTTTCATTAGGAGTAGAATGTGAATGAAAGAAGTATCAAGTAGACCAAGATGCAGATCCGATTCTGAAGATGCATAACATATATAGAAGCATGATAAGCATAAGGCGTGTATAAGTAATAAAAATATGCATAAGGCGTGTACTTATAAGTATCTAGATCTCCTCTAATCATTTCCGCATACCATGAAGGCGTGTTGGTGGTGCCACCACCGATTCTTTCTCGTGTCTTTCAGACGATTAGTCGTGGATTCGTGCACTTGCTCAACACAAAGAAGATCACCGACACAAAATTCCCGTTTCCCTACGTGCAGTTGATATTAAGGCTTTAGGTGAAATAAATCCATCTTGTATAATCTTCTCCAACATCTTCATCTTGTTCTTGATTGATCCTTGTATGGTTCTGGTATTTGGTAACCTGAATTGGATCACAAGGGTTCTCTTCTTGTTTTCCCTTATGATCAAACTCAGGCTACCAAATACCGGAGCCCTTCCGTCCTGTTTTAAGGACAAACATCCTTACAGGGCGGGACAACAAAACAACTACAACATGTTGTTCCTGTTTTAGAAAGAAACATGATACAAGTGAACATCTTCAAGATACAAGTGTTTGAGATGATGGATTTACTCATCAAGGTGGTCTAATCATCATCGTCTCCCTCTGTATCTACTCTGTATTCACACCCCTGGTACTGACGTCAGTGCTGAAGAACAAGGTGATAGTCTTCATACTGAGCTTCTTTCCCCTGTGGGTTTTGAGTGGGTTGAACCATGTTTCCATAGAACTGGAAAACCCATTCGGAGATGACGACAACGATCTGCCTTTGGGTACAACTACTTACACACATCAAATAGACGCTCGTCGTTGATTGAACCCACGTCCAACAGGAACTCACAACTATGATCACTACAAATTGAAATTATGATCACTACTTGTCAGAAGTCTAAAGCTGCTTCTAGACCACCTTCCTCTCAGCACTGTGAGGTTTTAAAAATCACCCAATTTTCTCACGACCGAACTCACAACTACTACTCTACTCACCACAGAAAACCCAAAATAAATCCTTCTTCAGGTCATTTCCAAGACGAGATGGACCGCACCCTGTTACTCCTGATTCATCCGAGGAGTGACTTACGTGCTGACGTTGTAGATGGCGCAGTGAATGACGTGGATGACTTGATGCAGAAATTCGGGTTGGTGATCTACAAAGAAGAAATCGAATACGAGGACGGGCACAAGGAGTTCGAATTATCCTTCGAACAAAGAGAAAAACGGCAAAGCATATTATGCTTCAAACCAGAGTAAATAGCTCATGCAAACACTTAGTCAGAAATATTTATATTAAGAAATCGATAGAAGTGCTGTAGAAAAAGGAAGTATGCACTTAGAACAAGGAAGTACTTACACGTAGAGGAAGAAGGAATGAAAAGTTTTAGTTGATTTTGAATTGGAAATGTACCTCATCAATCTTCATCAACATTAATCAAGGAGAGACTAGTACTAGAAGGTTTAGATTTAGCGGGAGAAGCAGAAGCAGGTTTAGTTAATTTGGTGGGTGGAGCAGTTGGAGTTACAGTGTAGCAGGTTTCGAAGATTCAGAAGTAGGAATAGATTAGGAGTAGGAATAGGTTAACTTTTTTTCAACTCTCTCTCAACGAACTCGTACTTGTTGCATTCCCTTTTCTAAGTCCCAAACCACGCGAGGGCCTGGACCGCTTCCGCAAGTACAAGAGCAAAACGCGGAAAATTAGAGAAAAAGACGCATTGGAGCTGTGCGAATTCGAGCCTCATGACATGGGAGAGGACGACAATCAACAGCAAGTACATTTTTAAGGACGAATGCATGTGATCAGAAAACTTGGATAACCGAGTAGCCTACGCGATAACTTAATCACAGATGCTCCCTCGGTTATTGGGTTTGTAGTTACTCGTACATTTTAGGTTTTCGAACAGACTAGAATTTTTAGTGGTGTTTGTCACCTTGCTCCAGCGTCAAAGCTTTGGTCGTCGAAACGCATTTCAAAACAAATGTTATTCCTTTCTTTCTTGAAAAAACACGAGTTGTCAACACCTTAATTTATAATAGGAGTCCTTGTTTTACCAAGGAAGTACTAAATGGTTCTACAACTACATCATTTAGTATGTTTTTTCTCATACTACTGTGTAGTACAGCTTTATCACCACGTACAAGCGTGGTGTACTACTCTCTCAGCGTAACAGTGACTACCTAGCAGCGGATCAAGCACAAATCCACCTTATAGTATCTCGTATAAGCTATATCGAATTGTGAGCTTCGAGAAGTTCTGCATTCCTTGCCCGAGAGTCTGACTTTTTTTTGAGCATGAAGACGGACGAAAGACGGACTCACGACGATGGTTTTTTTATGCTTGACACGATGAGAGAGGCAAAGAAGCTAGACAAAGAACGCAGACGAAGAAGCGAGTCAATGCATTTGGTTACCGTCATTTTGTTAACTTTCTCTTTGTTTTCGATCCGTCGGCACTTCGTCAGCGGCTGGCCTCTTTTCTGCTTTTTTGGGCGTTACATCTAAGGCGTAGAGTGACGCAAGACGTTTACTCTGCTGATGGTCTAGCATGCGCATGCTCTTGCTTACGGCGTTAAGTTCTGCCTTTTTTTTCATAAGAAACAGAAAAAAAATTTCTGCTATCTTATCAAAAAACTAAAGTCGGCGCCTTCGTTAGTTTTCGTCTACGCTCTGCGTCTCTGCGTCGCTCGTGTTTCTCTCTCGAAACGCTTCCAGTTTCCATGGCCCAGCCCTCTAGTCTAAGTAAGGCTCTCCCTCTTTCAGGTCTATGATCTGCTGACGCAGTTGGTAGCCGCAGTACCCGCCAAGGAGTGCGCGACGTCAGCCACCACCCACAAGGGTGGCGATGCCTCTGCGCTGAAACTCGTGCGCAGTATGGGCGAAAATAGACCGCAGCTCCATACTGATGCGCTCACGGTGCCGGACGTGCTCCGCCGCGATTTTTTGGAGAAGTATGAAAGTGAAAAGCTTAGCGATGCTGCGTACCAACCACCCCAAGCCCCTACGCAGTACCCCACGGGTTTGCCTACTTCCGACCCCTCTGCGCCTTCTCCGTCAGAGCTCCCAGCGACCTCAAGCGGCTGCTGCTGGTAAGTGTCGAGCTCTTTGCGTGAGAAGCTACCCCATACGTAACCGAAAAGCTTGAAGGGAATTCGTCACATTCATACCCCGCCGCATTTCCACTCCCGCCGAGTTCTTCTTCTGATACCAACATCGACGCAGATGCACTCAAGCAAGGAGCCAGAACAATACAAACCAGCTCCGCGAGCAGCGAATCGCCCAAGGCTATCTACCACGACGATGAAAAGCGCTAGCACGAGCAAAACGCTGGGGAGAAGCCTGCCCCTACGAAGAAAGTGGCGAAAGTGCGCAACCCAATGAAAAAAAAAACAAAGCAACCGAAAGCAGCGACGAAGGCTGCCAAAGTACCGAAGAAGGCTGCCAAAACACCGGGGAAAGCTGTCAAAAAAATGATGGCCATGGAAGCGGAGTAGCTTGCTATATAACTTCCCCACTGTGGCTCGCCAGCCACTGTGGCCAACGATAGGCGCACTCTCATCAGTTTCCGACTTTAGAACGCAAGGCATCACTTCAGTAAAACAAAAGCAAATCGATCAAGTTCGAGAATCAAAGCGCGGCAGCCAAGTTGATGGCTCTCATTTTCCATCCATCCAAGTAGAGGCTTTCGAGCAATATTTATAGAAAAAGCAGGCAGGCAATACGTACGGGAACAGTAAGCGAGTGCCCCGCTCGGTGATATGTTAGAAGAAGCGCCAGCAAATCACTGCGAGTCAGCGTTATCCTTTAGCTTACGAATTGCTTGCATGGAGAGCCCCCAGACGGGCCCAGAATGCATGGCGCCACAGTTGTGACGAACTTCGCACAGGGTTGGGGATCAAGATCAACACGAATGCCACAACAAAGCCACGGCATACCGGTGAGCTATCAGCTTAACCAGCCCGCAGCATAGCATACGCATGCCACGCGCATAAAATAAATGCCAGAAGCATCCAAATGACACGACGCCAAATAGGGCCGCGCAATCAAAGGGGGAGCGGGAGCCATCTCACATCAGCGCGCGGAATTTGCATCACCTGGCTAATGCGTCTAGCATTGCGCGCGTGTTCTCTTGCATTTTTTGCAAGCGACGCCATCGGTGTCGACAGTTCAGCCGATGCGCTGCGCGTGACATGGGAGGAGCTAAACCGGACAAAAAAGCAAAACAAAGCCACAAAGCGCGCCAGGGTTGCGCGCTTCATTGTTATGCCATCGAGGTCAGGCTTGGTCTCTCTTTTGCTCTCTATGCATAGAATTCTAATGCTCCGCGTTTTCTTCTGCTTTCTTGTCATGTCTTTGCTGCAAGTCATGCCATCCGCGTGCTTCTTCCGGGGCAAAAGATGTCGCACATGCGCCGGCGCCAGCTGAGCGGGAACGACGGCGGAGACACTTGCGGCAAGTTTCTTTTTGGAATTGGAAACCAAAGAAAACAAAACACCAGCCCAGCAATGCGGCTGGGATGATCTTCACGGGCGCGAGCACTGTCCACGCATGAACATGAAGCACGGGAACACTATGGAAGATGGGCACTACTGTGCCACCATCAAGATCATGACGATGATGATGATGCAAGCCCACCGATCGGGTGGAGCGGGATGCCATCTCATCCCTGCAGCCGTTACCATCAAGATCAACCACAACGCGCCAAGACTTTTGCTGCTTAGTGCTTCGTCAGTGTTAACGTATAGGATTCGCACCGCATCGATCTACTTCTAACTCGCGAGCCAGCGAAGTCGTGCTTCTTCAGCACTCGCGTCTCTGATGGCAATCGATCTTAAAACCAGTGGAACCAACCAAGTCGCTCGCGTTGGACTATGCTACTGCTTTAGCCGCTGCGGGATTCAATAAGCCACGGCCACGAGCTCAAAGCGATAAGCGCTGCGCTTGTTCTACGGTAGAAGGCAGAAGCCTCGCAGCGGTGCAGCACTTTGGCCCCCCTTCAGGCTACCCCGTTGCGCGGTTTTTGTATCGTGGAGAAGCATGGACAAGCCCCCCCGCGACGGTTTCGCCAATATCTGAAACAGCGCAGCCCGCTATAATCTCAATTCGCTTGGCGCAAGCCGGTCAAAGTGCTGGCGTATCGAATCCAGGCAGTCCGTGCGTGCTACAAGTTTGCTCTCTATTAATTCGCTAGCCAAGTCCTCTCCTTTAAGTGTTCCCTCTGTGTGAGGCGCTTTAGCAAGTTCTCTCTCGATCGTGGGCGGGTGGTCGCTGTTTTTGTTTTTCTGATTCGCTCGGCCTCCAAGATTGTTCCAATTCTTGCTGCCAGCAAGCTCCTCAAGGTTTTCACTGCATTGGACAAGCAACACAGTGGCGAGAGCTAGGCTGCGCCTTTCGCGTATACTGGTCAAAATTTTCGAGCGGGTGCGTTGTCTCAATCTGGTGCGAATCCATTATCTTGCGCGCTAGGGTTTGTAACTTCTTCAAAAATGTCGCACGCAGCAACTGCCTGCAGCAGCACCAAGCCCGTCGGGTTCTGAACGTAGTGGCCTTTCTTCTGCTGAGTAGCAGTTTTCAACTTTTTCAGCAGTGTACAATACTGCTGAGGCTTCGGCTATTGCGTGGCTCCTGTATGACTGACCGAAGGCGCGGCGCATATCTCTCACGCGCGTCGCGTGCAGTCAGGTCGCGCCGCCTGGGTTCTTTTCAGTTGATTCGTGCGACGCTTCCTTGCTCTGACGCGCGCAGCCCTTTGGCGATACTTTCACGCGCGACGCCTGTCGTCAAAGCAGCGCACTTCTGTAAGTATTCCCTTCAGTTCGGACCCGCGTTCTTGCTGCCAATCGCTGGCCGCTTCCAGAAAATAGCGGGCAAGTTTCTTCCTTCTTGTCTCTGCAGTATTTCCCCACCCTTTTCTTCCCCTTTTTCCTTAAAGTCATGCACTTTCCCAGTATATCAGAGCCTAGCGGTCTTGTTTTCTAAGTCTAGACCTTATACTTTCTTACACGAGGCGGCCCGAAGTGACTTAATAAACTTAACAGCAGCGCAGGGATGTCGTCATCCCTGCGCTAGCCTGTGATAACATACTACCCCCTCTCTCTCTGTCCCCCCCCTCCCTCTAACACGATGTGGATTCCGACGGAGGTGGATACCGCAAGAATAGGTGGAAGAAGTTCGCGACTGGTGCTAAGATGGTCAGTTAAGGCTACCGCTCAAGCATATCCTTAATGTCATCCTTGGCCCTTTTTCAAGGGGAAAAAGGGCTCCGAGGTGCGCCCAGGGATGCGACGCGGTAGCTCTAAGTCAGGAGGATGGCACTAGGTGGAACAGCAAACAATTCTAGGACTGCTCCTCTCTCACCTGACGAAAGACATGGTGGTCTACAAGGCGGGACCACTGGGGACGATGGGCAATTAGTTATGGAGGTCAGGTTTTATCCCTCTGTCTAAGCAGCACGACTCCTCTCTATTAGTAGTAGTACGTAGTACTAGTAGCTCTTGTTCTTGTATCCTTTCGATTATAGATACAAACATCAATAGTAATAGATGCAAGAACTACGACCCAACCGTCGGTTCGCATAATATCAGACCAATCACATAATGTGAAGATAGAGTTGTAGAAGACAGCAACATATACCAGTAAGGGACTGTTCAAGGGAAAAATTCAGATATAGAATACAACTACATTATACATAATCAAGGGAAACATCTTCAGTAGATGTACATAGCTCTAATTTCGCATCGCATGGAGAGAGTCCAGGGTCTCACATGTCGGGAGGTGGAGCAGTGGCTGATCATGGCGGCACCTGTACACCCCGAGGCCCAAGAGCAACAAGATATCGCGAAACAACAAGCGAGATGCTATTGGACAACGACGAATCGAGGACGAATCGAGGACAAGGACATAGCCCAAGGTTATGGATTTGGATTTGCATTTCGAGGATTTCTTTAGTACTAGCTAAGAGTTGAAGAACATGTCGACATCTAATGGAAATGGTAGAGGATGTTGTTCAACATGAGTATGGCGAGAAGCTGCAATGCACCACGACCTCTAAGGAATTCGGGACGAGCCGAAAACGGCACGCGAAGTGTGACTGTAGTGAGTCTTACACGAACAGGATCGGGAACGGTTCAGTGGTCGCCACGACCTAGAGAGGATGTTGTTGCGACCAAAGCAAGTTATGGACGAGGAGTTCCAAGATTTTCATTTTTCATACTGAAGCAAGTACTCGAAAACTGAAAATGACTGAGTTACTGACTGAAATAAGGGAGGTAGCTTTGACAGGGCTACTCTTCCTTGTTCAGTATCTCGATTATTTTCAGTAGTGATTCGCTTATTTCAGTTTTTCGAATAAGTCTTAAACTATTTTTTTGCAACTAAGGCTAAGTTCATGGAGGTGGATAGTCTAAGGTTAAGGCCACCTCCATTATTTTTTTTTCTGCATAGTTTGTTAGAGGTGAATTTACATTTAGATCACGTTTGTGAATTCACTACCACTTCATCATCAACAAGGGCTCGTCAGATGTAGTTTTCAATTTCATACCTACTAGCTACTAGAGTACTCTATTTGGATGCTTCCTGGATTTGGTAACCTGAATTTGATCATAAGGGAAAACAAGAAGAGAACCCTTGTGATCCAATTCAGGTTACCAAAAAATACCGGAGCCATCCACTATTAGAACAGTGAGCAGCGATTCTTACTAGTACCTACAAGGAGCAATGCTTACTGCCTGGCTCGAGTGGTAGTCTTCCTAACCCCTATGGTTCGACCTCCGCTGTCTGTGTCTTGACTTCGGTCATGATCACACGTAGACTCTGTCTCTACGGGTGCTACGGACAGGTGTATCAGCGACATACACATGACTACCTACTAGCTACAAGAGTACTAGAAGACGGAGCTGCAATGCTGGCATCACTATCAGCTTCTTCTAATCCTAACCTCGAGTTCCAGGCAGTCGACCTAGCCCTCCCAGCAGTGGCCGAACTAGCCCGAGACCGAGCAGTGGTCGAACTAGCAGCAAGTCAGTACCCGACACTCGCAGGGGCAGAACAAGCGGCTCAAGCGGTTCAGGAGGACAGACCAGAATTCGACTTATGCTCATGATTCATCTTTTCTATTCATGGGTCGGTCCGACTTTTTTAGAGATTCATTTTAGATAGTACAGATCGGTAGACACAGCGCCGAGTCTCTTTCTCTAATTTGAGCAGCATGTCTTCGTTGGAGCCAGCACTTGTGGAAGCAGCGGTTCTCCGTGCAGCAGCCATCGAGGCAAATCAACCGGTACTACACGAGGGCTCACCCTCGTTAGGAGATGCAACAGCTATAACTAAGAATATTCATCAACTCGAGGATGGATGTTGATTTAGTAGTGCTCGCAGATTTAATCCATGATTTAGAACTACTCCTTGTGAGTACCAGTCCTTCTAGAATAAGGTTACACGACTTTTCGATTTCCTAGAATTTAACGCAGCTACACTTACTTACATTCACCTTCACCATGCATTGCGCGCAGCACTGCCTGTAGTAAAAATATTTGCCTATATTAGTTTCGAACAAGATTACCAAGAACTACTAGTGGAAGTGCACCATCAAGATCGATGAAGACGAGGACATCAATGTCAGGACAACTTGTAATTTTTGTATAGAAGATCTAGAATCCGAAGAAGATGTTGTCACTGTCCTCGTTGAAGTGTTAGTTGTGAATTGATTTGATTCATCCACTATTTACTAGTATATTCCTATTCGGATTTAGTTACTCGTAGTACAAACCAATGAATTATGTGCTCTTTTTTTCGGAAAAACGTACTTGTGAGGAAGATGACGTCGCCACTATTTGAGAGTTTCGTTCCCTCATATCGCTCCACCGCGTACTAGAGGTGCGGCAGTCGCAGCTGCGCGGAGGTCGGTGCCCCGTGGCGGCAACTTGATTGATTGACTGACTAACGTAGGACGTAAGTAAACTTCGCAGATTCTAGGTTCACATATTCAATGTTCTCTCAAATCGATCCCCCAGTCCTGTTGAGCTGTGTCAATTTTTTTTAGTGATTTTCTGCATTCTCACTTTTCTCGATTTTAAATCCACCCAAACAATTATTTGTGCTACCTGCCCAATGATCTGAGTCTCTTTCTCCTAATTCTACGACCGGCGTCGTCCACCGCTTCCCTCACAAGAATAGTGATGAGAAAGTAGAGCTTTCCTAAGTTGTCTTCTCCGAGTTCCCTTTTTCCTGTGACACACGAGAACGAGAACGACCTGTGGTCATCAACATCTTCGTCGATGAAGCAATTTTATTGTAAAATCATTCTTTAGGTAGATCATGATGATGATATCGACGGAGGACGGTCGAACTCGAAGGATAGAAAAAATTGAGATAATAAATCTAGTACTAAGACTTGATCAAAAGCATGTTCTTGACCCCATCAATGTGAACCACGTCGTCAATGGTATCTTCATGATCAAGAGACATCACGTGTTCATCCGTCGATAGAGAATTACCTAGCTCGTTCATGAAGCACGAATGACAATGATGTCAATTAATATGTTGATGATCCTTTATGCGGTGGGGTGGTCCTCCTCCTCACCACGATAGACTTTTACGAATCCAATCTGCGGATGACCAAGAGGAGATGATCTCACAAGTGTCGAAACAGAACAACGGTTCAGGACCATGATCTTTGGAAAATCCTCTTCCTCCCTCTACTTCATCCGACCACAATTTACGTCCCTTTTGTCCCTTTAAATCGTTTCATCCATTGGACGATTCCTCTGAAGATACATCTTCCTCTTCGATTCATCACCGAGCCAGGCCCTGTGTGATTCTTGATTACGTCAAGAATAATCAACCAAACCAGCATCAAGTCTTTATCCTGTTTCCTGTTATTGTGTGCTTGAGTCTCAAGAGTTAGTTTGATCATTTTTAGAGCTGTGAGAACTTCATCTTCTAGCATCAACTGTAACCTCTCGTTCCACTTCCACCTCTACAACTACTCCCAAAATATAAAAAAATGGCAAGTTTCAAACCAGAGGATGAGCTCTTCGGCCAGACCGGTGCTGGTATGGACGGTGGAGAGGAGGACGTGACAAGACAATACATACATATCAGAAACCAGCAACGAAATGGTAAGATTATGAAAAAGAATAAAGATAAAGATGATCAAAATCAACTACATGTTCAAAAATTTAACAGTAAGTAATGTAAGTAGAAGAAAGCATCTGCATGATGTGCTTATCTTATTAGTAGACACGTGCGAGTGCAGAACAAGTAGACTTTTTACTTCTACTATTCTGGATCATCCCATTGGGTGATATTCTTCTATCGATGATGATTTTCATTACATCCACCTTTTCCTGACCTTTTCCTGACCTCATCTTCTTCCTCTTGACTTACTCTTTCTCCATCTCCCTTTTCAGGTAAGAAGAGTTTCACGCTTATCACTGGAGTCCCAAGCTGCTTCAACCACAAGAAGATAGTAAAATACTTGAAGAAGAGTTTGAACTGCAACGGAAACATCGTGGAGGATGAAACATTCGGGTACTACAACTTCTATTCATCTGACTTTGATTCCAGTATTCTAACCGAGCTTGATTCCCTTTCAATTTGAAACGGGCTGGCATCTGAGATTCTTCCATCAAAATTTCAAACTCCATCATTATCATCACAACTACGTCTACCAAAAACAGCACCGTTATCCAGTTGCAGGGTGATCAGAGGAATGACGTCGCGCAATTCCTCTATGAAGAAGGGATCGCAGAAAAGGATCAGATCAGAAAGCACATGTAAGCGTAGGGTAAGATTAAGATGACCTTGCCACTCGTCACGGGCGGTGCAGAGTGGTCAAGCGAAAGCGAAGGGAGGCTGAAGAGCTATTTTTAGTACAACATATCACAATCTTGTACTAGCAACCTCATAAAAATTGCATCAACAACACTATATCAACCACTGACTGTGACTCTACGACAACTCCAGTTGCAATAAATGATAAACGGTTTCACCAACAACTCACCAAAGAATCGGGATGATACCTCGTCATCTCCGAAGACGCTTTTAGATATCACACGCTATTACATATACATGTGTCATGAATAAAAAGTAAGTTGCATTATACTTCACACGACATACACTTACACATCTTCTTGCGCCACGCACAAGACTCAGCAGAGCCTCTGTGCGCTTGAATGTGCGGCCACGCGCATCCCAGTGCAGGCACATTTGTTCTCTGATCCGGTAAGAGCAGCATGCTTCTTACAGTTGTACCAGCATTTCTTTAGAAAACATGTACGTAGATGAGAGGATAGAGAGAATGTGAAAAAGCAGGAGCTGCATTGTTATTGCAGTGGACGAAGGAGAAATGAAAGGTCCCGAATAGTAGCTACAACCCATCGGATGCTCATACTACGAGAAAAGCCGACGAGTGCACGCCCCCACCTGCACCACCTCCAGCTCCACCACACTTCAAAATCAAAAAAACGCTTCTATCACCCTTGTTCATCACAATTGACTCAATTATAAAGAACAAAAAAAATGCCGTCTCCTAATGTAGCTCCTTCGTCGAGCTCCTCTGGAGCAGGAAAAACCCTACCTAGTTGGTTGCTCGCTGCCCAGTCAAGTGTCAGGGCATTCGAGGAAACGCGGAAAGACCAGAACGCAAAATTGCATGATCTTTCGCGAGCTCTAGCAGCAACCGGAACAGGTAGCAGTGTTGCTGGTGGGAGTGGGGGTGGACTGAAGAACGATGCAACTGGACGAGGAGGTGAAGGCTCGTCTCCTAACGCAAGAATGCAGCTGCAGACCAATGGGACCACAGTTTATGGACAAGAGAGAAATGCCGCATGTTGTGGCTGATTCTTGAGACCATTGGATGAAAGGGGACGAGGTATTTTTAGATACTATCTTCAAACAAAAACCGAAACAATCAGTCACGACTACTTACATCAATATTCTTCATATTTTCGACGCCGACGGTTCAGGAACAGCTAACCACTTGCCTGCGGACGTTCTAGTAGTCTGCTTCGGGTATCTCACTGGCACCGATATAGCGCAGCGATGTGCACCAGTATGTAAGCTATGGCGCGAGGCTGTGCACACAGCAGACGACTTATGGCGCGATGTCTTCATCCGAGATTTCTTCCATATTCCTATGCGCAGTAAGGAGATTCGAGATAACAAGCATATGGCCACCAGCGTACCTAGCGGAATCTGCAATCTGTTTCCGCCAATGGCTCAACTTAGACGGGCTCTCACTGCTGGAAGCGCAGCTGCGTCGTCGTCATCAAGTGGAAGATACGACAAATGCAAAGCACCACGGAAGGAAGATCCACTTCTCCGACCCGCTCTGCAAACCGCCCTACAACACTACCACATACGTGAAGATTCTCTCACGGATGTAAGGGCCTTTCGCGACCACGGAGGAGGTAATGGAGCCACCTGCTCCACCTGCTCCACATCGGCCTCTACTAGTACATCTTCTTCTACACAGCATCTTCGTTCTTCTTCGCTTACTACGACTAGTAACTCTGTGTTGAAAATGAAGGCCTCCCATGATGACCTCGTGCTTCAAGACACAACCACTCTAGGCGATGTAAACATCTACCTGTCGGCGTATCGCAGTTGGATTGAGCATTTTCAGTCGCTGAAACAGTGTAGGAACACTGAGAAAACTGCGCGTATCGAGCAGCTTCGAACCTTTCGATGGTGTGCAGACTATTTGCGCATGTCCGCGAGCTCAGCGCGTGACCTCACCGAGTGGTTCTCAACGATTTTAGATCCGATCGTTGAGGATGAAACTAGAAATGTTTCTATTACATGGGAGAATGGCAACTGTTCCAACATGGAACCGACAGACGATTTGCGGCGAGCTACAGGTAGGAAAATGCTCGTCGCAGTAGCTAGTCCATCTTCCACTAAGAAACTTTACTGTTGATGCTACAAAGGCTCTGCAATTGGTATTGGAAAGTGGTTGAAATATTTTGAATTTGGAAAAATAATTTGAAGTTTGAATTAATTTAGAAAAAAATTTTGATTTTATTCTATTTGAATCGAATTCAATTTATTGAGGTTGATTCTTCTGCAACTTGAACTTCAGAATTTTCGACATAGCCAATGGATTTTTGAGAGTCACCTATGTATCCACACAAAGTCAATGTTGCAGCATATAGCCGAAATATCAGTATCAGGAGATGCATTTCGCATATAGTTCGTATATTTTCAAGCTTTTAATTTGACTTCGGAAGCCTAGAAGTTCAAAATATTATTTTCAAGTTTGTTGAATATGAATTTTCAAAATTTTTGATTTTATTCACTAGCCCCCTGGAGAGGTTCCCAAGGGAGAGGAGTCGAAGGGAAGGCGAGACACTCGCTAGAGGGTGAACGTAGAGGGCACGCAAAGAAGTGCGCTAACTTTCAAAATACTTTCAAAGTTCACGCCTTAACTTTCAAAATTCATGTCCTAACTTTCAAAATTCATGTCCTAACTTTCAAAATTCATGTCCTAACTTTCAAAATTCATGTCCTAACTTTCAAAATTCATGTCCTAACTTTCAAAATTCATGTCCTAACTTTCAAAATTCATGTCCTAACTTTCAAAATTCATGTCCTAACTTTCAAAATTCATGTCCTAACTTTCAAAATTCATGTCCTAACTTTCAAAATTCATGTCCTAACTTTCAAAATTCATGTCCTAACTTTCAAAATTCATGTCCTAACTTTCAAAATTCATGTCCTAACTTTCAAAATTCATGTCCTAACTTTCAAAATTCATGTCCTAACTTTCAAAATTCATGTCCTAACTTTCAAAATTCATGTCCTAACTTTCAAAATTCATGTCCTAACTTTCAAAATTCATGTCCTAACTTTCAAAATTCATGTCCTAACTTTCAAAATTCATGTCCTAACTTTCAAAATTCATGTCCTAACTTTCAAAATTCATGTCCTAACTTTCAAAATTCATGTCCTAACTTTCAAAATTCATGTCCTAACTTTCAAAATTCATGTCCTAACTTTCAAAATTCATGTCCTAACTTTCAAAATTCATGTCCTAACTTTCAAAATTCATGTCCTAACTTTCAAAATTCATGTCCTAACTTTCAAAATTCATGTCCTAACTTTCAAAATTCATGTCCTAACTTTCAAAATTCATGTCCTAACTTTCAAAATTCATGTCCTAACTTTCAAAATTCATGTCCTAACTTTCAAAATTCATGTCCTAACTTTCAAAATTCATGTCCTAACTTTCAAAATTCATGTCCTAACTTTCAAAATTCATGTCCTAACTTTCAAAATTCATGTCCTAACTTTCAAAATTCATGTCCTAACTTTCAAAATTCATGTCCTAACTTTCAAAATTCATGTCCTAACTTTCAAAATTCATGTCCTAACTTTCAAAATTCATGTCCTAACTTTCAAAATTCATGTCCTAACTTTCAAAATTCATGTCCTAACTTTCAAAATTCATGTCCTAACTTTCAAAATTCATGTCCTAACTTTCAAAATTCATGTCCTAACTTTCAAAATTCATGTCCTAACTTTCAAAATTCATGTCCTAACTTTCAAAATTCATGTCCTAACTTTCAAAATTCATGTCCTGACTTTCAAAATTCATGTCCTAACTTTCAAAATTCATGGCCTAACTATCAAAATTCATGTCCTAACTTTCAAAATTCATGGCCTAACTATCAAAATTCATGTCTTAACTTCGAAGGTTAGGGCCCAAAACGTAAGCGCCTAACTCAGAACGTAAATTCAAAATGTAAATTCAAAATTCAAAATGTAAATTCAAAATTCAAAATGTAAATTCAAAATATAAAAAGAAAAATCAAAATTCAAAATGTAAATTCAAAATTCAAAATGTAAGTTCAAAATGTAAATTCAAAATATAAAAAGAAAAATCAAAATTCAAAATGTAAATTCAAAATTCAAAATGAGAATTCAAAATCAAAAAAGAAAAATCAAAATCAAAAAAGAGAAATCAAAATCAAAAAAGAGAAATCAAAATCAAAAATAAGAAAAGAAAACCAAGGCAAAACTTTATAAGTAAATAGATTTATATTGAAATTCATTTTCTGGCAATCATCCAGAAAAAAATACGATTTTTTTTTGTTGCTTACTTGTCTACAAGTCCGCCAACATTTATGTACGTGGCTTGAATCGGGCTAGGGGCCCGAACCTACGAACTAAGAGAAGTACAGGGACGGGGCCTGCCTTGTAGAAAAGCCAGCGCGGGCTCACAGGGCCACCTATCTAAGCGCACACTTACCGTGATGGATGTAGGAAGGAAAACACTAGCAGAAATTTGATAAACTAACCAACGAAATCGTTCGGAAGCACCGAATGCAATAAATTCTCTCATATTTATTTTGAATGGGTCCATGCATCATATATCTACACTCGTTCATGCTCAGATAATCGATCTCCACGAGTTAAGCCGGTCGATATTTGCCATCTCGATTACAATATCTTTCCGGCGGCATTGCAACGAATTGTAAAGGCTGACATTACAGCAGCAGAGGATGGTGCGGTAAGTGACGACGAGATGATTATGTCTGTCCACTTGTCATCTCAAGAGAAGTGGCGGATCTGTGAGGCATGGATCGATCCAAAACGAGCCACTGCGTGGCATACGGAACAAAGAGAATCGCAGATGGGTCTCTCGCAAAAGAGCCGTGGAGGAAGATGTTATTTAGGACTTGGTAGCGCTGAGCGTCACTACATCTGCAATGCCCTCGAGCATGTTGAAATCAAAACTACAGAGCATGTTGCTCAGTACTTTCTTACAACAACTAGAGTAAAATTCAATCAATGGGGAATGCTAAGAAAGCAAGTCGTGAAATTTCTAAGCCCAAACTTTCGCCTGCGAGACTCAAATGGGCTCTACAGGGACGAAACGGATGCGCTGCGTGTTGTGCATCCAAGGCTCGTCAATCCATCGGAGGTTGGGCTGTCATTTTGGGAGGACGATGCTTTGCCGAAGTACGATATATCCCCCGTGCCTTGGACAGTTTTCGATAGGGCTACGTCATCTTCTTCGTCGGCGTCGTCTTTCTCATCTAAAGGACAAGCTCGGCGACACAACAAATTTTCCAGTTTCTACACGCGAATGCTGTACGTGATAAATGCGTTGGACTTGTGCTCATTGTTTGACGAGTTCCGCGTGCATAGTGGGCCTGAACTCATATGTAACGCGAACGAGTACGACGTGATCACAGCCGCCACCGATGTACTCACCACGCTGAATCTCCATCACCAACCTTTCTTCAATTTTGTAACGAGACGCACGGAATTGTTCTCGCTAGGAGAAGACCAAGACGATATTGAAGGCATTCATATTGAAGGCATATCGTCTTGGTCTTCTCCTAGCGAGACCTCACAAGAAGCACAACAACGAATGCAGCAGCAGGAAGTCATGATACGTGCCGACGGAGCAGAGGATGATGTACTAGGACTACAAGACATGGCTGTTCCAAAGGCGGCTCCGACAGATGTCAAATGGGCTATCGATTTGGCGAGGCTTCCACGAGACAATGGCTCCTGCAATCCATTGTCCTTTTTAGCGGTAAATTAAGGCTCCTTCAATGACAAAGTTCTTGTCGTTTTGTTTTTAAATGTAAAAATGACGAGAATGAAGAAACTATGTATCAAGCAGTTTCGCTTTCCTCGTCTTGAACATATTAATTACATACTAGATACAACCTTGACTTAGTTACTTAGTTGTATGTATAAATATGTAACGACGTGCTGAGGATCTAAGTAACGTATCTCGCTGCAGCTGGATTTCGTGACGTTCCGTGGAACCGGGCTTTCCTTCACAGCGAATGGCTCCCTGGGCGAGATAAAGATCGTGCTCTCAAAGTACAACGTACGCTGGGGAAAGCCTTGGCGTTCGCGGAGGACTTGAGGCAGTATGCTGCCAACCCTGAACTGATGGAGTTTCCGGCACAGTGCGCCCGTTTAGCGAAGTTCGCGCGCCTCGCTTACCGATTCCATTTCCAAGAAGTTGAAGATGGAAAAAGGCAGAAGCGTACAACGAAGCGTCTTGGTACAACGAAGCGTCTTGGGCAACAAGAACATAGACTTCAAGTTCCAGCACCTTCTTGTTCTCATCTCCTTCTCCAAACACGAAACCACAAAAGTTCGTTTGAACCGCGGTTAGCGCCGCACGCTCTGCTCTTGGGGGTCCGACGTTATGCACATGATGGAACAGTGGCCGGATGGATGGCTGCTGTGATTCCTGAGTACCCAACTGCTGAACGATGGAAAATCTTAGACTCCGAACTAGGCACTTTGTACGGCACATTTGACGAACTGGAATGCGGAATTCACCTATACCGAACTCCCGACAGCTTCCAGAAGTGGCTGACCTTGGAGTTGCGAGGGGATGGAAACTTGCTGTACGGGTTCTGGCAAAAGAGGCATGGAATCTGCTTCTTTGTCCAGGTTCCTACGCCGGGGGGTGGAGCTGATGAAGGTTGATGAAGGATAGGTTAGTAGTTGATGTACTTGTGGGCGCCGTCACATTCTCAGGACCACCAGGGGTAGGAGAAGATTTTGGTTGTAATAGTACCAGATTTATGGTTGTAAGAACCAGTGGTTTTGCATCAATGGACGAAGATGGAAAAAAGAAAGAGACTAGAAGTAGAAGATGAAGACATGCCTGTGGACGAAATACAGGGTCATGAAGTGCGTGGTGTGTCACTGAAATACGGTGGAGGAACATCTGCGAACTGCTTGAAAAACAACGATTAGTGTCCTTTCTGAGAGTGGTTGATCCTGAATCGACCACGCACTTTCAGCAGTCAAGCATTGAGGTTCGCGTAAGGAAAAATTGCTCCAAAACCGCTCCTTGTTCTCCTGCTTCGACACACTTCCTAAAACGTAGAACTAGAAAATGAAGTTTTAAAGTTGTGCCTTCATGTAGATGGCCTCGGCGAGGTGGGTGTAGTATTAAAATTAATGGAATAATGCATTTTTGGCGTTGATGACGTATCAATCGGGCTCGGGGATTCGTTCTTGGTGCTTGAAGGGGACGGTGGCCAGTGGGTGCTTCTCTTGGCCAGACAAGCGACAACAGCGTCAAGTAGAAAGAGTCTACGTTTTGATGACTCGGTTGACTTGAAAATCGGCGCCGTGGAACTGGAACTCGACGAACTGGTGATACGGCCAGAAGATACAGCACTCAGTACAGGATGCACGTTAGCGACGTGGTTATACCAGCACGATTTTCGTGCACGATCGCACAATTAGTATTCGTTCTGGCACTGTTGCAAGACCGGAAACCCTACCTCCTCCAGTCGCTACCGAAAAACTACACGCAGGATCAGTATATTGATTCTTAGACGACATAGTTGATGTCCTTGTCTAGTTCAACGACATAGTTGATGTCCTTGTCTATTTGATGTCCTTGTCCTTGTCGTTCTACTTTTAGGGCATTGGCTTCTAGTCAACCAAAAACTCATGATCGTCACATCAAGATAACACTGCTGCTCTTCTAAAAACTACTACGTGCCTACTTCTACTGCTCTACTCTACTAGTGCTACTTCATTAGGTATGATACCTTCGACAGCGAATTCACCGGAGCCTTGGGTTTCGCGACAGCTTGCGGGATACTCGAAACTCTCAGCGTTGTGATGGTCGGCTCAATTAAGACAAAGGTTTGTTGACATTCAGTTCTTGATATCATGGAAAAAATATCGATGATAACGAACAAGAACTTCATCTTCATCTTCTGCATAAGGCCTCACCCTCTAATTCCCCTCTCCTCCTGAATAAAGCTTGCTTCGTGCAGTTTTGTTTTCACTTTTGTGGAGCGATCGCGACCTTCGCATTTGGTATGGCTAATTCTCACTTCGACTATTTCTGGGAAATTTTGGTTCTCTTCACGTTATTACCTGCACTCTTGGAGGTTGCTTCACTCTTTTATCTGCATATAACGCAAGTTCATGGACCATATTTTTAGCACGTAGATGAAAAAATCCTCTCTGGTGCTATTGAGAAATAGGATGGATCCACCATGATTTTCATCTCGATAACATAGCAAAAGTCGACGAGGATGAAATGTTTTCTTCTTGTCGTGATTAGCGTCGATTTAAGCTGTTGATGATGTTCGCAGAAGATCCTTCTGATAGAAAGAGGAAGAAACAGCGACGATCCTTGTGGTCTTCAAGATGCTCGTACTAGATCTTGCATATGAAGACACAGAGGTCCTCTCCTGAGATCGTGAAAGATCCTGATCGTCGTCAGTTCAATCTCACACTTGTTCTCATGAATCGATCATTTCTTCTTGTTTCAACATGAATATACAGGCCCATGTTGCAGCGGTGGCGCAAGAAGCCATATAATGAGTAGTACTTCTACCACCTAGGCGTAACTAGTAGACGATATAAGTAGATAGCCTCATCTCAACATTTTCTGATTGTTTTTGTACCTACTACAACTACTTCTACTTGATTATATTTTTATTTGCGATTATTTTTCAATAATGGCGCCTTTTCTTGAAGGAACTACAGCTACACGCGGAACTCCAGGAGAAGCGGACCCTCCAGGAGATGAAAACCGAACAAAGGGTATTAGCCATGGTGGCGGCTGCGCGTACTCCCTCTTAGAGCTCTTTTGTGGCGTTGGGGGTATGCGCTTTGGCCTAGAGTATGGCGGGATGCCTATTGATCCAAGCCGGTCCCTGGCAGTCGACATAAGTCCCGAAGCCTTGAAAGTATACCGACACAACTTTCACGATGCATTCGAGAAAGACGTTGACGCTGTAGCACTGCCACCAGGAGATGATCGCGGTGCTGCTGGTACTGGTACTGGTGGTGGTCAAAAAACTACTGCTAGAGGGTGTGGAGATGCCAAAGGTGACGTTGACGGAGTTGATCAAGAAGGAGCTAGTGCGAGGGGAGTAGATGATGCCACTATAATTAAGCGAAAGAACAAGAACCAAAAAGCAAAACGACAGCAACGAAACAAGAAAGAGGATGTGAGTGTGCTGACGGCTTGCAGTGTAGATCTTGCTACGGTTCCTCTAGAGTTTTTCATGGGCAAAACGATGAAGGGCGGATCCTCTTCTTCAGGTACAACGCGATCAAGTGCTACTTTATCGAGGAGCTGCGGCCGCTCCGCCAGTCCCGCTCCCCCCGGTTACGATATCTGGACGATGTCGCCTCCTTGCCAACCGTTTTCCCGCCAGGGTCATGGTGAACAGCTCAATGACGAACGAAGTCGAGCTTTTTTGAACATCGTCGATGCTTTGAGGAACTTACCAGAAGATGCGCTGCCTAAATGTTTAATCCTAGAGAACGTCGTGGAATTCAAGGATAGCGGCGCTTGCCAGGATCACTTGTTGCCGACACTGAGGAAACGTGGCTTTTCGGTAGACGAAGTGTCTCTGCTGAGTCCTGATCAATTCGGGTATCCTAATAGTAGAACAAGGTGTTTTGTGGTAGCAACGAGAAGGACTGATCATCCTGGAGAACCAGAACATCATGGAGAACAGTCAAACAGGACAGCCTCAGCTCCTCCCTCGTCGTATTTTCCTCTTCCAGAACATCTTCAAGAAAAACAAGATTCACCTGCTGCTGGTCCTCCTTCTGCTTCTGGCCAACAGCAACGGAGGACTAGAGCTAACGAAATTGAGGTGTTTCAGCTCGACTTTTCCCGCAGTGAAACCCACTGTCCTCACGGCGTCGCCTATAAACCTGGAATGAAGTGCATTGCCGACTTTCTCCAGTTTCGGAATCAGGATGAAGCAGAAGATGTAATTGAACAGCGACCACAATGTCTACGAGGACATAACGTAGACGTGGCCGATCTCGTAATACCAGATACCACATTAGAAAAACGATCTTCAACTACGCTAGACGTCGTTTTTCCTCAGTGCCAACACTCTATGTGCGTTACTAAAGCGTATGGTCGTTTCTTTTGTGGCACGGGGTCGGTCCTAGCGCATAAAGGCGAACCAAGAACTTCCGCGGCTAAAAGAGACTTATACTCTGAAGTCTATCTTAGCAATAGCAAAGAAGGTTCTTGCGATGTCGATGTGCATGCCGATGTTGAAGAGCGACATATAGAGCAGCAGCAGCACACATACATGCGAGGTCCTTGGAGTGGGAGACTGCGTTTTTTTCACCCTTTGGAAGTCTTCGCTTTGATGGGCTTCGTTATATCTTCTACCACAAGCGCGGCCACAAGCGCGGCCACAGCTGGAGCTGTAGATGAAGAAGAAGACTCCAATAGCATTAGCAAAGTCCTCTGTAGAAATTTTTCATTGCCCCCATCGATTACTAGACGCCAGGCTTGGGCTCTTGCCGGAAACTCTTTGAACCCCCAGATTGTGGCGTTCTTGGCAAGAAAACACTTCTTGAGGAAGCCATGGACACGTACTTATTTTTCACCTCGATCCCCAATCGATTCCTGAAGCAAACTGAAACTGTGGAGGAGCGATCCTTTTACAATACAGTACAATTAATCTCGCTTTTTTTTTTTGTATCGTGAGCGAGTTCCGATAAATCAAAACCTACCTGCGTACTTTGCAAGCGAGTTCTCGCACAAAGTTCAGCGCAGACTGCCACTCATTTCTGCACCGCCACGGTCTCACTCTCGGGGTCCTCAGCGAAAAGAAGTAGAAACAAGTGCTCCACCAGAATGAAAATTTTGTTTTCCAGATGATCTGCATTTTCTTCAGTCGAGAAACATGAGCATGACCATGAGCATGACTCTGTTTACCTATAAAGACAAAGAAGTAAGCAGCAGAGACAATTTAGTAAATTCGAGAAGCGCAATTTCCTGTTGGCTCGACACTTCTATTCAGAGGCCCTCTGTGGAGAAAAACGCAAAGAGAAAACGCTGATATCTGTCTCGAAAAAACCAAGGATAGAAGAAGTTGTGTCTGTGAGAACAAGACGGAACCGTTCTACGTATACTCAAACTCTGTGACACCTGCTCCTCAGAGACTATCCGAATCTGTCTTGTGTGTGAGAAGTGATCAAAAGCAAGATATTGCAGGAGTCCCTCAAGAATTGAGATCCAATTTTTCATCCTCAAATTTTCAATCACAGCTTTTCTAGTTTGAAGAGTCGCGTTACTAGTTTCCCTCCAACACTGTCTACCTCCCTTGTTTGCTTCGAATTCAACATTGTTCCTACCTTTGTTTTTCTTTCCAAAACCTATTGAGGAAAGTAACCCCTTTCTTGGTGTTTATCTGGATTTATTCAAGGGAGCATAATATCTTTTTTGAAAGAATAATCCACTGTTCTTGGTACTCAGTTGTAATTTTGTGAAGCTCATCTTCAATCTTGTTCATATTCAAAAATCGATATAACTGGAAAAAGATGATCATGTCGATCATGTTGGCCACACCTGCTACATCTTCGCGAACATCAAGGTCTTATTCGAGGATGCACTTGGACATCGGTGATCCTCGTCAATATCGGACCGCCACGGATAGCACGAGGACCTTGTGGAATAAGAAGAGCAAGAACTTGAGGCTGGAGACCCCCCTTCTGTTCAAGTTTTTGTTTGAAATGTTGCCGCTATTCTTGAAGCTACTCCTCGTGTGGTGCTGCGCGACGACGACAAGTTCTTCTTTCTCGTGTAGTACAACAACATCTAGTACTTGTTCATCTACATCGTGGTCGTTCTTCTTGAGGTGGACACTGACACCAGGAGCATACGCGTCTCGTCAACGAAAGACAGCGATATTCGACATCATCGGAGATGTCTGGGACACTGATTTCCACGACCGCATTTTCGACACAAAGTCAGAAACCAGTGCGACTAATGTTTTTTTCGATTCGCTAGCTGCTTTGTATGAGGCAGCTGGGAAGGAAGAGGACGAATATGATCGCGGCAAGGGTCCCTTTGCATATTTGTTTCAAGAGTCGAACGGTCTGAACCTGAGGAAGTTTGATGCACCTCAGAGCATCCCGCGTGTTTTGCCATGGACTCCTAACCTTGATGAGGAAATCTACGCGGCCACTGCGAAATCGATGGCGCAGGACGAACCACTCGGAGAGATCACCGGACAGGCCCATGAAATACTCCAACACGCGCAGAAGGCACAAACAGCGCTGTTGACTTGCCTAGATCCAAGAGTATTGCTGGAATTGAGCGAAGACTCGATTGCTCGCGATAACTGGCTAGATCTAAAAAGTCTCTTACAGAATGACTTCATTAATGGGAAAGCGCATACGATTCCCGCCCCGAAGCAACACCCTACAAGCCAAACGATGCATCTTCCTGCGTCGCATTATCGCATGATCTACCTCAAGTTAGACGCACCAGCTCAACAGCACTCAGTTTCCACGGGTGGCGGAGCAGCTGGCATTTCTGGTGTTAGAGATGAAGGAGGAGATTCCGTCCCCATGATGGGTAAGAAAACCCTTGACCGCGACGAAGAGCCGCGTAGTCGTCCGCTCAAGAAACAGAAAACTTCCACTTCCGCAGAAAATCTTTTTCAGAGATTGGGCGGCAGCAAAATTCCGAACCTCCATGACCATGCTCACATTCGCATTGATGAGTTTTCTGAGCAGGGTGAAGTAGAGGACCTTCATGCAACAACTGCTGCCAGCCGTGGTGGCCGTGGAGTTTCTGTTTCAGCTGTTGACATCAGAAGTTCAAATCTCCTTATTTCTCCGATGCATTTGACCATGGTTTCTTGTGACGCTCTTGCAGAAGTAGACGATGTCGAGCGCGCAGGACCAGGAGCACAAGAACACTCGCATACGCATTCCGCAGCACATGATCCTTGTGCGGGATACTTCAGTTTGGGCGGCGAGGCAAAGCTAGAGGATCCCTCGACGTGGGGATCGGAGGATGCGCGAGCCCTGAAGAACGCACTTGCTAATCAAGAACAACCAGCCACATCAAGAACTACTCCTTCATCCGCTTTTCCTGCCTTACGTGCGATTCGTGCTCATTTGCACTTACGAGACGAAACTGGGGAGTACAAGAGTGCAAAACTCGTTATGCGCAGGGTTGTACGTGATGCGACCACCGGTTCCGCAGTCCGCATGGAACAGGTAACGCTTCTCGCAGACTTGCTGAAAAAGAATCGTTATTCCACTAAAGAAGCCGCTATGAGCACGATTTATCGTCATCCTCAACAGGATCGTGGTCGTTTCCAAGGTGGTCATGGTGCTGGCAGTGGCACAGGAGTTGGAGTAGAAACTGGCGTTGGCGCTGCGACACTTGTTCAGAACAAGAAGCTTCCGTGGCATCCGGTTTTGGCTCAAAGTTTGAACAGCTACTGGGTGAAAGTGAGAGCTACAGTGACGACACCGATCAATCTTGTGGTCTCAAAAGAAGTTCGAGCATCTGGACCTGCGGAAGGCGAAGGATCTACGGCTGCGGAAGGAGTCTCCTCATCTCGTGGCTCTGCTTCTACCACTTATCTTCAATCTGAAGAAGACGCCAATGCCTTCATTCATTGGTTTACACGACCCGACATGTTCCCCGATGATGTCCCGGATATTGCTCCATCCGGAGGTGCAGGGACCACTGCACCTGGTGGGGAACCTGGACCCGGATCAGCAGCAGCAGCAACAGCAGCTGCTGCGTCGCCTTCGCCGTCCGCAGGAGGATCCGCTGGAGCTCCTGCTTCAGGAAGTGGAGGCGACCCGCTCACGACCTCTTCACGCCTCTTTCTTCCTCTCCTCTTATCGAAGACGACGGCTAGTACCTTGAGTGAACAACAGCAGCAACAACAAGTGGAGCTTTCTTCCGACTCCTCCAAGAAGATTTTGGGTTCGTTTCCCTCTGAGGACGTCAGTTCATTGTTAGACTACGTGATCAATCAGGCGCGCACACGCTACCGCCTCCAAGAGATTTATCAGGCAGCCCGAACGGTGGGCAGAGACGCGACAATGCTTGCGGAGAGCCTGATTGCGCAACCTATCTTGGACGCCTTTCGAGACCGGAAGAGGGAAATGGACACCGCGTTTATTGCGGGACGCGCCACAAAACGTTTCTTTGATGATCAATACATGACGTTTCTGCGCGATCCGAAGGACACCCAAAGCATGATTCCTCTTGATGGGTACAAACAAGAGGTCGCCAACCTTGAAGCCAAAGGCAATGGTTTTTATCGTTTCGGAGACGCAGCAGCGAACTGGCGCGTGCGCATCGTCAGCGAACGTTTTTGCGAAGCTGCTCCGGGCAGAACGCGCACCGGGGGCGCAGGCACAGGAGGAGCGATACTAGGATTAGTAGGAGACACTAGTAGTGCGAGTGACCGCCCAATGAGCCTCGCTGGCAGAATAATCCTCCCGCACCTGCAGATCAGTTTGGCGGACTCGGCAGGGAATGCGGCGACGAAAATTCCTTACAACCTCTTCCTCTACTTAGAAGATGGAAATAGGGCATCATCATCAAACCCATCACCGTCACCACAACTCTCCGCCAAAGAAGCACGTGTTGCAAATCTGTTATTTACGGATGCTTTTTTCCGTCTTTTGCTGAAAAATGCGCATCGCTACAGCAGGAACGACGCCTACGACAAGGACGTAGATTCCGTACACAGGTCCTTGTACACTCTCCAAGGCAACACGGTCGACAAGGCGACACAATGCGTACAAGCGCAAGCGTCGCTGCAAGCACAGATCGAACAGTACGAAAAGGATGCTCAGGAGCTTCTAAAGAAAGAGGACACTCCTGAAGAAATGGCATCTTCTAGCGAAGTAGAGGATGAAAAGGACGTCGAGATGGTCGACGTAGCAGATGAAGAAGAAGATGAAGAGGAAGGGGTCGAGAGTGAGGCAGAAGATGCTCATGCCTCTGGTGATGCTCACGCCGCTGCTGGTGCCGTTGGTGCCGCTTCTGCAGAGGTCGGGTCTGATGGTGGTATTCGTGTGACCACGAGAAAGCCAAAACGAAAGGCCCTTGTGGGTGTTCCTCCTATGGCTTTGAAGGTGAAGAGAACAAAGGCGCATCTGAGATTGGCAGCTGCGCTGCGACTGCGAGCCAAAGATGGCATTGCGCGGCGAGACGCGATACGCGTCTCTGTTTTGGACCTGCTGAAAACGCAAAATGAGTTCGAGGCACAACTTGCTTTGCTCAGGGAAAGCACGCAACATCTTCCTCTTCACGGTACTCCGTCTGCCAGTGGTTCAGATACTGAGGAAGCACCTGTACAGCCTCCTACATCTGCTCCTGCAGGAGCAGCTACGACTCGGCAAATACAGCGCGGCTCAGCCGCGACCGCGGCTCGAAGTCGCATTGTGACCCTCCTGGAGCAGTGGCAGACACAGACAGAGTCCTTGAAAACTCTGTGGGAGACACTGGAGGTGCAAGAAGATTACGCACGTTTGGGTTACCCCGTGGCTTCCTTCGCTCACGCAGTCGTTGCAGGTGGCGGGACCGGTCAGATCGACACGCAGAAAATTTTTGGACAACAAAATGTTGACTTCGATACTGCGTTTTTTGATAGTGTGGTTGTGTTATACACTGACGAGCACCAGCTCAACAGCGAATTGTACAACATGGACAAAAGGATAAAGAAGATGCCCAAGAAAGCTGATGCGTTACGTATGTTACATGATAGTTTTCGACTTCGGGAGAACACAGGGGATCCTGTTGCCGAGGAAAGCATTCTCGAGTCGATGACAGACTCTGTCGCTGCTAGTGTTAGGTCGAAATCTGGAGCCCGTGGCACTGGTGTTTACATTTGGCCATCAGATATGGAAAAATTACTCAAGACCCTTGCTTCGTCTGGAGGTCGTGGGCGTGGTAGTGGTAGTAAAGAGGCTCAGCAACAAGCAGCAGCAGACGAAAAGCGCTACTTGAATGATATGGCACAGGCTTTAGAGACGCTAGAAGAGCGGGGACGCGCAGCAGCTGGCTCTTTTTTCGATAGAGTTCGAATCCTGCGCAGAATGGAGGCTAGCGAAGTCGAGAAGAAGTATTCAGCTTTTACTCCGCAACTAGCGCATCTGATGCTCGCAGTTCCATCCAGTCACCTCTTCTCTTCCTCGCCAGGCTACGAGAATCTGCGTGATACCATGATCGCGCAGGGTGGATCATTAGAATCTCGAGGAGGACTCGGTGTTGCTGGAATTGTTGGAGCGAGTACAACGGGGAGTGATAGTCAACTTCCGACTGGTGACCCTAGGACGCCAGCTCCTGGCTCGAAACCGACATCAACACCTAGTACGCAACCTCCTGGCTCTGACGAAGACGAAGCGAAGCGAAGCGCTAATATGCTTCTTGGGGATGGAGCTGGTTTCGCTAGCGTATCGGAGCTCTTTGCACACGACGTCTCATTTGATCCTAAAGAGGGGGTGTCGGTTGCTGAAGACATCCAGGACTTGGGCAAGAAGCGAGCGCGCCTCTCGACGAGCGTGGCGCTTTCCGATGTGGGCAGATACATGCGGTACGCAGCTTTGCCCTCTGAGGCCCTCGGCTTGGGCGCGGCACTTTCCTATCAAGCGCCTACACGAACGGCAGAAGTTGTGCACGTTGGGGACTTTTTGCCGGTGATTCCTCAGCCGAAGGCGCTCCTCGACAAATCAGGTGGAGTAGATGATGAATCGTGCCGAAATTTCCAGATGATCCATCCTCGTCCGGCTGACGCTGAGTATCAGGCAACTGCTTATCGCTGCGCTGGGCGTCTGCTGCACGTACCCCGACTGCCACCACGGCACGAGTTTGATCAGGCAGAGCATGGGAGACTAGAGAACTACGAGAGCACTCCTGTTTCTAGAGAACGAGGACATGGACACCACGGTAGTCTGAAACCCGGAGAAGAAGAGCCTTATGATGGCAATCTTGAGGTCTCCACAAAGTACCTTCTACGAGAGCAGCTACTACGACAAGAACAGGTAGATGAGGTGGACCCACGTCATCAGCAAGGCATGTTGGCCCGTCCCCGTGGGGTCTTGTACACACACTTGTTGAACGAGTTTGCCATTGCAGCGTCGTGGGCGTCCAAAACAGGACCAGGAGGAACTACAACAGGTGGCTCATCTTCGCCATATCCTTCTTTTGTTGAAAGTGGACAAGAACTCCATGACTCGCTGTTGATGGTCCGAGTGAACAGCGTGGAGAGCTTGCTTCAGCGGGTACTCGAAACTCAGGACAAGCGACTGATTTACCAGGTTTTTGAGCATTACGATCATTTTCGACACCTGCTAGTTCCCTCGTATTGGAGGCTGTTTCTCAATCGGGGACAGTATGAACCAGTTTACACCGGCAATCCACTGGAGCGACACGAAGACCGCATTGCCAACACTCTGAGCAACGAGGCAATCACTCTGTACATACAAAACAGCATGCAAGCTCAAGAGGAGTATCAAGCTCAAGAACCACATCAAGCTCAACCTCAACATCAAGAGCCAGACGAGGATGGTCCACCTCAAGGAAGGAAGCCTCCCAAGTTCCATCCTCCTTCTACAAACTTGAAGAATGACGTCCGCAACAGTTTTATGCGGACAGCAGCTAGAGACCCACGACTTGATGGGCGCTTACCGCCTTTCTTTCGAGATCTAGTCGCATTGTGTAAGGAGGTTCCCGCAGTCCGAGAGGAATGGCGAAAGCAGTCGATGGACACCAGGTTTGTAGTAGGTAGCAACATCGAACAGGACTCTCCCTTAATTTATGGCTCGAAGATACAATTTATTTCCAAAGATGATGAGGGTCTCAGTTGTGTCATTTTCTTCGTTTTCCTTCTTAGGATTCTGAAGAAATGAAGGCAAGAAATGGAATCTTTTGGGCTCTAATCAATAAGACTCGCGAAAGACAATAGGTTTTGGGCGTTTGATCTTCTGCTCAGTCTAGAAACTACCAAAGATGACGGCGTCGAGTATCGAAACGTTTACACACGTGCATTGGAGCATCCGAACAAAAAGCGAAGGACGAGCAGCGGCACAAGAGCTCCTGCCCCATCTGCTCCTGGAGATCATGACGGACATTTTGAATTTTATCAAGATCAAGGATCTTTACATGACGAACAATTCGATGGAACAAGAGTGAACGAGGAGAACGTGGTGGAACCCTATGTGCGGCAAATCGGGACTACGTTTACTTTTGAGGGTAAAAACGCAGTTTCCGATTTGCTCCGAGAGAGCGTCGCACTGAGGGAGGAAGTAGACGCCTTCGAGAACATGCTTGATGCTCTGATAAGGAAGGACCATGGAGACTCGCACCAGTTAATGTTGGTTGAAGCATTTCATATTTGCATGAGCATGCTCTATTTGGCGCATTTCATAAAGAAGAAAAGTGTCAAGAATTTAATGTAAGGCTGCAAATATGAATTGTTTCAATCTTTAAACAAAGGCGGAGGCGAGGCGATAGTAGTAAAATGGAGCCGATTTCGAGCGCTTCTGAATGCTGTAACGAGTGGATCCATCGATATCATTTTCTTAGAACGCTACTTGCACCAAGCGGAGCAAGACGACATGCTTGAAGCCGTCTTATACCCGCGGCGCGTTCAAGCGCGCAAGCAGGCAGCTCAAATCCACACCATTCTAGAGGAAAATCGAAAGATCATGTTGAATCTGCAGGAGCTGGCGAAAGGTGGCAAGTCCTCGTTAACAAAGATGTCCGCAAGAGCTCAGGAAGCGGAAAGTATGGAAGATTTTTTAGAAGAGATGAAGAGAAAAGAGCAAGAGCTTCTTGAGGAGTTGCAGGAACTAGAATTAAGGGTTGGGCGTTGGCATCTCTATGAGCATCTCTATGCTTTCTTCAAGTAGGAAAGCCATTTAGATATGCGAGCCGGAGCGGTCAACGTTCAACCCCTAATAGAAGTGTTTGCAATGCCGCAGTTTCTCAGTTCTTATGAAGCGGCTTTCTCCGGTGGATTTTGCAGCATTCCATTCACGGACAAGATCATTGCAACTCTTTCCACCAGCATTACGAGGAAGTTTTTTGTCCAACCACACGAAGCACAAACTACAAGGGAGAAAGACACTAAGACTTTGGGCGACAAGGATAGGGAGCCAGAAAAAGTGGCTTCCGACATTCAGAGACGAATCAAGCTGTTGAAACAACACGCCTTAACTATGGACGACCCTCTAACGCCGATTAGCAACATGATCGTAACAAAACTTCCTATGAGCCAAGCGCCACGATGGGTTCTCGAGAAGTCGCAACAGTATGCACTACTACAAGGACACATATTTCCTCATGGTCGTTTTTCCACTAGTAGAAGTACTAGTAAAGATCTTATATCTATTCCGCATCGGACTCCAGGCCTGCCACCGCTACCGTCACTCTCTTGGAATCAAGTACGTAAAAGTGCGATGTTGGCGTCATCAAGTTCTTCGAATTCTTTAGCTGAAAGCGAGAAGAAGCAAAAGCATGATCTGTTGAGCCTGCTATGGAGTTCGGATTATCGACTGCAAACATTGACGAGATCAGAAGCGAGCAGTCTCGCAGACACGCGCGCAAAGGCCTACGAGCTAATTAAACAGACCTACTTCACAGAAAGAGAAACTACTAAATCGAGAGCTGCGAAGAAATCAAAAGGTGACCCAAAAACTGAAGATCCTGTCAAGAAATACCTAGGGTCCACTGTATCTTGGCGCAATGGGAAGGACTTTCTGCAGGCTTTTCTGGCTTTGGAGGAGTCCAATAGTATATTAACTAATGATGGAGATGATGAAGAAGCGCTTATGAAGATGACGAGGGGTGACAGTGACTCATCCGGGGACAGCTCGCAAAAAAGTGGCACCTCGACATTTGGCAAGTCAGTAGAACGTCGACTCGCGCCAGAACCGCATAAATCCTCAATGTGGTTCTACCTTCCCACCTCCCTCAATCCTGGTTCATTCGTCACCGATTATGACCCTAATGAAGAGGAGAATGAAGTCTATGGTCTACTGGAACAAAAACTCTTTTGCAAAGAATCTCCGATTCCTCCAAGAGAGGAGCCGGAAGCTCCTTCGAAACCGAAAGGTGCTGCTGGATCTGCTCAGGCTAGTGCTGCTGCTGCTTCTGCTGCTGCTGCTTCTGCCGATGCGATGGGATCTGCTTCTGCTGCTTCTATTCGCGACGAGTCCGAGTGGTTTTCTAATCCCGATCAGCGGTTTTGCGACCGCTTGAACAAGGACAAACTGCTAAAACGCGCAGAACGTGCAGAGGGTCAGCAAATACGGCAAACGACTGGGCTGATTGTCCAGCTGAAGCCTAATGAGTGGCATGTAGACGCCTTAGAGCGCTTTCACGGTCTAGAGAAGCCAACGCCTGGCAGCGGATCCGCTTTTTTAGAAGAAAACGACGATGTTGTGGACCCATTTTTCAGTCGGAATCATAGAGTCTCAATGACGAACTTAGAGAAATTGACCCAAGCCGAGAAGCTTTTCGCAAATACTCCGTTTACGCCGGTTGTGGTGATGCCATTTGCTTCGTCGGTCAAGTACACCACTGAGAAAACGGTCGGCAAATCACACAAACAGTTGGACGAAGCACGCTATGAACAGGAAGAGTATCGCATGGCTCTCAAAGTACATTCTTTGTCGTTGTCTAACCCTAAGACGGCCGCAAAGAAACTGGCAGAGCTTGCTGTGATCCAGGACGAAAGAGACGCCCTGCCACGTACGACGAACTTCAACCGCCCTGAGAGTTCCAACGATGAGGGATCTAGTGGAAGTGGGGATGTTAGGGCGACGAAAGCAGCCGCAGCGAAGCTAGAAGAGATTAAGGAGCGCTTTAGAACAAATCCCGACCGCAGAATGGACAAGAGCTACGGAAAGAACCCTAAACTTATAACACAAGACAAACTCTTCTCAGCAGCCTCATCCTGGTCAGAGCTTCCCTATCACCCAGAAACCGCTGCTCAGTCTCTTGTGCGCACGCAGAGATCAAACTTCATGAAACTCGTTTTCGCGACCGACGAAAACGAAACCGGCGATCCAGATCCTAACGAAAAACAAGATAGAGGGCATTCTACCTGTGCCGCCTACGAATTCACGGCTAGTAAACAAGGTAGTTTGTCGAAAACTCAGATGAAGCTGGACTACATGTGCTTAGCGACGTATGAGGCACAGCTGGGGAACCTAGTCCCGGGAATTCACTTCCCTCACAAGAACGTCGAACAAAACGCTCTTCTGAGTACAACTCTAGGAAAACTACAACAACAACAACAACAAGAAGCGACAGCTAGAGGAACTACCTTCGCAGCGACTAGCACGAGCAATGAGGATGCCTCCTTCTACGGTGCGCAACTTGCTAGAGTGGCCAGTATCTTCGCGGACGCGCACTTGAAGCAAGGAAAGCCTGCTATTACTGGCGAGGAGTTAAAACAAGTGACACGGGGACTTCTAGATTTTCCTCTGCCAGAGGAATTCATGTTCCCGCATCCTGGAGCAGCACGAGCACAAACACAGCAGCAGACGCTTAGTCCTACTCCAACAACCTCTTTCATAGCGAGATCATCGCGCACCCGTGTGGTGGAAGTGGAGCGATTCAACGTGGAAAGTTTTATGCACAGCTACGTGCTTAGCACCGCGCTGAAGTCGCTGTTTGCCGAAGGGTTGGGCCCAAACAGTGTCGCTGTGCCGATCCCTGTCGGGTTTGCGGACAGCGTCCCCATGAAAGGCCTGCCCGAGACCTTGCTGCAGACTGCGGCGCCGGATGTTTTTGCGACTGCTATTCTCGATGTTGAGGAGATGCGGGCCTGCGAACGGGTCACACTTAAGCTGGCAGAAATCGCGCAGAGCACTTCAGCGAATAAAGGAGGACTGCTGGAGAAAGTTGAAACCCACTTAGAAGATATTATGAATTTAAGTCCTCATCAAGCAGGTGAAAAAGAACATTTTTCTGCGGAGGATGAAGAAACAATACACGACCTGTGGAGCGAATACGGACGTGATGTCGAGGCCTTGAGGGGTAGGGCGTCACCACCAAAAGCCTCACCAGCAGCAAGAGCCGAAGCAGTGAAAAGGAAAGGAAAGAAGGGCAAGGCACCTGCAAGTGCAGCAACCGCAGCGGCCGCGCCTCCTGAAGCAGAAGCAACAGAAGCAGCACCTTCAGGTTCAGCTCCGGACGTTCCCACGGATGAAGCGCCGGACGCGAAAAAACAAGATGAAGAGGTCCTCGATTTTGGGTCCGATCCATGGTACACGCAGATGAGTTGGCCACAAAGGGTTGCGCGGATAGCACATATCACGCGACAGGACCAACACCGCTTTACACCATGGCTTCATCAGGTGGAGCAAGATCTTCTAGCCCGGCGTCGCGGAGACTATGCGCAAGTCATGCGGCACTTCGTCCGAGGTACCCGCAGCATGGACGGTGAAGTTGTTCATACCTACATTAATGGGGCTTCCGTGTTCGCAGAACAGGATCAAGAGGAAGATCGATCGTTTGTTCTTTCAAAGGAGCACGAGGGCGGCCCTCCTTTGGTGTTTAGGCCTGAGTCCCCACAAAGCAGACAAAAGCGGCGTATGAAAGAATATTGTCACGAAACTTTGGATCCTACACATACCGACGCTCCAGCTGCAGCCGGAGCATCACCACCCCCAGAAAGTAAACTACCTACTCCGGACAGCGTTACGCGCCTGTGCCGAATGGGTTTGCATACTAGAAGGCTAGCTGCGAACCTCTGGAGCACGAGTCAGGAAGCGCTTTCCCGTGATCTATCAAAAAGTGTTGCGGCTTCTCGAAACACTCTACTGCAAACTCGCAACCAAAGACTAATCGGAGGTCTGGGACCTACTTCCGCGGAAAAGCTCCGAGAAAAAGAACAAGAGGCTAGTGAGGACAATGCGATTCGCTTGCTTGCGCAGCAAGTGCAGCGTGTGGAGCGAGAGACGGCGTTTCTAGCATGGAGTCTAGAATTGAAGGCTCGCGCCGTCGCAGAGATGCTTTTGCGGTTGATGCGGCCGGAAGTGTTTTTGCTCAGCCCTGCAGGGTTCTCTACCTCGACCCTGCACGGCAACGGCCTGCAGAGTTTGCGCGACATGCTAGCCACAGCGCTGGACCTCTACACACGAACCTACGATGCTTTCGTGCACCCTTTGCGTCTCGAAATCCAAACGATCGTCGATGAACTGCGCTTCTTTCTTCATGATGATCGAGAGAAGCGAGGTCGTGGCGTTCAAGTGCGTGCAAACAGAAGCCACATCAAGGCTACAATTCCGCGTCCTCACGATAAGCATACCGTGTATCTCTCTGACTTAGAGCCGCGTGAGGAGAGCCTCTTCTGGCAAACTTACCGCGAGGTGCGGAGTGTAGCTGCTCAGAAGACAGTGAAAGGAGTTGACGTTGCGGAAGAGAGCACCCTGAGACAAGAAGGAGAACGAAAAGAAGAACCAAAGGATCATGATCAACCTCGTGGTCAAGTGAAACTGGGACATCCAAAAGAACGACTTCAGAATCTTCTTCTACAGCAGCGAAAGCACAGGGCAAAGGCAAAACCTCAAATCGACGCGAGGAGAAGTGAGGAGGGTGATCTCCCTCCTGAAGGAGTAGGAGTACAGTCTGAACACCAAGAAGAGGAAGGGCTGAGCATCTTGGAAAAGAAATTGGTAGCAGCTAAAATCGTATCTGCGCATGCGCTTTCTGCAGCTAAAAAGGGTACTTAATTTTTACAAATTTTTACATTTCATCGACGGATTAAACAATACTCCACATATTAGTATTTATAGGGTTAGCAATAATTTGCGAAATCCTTAAGAGACTCCTTTAAGTGGCTTCCTTAAGGAAAACCCTTTTCCTTAAGGAATTTCTATTACAAAAAGTTATTATAACTTTCCTTAAGAGAAAAAAAATTCCTTAAGGAAGCTCCTTAAGGAAAAGTTGTAATAGCCCTTGGCTAATATTAGACCCCTCCTTAAGGGATTCGCAAGGACTCGCAAGGCTCTCTAAAGCCCTTGCGCTGCTAGTGCTACGAGTTCAAAGGCACCGCGAACATGTTAACGCGTTCACGGCTGTTAGTTTGTAGGCTACTCACGTACCCAGCCACATCTGCAGCAGGACACTACGCGACCCCTAGCGAATCGCCCCAACGAACTTCCAGCCGCTACCCTTGTTATTTATCGCCCGGCGCCTTTACTTTTTTCCAAAAACTTCAGGGAGGTCATTCAAATACAGAGAAAACGGAGCGACCTCCCTGAAGTTTTTGTAAAAAAGTTAGCTCGCTCCCCTTCCGCGACTACCTTCCGCACACAGCAATCGACCACAGGAGCGCGCGGCAGCCCTTGGAGATGGTTAACCAGTATACTTCTAGTTCTAACCAGCTCACCAGGGTCCACCCTTCAGCCATGCAAGTCCTCACGGCTATCATTCCCACAGACATCGACATCCTCAACGGCTTCGACTTTCACGCACAGCGGTGAATATCTTTCTTTGGCCTTCTCATGGATATGATGACGCTCACCAGGGTCCACCCTTCAGACATGCAAGTCCTCACGGCTATCATTCTCACAGGCATCGACATCCTCAACGGCTTCGACTTTCACACACAGAGATGTATATCTTTGGCCTTCTCATGGATATGATGACGCTCGCAAGGGTCCACCCTTCAGGCACGCAAGTCCTCACGGCTATCATTCTCACAGACATCGACATCCCCAACGGCTTCGACTTTCACACGCAGAGGTGTATATCTTTGGCCTTCTCATGGATATGATGACGCTCACCAGGGTCCACCCTTCAGGCATGCAAGTCCTCACGGCTATCATTCTCACAGACATCGACATCCCCAGCGGCTTCGACTTTCACACACAGGGGTGTATATCTTTGGCCTTCTCATGGATACGATGATGCTCACCAGGGTCCACCCTTCAGACACGCAAGTCCTCACGGCTATCATTCTCACAGACATCGACATCCTCAACGGCTTCGACTTCCACACACAGAGATGTATATCTTTGGCCTTCTCATGGATATGATGATGCTCACCAGGGTCCACCCTTCAGACATGCAAGCCCTCACGGCTATCATTCTCACGGACATCGACATCCTCAACGGCTTCGACTTTCACGCGCAGGGATGTATATCGTTGGCCTTCTCATGGATATGATGATGCTCACCAGGGTCCACCCTTCAGGCATGCAAGTCCTCACGAAGCCGTTGAGGATGTCACCTCCCCAGCCTTCCCTTCCTTGACACAGTGGGAGCCACCTTCCCAGCCTTGGCGAGCAGACTTGGCGACTTTTTTCCTTTGTCTTTCTGTCTCTTAGTAGTCAATCCGTCTAGTTGTTAACCTATGCCCGGCGCAGCGGGCCCTTGATGGGCCCGCTTTCTGGGCATGTAACTATACTGCGAGATATCCAGCAAGGATCGTATCAAACGGAGTTCATATAAGTACATAGATAGCACGTAATATTGGTTTTGGTTGTATGTGGTCTGTGCTTATTCTCTTTTTCTACTGTCTTCCCGCTTCATGTTCTTGTCAAAGGGTGATGCGTTCGGGAGGTTCTCTGGTAGCTTTGGATCCTCTCGTTGTCCCAGTCATCTTCATCTAGAAGAACAACAAGATAAACAATTCATCAAAAAATATACTAATAGCTAAGTATCAACTTTCAATGGTCACCATTGAGATTGGGGTCACTGAGATCGAAGAGGCGACCCCTTGAGAGAACAGGGGAAAACGAAGGGAAAGAAGGGGGTAGCTTCCGTTCAGAGTCAGTGACCACTGAATGCTGAGCTTTAATAATAGCTATCAATTAATTTCAAAATCAAGGTCGTGCTCTTGCACCAACAGCGAATGGAGGTTTTTCAGGACGTTTTTCAACTTCTTCACTCGGAGCTGTTGTTTCTCCGTATCGGTCTGTATTGCATGATCGCTTGCTGTTAAGCTCCCGCACGATGCGAGACGCGGAACGCGCGCGTCGGCTTTTTCTCCACAACCAAAAGAGAGACGGACTGTACCCAGAGGGGGGTGCCGGTGCCTACTGGATGTCGGTCACACACCACGACCTCAGTAATCATTTGGTCCCGTGGCGCACCTTTGACGCCTTTCCGAACTTTGCGGCTGTTGACTTAGCGTCTTTGCAGAAAAAGGCAGAGGAACGACAAGGCCTGTGGCAAGCGCGCATGAGGCGGCACGCGATGCGCGCAGTGCAACGAGAATTGCTCTCCCACTGGCTGCTAGAAAAGGTACACCCGGCTTATATCGACAAGTTACTGAAAGAAGGCCGGCCTGAAGATGAAGAGAAGGAGAGGCAATATTTGGACGTAATGATCATGCAACTTCCTGTCTACAGCTTATTAAAGCATTTTGGCGGAGGTGGCAGCGGCAAGATGAAGGACCTGGATGACCCTGATTTTGCGAAGAGAGAAATAAAACCGCTTTACCTAAGGCACGACCATCCTGGAGCCTCTGATATATTGGAAAGCAATTTAGTACAGAAGAACCCGTTTCCTTTTGACATTCATCAACCGGGACACCAGTCGAGCATAAAGGAGAGAGTGAAAGCGTTTATCTCTGGTAGAGGAACGAGCTACGATGCGGCTGTGAAATATATGGCCTCCTTCTTTGCATTTTGGGCCCTTAAATTCTACCAACTTGTTGCAGAACAAGCAGCTGAACATGATGTAGCCGCGGTGCGGCTTCTGCAGAGGATTCGAACTTGGTATCACATCCTCCATGATTGGCGAACATCGGAGAATTCGGAGGAAAATGATTTTGTAGAAAGAATGGCTTCATCCAGCAATGATCCGTTTCTTCTTAATGCACTCCCAGAAGATGAAGCTCGTCTTCTAGTTTTACCCGACGAAGTGACAAGTTTTATTGCAGATGTCGTGGCCGCGCAAATGTCCCCGCAAATGTCCTCTTCACCTGGAAGAACTCCTACAGTTCTTGATGAGATAGAAGTGCCCGAAAGTGGTTGCGAAACTCTTACTGAAGCTTTGAACGCGGCCTTTCGTGCGGTCTTTCTTCTTACGAAAGAGCAACACGAGGGAGGAGCAATTGGTCCAATTGGTCGTGGAGGTGCAGATCATGTTCTTGCTGTTACTACGGTATCCGGCTTGGAAGTACACAAGTACAATGACTATCTTCGTACAGTTGTTTTAAAGCGCGAACAAGCTGCATTCACCAAGATGAGGACTTTTCATAACTATCATGAAGGTCGTGGTGTTGAAGGAGCTATGCCTATGGGGGGTGCCTATCGTGGTTCACAGCCAGCAGTCGTGCTCCCACCTCCCATAACTATTGGGTACATTTTTGGAGGTGAAACGGAGCCTGCTGCACAGTGGAGCCGTCGGGCGTGCGGAATTTCTACGCAAGAGGACTTCAAGCAGTCCGTTGGCCGTGTCCTCTCTATCGTCGCAGGCGCGTCTGACGCGGTGTCACTACTTCGCTCGATGACAGAAATTCACGAGAGAGCTGGTAGGCAACGCCATATTACGGATGCATCAGAAGGCGTGCGCGAATTGGTCACTCTGCACCAAAACCAAATCTTTTTAGATGAACTCGATGAAGCCAAAAATACTGTCAATGCAGACCTAGGAGTAGGAGTAGGTGATGTCGTTGTAGGAGACCGTCATGCAATTGTGTTCCCTCCACCCATTTTGCGGATGGGTGAAAAAGGGGTAGGAGAACAAGTTTCTGATAGAAGCATGTTCGAAGAGCAAAATTCGCAAATACGTCAGTTAAGGCTCCTTGGGGAGATCCATCTTCCTCAGCATCTTGGTCCCTTTTTGAAGGGAAAACGGGCACCAAGATGCTCACCAAGATGGATTTTTGCAAGGTTTAAGTCAGGCGACAGCTTTGCTCCGAAAGGATGGCGCGACGCTTTCAAAAGCTAGGCGAGAACTGCAGAAGCTGAAGTCTTTGCATCTTGCAACGACTTCAAGAAGGGGACAATTCGAATTAATGAAGGCAGATGCTGACGCAGTGCTTCTCGCAGATCCTTCGACAGATTTGCTCGGTGATGAATTTCATTCCCAAGAAGTAGTAGACCACCATCAAAATGACAAAAAGTTGTTTGGTTTGTCCTTGGCACCTTCTTCGTGGCGAAGGATGTTAACCGTGGAACCGCAGTCATTTGACACCAAGAATGGGAGACAAGACATACTCCAGTGTCCGCTGAGAACACTCAGCTGGCGCAAGGAGGACAGAACAACGTTGAACCACAGCATAACGGAGACTGCAGCAGCCATGCGGGCTTTTGTTCGCGCTAACGTAATCGAACCACTGGGGAACACACAGGAACTTGCTCGTATTGAATACTTTTTAGCAACATCTGCGACTTCTGGGTCTGGTGCAACGGACGGACGTGAAGGCGCCGAACCTCCTCAACAACTTCAAGGAATGGGGGCGGAGGGCCTGGACACCCAGGCTCGTCCCCTTCCAAAAGCGCCACTACCAAGCTTCTTAGAACGAAAGTCGGCCGGAGGCGGAGCGCCAGCTGCATCAGGTTCTGGTCCTAGTGATCGAGAATCGCTACCGGAGCCGTCAGTCCCTCCAGTCGCGCTTCATCCTCCATCGGGTTGTGACGGAGAGGAGCCTGAGGGTGGAGATGCCATCTTCAGCCCGAGGAGTAGGACGGCTGCAGCTGAAGATGGCATCGACGCTGCAGCTGACTCCCATAGAAGTACTTCTGGCGCTTTACCAACTGCAACGGAAGACTCAAACAGGATGCGACGCTTAGACGCGATTCGATCTGCTTTGAATAAGCAGGTGAAGAAGACAACCTCTACTAGAGGTGGAAATGAAATTCTTGATACTGATGGCGGTCGCAGAACCTCTGTTCCCGCTGGTCGAAGTGCGATACCTTCTTTTGGTGACATCGGCGCATGGTACGTGGATCCTGGGAAAAAAGCGAACGGTGGTGAAGCCGCTATCAGAAGGGATGCCTCGTGGCAGCAGGGCATCGCAAATGCGCATGCAATGCTGAATTTCTATTTGCAACGCACCCTTCTCGAAGGTGCGCTGTATGTGAGTAGAACACCAGCGCCGATGGCCTCTGGAATGTCAAAAATGTCTTCTGGTGTACCTCCCGGTGATGGCAACACTAGAAGTACTGGCACTCGTCGTGCAACAGACGAGACTACTTCTAGAGCTACACCCACATCAGAGACTACTTCTAGAGCTGCACACCATCAACGGCTCCTTTCACCACGCCTCGCAACTTGGGGAAAGTGGATTACGCAAGTTCTTGGCATGCGCGGTGGGGCGCTAAAGGTGCTAGTAAACCCTGCAACAGGCGTGCAAGAAAGAGTTCAGGTCGCCTTAACCATGTATGCGGATGGTTTCCTCACGGAGCTCGACACGACAGAAGGTGATGACGATGGTGATAATGATGATGTTGATGTTGGTGCCCCTCAAGAACAAAAAGAAGAATTCGAAAAAAGTGATGAGACACAGGAGGAGGGGACGGGTGGAAAAGCGGCAACGAAGAGTCCGTGGAATAGGGTATACCCCGAAGCAGAGTGGTCGGAAAGCTGGGAGGAATTGAGGCAATCTGGAAAAGCCGACGTTTTGTTTACGTTCCCTGCTGTAGCTCCTCTGACCGACATGATGGGCCCCACCACTGCATATGCCCATCGCACCCTTGACAAGAATCTACAATTTTCAAAGGGCAGAGTAAGAGAGGATTTGGATGAAGCTGAGACCGAGTCCGAGACGAGGGCAAGGACTTTCCGTCCGCCAAGGAAGCAAGTGCTATTGAACGAATTTAGCCAACACTCGCCTGAGTCGGATCAGTTTTTGTGGGGTGTCCCGGAGGAAAACTGGACTAGCGTGATCAGCAGAGGCGTTGCGAAAACGCTCATAGTAGACAGCAAAAAACAAGAAGTCGACGTACCAAGACAAGTTGGAGGTGCCCAGCAGAAACCCACTAAGGCAGAGTTGCAAGGAGACCCCATGATGACTGTCTTCGGCATGAGTAGCCAAGACTTTGGAAAGCCAGAACTTCTGCCAGAGATGGAGCGATACCTTGCACAGTTTCGAGACTTCTTGATTCTAAGAGAGTTGATGCAGAGCATGGCATCCAAGATGGATGTGCTCTGGCTTGATGCGTGGAGGATCCAGAGAACCGCAGGAGATGAAGACGTCACAGTTACACCTTCCAGCACCCCTGCTAGAGATGTTCCCAAGAAAACGTCGCACACTTGTAACATGTTGCAAAAGGTGAGCGAGCTTTTAGGCAGTCTTAAGCTGAAGGACGAGAGGGACACTCCCTCTTTCTTCGCGGCAATCGAAGGCCTAGTCGGTCTCACGTGGTCCGACATGTCTGCTTTAGAGATACCTCTGGGGATCCCCACTGGCACACGGGAGACAGTGTTCGATACCTGGAGACCCAGCCATTTGTCAGAACGTACTTCGTTATGGTCAGCTTTTCTCCATCTCTCTCAGCGTCTCGGCACTTACTACCCTTTTCGTCCTATAGACATAGAAGAATACATCAGGAGGACGAAAAGTATCCTATAATACATGGAAAAACACAAGGGGAAGCAGGGTAGGTACCGAGATGGGGGGGCCGAGATGGATTCTCACACACTCTAACTCTGGATCTTTTTATCGAGAATTTGTTTCGCTTTTTCACCCGACGACCACTTGTTGGCTCTTCTTTCAGTGCGTGGGGCTCTGTAGCTCTGGCGCAGGACGACGCGCGTCGCGATGATGATTCGCGGGAGGCGCGAAGGGAGCTCGATACACGTGAGCAGTATCGGGAAAGAGATAAGGAATTCGCACCAATTTTTTTGGACGATGAAGTGCTGAAAAAGCTGCGACGCATTCAGCTGGGACAGTTGCGGCAGGGTCGGTCCTTCGGGATGTCTGACCCACGACCAATCAGGGATCTGATGCAAGACATCACCCCAGAGCCCACTGCTATGGCTTCTACCAGAAGTACATCTTCAACGCGACCTGGTACAACAACACGACTAGGAAGCCCTCCTCAAGAAGAAAACAACATGGAAATTGACCGCATCCAAAGTGTCTTCGGGGAACGCTTGCGTGAAGCCGGTTCTCAAGTCTATCAGCAACTGAAAACGTTGCAGGAACAGGGAAGGAAAAGCACCAACCAAGCAGCTTTCCAATTAGTACGGCTTTGGGCTGATAAGGTAATACCACAATCACCATCAGGCACAGGTGGTGGTGGAGGAGCAGGAGTTGGTGGCACTAGAGGGGGATCATCTACAACTTCTTCTTTCTTTACTCAGAGATTAGATCAGGTCGTCCGACAAAAGGCGCCGGAAGCATTTGCCTTCCTTGAGGAAATTATGAGAACAAGGAAAGGCGGCGGTGGGACGACGAAAAAGCCGCAAAGAGCTACGCAAGAACAACAGTCAAAGGGGCCGCGCGGCGGCGCTCACCCGGATGAGCGATATGGGAATGCTTACAAGCACTTCATCTCGTTGCACAAAGCGGTCTCTTCAACAGACCCTTTTATCTTATTTTCTGCGGGTCCGGCTGTTCAAGCTCAAGGACCACAAGCGGAGCATCCTTGTCCTTCTCAAGAACAACAGCGTGATCAACAAGAATCTGAACCTTCTCAACCAGTGCCTCCAGAACCAAAACCAAGCTCGTCTGGTGCGTCAAGTAATAGACCCACTGTTCCTGTGCTTTTTCTCGATGATCCAAACTTGCCAGACCAGATGGGTTTAGTGAAGGACATAGTTGAATTGGAAGGGGTCCACAATTTGGAGCAGGCAATGATACTCTCTTCTGGCGATATCCTAAACAAACTTGCCCCAAAGCTGGCGATCCCTGAGGAGGCGAAGGTAAAAGATCCAAAATTAGACGTGCATTTTCGTCAACAGTGGATCCGCAACGTGGATGAAGCGATAACTGGTAATGTACTACTAGACCCCTTATTCGACGAGGAGACTAGTCCTCGTTTAACGGGTGCGTCACGTCTGGAAAACATCGCGCTTTCAGAAGCTTTCAAGCAAGTTGTGACGAACAATGAGGCTGCTAAGGAGAAAGCAAAAATCATGGCAAAGGCCGGCGGCGCAGATAAAGATGTGAGTAACTTTGTAACGAGCATGAGCGACAAGGTGCGCGGCATCGTTCAGAAAGCCAAAGACTCAGGCTCTTTGTCTTGGCCAATGATCGACTACAACCCTGAAATTAAGGCGCCAAGAAAGAATCCATCTTCACAGGCAACATCTTGGTTCTCCCGTTTTTTCAAAGGGAAAATAAAGGGAACAGCCAAGATGCTGAAGTAGATGACGGACTTGTCCATCTCCTAGCTCTAATGAAAGTGAACAGGGAAAGCTGTGGAATTTTCCTCCACTCGGGGGCGGCTTGGCGTTTATTGGAAACACCTACGCGGCGGAGACGAATTGGCTAAAGCAGGCAATGATGCGTGCAATCGCTGCAAATGAATGGGAGGACAGTTCTCAGCTACTACTCAACGACGACCCTGTCTATCAGGCATTCTCGCCGGGCGGTCTGTATCTTACTCTAGATAAGAGAATGCTGTTACAACATCTTCACCTGAACGTCAACGAAGGGGAAGAGGAAAAAGAAGAAGAGGATCATGTTGGTCGTTCGGGTGGGACATCACGATCACTAGGTGGCGCAAGTAAAAAGCGAGTTTTCTATACGGTGTCGAATGTTTTCCGAGGTCTGCAGGTCTCCATGCAACTCGTATCCAGGTTTATGGATGAAGCTAAGCTTCAGGAAGATCGCCGGCTGCACAACTTGATACGCGAGCTGCGGATACGTCAGGGGCAAAAGCCAGGCGAAGAGGCTGTCTCTGAAGCGATATGGAAAGCGAAGGATATGGACGCTCAGGAATTGCGGAAGCATGAAACTTTTGCCCAGTGGCTGCAACGACGTAAAAACACAGAGGTGGAAAACGCAGCCGCGACCAAGGCACTTACTAAAGGAGCCAGCTCCTTCTTGCAACAGCACTTACCTACATCCAGATCTACTTCTCCGTTCTTGGAATCATTTTCCGGAAATTTTACTCGTCTCGAGGTGGACGCTAGTTCTACTGAGATGGATGAGCGCCAGAGCGGCACAAGCACAACTTTTCTCGAACACACAATGATGATGACCCAGAAGATACATTTGAAAATGAAGCCGCGTGGTCGTCTCGGAGCGGGGCAACTGCAGGCCGTCACAAAAGAAGTTCCAGTTAAAAATGAGGCACCGTCCCAAGCCGACAAGAACATCCAGGCTTCGCACAAAGCGATGCTGCACAGTCTCCTGCGGCTTTTTGGGATAGTGCATTTGTGGAACAGTCGCGGCTTCATTTCTCCACGTGCCAAAGCCGCTGCTGTGGCGATATTGCAAACTCCGAGTGCCCTCAGCCTGCACAAGAATGTTTTAGAGGAGTTCTCTCTTGATGACGGCAGTCTGGGAGAGGCGGAGAAGCTACAGAAAGCAGCGCTTGAACAGCGATTGTTGAAAGCAGCTGGTCGAGCAGCGAAACCTCCTTCGGCAAAGATACCTGCTCCACGAACCGTTGCCAGCATTCTGAAGGGTTTGACACTATCGGAGGCGAAGGAGTTGCGGGAGATAGTGAACGGTCTGCCCGCGGAGCGCGATCAGCTTCTTAAGCGGATGAACGAAGGAAAGGCCATGACAGCGAACGGGAGTGCAGATTTCCGAAAGATTAAAAATCTCAAGGGAGAAGATATTCATATTGGAGTATCTAGCTCAAGTTCAGGGCGCGGGGATGAAGATTCTGATGAAGATCCTGCTCATGGTGGCATTCCCTGGCTCAAGTCGGCATGGGATTTTCTTCAGAATGTGCAACAGCAAACCGAAGAAGATCAAAAGAACAGAGTGCTCAAGGATGTTCAGGATAAGCTGAGTGTTTACCTAGGCTTACCAGGATCAGGAGTTCCTGCGCGGCCAGAGAAGATGGACAAAGCTTCCCCGATATTCCAGAAGAAGACGAAACAGCGAATCATTGAAGTGGCGGAAAAGGTTGCAACCGAGGCCATGAATCAGATCAAGAATGATGTGAAGGACGCCTTCCGGAAGGAAAGGAACGAACAACAAAGAGAACGCCAGCGTTTTCAGCAAAAGTTGCTCCAAGAAAAGCTCGACGGGAAAATGGCTTCAGCTAGTGCACAAGAGGTGGACGATCCAGTGCTACAAAAAGTGTGGGCGCCAGGAACAGAGGACAGCAAACTTCCTTTCTTAGCAAAAGTTCTCACCAAAAAATGGCGGTTAACACTGCACCCTGACAAGAGTACAACATATCCTCAGTTCAAAGACGCAGTCGAGAAAGGCCTGACGCTGAAAGATATTCGTATAGACGATAAAACTGGCCCACTTACGGGTGAGGAGGATGGAAAGTCGATCTCGATTGCAATGCCAGATCTGATAGAGAAAATGAATGCAATTGTGGCCGAAGAAATTCTCAGGAGATACCTAAACGCTTATTGGATGGACTTTCTTTGTGCAGGAAAAAACCCCGCCTCGAACCCTGAAACGTCCTAGACGATCAAAAATACAGATAGGGATAGAGATATACAGTTATCAAAAAATAGAAAGTAAGAACTTGGGCACTTTGCCGAGTTCGAACTAAAATTTCAAGTTGCCATTATGTAGAAATGAACACGAAGTAAATACTACTAGGCACTTTGCCGAGTAGGACTAGAAGTTGTGGATGCAAAGCATAAATAAAATGTAACTGAATTATTCGAGAACTACGAAAAACGATGTCCTCGAGTATTTAGTTGCAAACATTTTTTGATCGGGGGCCTGCAAATGAACCACGACACTGCAAATGAACGACGACACATTAATTGGAGGGATACATGTGATTTCTGCATTGAAAAACGAAACCACAGCAAGACAGTAGCTAAGTAAATAGATAATGACTATAGCTCACTACTGAAGGCATAGGCAACCAGTTGAGTACAGAAGTAAAGCTTAGCGAATAACTAGAACAACAGCAAATGGACAGTAATTAGTATAAGGATGCTCGTGTTTATTTTTCTTTGGTTTTCCGGTTCGTTGCGTCACGAAGTATCGTAAGACTTGCGTCGCGCTAGGTCTTTCGATTGGAGTGCTTGCGGGATGTGTGGCGTTTGATCCCCTACGTCTGGGTCTGCCGTAGTGCATAAATTTGGGCCCGGCGCATTCTCCTCGTCCGCCGCCGGGTCTCCAGTCCATTCAGATAATTTCTTGACGATCGCACTAGTTTGCCACAGGCATGAACTCTGATAAGATAGTGAGTAGGTACACATAGAGTAGACTCAAGTCAAAACACTTCGTTCTTGAAAGTGAAAACTAAAAAAAAACTAAACTGTCGTAGGTAGACCAGATAAACTAACATGTGCATAAAGTGATAGCAAATATCAAATGACAGATTGAATAGCGCATTGTATTAGAACTAAAGAAAAGTAAATGGATGATGATAGCTCGTATGGTAAAGAAAAGAAGGAAGTCTGCTGGTTTGAGATCACGAAGCGTTGCGGTTTCTTCCTGAAACGACAAGAGGAAGGGGAAGCACAGGGAGGATCGTGTTCAACCACACAGCACCACCATAGAGACCTGTGAATGGGAGGCAGCAGGTAGTCCTATGGGAAAAAGAAATGTGAACTATGCCCTATAGGGAATACAGGGCTAGCAGACTGGACTGAATCTCCATACTGCAGGACTTGAGTGAAGTGAGAGACCGGAAAGTGGAAGCACTAGCAATTCTAGTAGGCATCGCCGGCGCGGTACTAAAAGTTGACAAGAAAAGATGAAGATAAAGTATCTATTAGAATCAATTACAGTTCGAAATGAGGCCAGGGTGGAGCACAAGCACCTGTGAGTGAATGAATTTCCTCGCTCATCAATGCAGCTACTTCTAGAAGTAGTCCGTACTTCATTGCGGACTTAGTCGTGGTAGTATTTCTAGTAGGTGGTCTTCTACCTCGCTCTGGCAGTATTAAACGTCGCCTTGGTAGGTCTTCTACATCGCCTCCATATTTTCACTATTATTACGCTGGTTCTTACCATCAGGAGCACGATATTACTCGTGTACTATTAGTATTACCCCTCCAGATAATATCATGAGCGGGTGGATTCGAAGCATCCTTGTATGCCGCTTCGACTTAAATGTCGGTCAGGTATGCGAAAGTGAAGTATCCTACGACACCACGAGCGGATACAGAATTAAGACTCCTGTTGATTGTATTGTCTTGATGTAATTCTAGTGGATGTGAATCACAATCATTCATCTTTTTCTTTCTCTTTGGTAGCTGCACTTGCTTCTGTATGCAGCAAACTTCTAGCAGAATGATACTGTCTGTAACTGTAGCTAATTTAAAACACTGAGGCCTGCAGAGAGATCAGCGATACAACAGCAGAGCAGTATAAAAATTGAGCGAGTCAATCATCTCGGTTCCAACATTAAACTTATGCGCCACCTCCTACTCCACCAAAGCTTTTTAGCTGCATTGTCTTGATGCGCAGCATACCTTTTCAGGATCCTCGAAAAAAATAAAGCAACTATTCTGGACAGCGCTAATACAAAAAATCTTTCCGCTGCGGAGAAACGGTTGTGCGCGATGATGGCTTTTCCAGACAGCAACGCATTTGCAGGACAAGAAAACTTCGATGCTTGTTTCTCTTTCAGAGTAAGGAGTCCAACTATGTTGACAACTTCAGTCTCGGATCAGGATGGAAAGGAGATGAAGGACCACGATGATCTTCAGATGACTAGCAGAAGACCTCCCAACAACAGAATGACCCAAGAAGAACAGAAACAGAGTCACAACTTCATCACCGGTGCAACTTATTTTCGGCAGGAACCGGATTCATCGAGTTCGCGTGGCGCCAGCCAACGGGCAGTCGTGGTTGTCACGGACCACGAGGACTGGCGGTTTGTGGACCTTTTGAAGCAGATAGCCTACGTCCTAGGACCCCTGTACTTCGACAACGGCCTCAAGGTGTTGGAGACAGCTTGGTATTTGATCAATTTTGAGTGGCCAGACTTGAGGACGATTCTGCTGAGCGGACGAGGTGGTCCTGATAAAACTTCGTCAAGTTGTTCTTGTAGTGCTAATAATAAAACTTCAACTTGTAGTTCCAGTGGTGCGCAAGAACAGCTCCCGTCCTCCAGTATCGTTGCAGGAGGAACCAGTAGAGCGGGCCCGTCGTCCGCCGCTACAACTACAACCTCTAATATTGCGGCAGAGCCGCGAGAAAGCTCACCCGTAGACAGCGAGGGGACGGGGAGTGATAATCAGTATAAATACAACATCAATCCGAGCAACTCTTCATCAGCACCATCGAGTACTGGTGGAAGAAGTGCGAGCTCGTCATCTTCTTCAAGTTCAAGTACAAGGAGAAAGGAGCACAATGTTGCAGAGCTAGAAGATGATGGATTTTTATGGCTGTTCATGGTCATGTAGTTCATGTAGCAAGAACAAGAACAATTATCTGAAATATAATCGTCCATTTTCTTTGGTTTTGATCTTTTTATTTCTGTGCTAGCGCTACAACAACAACTCTAGCAGCTAGTAGCTCATTCAAGTTCAAGATTCACAAGAATAATCAAATCACTCGCGGGGGCTCTAATTCGTGAAGACGAAGGCGGACTAGAAAAGACGCAGAGTAGAGGAGGCATAGACTCGAGTGAGCCCGATTCGCCGTGTAGAAATTACTGCGATAAAAATGTCGGACTCGGAGGAGCACGACGACCTCGAGTTGGGACACAAGACGATGAACTTCCAGATTTGGAGCCAAAGCCACCTGAAGAGAGGCAGATAAAAAAAGGACAAGCTACGGCGCCCATATTAACCACTAGAACCACTAGTCGCACACGTGAGAACATCAGTTTTTCAGGTGTGTTGCTCGGGAGCTCAGTTGTCAACAAGAGGACTATTGAACTTCGCCTTTTTTCCGCTACGCTTTTTGTAACGCTGTTGCCTAACGAAATGTACGTCACGGAGAAGATGGTGCTGCCTTTCCGACCATCAGGGGAGAAGATGGATGAAAATGCCGTTGAGAAAACAGGAGGTCAGGAACAAAGAGAAGGGACTGCTGGAATAAGAAGTAGTCGTGAACAAGAGCAGCTTGAAGATAAGAAGAATATCCTTGCGAGCAGTGGTTCTACATCCTCTTCATCTGCTAAAGCACCCGTGACGACATCTTCACCTCTCGCAGCGCTTGCAGCTTCGTCTCCAACCGCCTCTGGAGCATTGAATATGATAGCGAAGCTCGTAAGGGGACAATCTTCCCGTGAGAATGATGGTGGAGCTTCGTCAACATCAACGTCCAAAGAAGTAGGATCTGCTGGTGGAGCTTCGTCGCATACACAACCGGAAGACAACACCTCCTTTGGAACGATACCCTGCGTTCGTTCTAGATTTGACAGCTCTGTGTTAAGATTTCGAGATTGGGTCTTTCCCAAATGGGCTCTTTGTCCAACGTTAATAGGAACAACAGCAGTGCCAAGTCCACTAGCATCGAGCTTTTTCCGGAACTACATCATGAACTCTCCTGCTACTGTCCAGAAAACGTCAGTCATACACCGCAGAAAAGTATCGAAAGAGCAAGTCTCTCCTAGGAAACATTGTGTCAATTACGGTTCTTCGGTGGACGTGCAAGGGAGTGTGATGAATGCGGAGTTGAGAGCGCTGTCGAATTCATTGGAAAATCAGGGATACGACGGAGCCGCAATGAATCTTTGGACAAGATTAGCGGAGTTTGGACCTGAGATACTGTGGACATTGTGGCATCTGGCCATCGCTGGGGACCCGCTTGTAATCTACGGCGATTCTACGGTCGTAGATGACGCGGTTTTCGCCTGCCTGCAGTTAATTCGCCCCTTAGATTATTGCGGAGATTTTCGACCTCATTTCACTGTTTATGACCCCGATTTTCGCGACGACCGTCCGATGACAAGATCGAGTAGTGCGGTGAGCAGAACAAGTAGTGCTAGAAGCGATACTGCCGGAGATGCTGGTAGAAGGGTAAGTAGTGGAAGCGCTGTAGGTGCTGTTTTTAGTGGCAATACTGCTAGTACAAGTACGGGCACATCACCATCTTCGAGCTCAACATCAAAGGAAAAACCACTTGTAGTCGGTTGTGCTAATCCAGCGGTCTTCATGGATTTGACACGGGCCATCAAAAGTTCTACTGGTGCGAATGCAGCGGTTTCTCCTGCTGATCCAGCCACATCTAAGGCGAAAAAAGTCTCGAGTCTGCTCTTAGGAGGAGGCGGATCATCTTCTGGTTTTGGAAGGTCGTTCTCACAACAAAACCTTCCATCCGTTTCACAACTACCAACGATTAGTGGGTCTTCAACGTCAACACGGAGGAGTGATGACAGCCACAGCGGTCGGATAGGACCAGGAGAAGCTCAGCTTGCTGATACTCTGATGCAGAAACATCTCAGAGAAGAGAAGGCTGACGCACCAGAGATGGCGACGATCAGTCGGAAGCAGAGCGACTTCGTCATGCCAGAGACCACTAGGACTAGCATCGAAGCCTCACACAGAGGTGCGGGTACGACCAGCGGAGCCATTTCTGCTACAACAGCACCAGTCCAGCCACAGCCGGGGAATTTCTCTCAACCCAAGATCATTTGTTCTCATGCGCAGCTGTTTACAGAGCATGCGGGAGTAGTTGCCCCTGACAAGGAACTTCTAAACCGTCTTCTCGCACCCACAAGCTATTCCGCAGTGATGATCAACAACTTCATCTTGTGTCAGTATTTTTACGAACTCACCTGCACTTTTCTTAAACCTTTTTTACATTATCTGGTAAGCAATACGTCGATTTTGTTACCCGGAGGCGTGGCGCACTTCGTTGCTGGCCACGACGATTCAGAAGCGTCAGAAACTTTTTCTACTAGTGCATATGCTGTTGACGAGGACCAATATTTTATTGGGCGAACTTCTTCGGCCCCTGTCGATGGAAAGACAACGAGGACAAGTCAAAAATTACAATCACTGACTAGCAGTGGGAAGGGGAACCTTAGTGCTAGTACGACGAGATCAGCGAGTACAGCAACTCCATCACCGTCGACCGCGACTAGTACTACTTCCAGTAGTGGCACAAATAAAAACGTGGCATCAGAAGCAGAAATACGACGACTTTCATCAGAGAATATACTCACATTGCAATTGTCACCTCCTCCATCATCTGATACGCCAGAATTTTCCCCTCCGGCAAGGCGTGCTGGCGACGAGAGGACGAGAAATATTAGCATCGTAAACCCTGAGGACCTCGACCTCCATGTAGAGACGAATAGCAATAGACGTGTCAATTTAGTCGAGCAGCAAGGTAAAAATCTTCTTGAAGAACCTGCAGCGCTGTTGCGGAGTACATCACTAAGGGCAGTCAGCGGACCTTGTGGAGGACCTGGCAAAAATGTGTCTTCTGGCAAAGAAGGAACTTATTCTCCACCCGATGAATTTGTTCTTACCGAAAAAGGACGCAGAGACTTGGAGACTGAGCTGCGTTCCCACCACCATTTAACGAGAGGGAGCTTCCTGGCACGTTCGTCTGGTAGTGGCATTGGCGGGATAGGAATCATTCCGACATCTTCTGTGTCCTCGTCACAAGTAATACAACAGAAGAAGACGGTGACACTTTTACCGGCATTTTCCTCGCAAGAATTTTTTTATGGCAATGTAGTAGGTTTTTTTGTCTATCCTTATTTAGCAGGGCTTCCTTAGGGTTCTCGTGAAGCAAATCCCTAGTACGCCAAGAACTAATGACCTGCATCTGAACACATGGACAAAAAAACTACGCAAAACTCTTTCATGATTTAGAAAATTTAGATCCTGTTGGGGCCTTCGCGTCTTTGCCCATAGCTAAGGTGAGGAAGTTGTATGCGAAGTTTATTCGCGGTCCACACTTTGAGCCCTGGTTTAGACAGCAGAGGGACGCCGTAGTGCAGCAATCACTCGCAGCACACAAGAAGCGGCAGAACAGGATGAGGAGTAGTCAAGGATGATGGCGGATGGCGAGATCTTATCGATGTGGCCTGTGCTTGTGGCCTGTGCTTGTTTTTTTCCGCATCAATGTGTGCTTCATCATCATCTTCTAGGTCTACATGCAGTTGTATTTTTTGTCCACTAGGGCTATCTTCTTTTTCATTATCTACGTGGGATGCGCGCGCCCGCTCTCTTGATTTCTTGATCAACTTCGTTCTTAGGGATTTCGTGTGATTCGCAATAGTGAAATTTGTTTTCCAGATCACGCATTTTTTTTCGAGGAAAAATTGAGTGAAGGTGAAGATCCTTTGCCTCGAAGATCATGAAGTCCGAATGGGATCATTGTTCTGCTGGTGGCTTTCAAGATGCTGCAATGCATGTAGGCACATAGCATTGAGGGATGTGAGAGACGGTAGAGCGCTGGCTTTTCTTGTCTTCCTAGAAGAACACACGCAAGCTCTCATAATAAGTACAGATGGTAGACTGTTGTAGTGGTATGTAGAAATTATTGTCGTATTCCTGAAACATCACGCACTACTTCTGTATTTCAGAAGATATTATTGTTTGAGCTAGAAGCCCGGGGTGCGGTGCAAGATGAAGCGGCGCGTAGCCCTCGGGCTTGGTCTTTCGTCCCATGCGGTTGTTGGCGTGCTGTCAGAGGGGACCATCCGCTCGCCATTGGCGAAGGTCTTGGCCCTGTTGAAGAAGATGCAATCAGAAGTCGAGAAGGATATGGAGTCCGATGCCGCAATAAGTAAGAAGCTCCAGTGCTGGGCAGCAACAAACAGAAAAGAAAAGGAAGCGGCAATAGCACTTGGGGAGTCAACAATAAAAGAGACCGAAGCAAAAATTAGCGACCTCACCGCACAAACGGCGTCACTGGATGTAACAGTGAAGAAGCTGGCGAAAGGTACACGCCTCTACATCACCTTCATCTTGGTGATGTTGTACAAACAACATCAAACGCGGTGGTAATAAATGAGCAACAAGAACTTCTGCTGTAGCGCAGGATTGCGCATCCTCTTGACCACATAATTGGAGTCGCAGAGCATTTTTTAATATGGGAACGACAATCAAAACATCTGGTCGTCTTTAGAAAATTTAGATTTTGTATTCACGAGGAATCTTGATCTTCTTCAACACTCTGTCCTCCAGATCTCGCCGAGGACGAAGAGCAGTTGAAGACAATTGAGGATAAGAGGGAAAAAGATGCAGCCAAATTCACGCAATACCAGAAAGACACTATTCAAGCCATTCAACAGTTGACAGGCGCGCTTATGGTCCTCAAAAAGCATCAGGGAAAGCGATTTCTCGAAGTTCGAAGAATTTTGGAGAGGAACAGGTAGAATCTTGTACTTCAGCTATTAGTGCAGGTGGGTATAGTGCAATAACAAGAGGCTTGGCACGGCTCAATTATCATGATGAAATTTTTCGCCATCCATTTGTTCTCGGTCAAGAACCACTTCTAGCTCAAAAAATTTTTCTATTAATAACAGCGACTATCTCCCGCAATCCGACTTGCACGGGGCTTTGTCGTTGCTAGATAGCGGACTCCCGGCTCATGCATCAGCTAGTGGCGAAATTTACGGCATCCTCTCTCAGATGCAGGAAACGATGCAAGCGGAGCTGAAGACCGCTCAAGCAGAAGAAGCTGATGGCCTAGCGGCTTTCGAGAACCTCCGGAAGGCGAAGAGGGAAGAGATCGCAGCGGGACGTTCGGAATTGCACAAAAACAAGGATTATGATAGTTGTTTTTACTATTTGAGTGTCCGAAGAGAGTTACTGTGAAGGAGTTAGAAGAAGAGCAGGTGGGCATGGCTTCTCAGAAGTACCTAGTTGGGAACGAGAAGTAGTGAGTGCTAGTAAATAAAATACATCTACACGATGCTGATCTTCATTTTCTCTCCCCACCATCTAAGACGAGGCGCTAGCCAGAGGACTAGAGGAGCTTGCCCGAAGCAAGAAACTTTTGAAGGAAACGAAGGATACATTAGAAGCAGACAAGGTGTTTTTAGCGGACGTCAACGAACGCGCAGCGGCGGATAAGAAGGTATTATGGATTTGGTACTAGATTGTCCCATAGATACCCCATGTTAGGATACCAGCATCTGTGGAGAAGAAAGAAAACTCTAGTCCTCGAACGTGAAATTTTCTATTCTTCACATGTTTCATTTCGAACCCCACCAACAATTCGGCGCCAAAAATCCAGGAACTCGAAGCCCGAGTTGCAGCGCAAGCCGAGGAGATGAAGGCCCTTCAGGCTACTGTTGACGTTTTGACCAGTGACGAAGCCAGGGATCAATTCAACAAGACTTTGAAGCCGACTTTCTTGCAGATTTCTTCTCGAAAGCTATCCTCTTTGAAGCAGAAAGCAGCACAGCTTCTTCGATCGACCATTATGGAAAGGATAAGGAATTATAGTTCTCGACTCAATATTTAATTTGAGTTTGACTGAAGTAGATCAATAAGAATTCTTCAAGGACCTTCATGATCCCCTTCTAATCCGGAATCCGGTGAGAAATTTGTTGCAATGCTGCAAGCCGCTAGTGGCACACAGCTCGCTGCGTTCGAGGAAGTGAAGAAGAAGATCACTGATCTCATTGCTGAGTTGAAGAAGAAGAAGGGTGACGAAGTCAAGAAGCGTGAGTACTGCCTAGCAAGTTTTGATGAAAACGACAAGGAAACGACGCAGACCAAGTACTTGGCTGAAGATTTGACCGGCAAGCAGACGAACCTGGAGAACGCGATTGAGACTCTGATCAAGACGATCGAAACTACGGAGAAGGAAATCTCGGATTTGCAGATCGAGATTGCGACAGCAACGGAGAACCGCAAAGACGAGAACAAGGAGTACCAGACGGTCTTTTCAGACCAGAAGATCACGCAGAAGATCCTGGTGCAAGCGAAGTCAAAGCTGAAGATTAGGGCTGGTTTTGAAGAAGGAACAAGTAAATCTAAATTCTGCTCGCACATCATAGTATAAACCATCTTGCAGAAATAGGACCCTGTTTGAATCACTTTAGATTCTTTATAGAAAATGAAAACCATGCTGCTGTGTGCATGATATGCTGAGTCCCTTTCTAAATCTCGTTTCTACGAACCTGGTGAGCCTGCACTGTTGGAGACATCGCAGCCAGGAGGCCCGGTCGGCCTCGAAGCTGGTGGTTACAAGAAGAAAAACGGCGTTGGCATCATTGGAATGATCGACGAGATCATCACGGATAGTGAGGTACTACTTGATTAGCAATTGTAACTCGTACTCGCGCGATCTACTTCTCTTAAACTCACTACAAGAACAAAGAAATCTGAAGTTCGAACTTTTCTAAAGAATCTAAATCACCTTCAACAACTCCTGATCAACTCACAGCAAACGATCGGAGCTGCTCTTATCGCGGAAAAGGATGCTCAGGGCGCCTATGAGAAGTTCATCGCTGACTCTTCTAAAGATTTGGCGGACCTAGAGGCTCAACTGAACAGTGCTCTCGAAAGTAAGGCCGAATCCGAGGCCGATCTTCACCAGACCAAGGCGGACATCAAGGTAATATTTCTCTTGTTGATCATGTTGAGTTCTTTGCAGCGAATTATATCGAGATTGTCGAGGTTCTCTAGATTTCGAACACGCCATCTCATGTTGAACTCTAGAGATTTAGAGTCAAGATTCATCAACATCAACTTCACTATTATGTCCGTTTCAACCAACTGCAGGCTGCCATGGAAAGACTGGAAGAGCTTGCTGAGGCATTAAAGGCTTTGCATATGGAATGCGATTTTACTGTGCAGAACTTCGATCAGCGCCAAGCGGCATTCACCCAAGAAGCGGAGGCATTGGCTCAGGCTATTGCGATTCTGAGTGGAGCATCGTAATGCGGCTTTTGACCAGCGGAGAAGAGTTGAAGTTTTTGCCTCTGGGGAGTAGAATGTAAAAGTAGTTCGGATTTCAAGTGGAGAAGGAGCGTTGATGTGGTTCTTGCTTCTCGTGGGGGGAGGAGGGGTGTGAAGATGTACTGAAGGACAGATGTAGTCCTCTGAAATGCGGATGTATGCGCACATTCTGAAACTAAATGCACAGGCTTACCACAGAACTGATCGAAAATATTGCTTTGACGTTGCTCATGGAGTTGGAAATTTAGAAATTTTTGATTCGTCGTTTTTCATATCGAGTACACACGCTATTCATCACAAACATATCGAATGAAATAAGCCGCTTGTTGTCATGCGATTACGATAAAGACTTTCTCAGCTGATTTTTGCTTTGGATTCCGTTTATATTTTCTTACCAATTCTTATTCTTACGTAGCACCTTCCTATAGAACAAGACCAACACCTTCTAAACTTCGTATCTATTCAACTAAAAACGTAGCACCAGGAAAGATATTTTTTTCTTTTTACAGTGTAGCAACTGTGAGAGCCAAGGACAAGGACAAGAAGCTTGGGAACTCCTATCTGATTGTGGTTTATGTGATTGTCGATTGCATGGACAGTGGAATGTGAAAGCAAAGTTGTCAGCTGGAAAAGTGCAAAAGACGCACGGCAATGAGAGTGGCATCCAATTTCAAGAACGTTGTCACACATAAGAACCGAGATTCGGACGATATATGGCTGTGTCCCGAAACCAATTCCTTGCGGCCACAGAGAGGCAGTCTGTGAAGCACCAGCTCAACCTTCGAGTGCACTATCGGTTTCTGGAATGAAGTAGAGTTGGTGCGAAAGAATAAGTGGTAAGGAATCTGTTGTCAAGGACTGTAGTCGAACATGAACTTCAATCATAACCTTTCTTTTGCGGAAAAAACGGGGACCTTGCTTACACCAAAAACAAGAGTGGAGGAGACCGAACTCCATATCCATGAATTTGGCCGCTAAGTTAATATCTTGCTTGACCGACATCAAAAACGTAAAACGTGCACATCACTATCCACTACGTAACATCGACCCTTGGCGGTTTTGTGAAAATACTGATTTTTACAATCATTGAATGATCGAATAGTTGTTTGAAGTTAGAGAAAAAATGCCTCTTCCGGAGGGGCACCACCCGAAAGGGTATACCTTCGCCAAGGGGCTGGTATTGCTATTGGATTCCTTCATGTAGAATACAATGTCTCTAGGTGGTATTGAGAACTGAATGTTCCAGTTGGATAAAAAAAAGTTTTTTTCTCTACTAGTTTGCTAACAACTAGATGAGCTACGTTCCTGCATTCCCTTTCTATCACCCCAGGCGTCCCCGGCTGGTTGGGATTATATGACGGCGTATTTTCCCTACAGTGATGACCCCAGATCTGCGTCGCAGAAAAACCATTGGGGCGCCTGTTTGCTCAGATTTCAGCAGTTTTGTCGATGTGCGCGTGAGTTGGGAGAAGAACATCCGCGTTGCCGATACCAATACTTTCGAGCAGAATGCAATTGTTATGGAGGTAAAAACCTGTTCATCTTCATGTTTTTATCTTTACCTCAAGCCCGTTGTGGACGAGACATGATAAAGATGATAGTAATGGTGTCCCCAAAATTATGAAAGGTCGCCTCTTCACTTTGCGGAAGACCGAAGACGTAAGTATAAAAATAGCAGCAACAATTAAATCTTCTATTTTCTATCAGCCGATCTCGATTTCTGGATGAAAAAGAGGAAGGAAGGAAACTGCAACATGGATATTTTGCCGGATCGCAGTACGAAGAATCAGAAGGGACACTGAGCGGGTTTGCGTCTCTACGGTCGTTGGCGAGATTGCACTTGTCTACAGGGAACAAGTTATGAGGAGTCAGAAGTTGAAGTACTATCTTGAATAACTAACTTTCGCACAGCATCATCGCGAGAGCTGCACACATCATTTTCATTCACACAAGGAGTCCTGGAGTGGCGTCGTCGTCAACATCTCTAATCAGAAGACGTTAATCAGAAAGCGAATACCGGAGGATGTTGCAGGAGTGATATGAAGCTGTCTTATCCGATGCGAATCGATATGGCATTGCTGGACGACCTTACAATGCTCCTCCTCCCGTCAAATTCGTTGTTGCCATTCCGCGATTACACATCAGAACAACCCTCTTGTCGTTCTCTTCTCCGCTGCTGCCATTTTCTCCTTTCTCCACTGACGCCTGTTCGTGCCACAGCACACCTTCTCCGATGATTCGCTTGACTACACCTCACTCTACTGCCTGATTGCTTTCATTCTTGCATACCTCCATCTCGCTAGGGACGTTTTCCTTTTTTGCAAATCGACTGCCACATCTCAATTTCTTCTGAGCGGCTCTCGCTTGTCCTCACGCCACGTAGATTACCAACAGGAGCTTGAACCATTGATGCTGATGCTGTCGGTTCTTTTCTTATCGAGATTTTGATGTGACCGTGAGATAGCACAGGCTCTCCTTCAGGAGAGCATATTATTGAATTTTGTTCGTCGGTCCTAAGAAGTCGTCGTTAACGACGCGAATCTGGCAGTGTTCCCTTTTCTTCGAGGTATTAAGTCTCGGCATGAATGACTTCGGAGAGTTTCTTTTTCACAACGAGGACGAGGGAAACAATGAAGCGCGTGAGCGTACGTCGGAACTGCTATTTGCGAACAACTCGGAAGTGAATACGAAAGAAAGAGGAAGGAGAGGAAGAGCGAGATTATCGTCGAAAAAAACACGCGATCGTTGTTACAGTTGTTTCGTCATCGATATATTCCGAATCAATGAGGGAAAATCGTAATCGTCAAAGTTCATCGCATCTTGAAACTTACTACTTCTTACTAACTTGACATAGAAACGACCAGTAACATCAAATACAACTACCACCTCTCCACTCCCATATTAGGACGCTGAAACGTAGAGAAGTCGCTTCGGCGTACTACACCCTGTTGAACTAGTCAAGAAACTACAACCTGCTTTTTACAAGCAACCGACCCACTTCTTGTGCTTCTTGCAGAAGATTGATTGCCTGTCCTAGTTGATTGTGTAACCACACCAACAAAACGCAAACAAGAAGATGGCGCAATCCGTGATGTCCCCGATGGTACTATTCTTTGTTTAGTATCTTTCATGATCAGCGTAGTTGTCGTAGAAGTACTATTGTTTGTTCAGTACAAAGTCTGCGTAGTCGACGTAGAAGATCATGAAGAATAACAAGAAAAACAATAAGTGTGAGTGTGTCTCTTTCATCATACTCATGTACTTGTTCTTAGGAGGTACTGTATCACTTGTTCCCTGGATGGCCCGATCTTGTCTGACCCGAACGTAATTCGCGGTGAAAAGATAGTTTCATTATTTACTCCCTCCAAGCCTGAATATTTTGATACAATAAACTTCTAAACTCCCAGGAGCAAACCCTTTCAATCACCCAGGTCAAGAACTCGCCAATGGCGACGGCTGAGAGCTTCAACAGCATGATGCCAACAGGGTTGAAGGGAAAGCTTGCCTCCCTTGAGGATTTCATCTCTATGCAGAACGAGGAACTTGCAGCCCAGAGACAAGAAATCGAATCGCTTCGTACTTTGGATTTTTTACTTTGTTGATTGAACTCAATAAATAAAATAGTAGATCCTTATAAATATAATTTGGGAAGTATTAAGTCCACCACCAAACACCAAACAGGCAACGACAAGCAGAACATCGAACAGCACTACCAGGCTCAGTTGCAGGAACTGAAGAAGACCATGGTCGCAGATGTCCAGCGCATGCAAGATGAAGTGAAGCGACACTTTGCCCAGCAGAGAGCGGTATTTATTGTGATTAGATCACCACAAATTTGTGGTTTTTATTTTTTTTGGATCACATGATAACCACAAATTTCCCTTGACGAAAGAAATCAAGATCATCTACATCGTCGTGGTTGTCCTTATCTTCTTCAACACTATCATTGTTCCTTTCCGGTTCCACCCGATGATTCCTCCCCATCATTCACAGGACAACGCCCGACTGCAGCAGCAAATCACGACTTTGAAGGGTGAGAAGACAAGTTTGCAGCAACAGATCTTGGGTCTGCAGCGCAGAATCCAGGAGATCGAAGAGCAGATCGGTTGTGATTAAGGTATTCTACTGGTCGTGGGGAGTAAACATGGCGTTGAGTTTGAGGATTGAGAACGAATCGGAATATTCGACACGATTTTTTCTGACTCGATTTTATGAAGGTGAACAATTCAATGGTGTTGGTGGTTTTTTTCAAAGAATGAGTGACGAAAATGAATTCTTGATTTCTTGAATAAAGAATTCGATTACTTAGTACAACTACCACCCGAACCAGGTCATTCATGCTTCCGCGGGTGGAGCTTAGGAAATGGGAAAATTTCAAGACGAACCTCCGTCTACTTCTTCTATGAGTCGTGGCGGAAAAGGAAAGAGGTTTAGCACCACGTCAAGAGCCGTTCTTTGACCTGTATAGCATCATGACCGTGATCTTAAGAGACGTTTCCGTATACTAGTCTTTCAACTAGAGGTAGTAGAAATTATGAGTTTATAGTTGCCACATGATCTCAAGACGAATTATCGTTAAAATATGAAAATTAGTCTATCAACTAACACTGAGCATTTCGATCTTTTCATCATGGACGAAAGAGTAAAAGTATTCTTGTAGTGTTGCACGAAGTTGAATATTACGGAGGTGCTAGCACGAGTTTAGCCAAGGGACAAAGACCAAAAATACAGGATAGATTTTGGTCGGGAAGAGCACCATGTGCAGCAAGGATGCTAGAATGAATTATTTGTCTATACTTACCATTAGTTTACAATCACTAGCGAATCATCTACAACATCTACTTCTCTTCAACTGTTTTGTAAGAAGACAGGTAGAAGCAAATGAGCAACTTCTACCTGTTGTAGCCATCATTAACAATGAACTATGAAGAAAGTGAAAAAGAACTACAAAATGATGAATAAGTCAGAAGTATTTAATAGAAGAACAACAACATTCATTGTTAACTACTACTAGGGCGCACATCACCAGTTTCTGTCATCTGTGGTCTGTCACAATTTTTACACTACAACCAGCACATCTATATCTTCTCACACAGCACCACACCAACAACTAAACCATTTGATGTGAGATTTGTAGTTGTGTAACAGGAAGTGGAATTAAAACGACAGAATGAACATGAAGTTGAAGGTCCTCTGACTTAATATTAAGTCGTTTCGATTGTACTATCTTGTATAGATAAAATGAACTTTCAACTACATGAATGAACATCAATAAGGATGTCGAAGGACATTTCAAGATGATGAAAGAAGTACTTTTATGTTGACATTTTGTGGTGCGAATTGTGTAAGATCTGATAATTCAACTTGTACAGCTAGCTTTGTATGATTGGAGAAAAAATGAACACTGGCACTGGGGCCTAGTTCTCGTGGTGCCTAGAGATGGAGGGATTAGTGTTCGTGTCAATTCTTCAGCACTTGATGAATAGACAGACGTTTTAGGATGGTGTGCTCTGAATTGCTCGTACTTGTACTAGCAGGATAGATCACAGCACGACCCCTTGCGGGGGACATCAACATCACCTACCACGACAACTACACACTTTTCTTCTAAACAACTTCAACTTCTTCTAATAATCATCATCATTCATCAACACACAAAAGAAATAAAAATATCAACAAAATGTCTGGGTTTATAGACGACCTCTCTGCTGAGCAAAGTGCAGCATTAGCAGGGCTGGAGAAGGAGCTTGGGACTTCCGAGTGGGCGCAGACGTCGCTGTGGCAGTGCAACCTCGGAGAAAAGTCAGATGCGAGGGACATTATTCTTTTTTATGGACAAGATCGATACGTGTTTACCAGTTAGTACCGTAGCTTCTTCCCTTACCCTTTCTCACTCTGAAATAGAGTCTGAAGATCTTGTCACCCAAAAAACCTTCTGGTACTCACACCGAAGTAGGGGAACTGCTCTCAGTCACCCAAAATCAAAAAGCATCGTACTTTCCCAAGGGAACCACAATCTCCTCTAATCTTCAAAATTCCTACGCGCAGAAGAGTTTGATATTGCCAAAGCATGGACCAGATTCAACGCGACCATGCAATGGAGAAGAGACGGGGATGTGGACTCCTTAGCAGATGCAACACTGCCAGCACAGTTTCAAGGACATGATATATTTCTTATGGTTTGGCGAGCTTAATGCTTATTTTGCCCCTTCATGAACTTGACGTACCAGAACAAGCGTCTTACTTAAGCTTATAACACACGATTCCATCATTCCGCTTCTAATCTGAACGGCCACGACGTGCAGCAGAAAAGACCAGTTTTGACCTCGCATTTCGGGAATATGGACCTGGACAAAGTCTTTTCGGATACGGATGTGTTCGTCAAATACCGCATCCACATCATGGAGAGGGCTATAAGGAGGTTGTTGCCGTTTGGACGGGATAAACCCGAGACTTTGTATCAGGTATATTCGATTATAGTCTTGAAAATTTGAGGCAATCTGAAGCTTGTAGTTTTTCAGCTCTTGGTACTGGCGCAAGAGAGAAGATTGATTTCACCTTGTTTCTGTTTCCTTTTGTCAACCTTGTTCTCGTAGTTCTCACGCCCCCACACGCCCCCACACGCGACCAGGTCCACGACTACAAGGACTGCCCAGTCGTTTTCAAGGACAAAGCCGTTGATCGGGGTGTAAAAGCTATTAGTAAGGTCTTAGGCGACCACTATCCGGAGTTCAAAGGGCGAACTTGTTTCGTCAATTTTCCTGGTATAGTCGCGCTTGCGTGGAAAGCAGCGGCATTGCTAATTGTTTCCGAGAAAACAGCAAACAAGATGGACTTTCTCGGTTATCAGGATCTCTTGCCCTTACTGGCAGATGTACCACCGTCACAGCTTAGCGATCGCTTGATCGGATTGGCAGATGTGGAGAAAGGTAAGAAGGCTTGTGAAGATATTATGGTTTTGAGCAGTATGTGTATCTAGTGGGCTTGTGAAGATATTATGGTATCCTTGAGCAGCAGTGTAACTGTAAGAAGGCTTGTGAAGATATTATCCTTAAGGCAGTCTGCACTGAACTTTGTGCGGGATTAATTGTATTGTAGTAGGGTCATTGTCAATCATTGTCACAACTGGAAAAGAAGAGGTCCCAACCAAGATGTACATTTCTTTACAAGAACTTGAACTCCGAGTTACTTTGAATTCTACGTCATCATCATCATGATCAGGTACATTCTCAACAGGGGGAATATATGGTGAGAAAATTCATTTATGGATTTGCAATTGTGTCGATTTCCCTCATTTACCTTCGTTTTTTGATTATTTGGCATCAATAACTCCACCGTGTAATAATTAGTACACCCCGGAGTTCTGAGTGGTCATTTTTCTAGTTTCAGCTCCCAGAGAACTGCAGCAAAGGCAAAAATTATGGCAATTGGTAGATATGCGCCCTCAACTCATGATGATCAGGTACATTCTCAACAGAGGGAAGCAACATTCAGGAGGGCGTACTAACCTTGGAATCACGGAGTGGTGAAATACCATTTACACTAGGCCCACAGCAGAGTATCTACGTCAGACTTCGAGAGGGCGCCGAGAAGGAAAGCGTGTTGCTTCAGTTAAGACTGGCGATACCACTAGAACCATTCCACCAGTAGTTCCAGGTTATGTTATTTCCACGACCTATTGTCAACATTGCGTGATGATGAATCATGATGTGCTGTGACAGTTGTTTAGTATCCAAATGTCCAACTTGTTGGAGCCGACGCAGATCTTGTGCGAGTAATGAATGAGTGAATGAACATAGTCGACTGTCTACAAGACGTCACCTCTAACCCCAAGCGCATCCGCAAATGGGGAAACATTGCCGCTTCGTTCCATAGTAGAAGGCGCGCAGCAGGACGAAATGCTCCAAATGGCCGTACCCCTGACACTAAGGTACACATCAACCGCGAGTAGTGAAATACCATTTGTCCTGAACCTCTGGGATAACTCGACGTTTGGCCTCAGTGCAAAAACAATTGTCTACGCGGCGGAGATAAAATGACGCCTGAAGAAGTTGGTAGGACCACTAGTCAGGACCATTGGAGGTCCGTGCGCAATTTTCCAGACCTGAGTTCTTATGCGCATCAAGTCAAAAGTTCTTCAGCAGGTAGTATACTTGTACCGTTCTCTTCGACATCGACGCCGACTCTTCATGTTTACCAATAGACACAGACATCTTCAGGCTCAGCATTTCAAGTTTAACGATAAAGATCATCGATAATCCTTAAGGTGTAACCAAGTGCAGCATTCTGCATCAGGAATAGGTGTCAACCGGCTCTTTAGGCGGCGATGCCAGGTCTCTTTCCTTTTTTAAAGCCTTATCTCTCTGTAGGTACAAATCGCTGGAGTAGTAGTTGTTTTCGAGTTACGTAACTTGGAAAGGAGGTTATCTTTCGCTAGACGATTTCTTTTCGTGATGTATCTAAACCTATAGTATTTATACAGGGATTGGCACTTCTGCTGACAGCTGAAGTTGCAAGACTCTACTTAATCGATGAAGAGAACGATGTCAACGAGTTGTTTTGCAAGTATGGAAAGACCGAGATACGTGCACACTTTATTCATCACACTGATACAGCAACAGACATCTATTCTATCTGAGAGTTCCTATGCACCGCTGACGAAAGCGAGTATACTTGTGAATTTCTATGATGGGTTGCGACAAATCCAAGACCATAGTGCTTGGACGGGAGAAGCGATTCTAGGAAAAGTATATGCCGCCTTCTAACAGGTGTAGACAAAATTCCTATAAATTTCTGACTTGCTGCTGTGTTTGAACGAGAGATGATTGAGAGATGAAGTGTAGATCTGTAGCTGTGGTGAGTGTTGAACCCATTCTGTTCTCAGAGGTGCATAGTGATCTGGACATGTCATGCATTCAGTTCTGAGAGAAGCAAAGTGCTCTGCATGTGGCGTAGACATGGTAAGAATTCTGTTCTGAGAGATAGATAGAGTCTCTAGACCATCTGTGGACGAGAGAATCTTCGTAATTACCTTTCTTGAGTAGACAATTGTAGAACTACGATTCACGCAGACCCTCATCCGACCTTTCGAAAAAATACCCGTTTATCAGGTGAATCCTTTTGAATCCCCCACCCTCTAAAAACGCTTTTTCCTCCTTGATTTCTGGATTTCTATACCACATTCTCATTCGTTTTCTTTTTCTTTGTGTCTCCTCACAGTTACAGTATTTTCTCCGTCAATATTAAGAATAATGCCGCCAAAAGCAGCTCCAGCTTCGGCAGGCTCTCCTGATGCTGCTCTGGGAGACAGTGGTGATGTCTCCAAGAAGCGTATCGGGAGCAAACGTCTTGGTGGACCTGCTATGAGCTCAGATGCCGACTACGGTGGCGAAACACCGTTTATGTTCAAGATGGCGGTATTTCATTCTTCTTGAAGAGTTTTTTCCTTAGCAACAACCAATGAATAATTTTGAATTTTGCACGAAGATCAGGTTTATCAGATTGGGGTTATAAGCACTAAAGTGATTACTTTTGAACAGTATTTCTTAACGGCTGGAACGGGAAGTGTGTCCACAGTACTTCCTAGGCTGTCCTCTATTTGTTCTCCTCCACTGCAGAACTCAACATCATAATTGATAAAAATCTCATCAAATGACTGCACTCTCAAATGAAGCTCAAGAACATGAATCCTCATCCCACAACGAACTACAGGTCTACCAACCGCCCACTCCCAACGCTTCTCCACGATCCGAAGTCTGCGAAGAGCCGCCAGCTTACTCCAGATTTGTGATGCAAAAGCCTTTGCTCCTGGTCTACGGAGCCACGTCGCAGACTGGTCGTTGGATGGTCAGGCAGGCTCTCAGCAGCGGACTTTTCCGCGTCCGAGCCTTCTGCCGCAGTCGTGAGAAATTGGAGAAACAGCAGCGGGAATTGGACGAGAAGACGGCGCCGAATCCACACAAAAAGGAGGAGCAGCCCTATGAACCGCCGCTGGTGAAAACGAGGGCTCAACTTCCAGGGTTGGACGACATTTTATTCGGAGCCCATCTAGAAGAAGAACGGATTCAAAATTGTAGTCGTGTGTCGGTCAGAGTGACGGATCTGTTTGCAGCACTGCCTGTTGTACCTGGTGCTACTCCAGCGAGGACTGCACATGGGACTACACCAGCGGAGCCAGCGGGGGCTGAAGATGCGCCACCTGCGGCAATACTAGGGGGTGCAGCAGCTGATGGAACTAAAGCCGAAGCCAAGGCAGGTGTAGAAGGTGAAGCTAAGGAGGGAGCAGCGGCGGTCGAACCAGAACAACCTCCAGCTTTGCCTGCAGATCAGAAAGACTTATTGGAAGTTGTGGAAGGTAAATGCTCTTTGATCCCGTTAAAGCAACCTACTACTCACACGGAAGAAAGATACTTTAATATTGATCCATCGCGTTATTTTTGAAGAGTCTGAACTTTATTATTGAATGTTGATGTTCTTCTCATCAGACAGAATCTGATTGCAAACAGGTGACATCGAAGACCTCGATCTGGTCCGCACCGCCATGCGTGACGCCACTTACGTCGCGATCCTCGTTCGACCGGAGAAGGTTGAGCCTTATATGGACTTTATACGCGCCGTCACGGAGACCATGTCTAAGCCTGGCGGCATGACCGTCGTCAAAATGTACCTGCAAGGCCATGCGGAGCTCCCAGAGCCGATCTCCCAGGAAATGATCGAGGCCAATAAGAAGGACCCGAAGTGTCCGACTACATGTACAGGATTGAGCAAAGATGCAACACAGGGGTTGTTTCAGGCAATGGTCCATTTGAAGCGTGAATGTCCACCAAGCTTGCCTTGGTTCGTCTCCAGGCCATTTCCTTTACAAGAAGGACCAACGGCGTGGAAACCGAAGAACAACGTCATTGGATTTCCGCCAGAAAAGAAACCAGCGAAAGCAGGTATTGATAGAGCTGGAGACTTTAGATTCTATTCTATTCTTTAGACAAGGAAATCATGAACATGATCATCATCTACTTCTGTGCATTGGACAAACAGACTTCATCAAGTAAATTTACGTTTGACTTTCATTCCTTTCCACGCTGCAACGAACAACTTCTTCAAATACTTAGTATTTCATTCGCCACCACCCACACAGCAATGCGTTTCTCCGGTGCTTCACAATGGGCTTTACTGCTCCTCCAGAATCGAGCTTTATGGTTGAGGCAATTTCCCTATCTGGCGTACGGAACTGACCATCTCCAGTACTACCACACTGGCGCCGCGGCACTGACCGAAATGACTGAACCACCCGCAGGCGCAACAGAGGAAGAGCAGGCTGCATGGGACGCACGGATGGGAGGAGCTGCGAAGAAGTAAGTTCGGTGTAGCACATCCACATACAACTTCTTCTGTGTATTATACTAGAATGTGGCTGCAGAGGCAGCTGTTAATATGCATGATACCGCATTTAATGAACTTGAATATACCAGGAGGTAGTACAACTACTTCTTTTCCGTCTTTGAACTCACTAATTTTTCTTCGAAATTGTACTCGAGCGTGACACTCCTTTATCAACCTTAGAGACTCCTCAGGAAGCAAAACGGGTGCAGCATTCACTACATGGGAGTTGTAAGTATTCGAAACATGTTCTTTTGAAGCAATGATTTCTTTGTGTATATCAATATCATTCAACAGCATCAGATGATATGGAAATGAGCCATTATGCAAATTGCATAGATGACGTGTAAAATAGAGCAAGCAGTTGCTAGTTCCAAGGTGCGGATATCATGCGACTGGGAAAATACTATCTCGAATCGAGCACAACTACATCGCATTCATGTTTATCGCAAAAAGAAACGTTATAAATATTACGAAACATCAGTCAGCCCGCAAACGGTAGCGGTCGTTTGCGTACGCAGTCTCGAAAGCGGCGTTCGGTTGAAGTGTTACGATCTGGTTGGAGGAGCCACATTCTTGTTGTTCGATTGTCATCACTCGGTAACACGACAATATGTATCTATAGTACTTCCCCGTCATCTGTCAATACGAAGATGATCCAATGATGTTGGAAAATTCGGTCTGTTCGGTGGTCTTGTTGCTCAGATGATGATCGGTCGCTCTCTTCGTATCTGCTTTGGCGTCTGCGTCTCGGAAGAGGCGAATATCGGTCGGCACTAAACAAGAGCCCGAATCTGACCGAGCTTAACCAAAACAAACTGATCTCCCGAATCTGACCGAGCTTAACCAAAACAAACTGATCTATCATGGACGAACAAACGATTTTGTAGAAGCGAAATGTCAAGATTCTATTTCCGCGTTATTTGACTACAAATTGTCTATGTCTTTAACTTTACCGTGTCTCTCAAGGTAGGTAAAAAGTATGGTGATGGTTCTCTCGTCAGGAGGAAGCCACTTGTTTCCCTTCATCAATATTGATGTCGATCCAGGTTCTCAATCTTGGGAGGTTCTCACTGCCGCTGCATCCAGGGCCACCAGGAGCAGCTCTTTCATCGATTTCGATGCTGAACGGGAAGGACCGACACAAGTGCGCCCCACACCTGCCCCCGGAACGATTCTGCCTGTGACTCCACTACTCAAGCATCTGAGTCTCAAGCTAGGGCCTCCGAAGGCAGTTGGGGACACCGATTTTCAAAGCCTTGTAAACGAAGTTGTTGACCAAGGAAAACAAGGGAATGTAGCAGAAGGAACGCTGGAGAATGGACCTTCAACAAAGAATCCTAATGCGCAACCTTCCACCAGGGACGACGGCGCCGTGGATTTCAGACCTCCTGGAGCAGACAGAGCGCTGACAAATGGCACCGAAAAGGCTCGACGCGATAGCCACGTAATACCAGGATTGATTCAGGCAGCGGATGGCCCTCTGCTTCCTGGGAGAAGCAACCAGAGAGCCTATTTGATAGATGCATGGAAGAAGGGAGAGAGAAGCTATAACAGTCCGGATGCTTCCTTAAGGCTCGATGAAGGGATGAACCTCCTAAGATGATCATCATGAGACCACGAATGATTCTTTCATGAGACCACGAATGATTCTTAAGCTCTAACTTCTGCATTGAGGAATCCGGGTATTACCGAAAGACCAGAGCCAAAGCCAGCACCAGGCAACAGCGCTCTAGATTTCGAGGATGGAACTCGTTTGGATCCAACAGCACTGGCTGACTTCGGTTTAGACCCAGAAATGGCTGAACAGATATTGAAAGATGCGGAGGGACCTGGTGATTTCATGTAAGGGAATGATGCAGGTGTTGAACTTGAAGGACATGGTGAAGATTTCATGCAATACTAGACAGTTTCAGTCCTTTTTTTGACTTCGACGTCCTTGACGTTGACATTGCGCTTGTAGTTGATGCTTTTGCATGTTGATGTAAGAGGCTCTTATTAATAACCGCATTAATCTCGTCTCATTCGAAACAAGTAGCCGAAGCAGTAGTGATGTGCATCGATTTCGATTCCGCGACTTTTTCTGTGATCCTGCGTACCTGCGAAGCAAAAAAGTGTCCTCTGGTGAATTGCAAACGCTTCTACATTTTCCGAAAAGTGATGCTGGGATCGATCTTTTGATCTACGTTCTGAAATCACAAGAATGACTTGGATGAACCTTTTCCAAAGACATAGACGGCTGTCGCGTAAAAATATGGAGGTTTGAGAATTACGAGAACAATTGAAGTTAGTACTCGTTAAAAAGTACGTAAGTGTAAGACATGTAGTGCCACACTCACAACTGGTAGTCGTATAAGCAAACAAGTAGCAACATAGCTAGCTTTCGTTCTGTGCATTTGCGTATCTTCAAGTTGCACCATCGGAAAAAATGCCGGCTCCTAGTGCTACCACTGGGTCGCGAGTTAGGATGGTTAATCCTATGCCTGATTTCACGGCGCGTCCTGGGAGGAGAGTAACGCAAAGTACGTCAGCGGGAAAGGACTTTGTGTTGGCATGCGTTGGCATGGAAGTCGTAAGTTATGCCAGAAAGATGAAGTCTTTCTCAAGAACATTCTCAAAAAATATGAAAGATGAGTATAAGGTGAAAATGTTTTTTTATGTCGAGTACATCGTTAAGCAGTCGGTCTTTTGTAACTGCCGTGTCTCTACTATTCGGGTCACAACGGAACCAGGCAGTCAATACAAAAAAAAATACTTGTAGCTGCTACGTGGCTCGAATAAATGAATGAAAAACTACCGCCATGAACTCACTCAGTCTTCTAAGTAAAAAATAGGGAAGACTGGATATGGGGCGACCAAGATTACGACGCCGGACAAAACCAAAGTAGTACATTATTTTTTTGTTTGAGTTTGCCTCTCGGACTCGGTTCTTGACGTTGAAGATAGACCATCTTTCTTTCCGCAGTGCATATTAGTGTCTTCATCGATTGTGACGCGGACATAATTCTACTTATCCTCTACAAGAACTTGAATATCAACAGGTGGCGTCGGTGTGATAGAGGCGATTCATGGTGATCCACCAGGATGGGCCACGGTAAGGTTCGGGAGGCAGGTAAAGAAATTTCGCATAGGAGGATGTGAAACGACTGTCACAAAACGCTACGATTTGAGAGTACATGAGCGGCTGCCTGGTCTTCTTGCTCTACACGGATTATTAAGGGTGGTTTTTTTCACTATCCCATGTGGACTAATATGCTGAGTGGGCTCCTTATCCCATGTGGACTAATATGCTGAGTGGGCTCCTCCTGTTGGAGGGCAAACTAAGGGGCAAAGAGGGCTAATAAAGACTGGGCTCCTCCTGGATCATTTGGAGGGCAAACTAAGGAGCAATTATAGAGGTAGGTTTTTGGTGCTTGCTTACCCCGCTTTTTATGCCTTTCTCCCTTAGGAGAGGGCAAACCTCCACTCGATTCAAACCACTCGACTCGGGATAGTGAAGAACTTCAAGAGAAGCGTCTCCCACTGCGAGCACGACAAAATCAGCTGCTACACCAGGAACAACGGGAAAAGCGAAACCGACAGACGAGGATGCGATGGATGTTAACGATCCTTAATGATTTAGATCGATGGATGTTAACGATCCTTAATGTTAATGTTAGATCTTTAAATACTTATGAAAGCAGCTACAAGCTTAATCATCGTGATCTCTAAATATGAAAGCAGCTACTTCGGCGAAGGAGCTGCAGCTACAAATACTCGGCCCGGGGAGTTTAATATTAGATCTCTAAATATGAAAGCAGCTACAAATTATAATACTGCAATTATAATATGAACATATATTAGATAGTATCACTATCAGGTTCAGGTTGATGAGAATCACGCTTACGCACACGCTGTAGCACTTCTACTTCTGACCATTGGAGGAAGGTGTCGCGACCACCTGGAAGGCGTTCACGTGCAAGGCGATGCGAGACAGGAAAAATGTAAGAAATGTCAAAATCGGTCACTGTCCTCGGTCAAAAAGAAAGAAAAATGTCCTCGGTCAAAAAGAGGATGATCGTCGTGTCGGCGAGATCAACATCTTCGTGAGGATGCCAACCCGTGTTGCGTGTCTCCTCAGTCCCCACTCCCAAAACAGCCTATACTTATAAACTTTTACTTATTAGAATCGATTGCGACTACGATAAACAAAAGCCACTAAGCGCAAACACGACTTAGATTTACAAATAGACGACTATGTATTTTTGTCGGTACTAGATGGGAGAAGTTTTCGATTCTCCCTTTGATGGCTCCTAGCCAGCAGTAGCAGTGGGCAGTAACAATGTAGTTCTTGTATTGATAAGATAAGGACTTACAACTTTACTCCTCGTAACTCCTCGTCCTCTCAGTTAGACTCTTGTTAGAACAAATACAAAATCTAATCTTGAAAAAATGGGTCTTTGTCTTTTCCGCGACAGCGAGAGCGATGCTCGCGTGGAGAAGATCAATAGTTACAGGCGTAAGTTTGCGCGCGTCCTCAGCAGTGACGACAGGCTGAATCAGGAATGCAGTGTCTTTTGGATCCAAATGCGCGCTCCCCAGAGGGGAAACGTTATCCACAAAGGCGATGTGATGGCCTGTACGCAGAAGTTCCTGGATCAGATAGATGCGGGAGATGAACAAACACTATCTGGGATCGATTGGTTGCTGAATCAATTGGAAAGAGTGGGTGTGGACAATGTCGGAGGAGGAGATCCGTTGTCATCCGCATCTGAAGTCCTCTCTTCAGCGGGCGGCTCGGCATCAGGAGACCAGATCGAATTCGAGACTTTTCAGGCTTACACGAGAGAAATGATGATGCTCTTGGATGCGGAGATGGTTCGGAAACTGGAATCTGCACTAGCTGCGGGGGATAACCTGTGCGTTCCAATGTACTACTCTCTGAGATTTTGGATTGATTCAACTTTATTTTGTGTTGTTTGAACCATTTCAATTTCATCTAAAAAATAGAATGGAAGTAGCCCATCATTACCAACAGGTCGGAAGACACCGAGATGCCCAAACGCAGGCACTACTGCTACCACGCACGAGACCCAAAGCGGGAGGGCTTTTCTAGAACGAAGGAGATCGAGGATCTACCGCTCGACTCTGCGAGGTTTGTACGGGAAGCGCGGGAGAAGTATCTGAATCCACGACCAGAGAGTAGGGTCAATGCGGCTGTTAATAGTGCTGGAGGAGGCGGAAGTGGAATCCTAGGAGCTTTAGCACCTGGTTTCACCGCACCTTCGGGACCTACCTCCTCCCCATTCAAAGTACCTGCAGGAGGAGCCACGAATTTCAACACAGACCAGTCACTTCTTTAAGGCTCAGAGAAATTCATCTTAAGAGGCATCTTTGACCGCTTTCCTAAGGAGGAAGTACGTTAAAGATGCTCTTCAAGATGAATAAAAGTAAGGTCTAACTTCTATCTGCGATAGATCAAATGCGACCAGTCGCTAGTTGTGGCAGAGATCATGGTGGGGATAGCATGACGAGCACGCCAAGACTGCTCATTGCTGATGAGTTGTACACACCGAGACGGCAGCATGCCTACGCGCATGAGATGTTCGGTGGAAATCCGACGCCGCCTAGTGCAGCGAAGACGCAGTATGGAGAAGAGACTGGTGGAGGTGCGCAGAGGGGTGGTACTGTACGTAGTTTTCTAGGCAGATCTAGATTTTCCTCCTTAATCATGTCATACTAGAAGGTCGTTTCAAAATCAAGAAGATCGAAAATGTTCAAGAACTGTTTTTCAATCCGTCTTCTTTCTCATGTTCACCTTCCCGTTCTCGTACAACATGCCAGGTGGCTTCTCATTCCCCGCTTTCCCCGATATGCTAGCCGAAGCCGGTGTCGAAGGAGTACAGTTGAGTCCTGCACAAATGCAGAAGAAGAGCCGGACCCGCTCATTCGGGACCGAAGATTACAATGAACAACTTGTTCAGCATCAACATTTACAGGGGAGAAGCCCTTCAGTTCTCGTGGATGCTGCCAATACTAGTAGACAGCAGATGCTGAGCAGACAAGCATTAATAAATCAACAAGGTCCTGCTTTGAAGAGAACACGTGGAACCAATTCCGTCAAGAATCAGCAAAGCGCACCAGGTGCAGGTACTATAGGTGCAGCTGACTTATTTCCACGTGGAAGAGCGCCGCAGGAAGCCCCTCTGTTTTATCCTAGGGAAGAAGCCGAAGATCGATTAGGACAACAGGTGGAGGAAGTTTTGCGACAACATCAGAGTTCTTTCCCTTTTGACAAGGCAGAGATGATGAAAATGACCAAACAGCAGTTTTACAGGGACGTGGATGAGCAAGGGGTCGTGCATAGTAGGACAGCTACTTCTAGCGGAGCTGGCGCCTCTTCATCCAGTAGTTCTCGTACACATGAGGACAGCAGTACTAGCACTTCTAGAAAGGAGTTAAATCCCTACTTTCCTAAGCCCACTGGCGCCTCTGGATCATCAAGATTTAGGAAAAGGGTAACCCAGAACAATGGCGAATCGAACTCGTACAAAGAGGAATCGGTTTCAGTTGAGCAAACCTCGGTGTCATTTGCAGAAGGTGGAGGCATAGACTCCAAAGTTGCGAGCTCTCCGTACCTTCATGATGGAGAACAAAGAGGTCAACGAAGTGTACCATCATCTGCTTCTTCGTCAACTAGTATTTGCGAAGCAAAAGAGCGAGCACCTCCACCTGTGCCTGTGCCTGTACAACAAGAAGTAGAAGAGAAACCCATGATGGTGTCGGAAAAAGAACAAGAGAAACGTGCAATGAATGAAATTCATGCTCTTGTTGGTCAGATACTACTAGCGGAGGAAACGACTGCTTCCTCTGGTGGGGTAGCATCAACTTCATCTGGTGAGGTCGTTTTAGACTGTTTTCGGCGGATTGGACAGATACAGCCGATAACGGTGAACGTACTCCGTGAAACGAAAATTGGCGTTTTCACACAGAAATACAAGAATCATTCCTCTACGGAAGTGCAGAAGTTTGTGCGGTCATTGAGGCAACAGTGGACGGACGTATTAGACTGATATTTTACAATCCAATAATAGATTTGAAACTTACAACACCGAAGCGAACTCAATGAGCTCATGGAGAAATAATTCAAAAGCTTCTTGACTACTACCCTTATTATCTCAATTGTCTACTCAAGAACCTCAACAAGGTTGTTCGCCGCGATTCCTCCAGTGCCACCTCAACTACGTCAACCAGCACAACTCCTGCGAAATCTACTGCTCCACCTGCTGCTAGCAAAGGATCCTTGTTGCAGTCAAACACTGTAGAGATCATGCGCCAAAAGCTTTTATCCGAGGAGGGGATGCGACTAGAAGTCTTCAATGCTGATGGTGGAGTAGAGTGGACAAGCGTCCGCCTAATAGCGGATGACAAAGGGCAGTTACCGTCATCGATTGAATTGAGAGGTACTTGTACTCATAGAGCACCCTAGACTTGAGAAGATAACACTTTCTTGTTCTCATCGTGAATGTCATCTTTTGAACGAGCTCACCTGAGCGAACGGAGCACCATAGACTTAAGAAGATATTACACCTTTCTTTCCGAGCAGCTTACTTACATACTTATTCGAACTTCGTGCTATTTTCCTTCGCCATCTCGTGAACATCAGGTGACGACCCCGATAGTTCGATGGATTTTCAGCTTTCGGAACTAGAAAACGTTTCTAGAGGTGCTGCGCGTGGCCTCTTGCCCAGCCCAGAGCAACGTAAAAGCTCAGAACGCCTACTAGCCTTTGAGTTCGGAGACGAAGGAAGCCTAGTTTTGAGACTCAACGACAGCGAATCGGCGGAGACATGTTGCAAAGCCTTGAAAACTTTTGGACTGAAAGTTCACGGTGGGGGTTCTTGAACGACGTGACACAATAGTCTGACCTGAAATTATCGTACTACGACTTGCAGCTCCGCAATCGCATTTTGAGAATACAGTGTATCCTGTATTACGCTTAAAAAGGTGTATGTAATACAATTAATAAAAATGTAACGAACAACTAGACTAGACTGACGAAAGTATCGATCCAATGAACCAAAACGTTAAGTAGATTATCAAATAGTACAAGATCCCAAATTATCAGTAGTAAATTGACAATTATCGATCCCACGAATATTTGCAATTTCCTAAACGATCCCAACTTTGCTAGAATGAATAACGATAAGTTTCTCATCGATTCAATGTGAACGAAGTATTCCGATTCCGTATATACCAGGTATGAGAAGATTCGTAGAATTGTAGGTATCAATCCATGTGGCATAGGAACGACACATCCATCTCATCACTTGTACAGCATAGGACTTACGCAATCTTATCGTCATCGTCATGATTCATAGAAAATAGAAGAACCACAGACATCAGCATATTGTTTATTGATATTATCGAAATCAGAAATATCGCCAGGGAAATCTTAGGCAGATTGCCGAGTAGGTTCACACCATCACTATCGAAATAAGAAATATCCTACTCACGAGATTGACTTCTCAACAAGACCAACAACTACGAGCCATGTCATCGAACAGGATCCCTCCAACATGCCTGTATCATTACACGAAGCTACAGCAAAGAGGAAAGAAAATCACGTACTGAAGAATCGTTCATCTGTCGCTCAACTAAGCAAGGACCACTACGTTCCTGACTGCTGGTTTTTTGAGCAGGATCCTGCGTACTGGTCTTCATTCATCACTAAGAACGATCATCATGAACGAAGTAGACCATCCACGTGTGGTAGATTTCCACAATCAGGATCTGAAAAAAAGGTCCTACGACATACGAGATCCGCATGAAAGATCATCTCCCACCTCGTCGTGATCTCCAAGGAAACTCCACGGTCTGTCATGAAAGCTGAAGGAAGAAGCGAGAACTTACTATTGCAATTGCTATAATGATTATGATCTTAATTTTTTTCTTATGGTTTCATTCTACTTTGTACCGAAATGGATCAGGAGGAGTGAGTTTACTATGTTGTGAGCGCAATACTAGTTCAAATTGAAGATTACACTCCTCGAACTCTCGTGGTTGTTCTTTTTATTCGCAATAATTTTGATTACTACTAACTTTCTGTAGTTTACTTCTACATTAAAAATATCTTCACGTTCACCGAGTTGTAGTTCATCCTCTTAAGACGACGAAAAAATGGTGAAGAAGAGCAAGAAGAACGAACAGAAGAAGCTCGCTATTGAGCTGGCAAAGAAGAGGAGGTTGACCAAGCCAGCAGTGGGGAAAGCCGAGAATAACAGTTTCTCCCATGTCAAAGACAAGATTATGAGGTCAGAGCTCACAGACAAAGACAAGCGAAAGAAGAAAGTGAAAAAAGCTGAAGTCCGTAAAGGACGAAAGGAAGCGGAAGAAAAGGGAGAAGACCCGGAGGTACTTAGTTTTATACAGAGGACTACAGTTTTTACAGTGGTACTTAAGTAGTTTTATACAGAAGATGAGGACTGCGGTTACAGTTTGTTGATGATGTTCGTGTTTCATTATGGATTTTGTTCATCTTGATTGATTCACACTTGTCTCTATTTTTCCCTACCTAAATGTAGTCCAGCATCTCATTACTTATAGCTCATCTATGATCTTTATTCTTCCTCAACGAACTCGTGATTGCAATCTTCACAGGCACTCGGTTTCCCCGCAAGACAGGAGCCCAACACGATTGAGAAGCTTCGTGAGGCAGATGAGACTGTCGTTCCCGTAGATGAAGAGCTCGATATGGAGATCGACCAGGATGAGGCGCAGGACGAATTCTCGGCTCATTTCAACCATCAGACGACGCCTAAGATCATGCTGACGACGAACTTGAAACCGAGCAAGAGGATGTTCGATTTCTTGAAAGAACTAGTCGAAGTGATCCCCAACACCAAGTATTACAAGCGTAAAGGATTAGGCTTGAAGCAGATCATCGAGTACGCAAAAAAACGCGACTTCACGATGCTGTTTGTGGTAACGGAAAAAGCGAAGACGCCAAACGGGTTGTACATCTGCAACTTGCCTTGCGGACCTACCTCGTTTTGGAAACTCACCAAGCTCAAACTGGGGCAAGAAATGCGCAAAGGCACAGGTTGCAACAGCGAACACGCGCCAGAGCTGTTGTTGAACAACTTCACGACCCGCTTAGGTCGACGAGTGGCACGACAGCTAGCGACGTGCTTTCCGCAGCGACCCGACTTTCAGGGGAGGCGGTCAGTCTGCTTCCACAATCAGCGAGACTTCGTCTTCTTCCGTCATTACCGATACGAATTCAAATCCGCGACTGGGACCGGACCCAATGACAAGAAGAAGAAGAAGTCAGAGGACGATGACGATTCTGACAAGGATGGATCTAGCGAAGACGAAGATGACAGCGACATGGACGACGCTGCAGGCCTCAGCGCAAAACAACAAGCCAAAAAAAAGCAACAGGAGAAGGAAGATGTGAATGCTCCAGTGACCAAGCATGGTCAGAAGATCACGAGAGCAGGTCTGAAGGAAATCGGACCTAGATTCACCTTGAAGATGCGATACTTGCAGCACGGAACCTTTGATTCGAAGAACGGGGAGTTCGAATACCAATGGCGACCAGATTCACAAGTCAGCAGGAAGAAAATGTTCTTGTAAAAATTTGTTGAGGAGCTGCTGATGATACAGGCCAACTTGATAGCTTTGCTGCATGTTGCAACATTAACATGATCTAGGTACTTACCACTTGAAGGAAAAGCCCCTGAAAAATCGTTGCACATTGATCTTCTTGTTTTTAAGAAGATCCAGTTCAAGGATGCTGTTCTGCTTTCCACATGTAGCCGCGTTATGACTTTTGATTGCCTCTCTCTTAAATCGGTCCGCTCTGACCAACAGTATCTTCTGATTGGGGTAGTTGAAGGCGACTTAGAAGCCCACGCAAAAGAATTGTCTGAGAAACAAAGGAGTAGATGAGCGTTTTCAGCAACTGTCCGTCGGAGAAAGAGAGCCTGTTATCTTGTCTTCTTGTAAAACTCCAATCGGTACTTGAGAGCTTCCCGAAAATTCCCCTTTCATCAGATTCCCGCACTTCTTGGTGGACCCTTGACCCTTTGTTGTATTCTAGAGGAGAAGCTATTCCAGATCAAGTTGACCAAGTTATCATTCGATGAAGATAAGTTACACATGAAGTTACTTAGTAGATCGATGAAGATTTAAGTTATACATAGATACACATGAAGTAGTAGTAGAAAAGGTAAAAAACACAACTGTTTCACTGCCGGTTCAGGTCAGCTTCATCATTGAAGAAAGTACCTAAGAAGAAAAGACCATCACCATGTCGCCCCCTTCTGGTGGTGGCATCACAGCCAGCCACGTCGATTTCAAATTCGGTGGACGCAAAAAGGACGCCTGGAAGCTGATAAAAGAAGCATTGGAAAAAGCCTCCATCAAGAATGCAGAGGCATTGCGGGATACTTTGTTGATTTTAAGGCACTCGTAAATTCAGAGATGAAGTTATACAACATACTAAACGCAAATACTCGAACATCAGCTCGTCGTCCTTGAAGAACATCTACCCCCTCATTCCCTCATCTCTAATCCGCGTAGCCGAGCTTGCGGGCTCGTTAAAGCGGCCTGATCAATTTGCGGGAGTGCCTAGTCTTCTGCGGCAAGTAGAGCAGATCGACCCGAAGTTGTACGACAAAATCTTTCCGACAATCCTCCCCAAGATCCAAGAGTGGGCAAGGCAATTTCCAACTCACTTCTCAGAACCTGTGCCAATACTGAGAGCGGGGAAAGCGGGAAAGGTAGATTTTTCTACACTAAGTTTTTTCACAACTCGGAATTTCTATTGAAAATTTCAGAACTCGGAGTGTCTATTAATAAAAGTAAGAAACGGATGTTCATCCTGTTCTTGCTGTACTAGTAGGATTGCGTACTAAGACGTTGATAAAAAAATCTCCAAATCTATCTAAACTACTCTTATGAAACAACAGATCAGCCTCAGCGAAAAACAATGCGTTTATCTCTTGGCAGCAGCTTTCTTTTGCATCCTTCCCGAGCCGCTCACGGATTCGGTACATCCAATATTGACAAGGTCTTTTTCTGGAACCAAAATCTATCATGTTGATGCTTCGCAAGAACGTCACGTTGAAGTATCGCTGGTGCTTGATATGGCAAGAATTCGTAATCAATCCTATCCTCCATCCAGATCCAAACCCTGAACTTCCGAAAATTTTTTCGCGGCGAAGAGCACACACAAGCGCACAAACTGTGTGCCGTTCTGCGGTATTTTGAGGAGCATACAGCGCAGTTGAGGCCTAACTTTGAGCGAGAGGAAGATGAGGAGCCTGATGCCTTTAAGGAAAGACAGAAAGAATTTCGGCAAAACGTGTACTCAAGATGGGCATCACGCTCAATAGAGCTGATCAGGTGTAAAGCGCCTAGCCAACACGGGCACGGCAGCTCATCGAGTAGCTCATCTTCGCCATCGAGGAGAAGGGGACCGAGGTATATTACCCATGACTAGAACTAGCGTAGAAGTAGATGGTATCTAGAACTCGTCCAAGAGCAAATGCACATCCTATCCTTGACCTTGAATGATTACCATCTAGTAGAAATAGAACTACGTTAGAGTACAACTTGATTCAAAAATCAAAATGCAATAGCCCCCCTCTCGAACAACCAAAACCCAGAATAGTCGAAGAGTACATTGGCGTCGATATGACCTATTGGTCCGCCACGGAGTGCAAATTGTCGACCAAAGTGAGGTTTGTAGAGAACGACGTGGAAGGTCCAACTGACGAGACCGAAATAGTGCGTGCTATGGAGCTGCAGACAGCGAGATATGGAGGAGACTTTCTTGGACAAGGATACGAAGCCGTGGAGAGCTTTTTTTGTGCGCATTTTCAGGGCATAGCGTTCCTCCTTTTCGTGGAGAAGATGGATTTCGCAAAAGAGGTTGTGACACTGCGGTCTGTCCGAGCGACCTGCGACATGGCGGAGAGATTTAGGTATGTGCCGAGAGAGGAGGGGTATCCAGAACCGAGACCGCTTAGTGCGAGCGCAGGCGATGCGGGAGAGGGAGGGGATGGAAGTACAGCTACACACTCACTTCATCTTCTTGTGATGGCTTTATTATAAGCTTTTTCTTTTTGTGGGATGACGAGTCGTATGGACAGATCTACACGTTATCTCTCGCGAAGCCGTTGCACCTAGCAACTTGGCATGAATGACGCCCTTGAGCTTGAACTTGAGTCGTGGGCGCCCTAATCATTGTTCGAGTACTCCCTGCTCCTTGACCTCTACTAGGTACCGCCTCGACCTCCTCCATGATCCCGTTTGAAGTTGTTTCCTGTATCTTCTCGAAAAAGCAAGCGACACCGCAGACCCTAGACACTATCAAAGCCGCCTTGGGGCCACGACCTTTCACACCAGACAGAGTCGAGGAACCGCAAGTGCAGCCTCCTAGCGACGATGGAGGAGGTGACACGGACCCCTCAAATCACGCAGGATCATCGGGGGGAGCATCGAGCGTGGTATGATCCTTGTTTGGGAATTTCATTTTCTTGGTCAGAATGATTCTTGTCTTTGTTTGTCACAGGATCATCTAGGCTCTCGTCCATTTTCAATTGCAAGTGCATGTGGTTGATGAAGATAAAAGAAAGGAAGTCTTTGTACTTCTATTCAAGAAATAAATTCGTAACTAACTAATGAAAGCGCCTACAATCTAAACAATTCCTCACCCTTCGTATTAGGACTACACTTCTAATATTTATTGTGACAATGACAAACCATACCCACAGCAAAAACCGGCTCGACCAGCGACGCCAAGCGGCGAAGAGTTTTTTCCTGAGAAGAAGAGGAGAGTCGTCATCCTTCCTTACTCTTTTTTGTTATGGCAGCAATGTAACAAGAACAACATGCAAGTGCGTCGTGAACAAGTGTTTTGATTTCATTAAAATTGTCTGAGGAAAGTATTCTAGTTCCCTGCTGCAGTAAACAGGAGTGCATCGCCTTGACATCCCACGTCCGATGCACTCCTGTTTACTGCAGCCCGATCAATTTGCGGGAGCATCAAGCCCTCTTACGATTGAGTAACCTCCTCATATCTGAGGAGGAAGGTAAAAGAGCTTCTAACGGTCTCCGCTTTCGCCGGAAGCTCGACGCAGCAACAGTTAGCTTGGGTGCTCTACTGGTGGCTGGTTTGTTCCGAGAGTGGTATATCAGAACTTCGGGTCTGTCCATCACGGACTCAATTTCAAATCGAAGAGTCAGCCAAGCTAGGACCAGGCACTGAGAAAAGCGGTATCGAGGGACGGCAAACGCTGAGTGAGGTATTGATTTTTCTAGGTCGAATAGGAATAAGGAGACGTCGTCTTATCGAAAAAAAAGATGTTATAATGTTTTGTAGAAGTTGGTAGAACCACAACCATGCTCACTCCCAGTCAATTTCTCGTGTGAGCAATCTCGATATGAGAATCTCGATTACATTGGCATTAAATATCAAATTCATCCACCAGGCCTTCGACAAGATAGTTGATCTCTTCCACGCCAAAAACGTGAGGGGGGGCCTCCTCTACGCTCTGTTGCACGAATACCGAAACGCCAAAATTGAGCGGGATGCTCTTTCTACTTGGCTTCAGACCACGCTGCTCTACGGGAACTAGCCGATTCGTTCGGTTGTTTCTGAGTTCAGGCGCACAGTAGTTGCGATCATATAGTTTTTCCTTTTTTTTCAGATGATTCCAAGACTTCATCAGGTACTCTATCAAACTACAAGAAGCAGTATACAGGGTTAAGGTTTAACTTCCTAGTACTACCTGCCCAATTAGGCAAAATCATTTGAGGATCCCCATTGATTTCTTAACAGTTCTGCAACATGCACGCTTTACGTGCAGCATGAGAACCTACAAGAATCAATGATGATGATATTAATGTTTGTTCCTACAAAAACCTGGCATTCGGAAATTAAAAAAGCTTCGTTTAAATTCTAAATTCAAGTGTCAAAGGGACGGAAAGAAGACGTCCTCTCTGGCCTTGTTTCTCTCATAGAGATCTTTTTCTGCTCGTTGTCAGTAGTTGTGTTCCCCCAACGCCAACAAATAACGAAGTTCAGACAAGACAGTCGAAGAGAAGATCTCAGCTCATGATTTCAACGTACAACAATCAATATGGTCGTGAAAAAACCATTGCTCTGGTACTGGTTTTCCGTCAAAGCTCATATTCATAGAATGTTTCAGTGGATGTCTGAGTTCAGAACTTAAATTCGTCAGCATCAAGAAGTGTTGTCAAGGTCTCCTTCACAATCCACTTCTGAAGAACAACGATATCCTATTATATCTGCGTCACAACAATGAAGATCTAGTACGGAAAAATTAGTGCAGCTGCAGCCGCATGACAATGACAAATACCACTACAAGCTCAAGAACCTCCACATCTACTTCAGAAGAACTAGTACTGTCAATGTTGATGAGAAGATTCTGAGTTTTGAATTCCATGTCGTTCCTGCCTCAACGTCCTTCCGTTGTCATCCAACTCTACTTTTCGGCAGTCGGTGCGTAAAAATTGCTAAGGGGTTGCCTTTCACCGAATCTTCCATTAAGCACGGTCGTCTTTCGACGAAACTCCCTGCTATAGCCACTTTGTATTTTTACCACCAAATTGACTTGATAGTTCGTCATCCTGCTAATTTTCTGGAGATGAATTGTTTGACTAGAAGAAGACTCGCTTTCAGTTTCAACTAAGATACGAGGAAGACGAGCTTTGTTTTGAGCGATAGGGTAAAAAGAGGAGCAGATGATACTAGAACTAGAAATTCCTCTTGTGAAGATTATGATTATCAGTATGAACAACTAGTAGGCTTGAAGATGCATATGAACAATCATCTTGGCTCTCGCCAGGATATCAACTAGTGCGAAACACCAACAAAGTTGATGTTGCTGTTTACGACTATTTGATGATTGTTGCTATTAATTCATATACTTCTTGCCATGACAACGTAGACATCACCATATTAAAAACAAGGAAGAACTTCAACTTATTCATCTTATGTATGTTGACCACCTACTTCGCATTCTTGTAAAGTCCCCAACCAAATACACTATCTTAGAATAGAGAAAGCAATCAACCATCGTTTCACAGTCGAGTAGTTTCTACTCCAGATCATGGCTCTACGTTCATCGACCGAAAAAGACTTGTGTGACTGAATTTGAAAAATTATACGGACATCCTTTACCGCCCATTCAGTACTGTTTGTAGCAGCTGTTATCAATCTACAGTTGTAGAGCGATAATAGCTTGTAAAGACAACTAAGGAGGCTCAGTCTTGCAGAGTCGTGTCTAGTATCTTTCTATTACTCGTCTCCTCGCATCAAGCTCTCTTACGATTGAGTAACCTCCTCATATCTGAGGAGGAAGGTAAAAGAGCCCTACGCTACAGTATTAAGGCTTCAATACTATCTATTGAAATCTTCATAGTTATTTGAGTTACATCACCAGAAACCGAAACGTATACGCAGCTTATTCTTGCGCTCCGTGCATGTTAGCTTTATCCGATTATATTGATATTTTTGTTTCATCCACTTTGTTAATACAGTTAGTACAGTCGTGTATGTTGAATGACGCACCAGACGTCTGCAGTTGTACCCGCAACTCCTAGACAGTAGAGATATGGGAAGGTAGCAACTTCTAGACAGTAGAGATCAGCATTAGAAGACTTTAGAGAAGAGATTGAATCAGTAAACTCCTGTCACTGGTGCATAAACTCATTGTCTGCTTCCATAGTCCTCTTAGTCTTCAAGTCTTCTACTCAACATACACCTACTAGTTAGTATCACAAAACTAGAGGATTTAGAGTTTTGGAAGGATCTTTACATGTGAACAGGAGATAAAATACAACGACGAGACCTCCATAACATTAACAACCATGATTGTTCACTATTGCTAACTCCTGAAATTGATGATGTTGATGTTCAACGAATGATAATTCATTATCTCTGCCGACTGTGTTTATTGAACGTCAACATTTTTAACATTATTCTTTCACGTATAATAAAGTCTCGAAATCAAAAAGATGTTTTTCCCACCGAGCGCAAACAAGAATCCATATGGCACGAGTGCTTCCGGCTATGGGATGGGTACTTACTATTTGAGCGTAGTTATTTTTGAACCAAGCCTCTATGATCCTTTTTTTTATGTACTCTCTAATCCTCACGACTAGAATCGTTCCTCAATCGTGACTTGGGGTATGTTCGAGTACATCCTCAATGTTCGAGGACATTAGCAGGTCGTGAGGATGTACTCACTAGATCAATCGTGAGGACCATGGGACATTAGGTCGTGATTAGGTCCTCGTGAGGTTGACGAGGACATTCCTCAATCGTCTTCACTTGAGGTACTTATGTACAACTACCTTTTCCCTCAGCAGCACTATGTACTCAATATCATCCCACATCTCATTCCCCACTCCTCACGACGACCACAGACGCCAGCACAGCCGGAGCCAGTGCTAGTCCGACCTTGAGTGGTGCCGAATGGCAAGGATTGTACGACTACAGTGTTGCTGGAGACGACCTCCACGGTCCGTTGACTACTGCCGGGAGCATCGGAGCCGCGTCGGCTGGCAGTTTGGGAGCAGCGCTAAGTGGAGCGGAGCATCATGCTGCGATGAGCCATTTAGCCTCTCTGCAAGGTGCTGCTGGAATTCGTGTTGCAGGGGATCCGCACATGCTCACCGCACCTCCTCCCGGTCATCCGCACATGCTTGGTGGACATCCTGGAGGTGGTGCTGGGCACGCAGGCGCTTCTGCTGCTGGTGCAGCAGCAGCTCAGCACCACATGGACGCAGCAGCTGCAGCAGCTCAGGCCCAGGCTCATTTGTCGGGATTACCTGCTCATTTCGAGCACGGATATGGAGGAACGCTGATGGACCCTTTAATGCGATCCGTCACAGGTCCACCGCCAGGCATGGCACCGCCACCGGGAATGGCACCGGATGAATTGACGTCGATGCTCGCAGCACAACAAGCTGGACAAACGGCAGCGCATCATCAGGTAAAATAACTATTCACAGGAGACGTCACAATTTTGATTTCATCCAACAAAACGGAAACCGAAACACAAGAAGGATGATCAAATGATCATGATGTCACGTGATATCACGTGATATTTTGCATTTGCACCCGATTTTTCAGAAAAATTCAAACTTGTTATCCTACTTCTCCACTTTCGCTCCAGATTTTTCAGAAAAATTCAGACTTGTTATCCTACCTCTCCACTCTCCACCATCACCAGGCCGCCACCGCCCACGCGGCTGCTGCTGCTATGGCTGCGCAGCAACAATTGGAAATGCAACAAATCATGAACGCTACAGCCACGCACTATCATGCCTTGTACAGTCAACGAATGAAGCAGCTTTTGCCGCCACCGCCTCCCCCACCTCTGGCCGCTGAGGCTGCTTGGCGTGATCACATATACAGAGCTTCGAGCTCGCCATCGATTTTGGATTCCAGTGCGGGTCAAGCTGACGGATTTTATCATGCGGCGATGGGGGTATTTTTAACTGGAAGATTTTATGTTTTTTTTAGTGAGTGACAGACAGTGAATGAGCCCATTCAAGAACGTCGATGCATTTTTATCCTGAAAGTAAGTAGATGATCAGATTTTTTTTGATAGAACACTTTCACTTGTGGACCTTGATTCGCTTCTCAAATTCAGGCCGCTGGCTACGGTACAGGAAATTCTCCTTTCGCTGCAGGCCAACAAGGTTCTACTCTTGGCAAATATGGCCATACAACTGGAAAAGGAAGTGGCGCGCATTCGCATATCAAAGGAGCCGCTGGTGCAAACGCGACTTCACCTCATGGACACACTTCTAAAGGTCAAGGGAAAATCATGAAAGGTCATCATCATGCACATCCTGGGAAAGAAGGTTCTCATGGTAAGGGAACAGGCCATGGAAAAGGACAATACCATCATTCGTCTTATCACAATACTCCTACCGCTGGATATGGGAAAGGATTATCTTCGATGTTCCACGATTTCGGACACGGTTACCACGCGGCTATGGGAGGAAAAGGGGCTGTACTACTACTACATATATTATACATAGATACTTATTTTAGTTCTAATACTACAAACTTGCAGTTATAATGAACAACAATGAGCCAACATCTGATTCCGAATTACATCAATCTTCACTCAAATATATCTTCTTCTCGACTAGTAAAAGCATTTCTTTCCACCACAGGAGCAATCAACATTTTATTTACTTACACTGAATCATCTTGAATCCCCATCTTCGCCAATACAACAGAAACGAGGAATGAAGGGTGCTCGAGGAGCTGCTCTGCCAGAAAAAATACCACCTCTAAACGCCAACGCCAGTCCCGCACTTAAAGATTTCCGAGAAAATGGTAGGAGCCCTGAACTTACGGACTTGCTGAAAGATGAAGACACTTTCATTCAGTTCGTTCGAGATCCGATGGGGGTACTACATTGATTATTGAACAAGTTAGTATAATTACATAAAAAAATCAAAAATCATTATAGATACTAACTAGTGCCTTGTTCTTCATTCTTGTACTCGAACAATAATTCTGTAGACGTTTACTCAATTTTATTTACAAAAGTATTTGAATTTACCATTCTTTCATACAAGCTAAAGCACAACCCACCATAGGTCCACGTCATCATCGACAAACTCGTTACCGGTAAATGTAGCGATTCCGATGTGCAATCTTGTATGACCATTTTGCTGCCGAACTTGGTGGATCATTGTCGGGAACGGTACTCTGGCAAGGTGGTTTGTGCTCTGTTTGACATTGGCCAGGCACACCAAAAGCGCAACTTGGCGGAACATCTCGTTGGGAATTGCTTGAAGCTATCGCTTCATGCGTACTTGCACTTCTTCGTTCCTTTGGTTATGGTTTTGTGCTAGTTGCTCGTCGTGATTATACCGAAGATCCCATGTCTAAGTAAATCCCCTGAAAACCATTTAATTTACCACAACAAATAGTACAACTGACATCTTCATGCTACTACAAGAACACACGAGGACTGACGGACTCTACTTCGTACAACACACTGCAACCTACATTACAGCCACGGTTGCCGTGTCGTTCAAAAAGCTCTGGAAGTTTCTGGCCCAGACCAGCAGTTTCTACTCGCTTCCGAACTGAAAGGACACGAATCAATGTTGATGGAGGACCAACATGGCAATCATGTCCTCCAAAAGCTGATCGAACACATGAGTCCCGAGAAGTTTCAGTTTGTCGTGGACGTTGTGACCAGGAACGTCACTCGTTTTGTGACGCATTGTTTCGGCTGTCGAGTGGTTCAGCGCATTTTCGAACACGGCTTGGAGTCTCAAACGGAGATTATCATGGACCTGATCGATTCCAAGATCTACGAATTGATTTTGGATCAGTACGGAAACTACGTGGTTCAGAACCTGCTCACCAGAGGCCGTCCGAAGGATAAGAAGATCATCGTCGATGTGTTGTGCGAGAACATCCTGGAGATGTCGACGCACCGATGCGGCAGCAACACGCTGGAAAGAGCTCTGATCGAAGGAGATCCAGATCAAAAGACACGGCTGATTCGCTCTCTATTGGGCGATCAGAACGATCCGAAGCCACCGCTGTTGGCTGTCATGCGGGACAAATTTGGTACGATTTATTCCTATATGCTTTTAATGTAAATGTATCTGTCACTAGACGGATGTCGTGTTTCACTCTTTCATAACATCTTCGTAGTTCCTCTTGTTCCTCTTCCTACTTATAGTTAAATACTACTTCCTCCCTGCATCAACAGGCAACTACGTAGCGCAGCGACTGTTACAGATTTGCGAGGGCGACGATAAGGAGCTATTGATCACCCGACTGAAGCAACACACAAACGCGTTGAAGCGAGTTGCATATGGTAATGTGATGATTTCAACTCTGTTGGCTCTACTCTGCTTCTTGTTTGATGTTGTCAAATACAATGTCAATGACTTTCTTCAATTTCATCTCCTACCGTATCCAAATCTTCCCATCTTAATAATATTCTATCCTAAGAAGTATCCTATCGTCTCCTCCCACTCTCTCCCCAAATAACTTCAGGCAAATACATCTTGAATTCGTTATCGAAGATGGAATTTCGAGAACGACACGTGGGCCCTAAGATGGACCAAAGTTTTGCGAAGACGAACAGCGACTCCGAAACGGAAGAGCATGAAACAGAGGAGCACGAATGTAGTCCCCACGACTCGTTGGACAGCCCATACCCAGCTGCGCCATTAGATCATTACAGTACTCATCATAGAGGTAGCAACATGATGAGTAACTACCTTGCAGCCACATCAGGAGGTCCTACAACGTCTTCTACATCTAATGGAGCAGTAGCAGGAGGTGCTGAAGAACACCTAGATGCAGATGAAAGAGCAGCTCTCGTGCTGTCAGAACGTGTGAAGCAGGTGAATGGGTCAACATCTTCAAGTGCAGCTTCCACGTCTAGTACGACTGATGCAGCCAAGACCACGCACATCAAGGACCACGAGGCTGGTGCAGCCACTTCTTGCTCGCACAAGAAAGCTTCCACCACAGCACAGGAATACGACACCGAATTTATTGCCTCCAGAAGCGGTTCGAAGCAAAATAATCTTCCAGAACCTAGCTACCTGCTCCTGGACCGGGAGGACAATGATCTGCTTGACAGTCTGCTAAAAAGTGAAATGGCAGCTGAGGATGTTGAACAGGAGGACCGCGATTCAGGTGCTGACTATCCTACTAGAGCGGATGATAAGAGCGTGCGAGCGGTAACCTCGAGTACTTCTATCAAGATGATGAATATCGATGCTTCTACGACTACTACTCATGCGCCCTCACCGACTCAGATGGTGGAGGAGAGCAAGCTGTTGAGCGATGGCACAACAACGACTCCCGATTCCACAGCAAGTTCACCGCCAGGCCTTACCTCCACCGAACATTAAAGTACTAGTAGTGCTATCTTACTAAGCATCGGCGTAGGTCTTTAAAGATGTAACTGTGAAGATGTTTTAATACTTATCTTTCTGCTCTTTCACTTTCTTGTCAAGAAAGACAAAGTCAAGGAGAAGGAACTACAATGAATACCAATACTACTATTCATGATTGTTCCTTCTCCTTGACATAGAAATGGTAGAGGCACCATTATTACAACACGACCTCCAGGTTAACGAAACACGATTTCTTGGGGCATCGGAGCACGTGTACCGATATCGTCTATTGCGCCACAATGACGATTTATACCCCAGAAACATAATTGTGACATCAGTGTTGAAAGAACATCAAAAGAAGATGAATATAGTTTTTACCAAGTTAGTTCGAAAACATGGATGAAATCTTGTTGTTGGAATCTTGTTGTTGGCTTTGCACTCAACTACTGTCATCTACTACTCTGTAGAAGTAGTAGGAAGGATTCATTCTTCTACGTCTACCTCTAGCTCTACAACAATGCTGACATCAACTTCATCAGTCAATCAATCAGGCAACACCAAATCCAAAAAATGAAGAAAAATTTGAAGAACTGCAACAAGGATGACCTCCCGCCCCCGCCCAACATTTCATGAATAGAAATAAATACTTGAAGATTATTGATCTATAGAGTTTGATTGTACCTTGATGACCCTCATAGTATGATAAAATATTACGACAGACTTTTCTAGTCAACATAATGATGTTCCTCCTTTCTAAAAGGAGGGTCGTCTCACTAGCAACATGATAGAAATATTATTGAGAGCATTTAGTTGCTCGCTTACAACCAATATTATCTGTCTTGTCGACAGGTCGTTTTGGAGCTTACATATGACTACACTACTACTACTACGTAGAGCATACGAGCATGAGGCTCCATAATTGTAGCAGCTGCGTTGAGGGTTGGACTGACTGGCATGACGTCTCCAGCACAACAAATGATGTAGCCCGAACAAGGCGTGGCTACCAGACATTCTCATGGATATGATCATCCACCTACATGAAGTTATCTTACACAGTTTCTTCTCTTTTGATTGGTTGTTATATAGCATGTCCAGCATGTGACGAGGCTCTCTGGTATCTTGTTACATAGCCTATCATGGAAGAGGCTCGTCTGTCTATGTCTTCTTGTTATATAACTCTAATAATTGATGTCACAGTCAGTTGTTCTGACAGTGACACTCACACTGATGTACTATGATTTTGAATCTTGAAACAGATTTGTAACATGATAGATTGTCTAAAAAGTTTTACTTCTACGATAAAAAAGTAGCTTTCTTGAAGTATACAAGAGTTGAATAGTTGTGTCTACTGGTGCATCTCGCAGCTGCTATTGTATCACGCAAATAGAATATTATAGCTGCTAGGGATGAAAGGAGGAGGGATAGGGACGGTAACGAGGTGGACGAGAAGAGATGAGGTAGAGTGACTTCTACTAAATATATGGAGCAGAGGTGCGTATCTTCGTGGACAATTTTTCCCCAGCTACATTATTTTCATTTAAAGATAGCTTTAGATGATGATGTACTTGAAAACCAATTGTAAATAACTCAATGAACAACAAGAACCTCTAGAAGCACCTTCTTCTTGTACTCTCTTCATCTCCTCCCAGAACTTAATATGGTTATGACAAGTTAGATTGTATCTTACTACTTGAATCTTTTGTCCAAGTACGATCTTCGATTGATCGATGTAAAATCTTATTCTAAGAACTCACTATAGTCTAGATCTACTTCTAGAGAGCTATGATGATTATCAAAAAACTTAGTTGTCAAGCGATTTCCTCGTCGCTCAAGACACGGCGGCGGATATTTTCGACAATGGATCTGACATGACCAACAGCGCTGCCTCGCATGACAGGGCGTGTCTTCTGACGCGAACGGAGACTACACAGGTCGATCCTGCTTCCACTCGCTCACTCCTCACTTACGCTATTTACAACGAATCATGATCAATTTTAGAAGTAGTAGAGACCTACTCATAAATTCTTGTAAAAGGAGCAAGCAAGCTTGTACGTAGTGCAGCTGAAGATTTATTAGGGCTGAGTTGGGAACACGATGAAAGAATCTCTAACGTTGGTTATTGTCTTCACAGAATGATCCTAAAATTTAAATTATCCAGGCGTGTTTGATGAAGAGCTAGTATCTATAGTGTCATCGATCGTTGTTGTCTTGCTTTGTAGACCTAGGTTTCTTCAGCAACTGTGAAGGTGTAATAATTGTGGTGAAGCGGGTCCATCAAACAACAACGATTTTATTGTTCATTATGACGCCGACTTGCTCTGAGCCTCAGGAAATGCGGAAACTTTTACTTCGACGACCAAACTTCTACTTCTAGTAGTACAACACCTGCTCTAGAGTAGCAGTAGGTACAATCATCATCATCACCACAGGCACAGCATGTCGTAGAAGACCAACTAAAGTATTACATGATTTCATCATCATAGACTTTTCATCCCTTCGCCCCCTGCATAGGTATAACATGATTTAATACCCTGCTCGTCACAACACACTCTTTTATTAACATGTTCTGGCTTGGCCCTATCATGGCTCTTTCTTGGCCGAATACGTTGACATTGAAAGTTGTTGTATCTTCTCAACATTGTCGAGCTGGAGTTCCATAGTGACTGGAGTCCTATCGAACCTGTGATGTAGGTCATTGAATTTCACCTTTTTTGAAGGTGTGCGTGTGCCCGAGTCGGAACAGGAGTGGTCTTGAGGTGTGATGATCCTTGGTCTAGTACTTTCAACTTGTCGTGGTCGTGATCGTGAGTGGACTAGCTGCAGCTGTAAGTAGCGGAGTAGAGAGAGAGGATGATTAAGGGTTGATGTTCACAAGGTCGTCGGTGATAGCGAGCAAGAATTGTTTAGCAGGCCCTGTGTGGGTCACAGACACGACACGACATCACCTGTATCATCATATCCTTTGAAGATGTTCTCTATGCTCATGCTTACAACAACATTGCTTTCGTCATTGTTCGCATCCTTCCTCGGCTAGTGCGAACTACTTGTTCGGCGGCAACTGCCGCGACACCCTTGGTAACAAGCCAAGCCTCCGCGTTGCACCAAAAACCAGAAATATCCCCTGAACACACGAACTTGTCGCAACGATTACGTCCTCGTTCACGACGATCACAACATCTTCCTGCACAAATAACTACCGCAAGGCATAGAACAAGCTATGCAAGATGGGCGACTCCAATTCCAAGCACTCAAGAGGACCCACGCCAGTCGATGAGAAAAGAACGAAGGATGGCAAGAAGAAGAGGAAGAGACGGCCAGGGGAAAAGAAGAAGAAAAAAGCCAAACCAACCTACACGGTGGAAGAGGTGCAGCAGAAGATAGATGAAGGTTCCACGTAATACACTTTTGATTTGTACTGGTGAGGAGCGTGAACAATGATTTGTTCTTATGCAGTCAATTTCTCGAATAAGCTACAAAATCTAAATCACTAAAGGCTCTTTCACACTGCCAATTAACCCAGCAGGTGCCGAACGAATATCCGATCCTGAGTGTTTTCGTGAGCTCATTTCGCAGTTGAGTCACGATCAACAGGGAGAATTCCTAGATCTAATACTCATTCAGCAGGAAGACTATGGCAATGGTATCTTTCTAAAAATAATGAATATCAAATGACCATTACGAATGTAGAGATAATACCAGATGACCATTACGAATTTATTTGAAATATAATTCGTGTTCTAATCCAAGCTCCTAGAGCAGTACCGACAGGGTGCGAGTGTGTTACAGCCGACTATAAGTCCGACGTCTGCTGCGGAATATGAGAGGAAAAAGAAAGCTGGACTCATCGATCCGAACTCGAGCGTATCTGACGATCTGAAGCAGTTAGTGGATCCGAAGAAAAGGTACAACTTGTCAACTTGCTTCGTACTTCTGAACTAAGTACCAAGAATTGCATAACCATATTGTCACCTTCGACGTGATATAATGATTGATTCAATTTCAACGAGAAAAAGATTGGAGAATTATATCAAAGCATTGTACTTAGTTTCAGCAGCCAACAAGACTCTCCTCGAGGGCGGATGAATTCAATAAAACCCAGTCCGGCAACGTCACCCGAGAAGAAAGCAGAACGGGAGCGACAGAGGCAGTCCGTTAAGGATTTTTGTGAGGAGAAGGGAGAAGCTGGAGCTGGAAAGAAGGACTTAACAAGGGAAGAAAGGATGGCAGGTTTACGCGAATATCTGGCGAACTTAAAGTTGACCGGAGCTGGGTATTCCTTTACTTTACTGAAGATTGACTCTTACTTTAGTGCTGTTATTTTGTTCACCGAACAATCTCATTCACCACGGCCACAACTACATTTACTTAAAAATGTTAATATCACTGAACAACAATCTCATTCACCACAGCCATAACAAACTACTTACATTATTACTTAATGTTAATAAGGTCTGACTCTTCTTCCGATGGCGAAACGGATGACGAGTATGAGGCCGATTTCGAGGGTAAATCCTTAGAGCGGGTTTCTCAGGAGGCGGATTTCGCGCTCGCAGAGGCTATGAAGATGTTGGAAATGGGAGATGGGGCCTCGAGTAAAATGGTGGCTGGCTGAACAGCTGGGAGAGCCTATGATGGCTTTGATAACACTTGATCTCAGTGGGTGGCTGCTTCTACTTGCCGCAACTAATATGCACACGCTGGATATGTCATAATCGAAAGATCATAGCTAGGATTATGGGACTAGTAGCACTTCGTCTTCGACGAAATAAGAATAAGATAGAGAAGCTTGTCGTACTCGTAATAGTACACTGTTCTTTGATGAAAAAGAAAAATTATCCGCCTTCACATATTTAGAATTCAAAGACATGCTGACTTACGACATTTGACTTGTAAAACGCTTAGAATAGATACCGCTGAATCCTTGATTTGTCATGACTCACTTTGATCCGTTCGTCTCTGCTCACTAAAACGACCCGCTTTGCCTGACATAAAACAGATAACGAACAGCAACTACTACTACGCAACTATAAGTACAAAATATAACAACTATGTATCCTGACTCGCAACTAGGTACAAAAATGTTGTATAACTATCCTGACTGCTTGAATAAGCAACAGAAGCATTCGTTTGTGTTCAAGACAACGAACACAGATCATTCACCTGTCGACCAGACGAACAAAAAGCAAGATCGATTTCAGTTTTTCTCTCTCCCCAGCATTCTGTTACATCTTCAAATGAAATTCCATAGAAAGACGCCAAACCACTACTCGTGGAAGCCAAATTTGTGGCACTAAGAGTATTGTTCTCGAAAAAAGGCATCATGACTTCTCCTGCTGCGCTATCAGCACTCGCGCCTACCAGAAGATGCGGGTTGATGGATGCGTCTGCGGCAGAGTGCCTCCACGTACTGCGCAATCGCCTACGCGAGCAAAACTCCGACTCTACTCCGAATTATACTAAGAAGAACCATCGGAAACGCATGTTCCTAGAAGTTTGCAGAACGTTTCTACGAGGAAGTCTCCAGACAAACTTGTCTCCACCAATAATGTGGTCTCAGCCGCGCGATCTAGCAAACTTGTTCTGCGAAATCGTCAAGTTGCCTCCATACGCATGCGCGGGAAGCCGAAGTAGTACAACGGTTGGCTCTTCTTCTTCTAGATCATCTCCACACCTGACTACTTCATCGTCATCCAGATCCACCTCCACACCTCCACCAACCCGTCTCCGTTCGCTGATGTTGGAGAAGTTGCCTGCTGTAGTCGGCGAAATAGAACCTGAAAGGTGGAATGGTCGGGACGTGGCCAAAATCGTCTTCGCTTGTGGCCTCTACGCGAGAGAAAATGCTATGGTAGCGGAACTTTTGGTCAACAGAATCTTTGAAGAGCAACCATGTGGGGGACAGACGCAAAGTTCGTCTTCGGATCTTGAGCTTCCGCCTACTGCTCGATGGGGTTGGGTAACTTAAGGCAATAAAGGATCCACCTCCACGACTATCAATAAGTACCTTCGGGAACCATTGTTCTTTTTAGGCTGGTTCGTCAGTAGAAGAATAGGAATGATTATGCCTGCTGCTTACTTCCATTTCTAACTGAGCACGATAAACGCTCAAGATTTCACCGACATTTCTGTTGGGCTAGCGAAGATGCGTGCACAGGTATTGCAGCCAGAGGAAACCGTAGATGCAGTGTTTGAGGCGCTTTGTGTGGAGTGCATCCCACGATACCTTCTGATGAAGGACGAATCTTTAAATAATGGAGAGCCTACAAGTACAACTTCCGGTTCCCTTTGGCCCCAAAAGCGCATCCCTAGTATGCTGTGGGCTGCGGCGAAACTTTCGGTCTTTGAAGGGATGTCATCAGAGAACTTTCCCAGAGGACAACGACAAGCTTTGGACTTACTTGACGCCCTTGTCGCAAAGGTGTTACTTCGAAATTTGAAATGGGGAGAGTTGAAACCAGCCTTGCTGGCAGAAGCCTATCTTGGGGCAGTGAACTATAAAAGCGTTCGTGGAGAAGGTCGTTGTGGGATTTTTTTATCTAAAAACAGTGAGACGAACATCATGGAGCATGTTCATATTCCACCACGGATGGAAGTCTTATCCTTGCCGGTTATTGCTTCACAATGGCCTAAGGCTTTTGGGACACAAGCTAGGCTGAATCTACTTGCAGGATTGGGAATGGAACTTGGAGGTGATGGAAATGGGGACCTCAGACTCAAGAACACCTCAGCAAGAAATAATGTCCTGTTTTCCTTCTTGCAGCGGTCATTGCAGTGTGGGACATTGCAGGTCGATTCGCAACAAGTCGCTTTGATTGCGAAGCTTGTGAGGGTGGCGACTGCGTCTATGCAATCTTCAAGGACCAACGGACCGTTAGTGGACCAGCTTTTGCCTCTGTTACTAACGCATGCGAGTGAGAGGACATCAAAGATGCGACCGCGTAGCAATCGCGAGGCGCTTGGCTTAGCGGAAGGACTGGTTACCTGCTTGAATACTGCGGCAAAGAATGCCAATATGACTTCAACTTCGAATATTACAGAGTTACTAGCAGCTTTGTTGGAAAATGTTGCTGGAAGGGTGCTTTTGATGTCCTCAAGGGGGTCGAACAAGAGGAATCAGGACGTTAGCTCCGACTCGTCTACGTCTAGCAGAGGTTTCTGTTTGCCAAAGGATGCTCTCCTTGATGCCTGGCAGGCAGCCGAGCTTGCCATAGAGGCGGGCCTGCCGGCTGATAATGTCCCGACGATAGGACACGTGCAAAGCATACTGCGGGAAGAAGCATTGATGTTCTCTGACGAACACCAGGATCAAAGTAACGGAGAACTACCTACCTCAATGCAGTTGCTCTCTAGAGCGGAGGAATTATCCAGACTCTGTTGGGCTGCAGCGAGACTAGGGATTATTGACTCATCTTTTGGCTCACGCTGTGGTCTTAAAAGTCAGGGAGAAACTCTTGACGATCTTACATCTTCGGAAGCGGACGTCGAAGACACAGATGCCAGACACATGAAAGATTGTCCGGCTAAAGAACTATATACCGCTACATTCATACGGTATAGTGAGAAAGCCGCTAAGGATGCGAGAAGACGTGTCAACGATTGCCTCGACTTGGCGGCTTCATTGCTTCTAGAAACTTCTCAAAAGATAAAGATGGAAGAGAAAGATACAGTTAAATCTTCGTCATCTAGAAGAGAAAGACTGGAACTATGCTGGAGTCGCTTACGTTTTGCCGCTTCACTATTGCATGCGGGAAAGGATTGGCGAGGATGGTCGTTTTCTGACGCGTTGGAATCATCCGGCAAGGTAGCACATGTTGCATCAAGCGACTCTTTGTCACTCTTACAGCACCAATTCATAGCTGCTCTCTATGCATGGCGCGTTGGCGGAGTTGAGAAGCTAGCGCTTTTGCGACAGCTAAACGGAACTATGTTGGAAAGCCATAAGGTCCTCGGTGTTGTTGAGGCGCCGCAACCGAGCGGTCTCCAATCAGAAGTGGCTAATGCAGTGAGAACTGCTATTGGCGGTGGAGGTGTCGACAGCAATCTTAGAGATGAGGCAGGCTGTTCTCTACTGCCGATTGACATAGTCTTGGAAAGGGCAGATGAAAGGCAATCTTGGTGTCAGGACATGCTTGTTTCGCAACAGATAACGATGAAAACAATTAGTGCCAGTCTGTAGAAGGAGTCTACTGCAGGACGTATACACTAGTAATCATAGACTTGGAGGAGGCAAAATTACAGCACTAGCAAAAATGCAGACCGGAGGCGAGCACGGGTTTCCGTTGTGTATTCGGAGGCAAAGCAACGACGAAAAAGAATTGGAGTTGGAGACGGTTGGAGTTGGAGAGCCCCTTCACTTCAATCGGTGGGAATGTTCTTGTCATCGGACGATAGGAAATGAGGAGTATCTTCATCGGACATCCTCAGGACAGTGGAAAAACCTACTAGACTGAACGGGCAAAAGATGAATGAGAAGGAGATGACCACAGAGGCGAGAGCATACTCGACCACACTTCGAGCATCTGTCGCGATGTACTCTCGGTTTCCGAAATCCCCTGCAATCCCCCATGACTCCCCTTTGCATTCTTTTCCGTTGTTTTTTGCTTCGTTGTCGTGATTTCGTTTTCTCGATTTTCCGTACCTTACATCAGGCTAGCAGATTAAGAATCATAAGTAACAGAAAAGAACACAGAACCATCATTTTGTGATTCTTGCCGACGTCGAAGCCTCTTAGTTAAGAGAAGTATTAGCAAAAACAATATCGAACAAGATGATGTTTCAAACCGGCGGTTCTCGCCCTTCCTCTGCGTCTCGCGGTCGAGGGCGTCACACACGTCCTTCTACTGGTGGAACAACTACGCAGCAAAGCCCGCAGAAGGGTGCCACTGCTGCACTCCTTTCTCAACAAGTCGTCCCCTCAAATCGAGATCTGGAGAAAACGCTGACAAAATACCTGAAGGAACAAGGGGCAAAAGTGGGAGTCGAGGTTCTCACCAGCTGGCTGTATCAACGAGGCATTGTGCGGTATCGTATGGGAGACTACCTGAGTTGCTCACGGGATTGTGATCGAGTCGCGGAACGGTGTGGCGGTACAACTTTTTATGCTCATCTTATAGTCTTGAAGTCTTCATCCCTTCAACTTTTATGAAAAATTAAAATCTATCAATTACATCTTCATCTTCATCGCACCTTCACCAGGTTGTGTCCACGGTCGGATTCTCTTCCTAAACGCAAAAGCACATCGACGATTGCGCAATTGGCGTTCTTTCGGTTTGAACCTGTACAGAGCTTGCGTCGAGGCTGTGAATATGGATTACTACCCGATGTTCAGTTCCGTCGCTGCCCTCTGTGTCATGACACCCATCTTCGACGAGACGGAGAGTCTCTTCACCGGCGTTTTGCTGGTACTCCAGAAGTCTCCGCGTGCTCTGCTATCCTTGCTAAACAGCGGCACCGGCGTGGACTTTTTTTGGCATGTGATCGTGGACGATTCCGCACGAAGTCCACCAAATAGTCCTCGTTGGGCTGCACGATTTAGGAAACGCTTAGAAGATTTTGCCCAAGAGATGAATGCAGCTGTGCCTTCTGGAGATAACACCATCGCTGCTCTAAAAAGTGACAATCTACTTCAGGCAGATGCGGGATCTCCAAGAACACCAGGAACTGGTCACAAATCAGCGCACTTCGGAGGCTCTTCTACATCAAAGACACATGTGGAGGTTACTAGTCTCAATTTCTCAGCATCACCACAGAAGAATCCTACCAAAAATTATTCCTCGCCCGAAGTTCCGACCCCGAGTAAAGGTCCGACGTCTATACTGAAAAGCCCGTCTCGAGATGTGGTTGGAGGTGGCACTTCAGGAGGTGCTGTCATCTCGAACATGGAGGAAGGAATAGGCGTCACCGACATTCTCTCCGACGAAGAGCTCGTAGCCGAACGTAAAGCAAAGAACAAGGCCTCGCAATTTCTTAACGCATTGGGACTGAAGATTATGAGAATGGTTGGAAGGTTGTCGTTATCATTAACTAAACAGTTGTAGGCGCGGCACAAGTTTTAGTTTTAATTTTTGTAGTAGAGTAGTGTTCTCAATCCTCACATTTGAATTTTAGTTTGGCAACGTTCTCCTAGGGCAGCTGCCTAGTTAGTCTCCCTCTAAACTACCCCTAGTCTTCGGAATGACCGAGATGCGACACGAAGAATCCTGGATGGGCCCCTTCGAGTTGAGACCCGACCTCTTCAGAAGTTTCGTCAAATTCTGCGATCCCAACGTGAACTTGCATCTGAGTTTTACGACTCTATCCCTCTACGCGGAGTTGGTTCAGACACATCCACATCTGGTCAACCTGGACGACGACGTGATGCTGAGCAAGGTGTTTGACTGCTTCTTGTCGGAGAAGAACGAACTGCTGCACGCTTGCACGAGGTTTTTGCTGTTATGGTGGCAAGAATACCTGACTTCTCCTTCAAGTTCATGGATCCTTCAAGTAGATTTTCCTCCTCATCAAAATCAGTCCGAGTATACCAATCGTGATTATAAGTAACAAAAGTTCTTTTTTCTTTCAATGTTGGAGAATTTATTTAGAATTTTTCAAACCACTGCTTAACGTGCTACTTCCACATCGAAAAGTAGGAATCGCTGACGCTGCCCTACAACAACCTCCATGTAAGTGCATCTCTAATCTCGGAAGTCCACAACGTGCGACCGGACGTGCTCCGAAATACCATGTTGGACCTCTTCGTGAAATTCCTGGGACAAAAGCCGACAACTCTGCGTGCGTTCATCATGTGCACGATGCTACCTCTGGTGGCGCATGCAACGTTTGATTCTGTACTTTTCACCATTGAAGAAGTAGATTTTCAATTTCGATAGTTCTAGCATATGACGATGACACATGGAAATCAACAGGAAGTATGATTCCACTTCCTCATCCTCCTTCTTGTTCTTGATAACATAACCTTCCCCTTGAGCGCCTCACTCTCAACAAAATCGCCACAGGTTTCCGATCCGAAGAGTTGCATTGACGAATTGTCTGGTGAGGAGAAACGAAATTTGCTCAAGTATCTCAAACTCGGCATCGACAACTGCCTCGAAAACCCACAACTTTGGGCCCCAGTACGACGAAATATCGTCGGGTTCCTGTTGCTTTTTCTGAACCACAGCTCAGATCCCTTGGACGATGGGATGTTGTTGGCCCAGTGTCTAGACGATGAGAAGTTGGGCGGTTTCTTGCTGACTAGTTGCGGTGGGGGGACGCGTAATGTCGAGACGGGAACGCGTAATGTCGATGAGTCTCCTAGCAAGAGCGCTTCTGTTGAGAAGGAAGGACAAGAGAGTGGAGCCCCTGCTGCCGCTGCTTCCTCATCTTGGGGCAAGATTCTGACTACATCTCATGGCGCAGTGCTGATTCGTCGCATTGTCGCTCTAGGCTGGCTGTTTCCTCAATTCGCAGAAGGACGGCTTGTCGATAAACTCGTCACGGCACTGGAAGGAATCTATGCGAAACTGGCTATGGTAAGGGCAGACATAAAAGTCGGAGAGGCATCGAATGTGAGGACCTTGCCGGATGGGAAATACTCGTCTGTTGTGAGTTCTCCGAGACACAGCAGTCAGACTCAGAACCAGTCACAAGGAGGCCCCCAATATCAACAGCACTCATCATCTAGTACCACATTCTTGTCCCCGATGAAGACGCCGCGAGGCCGTAGCTCCTGGTCTTCCTGTGGAAAGAACAGCAGCACAAGAGGACGAAGTGCGAGTCGTTCAGGACAAAAACAATTCGTGGGGCAACGTATTGGAGGCTTAGATGACTCGCGTTTGCAGGCTCTGCCTGTTGGGGGACACAGTGTTACGTCTTTTCTTGGTGGGTCGCCTTCATCGCCTTCGCCAACAAGACGGACCACTAGTCAAGGATTTTTCGATCAGAAAAGCGTCTTCTCCGATGGTGACGGAGAGCAGCAGAAAAAGCAACGGATTCTCCAGTCTCTGCACATGAAGGCTGAAAAGCTTGAAGCCTTGGGATCGGCACTGCTGAGAGCTTTGGGATTGCTCTTGCTGAAACAGCCGAATTTGCGTTTCGGCGTCGTCGACGACCCCTATTGCTCAGGTGAAAGTGAGGCAGACGCGCAGGCCCGCGAAGGGAAGGAACAGCGATTGCAAGCAGAGATCCAGAGTCAGTTTTTGGGCAGAGTGGGAACGTTTCCGACGCATCACGAACAATGGCTCTTGTCGCTGAGGCCAGCAGTGCGAGTCTGTGGCCGCAGTGCATTGTCCAACATCTCAGCAACCGACCTGCAGCGTGTTTGCCGTGGTCACCGGCTGGCAGAACTGTTCGAGTCCTTTGGTGGGAAAGCCGGATCTTTTTCAAAGAATGACGGGATTGCATCGCCGATCAATCGAATGCAACAGAAGCCGATGGACTTTGAAACGACGATGGCATTCGCAGGCGGACCGCATAGGGAAGGAACGCATCAGTCAATGCCAACTCCCAGTGCGAAAGAACAGGGTACTTCAAGAACCTCCAGATCCTCAGTCTCGCCAAATAAGCGAGTACATGGTGCAGGTATTGTGCATGGTGGAGCAGCGACACATGCCGCACTGTTGTGCGGCGGACCAGGTGGTTTTGATGGAGCCACAATAGAACGGCAATTACGTCCGAGACCTGCGAGGAGAAACTCTGCTGGATCCGCTAACTTGAGCAGTGCGAGTCCTTCAAAAGGCGGTGGTATTCGTAGGCGTTCAGGTGAGCACCAGGCGGGAACGTTGGCGATGATGTCTCAATACAGTGAAGGGCCTGGGTCGTCAGGAACGAAGAGTTTTTACGGAGGTGGGACAACACTGGGAACTTCGACTTTAAAAAACCACTATCCTAGAGATCGAAGCTTCTCTGCTTCGCCAACCAAACGTGGAACTCGATGATAAGTAGGTGTTTTTCCCTTTCCCTGCGTGAATATTTTTGATGATCACACTCTTTTGTCCCACAACATTGAACCACATATTATGGTAAGCCATCCTTGTTTTCACTCTGAGCAGTAGCAGTGGGACAGGCATGTCCGCTGCGTCTTCAGTTTGGTGTTCATACTCGAGGAGTACACCGTTCAGGGACAGTTGATGAATGGTCAGGAGGAGGAAAAACCCAAAATAAACATGATGAAAGGCAGAGGAAGTACAGTTCGTGGAATATTACAGATCTCAAATTTTTGCTGCTCTTCAGAATCAGAAGAAAGACAAAAACTATAAGATGTCCGGCTTTCGTAGCTTTGTCTGCTCCTGCGTAGTCGCGGCTCTGGTGCTGAACCCGCAGGTGGCGCGGTCAACGGCACTTGCAGACGAGGACCGCGCCGCTTTATCACACGATAGAGAATTGGTGCAGAATCTGATAGTGGAGTTGGAAACCGAGGAAGCGGAAGCTCGAAAAAAGGTTCAGAGGGTTGTGGTTGCACACTCAAATGTAGAACAAGGCAGTGAAGGGGCTTCATCGACATCAGCTTCAGGCACATCAGAGCAGGACAAGAGCTGGTTTACTCAGGGTCGCCCACCGCCAGGTTGGCTGCAACGTTTAGCGCAGATTTTGGAGCGTCGAGCAGCCGAACAAAACGAGGACTCTCTGCTGCCAAAAGAGAAGTTTGACGATCAATGGACAGTTTCACCGAAGTTCAGGACAGAGCTACTAGAGGGATGGAAAAGTATAGTTTCAACATCAGGTGGAAAAGTTGCAGGAGGAGACCACGACCAACAACCACCAACAACCACGTCTATCAGCGTCGTTGTCGAGGTCGGCACATACATTGGCTACACGACTCGCTTCCTATCCAAGAATTTTGATGTAGTGCTTGCCTTGGACGACAACCCTACGTTCTTGCAGTTGAACCAGGTCTACAATCGAGATCGTGGCAACATCAATTTCATACAAACAGACACAACGTCGTTGGACTGGGCAAAGGGGGGTCTCTTTCAAGGAATAGCGACAGAAGTAGCTAAGCGTGTCCTACGAAATATCAGAAAAGCAAGGCAAGACGAAGAAGCGCGTACAAGTACAGAAAAAGGAGAAAAATCAGTAACAACTACAGGCAAGGATGACGCCGTTAGCATGGAACTGGAAGAGCAAGCACTTGTCGCTGATTTACTCACCTATGAGCCTCCAGCACCACCAGTAGCTCCCGTACCCGTTGTACTACAGGGAAACCAACGACACGGAGCATCAAGTACTAGTACCTCCACGTCTGAACACACCTCGCAGAATTTAGTCAATTGGCTTGTTTTCCTAGATGCTAGTCACGATTTCGCTTCAGTTACCAAGGAGTTGCTCGGTCTCCTCGGGTCCACAAACGTTCCAGCAAGATATTTCTTGTTCGACGACTTCTCTGCGGAGCCGTCAGGAGTGCAACCCGCTGTACTCCTTTTCGTGAAACACGGCTACCTGCGACGCGTTCGCTATGTAGGCGAAACAGTTCTTCCTTTGAGAGACGGACGTACAGTTTTAGGCCCAGAGGGAGTGCTCTGCGAGCGCATCCGTGAACCCGAACCAGGACTGGGGAGTGGAAGTACAGTGCTGGAGCAAGAGAGGAATGTGGTATTTGATATCCTTTTGCTGGTTCTAAGACGTATCATCGATCTGTCATGATGAACCTTCTTCAACACGTCCATCTATCTGTGCGGATTATCTAAGATTCTTCCTCTCTAATTCGTCGATACTTGAAGGCCATACTCAACAATCACACTACAGTTGCAGACCTTCGTTCAGCTATTAGCTATGGAACAGTTGCCTCAAGAGACCTGGGATCAAGTTTTAGAGGACTTGCGACAAGCGGCTGACGCAAAAGACGGCGTTTGCTCTGGCGTTGTGAGGTCTGATGGCTCTTGCGAGAGGGGAAAGGTCGTGAAAAGTGACGAAGATGTGGAAGGCAGGAAACCTCCACCGCCCACTGCACCTCCTCCAGCGCGTGTTGATTTGTAAGGACGTTTTGTTCTACATTGTACATTGTAGTACAAGATGAAGAAGGAACTTTGTCGTGCACATCGATGAACAGCGAGGAGACTGCGAAGCAGTTGTTGTCACCAAGCTAGCATGGAGAGGCTGCTGTCTTCTAACACGGCTGTGATGTCCTCCAAAGCAATCATGGAGCAATCGGTTATCGAGTGACAGAACACCGTCACAAATAAAGGAGACGGGTGTTAAGTGAGAGAAAAACTCCTCCTGATAAATATAAAAATGCTGAAGGTGTGACAATCACTAAAAAGACATTCTCCAGCACTATTGTCGCACAAAGACGACGCTCTCATGAAGAACTAAGGTAAAAAAGCGTTCTTGCATTACTTAGCTCTTTCCTTTAAGTCATGATAGCAATCTGGTTTTTTGATTATTCCACAAGCGTCCACATTATTCCAGGGCTCCGGCTTGCCTTTGAAGGTGAGACCTATGGGGCTGACAGGACAATCACTCAAAAGACATAAAAAAGCGTTCTTGTATCACTTACCTCTTTCATTTATGTCATGATAGCAATCTGGTTTTTTGATTATTCCACAAGCGTCCACATTATTCCAGGGCTCCGGCTTGCCTTTGAAGGGGAGACCTATGGGGCTGACAGGACAATCACTCAAAAGACATAAAAAAGCGTTCTTGTATCACTTACCTCTTTCATTTATGTCAAGCGTCCACGACGGACCATCACAACCATGTCTCAACCCGCCGCTCCCTCCGCGGAAGCACCCCAGCATCAGCCAGAGGTCATTTCGAACCTCGATGGTTATCGACGTGTGGATCTCGCGACATGGAAGCAGGGAGATCAGATAGGCAAAGGCGGCTCTGGGGAAGTGTTCAAAGCCATGGTTGGAGGCCATTTTTTTGCAGTAAAGAAGATATCCCTGGTGCAAGGAGACGTGACGCAGCAAAGTCCGAGTAAAACGAAAGAATTCACGCAAGAGTTGGAAGCGTTGAGGGCGGAAATAGAATTGCTGCGGCAGCTCGATCATCCGAGGGTGCTGCCTCTTCATCTTGATGTAGGCATTGTCCAGTGAAAATAGAAGACGAGTACTTGATGTTCTATCTTCATATGAAGAGTATCATCGTTTTGTAGTTAAAACGGTTTGTCTTGCATCTTCATCGTCATCCACAAGTAGCGTGATCAGGATGTTTCAACACCGTGGGACCTGAAATAAACATTTCGTACGAATGCTTCTGCACCTGCAAATTATACATGTATGCCTATACTCAATCCCTGTTGAACAACCACAACCTTGGTTCCCCCTGCCACCTCCCCGACAAGGTTGTCCGCTATATCGGCTGTCTACTCGATGGCGGCTCTGCTTCTTCCTCAGGCGGCGGCGGTGCATCAAGTGACAACTCTGGAGCATCATGGCTTCCGCATAATTTGCTTATCTTCTTAGAGTACATGCCCTGTGGATCGATGTCCACTGTGCTACGGAAATTTGGACCCTACGGCGTCCACCTGGCGAAGAAATATCTGAAGCAGATCTTGGAGGGATTGCTGTTTTTGCATAGCAAGTTATGATGTACTAGTTGCTAGCATAGCAAGTTATGATGTACTAGTTGCTATTGGATATGGATGGCGGACTTATAAATATACCAAGAACTCCTGCAGGGTGACTCAATGATGTAGTCGGCTATAACGGAGTCTCTCCTCGTTCTTTCTATTGATTCCCCACTATCCACCTATCTCTTCTATCCCACGACCCCTCAAAATAACCCCAACCCCTTCTAATTCTCGGAATAGTCCATCGCGATCTCAAGGGCGCGAACATTCTGATAGATCAATGGGGGGACGCGAAATTAGCCGATTTTGGAGCCTGTAGACAGCTAGCCAGCTTACACGCTACGCTCAGTGGAGAAATCAAGAGCATCAAAGGTAAGAGGAGAACTGTGGTGAATCTGAACTTATGGGGGTATTTCTGCCAAGTCATTGATTTGCACTAACTGCTCAGCAGCAGTACTGCAACAACCTAAAAGTAGAAATTTCAACATGATACCCCCAAAACTATGTTGATTCCATCTTCACCAGGTTCCGTCTACTGGATGGCCCCAGAGACCGTATCTGGCATTGTTGGCCGACGCTGCGACATTTGGAGTGTTGGTTGCGTTCTAATCGAAATGCTCACAGCAAATCACCCTTGGGCTGCCCATCCAAAGGCAAGCTCCTGGTCCATCGCAGAGGCTCTGCAGTATATTTTGGCGTCGAATGAGATTCCGCCATTGCCTGCCGTGACTGGAGACAATACTGGTGCTGAGGAAAAATTGGAAAGCTTCTTGATGCAATGTTTGAAAAGGGAGCATAAGGAACGACCATACGCGGATGAACTTCTGCGGCATCCGTTTTTATCGTCGTCGTGAACGTGATGAAAAGGAAGCGGGCAGGACGACACTAATCAAAAAGATTGAAGATGTTGAATATTTATCTTGTGGTCGTGTAATTTACAGATTGCTTTTTCATTTTCTTCGGCAGCTGTAGCATATAATTGGGATTCGTTTATTTGGGAATGATGTGACGCAGCTGGACGAAATGTTGATGGAGCGACGCGTTGATCACCTTGGCAGCCCATGCTCCTCCAGTATGTTCTCAGGACCGTCCTTAGCTGATAACATCCTGTAACTTTTCGTTTACCTTTAATTCTGTTTTGAGATAGAATCTGTAGCGTCAGTCAAGTAAGCCGTTCTTCTGTCCTGGAAGCTCGTCATCTTCTGTTCTATCTTCACCTGTAGCTGCCTTTGCAGCCCTCTTTCTCTCGGAAACAATCCTCACCGTCTACCTGTCTTCAATCCCCCCTGCATGAAATAGCCCAAGGCCTCTCTGGTGCGACCAATAAAGACCATCTGATTTTACTCGAAGTCGGTATCATCATCGTCAACTGTCTCTTCTCGGCCAATCCTACCTTTTTGATTTTGGAAGTGCACTACGTCGTATTCTACTTGTGCAACATTTCAAATTATTTCAGAATACTAAGCCGATGTGTATGCTTGCCCTAGCTTGTAACTAGCACACTGCAACTGAAACACGGCCATGACGCTCTTTTCGGACCTTGTTCACCACGTCCATGGTGTACTTGCACAAGACCAACTGACCCGTGACAAAACCTCCTTCTTGGCCTTGTTTCCAAGAACGACTGTTGGCACGAAACCTACGGGTGGACTCGAAGCTTTTGACCATCAGCACACGACGCCAACTAGCTTTGCTGCGAAAAAGAAAAATCGAAGGAACCACACTAATATTAAGGTCGTTAAGGACAAACTTCTAGCAAAAGACAATAAAGTAACCGAGGACGATTCAGAAGATTTCATCCCAAGTACTAACAACGATGTGGACGACCCTCCACCCGAAGAAGACGAAGAAGGAGGTCTGTTCGACCCAGATGCTCCGAAAAATGATCCACTAGAAGAACAGATAGTTGCTGAAGGTGGTGAGATCAAAGACCTGGACGAGATGGAAGCGGGTGTATCAGAGTCAGAAAGGGATTTTGAGGAGATGATCAACGGTGCTGACAGTGGAGGAGGAGGTGGATCTTCTTCTAGTACGGGTAAGAAAAACAAGAAGAATGGTAGTTTCCTAGAACAACTAGCAGGTCCTGGAAGAAGATCAACCGCTTTTAAAGATAAAGGTAAAAAACGTCAAGGTAATAAAGCAAAAATGTCTAGCAGCAGTAGTAATCCCACTCCTGACGACCCAGAAAAAGCTCTTCGTGACGCAGAGCACTCAATATTGAAAAACTACGAAGAGCATGGGCCCCAACGTGCAGCAAGAGACTCCCTTCAGTCAAATGTCCGAGATGTTCGAGCGTATCAGACGACAAGACATCCAGGTGCTGCGAGTCAAAGTTTAATTTATCCACATCCACCGCCAGGTGAAGACGAAACCACGCAAGAAGTGTTAGCCAATGAAGGATACAGCGAACTGCTGGATCAGCAACAACTAGAGGAGGACATGAAATTCGATGAAGAAACAAACGGGAAGTTTCCTGAATGAAGAAAATATAAGTTTTTTTTGGTGTGAAACAAAGATAGAAAGTAAGAAAATCAAAATGTTTCTGGCATATAACCCACAAACGGCACATTTCCATGAGGTCTGTGATCGTGTTCCAATAGTAGAAAAAATAAAACGCGGGTGCTTGTGCACTACACGGAAGAGCGAGTGAATGAAATTTCGTGGATCGAGGACCTTACGTCCGACACCGATTCTAGTGCTTGTTTCAATCTGATTGATGAGCAAAAAATATAGTCCGAGGACCCTGTAACATCCTGTTCCCTTTAACATTCAATAGTTCGTCTATGTAGGTCTTTGCATCACCAAGTGATCAACAATTTCAAAAAATGGCACCATACTCCAAGAACATCAACCCTATAATGCGGCTAAGGAAGATGAAGCTAGTGCTCCTTCTGCTTCCCTCCAGTTGCAGCCTTGGTCTCAAAGTAAACCGACGAGCCGGAACCCCGAACTGCGAGCGCACTAAGAAAAGTTGGGACTGCTACAATCCCTCTGAGGATTACCGCTACCACGTTGAAGGCGTGTATGCGGCAGTAGTCTCGGCGAAAGCCTGTGAAGACATCTGCGCGGATTCGGAAGGACATGCTTTATGATGTTCGATTAGTTGTGAGAATGAGAATGAGTCGTTGGACGAAATGGTTCTTGCACAACTTCTACATAATAATGTCTCTTAGGTAGTTCTGGTGTTGGCGTAGCACATTTTCTTGTGTTTGACTTCTCTGTTTGTCCTTCTAACATTTGAAAACGATAACCGACCATGCAGGAGCTTTCAATTGGAGTCTGCAGCAAGCAAAACCACACAATCTTGCAAGCTGTTGATTGTTAAGGGCTTGTTTCATATCGTTGCTGGTTTGTTTTCACAAACGTTCGGATAACGTAAAAAGAGGTTCCATGACATGACATTTTCTAATTTCTTTGACCGATCCTAGTCCTACATCTCGTTCTTCTAAATAAGTTGTAGTCTAGGCAATCTACTAAGTATCCTGCTAAAGAAACTTCACACTCGAATCTCTCTCAGCCAGTCTTTGTTGACAATCGCAGTCTCAATATTCCTTCTAACACCTAGCCCATCAAGACCATCGAGGCTGTGGGAGGTTGCAGAAAGAACCCTGCTGATGCGGGCACTGCAGTGATCTACGACCTAGCGGTGGATGGAGTGTGCCCTGCGGGGGCGCCGTGAGCCGTAGATCAACAAATGGAACTCTTGTAGTAGTCGGGGTTAAGTAGTTGGAATGAAACATGATGAGAATGATTGCAAGTTCCACGTTTTTATATGACAATTACAACTAGTTTAGATCAAATATTAGAAGTTGTGACAACGCAAGAAGTGTCATAGTCGTTGAAGATGATTTGTTTCACAAAATAAGAATGCACTGCGACAATGTTGTACAGAAATACATGGAAATATGAAACGTTTTTTGGACGACATGACCCTAATATTCTCCACGTGCGGATGAGATATGGTGAAAAGCAATACCGCTCCACCGGTCGGCCTTGCAATATGCAAGTGGAACTGTTCGATGAGAGTTGTCGAAGAGTGACTGAGTGGCAGTCGGTCCCCGGCAAAAGTTAGTAACCGGTCAAGTCGATGTTGAGTCCGTCATCTCTTTAGAAAAAGGGATCCGCTGATAGCCGGAGGGAAGACGTTGTAAGAAGGATCGATGACAATGAACTGACTACTTGTCGTAAGTGAACAAGATGAAGGTCGCTTCTCTTCTCCTCGTACCCTTGGTTTACTATGGACCTGCTCTATGTGGTCATGGGTTACCGATCGCGCCACCCTTTCAGCATCGATCTTTTCTGAGCAGTCACGTTCCGACGAAACAGGAGCACATCCGGGACCAAATTTATGATTCACTCATAGTTGGAGGCTGTTAATCCTAATTCGCTTTAGCTTTTCTACCTGTCAGTGGGCTGATGATGAGTAATATCAACGTGGCCCAGGGGGTTCTTCTAACCTACTTGTACATGTACTTACTTGCTTATCCGGAAGACCATCTTCAGCACAATTACAATAGCAATACGCCTTCATCATCTAAAAGCTCAGTTCCAGTATCGCAGCTGCTCTGGATGCAGAAGAGCTTTACACGAAGTGGCTGACCAGTGACGATGGAAAGCAGCAGGCCAAAGACCAGAAGAGCGATGACCCAGCACCACCAGAGTGGCTGTTATCCACGATGGCCCAAAAACGAAAGCTGATGAAAAGAGAACGAATCTCTTCCACACGTGGGAGGAAGGAGCTTCGCGAGAGGACTGTCACTGCTAAAGGGAACCATCCTCACGAAAAAAATAGTATCATCAAAAATGGTGCACCATACGAAGAGGTTTCGCGATTTACCAAGCCGAATGCTCCTGCGTGTGTGGGCGTCGAACGCTTCGATGAACAGCAAAAGGAGGATAGTAACGAACCGGCACTGCATATCTGTCCGATGTCTCCGAAAAAGAACTCTGCCTGCACAGTGTTGTCGTTTGGGATTGCTTACTTATGAAAACTTGGACGAAATGATGAATCAGGAAATGCCATGTACCTTTTCGGTCTAGCTTCAGTTCCTCCACTCATCGTAGTCTTCCGCGTCAAACTACCTCATTCAAACTCCCTCTTTCATACTCCGACTTCACGATCGATAAGCATTTCCTTTCCAAGGGCTGCCACGTCTGGAGCTTCGATCCGAGTATGAGAAAAACCGCTGGCGACTACTCTTTGGGCAGCAATCATAATTATGGTGTACGAGTTCTCACTTGATGGTCTTGTAACAATGTTTATGCTTTACAGTTTACGAGGCTATTCAATAATTCCAATCCACCTTTGATGTAGTTTTGCTTCTGTTGTGATTCAGCTAAGAATGAAAGCAAGAACTTGAACTTTGCGATCTTACACAGCGTAGATATATGCCCCAAAAGATACATAGTCATAGAGGATCTTCATACTCTAATTTCCGTTTTCCTACATCGGTATCGGCTCGTCCGATGGCAGGCACATGGGTGCTAGTACTCTCTACGGCGGCGCAACGTCGTACCCAGTGAAGTCACTGCCTACGATCATGCGAGAGCTGGGTCTCGAGTTTGTCGACGTGGTGCGATTGGATACGGAGTATGGCTTGGTCTGAAGATTTTACAACTGACTGAAACTCCTTGTAATATAGTTTGAGAGTGACTACTTGATGTACTTAACTGTTTGTCAACAAAGGCAAAGTTCTGTTTGAAGAGATATAAAGATCTTGGCCTTCTTCGGTTCAACGCATTTTCAAAGGTAAAGTTAGTAGAGACAAGTAGGTAACCAATACTTCTTCTATTTGTTCTAACCACCGGGTGCCGAATACGAAGTGTTTCCAGAATGGCGACGCGACGGCATTCCTGGTCGCATCGGCCAACTCCTTGTCGAGATCCACTGGATGAACCGACAACCTTTGGCGATGTTCAGAGCTGCAGAAGCCATGCGATGTGACTTTGCCGAGAACGCGAAAGCCGAGAACGCGAAGAAGGATACCTGTTTCGAGAAAGTGCCGTTTACGGAAAGAAACCGCCATGATCCGACGGGTGGCGTGTGGGAGTTTACGATGATACACTAGAGGTAGAGGAAGGGAACATGTTGGGTGTCGTGTTACATAATGCGCTGAATGAGAGGAACGCATTAGTTGCACAGGAAAACGTTTTCTAGATATTCTTGTACAGGATTCAATCTACTTTCATCTTGTTTCTTTTTTCCATCTTATGTTTCTTTGAAGTTTAACGAACCAATCAGGTGGAATTTGCCCGCGTCAACTGCTCATAGCACTCGATGTGAGCCGCTCTTTCTATCATTCGAAGTAGTTAAATGGTGTGTTTCAAAGAGAGAGCACACGCGCTCTCCAGGCAGGGTAACGGATAAAATTGTTTGACAAAAAGAGGCAGATGAAAACTACCATTCGCAGAAGTAGCTACAACTACACGAAAAATACGAAACGACAGCTACGTTCCATCCATATCCCAATCGAATATCAAAGCAAGGTCGCTGCTTTGTTGACAACCCATAACCCTAGTTGTACGTAGGGGCCGACCACTCGGTTTGTAGTAGAGTGGAATGATTGATGGTGGAAGGGGAGGAGCAACATAATCGACCTGCGTCTTCTAAACTTGATGAGTTGTTGAAAATAACACAGAAAATATCATGGCGATATAATGATTATGATAACCGAACGACGAAGGGCCGACTGAGGTGTCGGAGGACTACGGCTCTGTCACGCAGTTGTTGCGTTTGTCGAGCATCCTCCGACTAGGATAGTTGATTGCGGTCTTGCTGACCGCGGCGGGCAGCGAAATTCGCTAGATCCTATTCGATTTCGGTCCTATTCGATTTCGATCCTATTCGATTTCGATCCTATTCGATCGAAGCTAGGATTTAGCTCCTATACGAGCTAGGCGGCCCATAGATCGCGGCGAACCGGCTTTTGCGCGAAATCTCCGAGGACCTCCGCGCCAGTGCTTAAAGAGAGACGCGTTCCGTTCGCATGGAATTCGACGCGGAACATGTCCACCATGGCCTAATGACGTAGAAGCAAAATTTTTTAGAGAAAAAGAGTACTATCCTCGCGCTCGCCTCATCTTCAACCGCAACACGGCAATACCTGGTTTGTGAAGAACCTTGTCGGCAGGAAAAGGGAGCTCCCTGCTGTTCGAGTCGGCTTTGACTCAACAATCAAAAACTACTCCACGGAAAAAAGCGACGATAGTTGTGTAAGAACCCCAGAGCTTCGGTGGGCCGCAACAGGAACAACACATCCTCGTCTGTTTACACGTATAGCGGTAAGTAGCCCCCACTGCAAACAAGAAACAACAAGTAGCAACTTCTAAGTAAGTTTCTGATGTAGTAAGTTGAAGAAAGTCCTTCTGTCGGGCAGAGCCTCGTCCAGTTGATCCGGTACCACAAGAAGAAGAGCAGGCACGTACTACGAGAAGAAGTGCAGCTCCTAGTACATCAGAAGAACAGAAGCTGCACTTTTTCAAGATGGCGGAAGCGTTAGAAGACACCGGTGAGTTCCTTCGGGAGCCGCTGGTGGAACGACGCGATGACTTCCTGGATGACGAATTCGATCTGCAACAGATGCAAAATGGTTTGAGCACTATAGTCGGGAAGATACCAGAATACAGCAAAATGGAGGACCATCTGATCAATGCGCAGAAAGCACAGGAGGCCGAAACACGGGAGCGACCGACCCCAGAACAAGCTCTGCTGAACTGCATTCAAAATTATGCTCTAGCATTATTTCACTCTCCTCATTAGAAGCTGAAGTCTGTACATGATTGAGGTAGACGATGAGGCTGAGAGGCTAGGAAATAAAGGAATGCCCATTCAGATTCACACCCCATGATAATCCTCCTCTAACAAAGAGTGTATTCGAAAAATTTGAAGAGCAAAACGCAAATCGCAATGCAGAAGTTCGTTATAGATTTTTTAGCGCCGAAAAAGCCAGTGGGAAGCGGGAGCTTCACGGAAAGGAGTACTCATCATGTTTCACTTGTACTTGTAGAAAAAGATTTAAGACTTAAATATAGTATGATGATCTTCACCGCGTCTTGGTCTTCTACTTAGCAGGAGGTGAAGTAGATTCAATCTTCAGTACTAAAGTTTATTGAGTTTTTTTGTTTTTACGAACAACGTTGCTTATCATGCTGATGCTTCTCTCTGGTTTTCTCACTCACTCAGGAGCCGACGTCCGAGCGCAGGAGGTCGAAGCTGAGCACCGGTTTTGGAAAATGTACCACGTTAATGTGAGAAAGGCAGACTCGTTTCACGAGAGGGTTATCGTGAAGAAGTGGCCAAAATGGCGGACGCGGATGAAGGAACTAGCCAAGGACTACAGACCTGCGGCACACACGCATACAGAAAGTGGGAGAGAGAGGGAAGAGAAGTTGCTGTACCTCAGAGGCATGAAAAGCGTTCGGGTAGACGAAAGGAGAATACCTAACGATCCGGGAGACTTGATAGCAGGGTCGAGCAAGATGGACTCGCCGGCAGACGCAGTCGGAGATAGCGGAGGCTCACCGCAAGATGCTGCTATTATGTTGAATGCAGCTATAGTGTTAGTATCACAGGCTAGCGCAGGGATGACGACATCCATGCGCTGCTGTTAAGTTTATTAAGTGCGATCGGTTTGCCTCGTATAAGGTGAAGGAGTCGAAAAAGATGATGAGAGTGGAGAACTATTAGACCAAGAGGGTAGGCTAGAGAGTAGAGGAAAGAGGTAGAACGGAAAAACCGACTATGCTAAATAGCTCAGCAGAGCACTGAGGCAAGAACTGTGGAAAAAGTGCGACGCTGCCGATAGCTGAGCTCGATAGTTCGAGAAAAATGCGCGCCATTTTTACACGCTGAGCCCTTATTTTGCATTTCACTGCAGCCAAGCGGAAGGCGATAGAGATTGGCAGACGTCTGCGCCGCACCATGTGACAAAACGACAACGGAGCGCCGATAAGAAAAGCCACAGCGGTGCGCGTTTTTTTCTAGCTGCTTAACGCTTTCGGGGTCGTTTCTAGCTGTTACAGAAGACGCCCGAAGATGATTACGAAACTGAAGCGATAGAGAGCCGCCCCCACTTCTTTTTTTTAGCAAGTGCGCGCCGCTTTTGCGGTTATTGTCTGACCCACGCCGCAGCTGTTTAGCGAAAATATATTGCACGACTTGCGAAGCAAGTTACTTCATAGCAAAAGCGAGCGCATCGCATCGCTTGACAGACATGGGCCAGCTCACTACGGTGCACACTGGACCGCTGAACATTAAGGAAATCGAGCGCATGGCGAGCAGTCACGCTCGCCGTTTTGCTATGCTTTACGGTGGTCGCCATTATCGACGAAACTGGTGCGGTCTGAAGATATTGCAAACATCACAAAAAGGACCGCAATCACCTGACTCAGCGCCACCGTCCGAGTTTGGGCCTGTGCACTCTTCAGAATCATGTGGATCAGAAGCAGCAGAGTAGTGCTTAGACCGGCAAAGCCGAAGATATTGCAGAGCTTTGCGCGCAAAATAGTTGAAACTTGCCCAGGAGAGGTTGCTAGGTCTGAAGTTAGTACTGAAGAACCTCGCCGGTTCTTTCTAAGGCTCGCCCTGGCTCTTCGAGGTTTTTAGTATCTTACTCGCTGCGTTTTCAGCTTCTCGCTCTCCAGCCCAATACCCATCAGCAGCGCAGCCGGGTAAGGTGTTAAAACCCAGCCGACGGCCTTGGATGACGTCGCAGAGCGTTCGAGGCGCCCGCCTTTGAAAACTGGCGCGACGGGTACCGCCTCCACGAAGCACCCGCGGCGTCTTGTCCTACGAGGGCGCATCTTTTGCACAATCTGCTTGGTTTCGATTGCTCCATAGAAAGGCCGCAATCTTATGAGAAAGCCCCGACATGCTTTACGCGCACTATCATGCGCCGAGTTGTTCTTTGTGCAGGTTTTTGGTGCTCGGGCTTTTAACTTTTTGCAGCGGCGCGGGGTTTTTTCTATGATTTTGCTAGTTCTGTCGTGCTTGACATTGTTCGCCAGGCGCTTTAGATGTTTCTGAGGAAGCGGCGCGAAGTATTTTCTTCATGTTGTGGCAGTGCGCTGCTGTGCCCATTTCAAACACCGCGAGGCGAATGCCCTTCCTTCGTCAGCTGTTGGAGTAGGCGTCGCAGCAGTTGCAAACTCCTGCGCCCCCAAGTCAGTCACAAATGCATCAGCCTGGTAAGTCCCGAACAAGCGCGCCAGCTGTGTAACGGCATTCCACGGCCGCGCTCTGCTGAAGAGCTTGGCTGCTGCTGTAGCTGCATCTCCAAACTTCTCCGGCTTTCATGCTTGCCCTGCTTTAGTGGAAAGGCCGCCGATCGAAATAGTGGGAGACTTGTGAGCCTGCTCCCGTTCATTCCGGACGCTGAACGCCTGCGGAAACTGTTCGGCGTGCACAGTCAGAACTTCTGGCGCCAGCGGGTATTTCTCCTGCCATATCTCGCAGATTGTGAAGAAAACCAGAGGCCAGCTATGTCGGTGCAATTGTGTCGATTTCACGAGCAGTTTGCATTTCTAGCCGTTGCGTCTAGTGCCTCTCTCTGCTGGATTCATTGACTGGCGAGGAGCTAATGAGCTTGAGCATATGGGGAGAAGTTACTAACAGAGTTGCTCTCTCACATAATGGCGAGAAGTAGCCGCACGAAGTCGACGCCTTAGCCAGTTGCGCCGTGGTTCCATATTCACACTCTTCCCGGTTTGGCAATGCTCTGCAAAGACAGCAAGCGAAGCGCCTAAATGCGTGAGGGTGGCGCCTTTGTTGATTATTCTATAACTCATAGGCGACACGTTTCTGGTTGTTGACTGTGAGCATGAGAGCAAAGCTGGCTAGAGGCTCACTAAGTTACTGGGCCAAGGAGTGCGCAGACTTAGAGGCAAAGTGAAGATTGTGAAAAAAGAGCAGCGGGAGACTATGCGCTGCGCCCCATTTTACGGAAGTTGGAGGACACTGATAAGAGAAGGAGGGAGCCAAGCTCTTTGGCAAGTTATTAAGTCAAGCGGCGGCGTCAGTCAGTGGATGAAGCTTGGCTAATGAATGACATGCATCCAAAAAAAAGAAGCGACGTCAGTGCGGCTGCATTTTATGGAAGCCAGGCGCTCGTCTGGTTATGATCTCGGTGGGCCACAGTTGAAGACTCAGAACACAACGCAAATAGATATCGAGCGAAAAACTACAGTCACGCTCAGACTTTTAAGAAGTTAAAGTCTAACTTTTTCAAAGTCTGAGCCTGAGGGCAGTCTCTTGCCCGATTTAATGGAAAGAATAGCGAACGCCATGACACACATTTCGGCAGTGTATTGCCTCAAGACATTCACAAGATTCGTGGGGCCTGAGGCTGGCCAGTGGCGTCATACGTCTAGGAAATTTGCGCCATCTTCTGGCAATTAATTTAAAAAGTGCGCTGATGCCATCTCGAAAAGCCGTGCCTATCAAAGTAAGCGAGCTGTCTTCAATAAAAGAATAAGCGCCGGCCTTTCTCAGTCGTGAAGCGAAATGAAAACTCTGCTGCTGCGGCAGTCTTGTGCTGATCTGCGAGAGTTTCTTATCTTTGTTGCGTTTATGATCAAAAAAAATGCTGACGGGTTGGATGGCGCAGAGACAAAGACAGAGACGGGCCTTAGATAATCTGACTTCGTAACGACTCGCCCATCGTCGTTTTCCTTTGTCTCTTATCTTTGTCTTTTACCTTTGTCAAAGCCTCAAAAGTCTCTCCGTCTAGGCCCATCTTTTGGCCAAGATATGAAGGAAAAAAATGCAGTATACCGTGGCGCAAGATAGAAAAGTGACGAGCTTCGGATTTCATTCTAGCTTATACGAGATACTATTTATTCTTGACATCTATTATAGAATACATGTGAAGATTGTGAAGTTGATAGTGAATCTTCTAATCCCCTTCATCTTCTAATCCCGCGTCCTCCGCATCAGAGCAAGACGAGGAGCCTCCAGATTTGAGGCCAGATAGTGGCGGAAGTTCTGCGAGTGAAAAGCCATGCGGCGATGCGGATCAATTGTTGAGGGCCTTCGGGTTACCAGATACGAAGTCGCACAGGATGGAGAAGAGTCTAGGAGAGGAACGGATTCTGTACCAACATTAAGGTATTCACAGACCCATCTTCCAGGCGAGCATTTTGGTCGCGTTGTTGTTTTTGAAGGGAAAACGGACACGACCAAGATGCTCCTCCTGGCTCCCACGGATTTCTGCTAGGTCTAAGAAGACGAAGCAGGCAGGGTTGGAGCAGGATTTCAGATGCAGGGCATAGGCGAGGATAGCAGTGACTTGCGAAGAAAAAAAGAAGCGAACGCTTTTTTTCGTCGTTTCCAGAAATTCCAAGACAGCAACTACATCCAAAAAACACCTGGTCCGATGATGGAGGGAAAGAGAGAAGGTTTGAAGAACCTCAGCAGTCAGCAACTCTCAAATCTCTCAGTTTCAACCTACTTTAGGAGTTGCGAGTCCCTTGGAACAGTGCCGAAAGTGCCGAAGAGTATCATCCTAGACGCGAAGAATGACGAAGAAGGAGTGCTTAGTAGCAGAGTGGATTTGGAGGTACTAGCATAATTTTTTTCGCTTGAGGACTACTTGGTATGTCCCTCAGCTACTTCTGCAGAGGCAGTTGTCTGAATCACTGGACATGACATGTCCTCATCTTCATACCTCATCTTCATACCTCAGGCACTGGATATGACGGACACTGATCTAGAGGCGTATCAAAAGGCGATATTCAGCGAAATTCCCATTCTTCTAGAGAAGAATAAAGTGACGCGAAAGCCAGAAAAAAACGACGTCCTACAGCTCTTGCCAGCAGTCAAGATAAAAGTTTTGAGGATGGGCAGGAATCGTTTTAGCGATCGAGGTTTGGCGAAGTTTCTGGCTGGGTTTGTGCAGTTGTTATGAAGATTGATGTTGACGTGATTCATTAACGATTATATTTTACGAAGATCTCTGTTACTGTTTTTAGTGCTACTTTTTTAGTCATACAACCGGCGTGTAATAATTAATTCACGACGAGAATCAAAAATGTGCCTTGTTCGAACTCATTACTGAGGCCCTCACCTCTCCACAATTTTACTCATCCCTTCGTTCTACAGTCAGTCCTACCGATGAATTACTCCCATTTCAAAATCCGGCAAAGGCCCAAAGAAGGTCTTCGAATTGGAGGAGATAAATTTGCAAGGGTTGACTATGTTTTCCGGTCTGAGCATAGCGAAATTGAGCGCCATGATGGGAGAGCCACAGTCTTTCCCACGAATAGTCACGCTTAACTTGAGTGGGATTTCGACACTCTTCACCCAGCACGACCATTGCAAGTTGCTCTGTGAGAACCTAGTGAAAGTAGGGACACTGCAGGAGCTGAAGATAGCAGACACCGGATTAGGTCTGGTTTCACAGGCGACAGTGGTGCTTTTGGTGCAGGGCTTGGGAGACTTGTTAGCGATAAAGAATTTAGACCTAAGCAGCAACTTCATAGGCAAAGACGGCTTTGTGGCGTTGGGGAAGGTAAAATACGTTTGTTTTGCTTCGCGTGGTCCTTAAAGCTCACACTTTTCACACAGCAGAAACTTTACTTACACTTAGACTGAGCAGGTCACAATTTTTACTAGATCGACCACGTACCAGACATAGACTTTCTTCTCCATGCACCCCAAGAAGACCAACAAACTCTACCTCCGCAAATCACACCAGTATTGCGAAGACGCGCAGCTCCACGAGCTTTCTCTGAATTGGAACAGCGACAAGCCGAACAGTTACATGCCTCCCCCAGTGTATATTCCACCTACTGAAGACGGCGCTCCACCTCCTCCACCGCCCAAGGAAGAAGCAGAGGACGAGGCGATATGCTACTTCTTAGAGAAGTTGAACTTCCAGAATCGCATGGAATACCTTTCCCTACGAGGAAGCGGCCTCTCCTATGCAGCAGATTTAGTGCTGTGCGAGGCTTTGGAGTGTAACATAAACCTAGTCCAGTTCGACGCCTCTGACAATGCCCATGGCAAAGATGGGTTGCGTTGTCTTCTGAGGTTACTGATATCACCCGAATGCGGTGTAGCGAACTTGAGCGTGGCACAAGTGAGGGAGAAGTACTATGCGCCTGGCGAGCAGTTCAGTTATGGACGTAGGAAATACATCATCTCCAATGAAGGGAAGAAGACAAGAAGAAAGACAGAAGAAAAAAGAAGAAAAAAGGTGGAGAAGAAGACAAGAAGGAAAAAGAACCTAGATGATCTCTGAGATGCATTCTTCCCTTCACCTCTAAGCCAGGTATAACTTCACAGACCCGAACGGAGCGTATAGTCTCAGACTAGACAGGCCGAGCGATCGGGCAACATTGAAGTTGCTGCATAGGTGTGCGTGGTACTTCAACGTCAAGGAAGCAGCTTTTGTGGACATGGTACTTCAATTCATCGCTCTTTGTGACATTTGAGTATGAGCATCTCTATGAAGATCCATCAAAATGAAACTGAGTCTCAGCACGACAAGTACACGCTTCTACTAAGTCTTTTTTCAGGAGCTTAGTCCCTCGTCCTTAGGGCTTATTTTTTTGGTTTTTTTTTTTGGTTTTTACTGAACCAAGCACCCCACCACAGACTCTCGACGGTGCATCCTGTGCGCTACCAGTATCAGAGAAGCAGACCGACAGGGGCCGCGCCTACCAATTTACACAGGAGAGAGGAAGGCTGAACTTCGTTTTCGTACTAGACGACAAACCCTTTCAAGAGGAACTGAAAAAACAACAGGGGAAGATTACGGCTTGACAAAAGCAAAAGGGCGTATGTAAGCACTTACGTAGCTGCACGTTCTTGAATGTAGTGCGTGTCGTAAGTACTTGCGTGTCGTAAGTACTTGCGTGTCGTAAGTACTTGCGTGTCGTAAGTACTTGCGTGTCGTAAGTACTTGCGTGTCGTGAGTACTTGCGTAGCTGCATGTTCTTGATAAATGTACTTTACTTTTACATCTCATCTTCAGAAAGGCATACATAATACACCAGCTTCAATTTTTCTTTCTAACTCTCGTCCCAAGAAAGGCAGCGACGAGCATTCCTTGATGGCACCATCGCCTGCGAAAAAGGCTCCCGGAGGCCCTGCCAGTGGAAAGAACGTGTCAACCCTTCTCGACTATTCGAAGTTGAAGGCGACGTTGCTGCGGTTTGTTCCACTATTAAGGCAATGAACTAGATGAATGGCGTGCATCCTGAACGTGAACATGATCCTTAGAAGGAGCCTTTCTCCTAATAGGCATCTAAGGGGAAAAGTCGCCAATTTAATCATGTAGCTTCCTCCTGGGTGGATGGTGCTCCACTTGAGGTCCTAGCTCTAACACTAGCTGTGCTCTACCAGAACCTGCAGTCGGACAAGGAGAAGGGCGTGCTTCTAGAGGCGATGGCTTTCGACATGAAGATGAAGCTCTGCCACGTGCAGTTCTTCATTGAGAAAGCACCGCTGATGACGCCTTTTATCATCAAGACGTTGTACTCGACGGTTCATAGGGCAGAAGCGATGCAGTTGGTCAGCTTGCTACCACATCCCAGTCTGCAAAGGGCAGTGAGAGCGGCAACTAGTAATGCAGTCTTCTTCAACGCGGACAACCCCACTGGGAGATACAAACTTAGTATCGAGAATCCTACGGACAAAAACATGGCGGATACGGTACTTCTTGCAACAAAAAACACATTGCTTTCCTGTTGCTGCTTCAAGTACTTCTTGGGACGATTGGGTGTGGGAGAAGCGATTCCATAACTAGTTACTTAGTACAACTGCTGAAACTAGTTACTTACTTACTTCACCTGCTGAAACCCCACAGCTCATCCGCCTCTCTAGTTGGGAGAAGCAATTGCAAGAACAGGAGGATATGCCCGAAGAGATCAAGGATGCGTCACAGTATGGCGATAGAACGTGCCTTAGAAATGTGGTTCTCAATGGCAAACCATATAGGCCAGAAGAACTCGGGAGCGACGTCTTGCAGGGCGCAATAGGTACTACTACCTAGTACAATAGGTATCTATTTCAGTATCGAGTACTGAGTAGGTAGCGTCGACGTACTTACAATATAAGAATACTTAGGCATCTACTTTATCTATTTCAGTATCTTTATCTAGTACCGAGTAGGTAGTCGATTTCTATTTCAGTATCTAGTACTTCGAGTTGTAGGTAGTGGTAGTGTGGTAGAAAAAGTAAATTGTTTGTTTCCGTTTCATTTTAGAGTCGGATTCCTCGAGCAATCTTGTTCTTTTTTTCGACTTTCAGGCACTCTGGAAATGGACTACCGCACGCGAATATTCACGGAGCAAGGCACGTCACTGATACAGCCTCGAACTCACAGCCTTCTTTGGCGAGAGTTAATGGATAAGCTGTTTGATAGTGACATTTCTCTAAGGCTGTCACTGGTGTTAAAGCATCCTCAAGAACTGTAAATATGTCCCTCCTCTGAGCGCAGAGTCTTTTCTCAAGGTGGAGAAAAGGCAGGCTTCAAGGGTCATGGTCTGAAGGAAGATGCGACTGCCGCGGTTCTTCTAGCTCTCTCTAATCGCTACTCTGGGCAAAGTTCGCTGTTTTCGACAGATTTCATCGCATCTGAGCATAGACTATCGCCAGTTGAAAGAATTTGTCCTGTTCTTCGCACGTGCTCCAAAAGACACAAATTGGTACTCGAATGACCAACGAAATGCGGAAGAAATCGAAGCAGCAGACCCTAGAGTAGTCGGTGGTATTTTTGTCGATAGCGACGCCGCTACATACTTGAGGAGTGAAGCTTTTTTGACGCTATGGTCCAGATGTCGAGATCCGAATTCTGTGGTGATGACGAATACAGGAGAGTTTAGGGCGATTCCAGATACAGAGGACGACGGACTGCTCTATGATCCAAGAGTGTTTTGCAGAGGTACTGTTTATCCATGGAACGTTTTTAGGAACCTTTGTCACTTCTTCGAAAACGAAATGATGCAGAAGTTTTGAATCTATTTTTACCACTTGAGCACCCACGACCTCAACCTCCTCCCACTACCTCCACACGCCAGCCGAGCAACGCGCCATCGTATCAACGCTAGGATGGCTCACGTGTTTAGATGTTAGGAGAATATGCGATCCCGAGACGAATTTCGGAGGGTTTTTCGAATTGGACCTGGGTATACATGAAGAGTGGGTCGTGGCGAGGATCATCATCAGCCTCGCCTCGATGGAGGATGGAGATAATTTAATCAGTACTTTTTTTTGTACCTTATTTCAGCTTCGAATTCGATGGAAGATGGATATATTTATTAATCTGATCAGAAGTACTTTTTTTACCATTCCTGAGTTCTTTGAATGGTCCTACATCAGACAGTTCTTTAGCCGCACGGCTACCGATTTCTTCTAGATTTTGTTATCATCTTTTCACAAGTAGCCACCATCTTCACAGACCCCCACTGGACCGGTGCCCGCCAGTCTACTATAGGTGGATTCCATGTGCCGATTACGTGGATCGAGGAACTCCCAGAGTTTGGTATTTTCACGTGTCAATACGTCCACGAAGAGCCCAGCTACGTAGATCCTGAAGCGAGAAAAGAGCTCATCGCCAAATATCTGCCCGAATTTGAGGATTTGATTGCATGGCGGAAGGACGAGGAGGGGAAGAAATTGGTGCCTCCGAGTGAGCCGTAAGCTTAAGCGGTAGGATGGAGAGGTAATTTGTTGTTGTCTTTCATGTTGGAGACCTATTTTTATTCCTAATCTGACTAATAAAGTTATCGCAGAAATCGTGTTTGTGTAGAGGTAATTATAGACTTCATATCGTAAAGTTAAAGAAGAGATCAAGTATGATATTTTTGCTTACCACTTCTAGCACTAGGAAATATGACCTCTAAGGCGAAGATGGGGAAAGTTTCGATTTATTCCGCCCGCAAGGTACTAATTTTGGTTAGCTACACCGACCAATTGTTGAACTGTTTGTAAGTGCTAAAGTAGGAAGATGAAAGCTTCTTGTTTATCATGTGTCGTTTCGTCAGTTTCTTTTTTTTCTACGCAACATACATAGAGAGTGATCAACTAGTTACATGTTGGACGCTCATGCACAAGCGATAGCAATGCAAGAACGCACATGCATCGATTGACATGATTTTGGAGATCATGCATAGTTCAAATCTGTCGTTGAGTAAATTGACATACCTATCTAACAGTATGACAAAAATGCACTTGAACACTAGAACCACAACAAATAACGATAAATGAATGTTTACCTAAGAAGAATCAAGGAATCTGTAGAAGTACAAAAAATAGGGCTAGCTAATCTCGTGTACCGGTATAGGTGCAACAGCAATATGATCGTGATCATGACGCTACCTAGGGAATAAGTGGATATGGAACTTCGAAAATGATTTTGCATAGAAAAAATGTGTTATCTCAAATGAACTTTCACTTTTTGTCTTGTAGTTTTTCATCATTTTCATGGAAGTAGAAAGTCATTTCTAACTGACTATCATCTTGCGTTCAATCGCAAAAGCAAGCCGCTTCATCACAAAGCAGCGGAGATGCTTACACGTAGTTACAGAGCACATGCACGTGCACGAAAAAAGTGACCTTCTGTTTCAGTCCATTGAACCACTGATTCTGTCGTGATTAGAGTGGAGGCGCTGGAGAGAATGTCCTGTAAAACTTTTCAAATAATATTAACGTGAGAGTGATTACCTTCTTCTTCTGTGGTGTGCCATAAATCTATCTGTGATGTGCATCTTTCGCGAGAGGCTTTTTACACACGCCATTCAGTCATGATGTCATATACTAGACTTAAGCGCCTGGTAGCACTCGTCGCACTAGAATCCTCCACGACCCTCTGCACGCACTTCCACCGCCAGGGCGTGCCTCCGCTTCCCCGGCTCCTTCCCCGCGTGGCAACCGTCTGGCGGGGTTGATCGTTGGGACAGCACAAGCGCCGGCCTCGGGGCGGCGTGCGGCCATTGAAAAGGCACGCCTCGAAATGGTAGGCCCGGGAGTTTCCTGCGCTTTTGTTAGGTTTGGCCATCTTTGCGCAAGAGCTGAAGCTTTTAAGTTTCAAACTTTTCGCATTCGTCTGCTTCGAATGAAGTTAAAAACTTTGTGTCTAATTTTTTTGAAATACATTTTTCTTGAATAAAATCAAAAATTTTGCCATTTTATAACTTTAAAACTTAAGACTTCAATTTGAAACTTTCAAAATCGCACAATCTTTGATTTTATCAACCAAAAAATGAATTTAAACGCCAGGGTGGCGCTTTTTAGACTTCAAGCTGAAGACTTGAAGCCTCGCGGCCATAGCTCTTGGGCTTAGAGGTTACCTGCAAGTATACCATGCCATGCTCGCGGGTTTGTGGTTCATGCCATGTCATTTCCATGGGGGTTCTTGGGTTGGGTTTGTTTGTTCGTTGCTTCGTTATCGTTTGTTGATAAGAAAAGAGAGCGGACAAATTTTCTACGAGGGTCGCGCGTTTTTGGTTCAAGCGCTTTTGGTTCCGGTGTGTGTGTGGTTGGGAGATTGGAGGGGGCGTTGGTGCCTTTTTATTTAGCTCTTTAATATCTACATGTAGGATGTTGTCTCATACAATCCTCTTCAAATGAAAAATCAGGCCCGGGCCCCATTGCTCTTTTACCCCATTCTTCCAAGCTTTCACTTCAAAAAACCCTACCTTCTCGTATACTATTCGAACTTGTTTTTACCAATGCCAATGCTCTTGCTCTATTGATTTTCTATTATTTTTCGATGTTCTTGATCACCAAATGCAAATCCAAAGCCAAACAAAAAGATGCGATCCTCTAGTGTCGAAAAGTCTCTAGCTGAGCGAAACAGCTATCCCTGGGGTATGAACTTGGGAGGATCACCAATTTCTCGAAGTGCGTCACCCAGCACAGATGCCCGCTCAGTTGTCGCGCCACGAGGAGCACGAGAAGAACGTGAAGATAGACGTGACGACGGAGCTGCCTCAGGAGTTAAAGATGAATCTGCCAACAGCAACACGGTTAACGAGGAGCAGATGAACGATGACGACATCCAACCCCGACCAAGCGATGGCGGCTTTTCTGCTAGACTTGAGGCTGCTTCACGGGCCATCCGTTTCGCCAGAGAAGCTGAGGAGGAAGCGGAAAGAAAATTGCGAGCAGAAATCCAGCAAGCGGAGGAAAGGGAAGATAGGTTGATGCGTTCAGCCAGATCAGACGAGATCGAAGAACGTAGCGTGTATTATTCAACTTCTGGAACTGTAACTGGTGCTGGTACTAGTGGCTCTGGAGTCCTTGGAGTTGATGGAGAAGGAGATCTTGGCGATCTTCAAATAAGTGAACGAGATGTTGATGAGATGCTGAATCTATCGACGTCATCATCATTTATCCTTTCTGCGGCGCGTAATCGTAAAGAGGAGGAATTCCGTGAGATAGCGTTGCCGGATAAGAATTACACGATTCAGATGTATGGAGGCAACATCAACGGGAAGGGAGGAAATCAGGAACGCAAAGTAGCAGCGAAAGTAAAAGATTATCGGGATGCAAGTCGGGGGACACTCTTTCATGCGCCGACCTTGAAAAATAGTGCAATATCACGGGGTTCGCCATCTCCGAGGGGAATAATGTCGAACAGCGGAGGTGCAATTTCAAGAGAAGCGTCGTTAAACATTCCTAGAAGAGTTTCCTTTGCTGCTGATGGGAGTGGGACTATAGTAGAAAAGCCGCGTGCTTCATCTTTGACACCCCGTACTCCATTGACAGTCGCAGGAGTGGATAAGCAAAAGCTCGTAGGTGTAGGCCTCGGTCTGAAGTCGCCGCCTCCGAAGCCTGTGACAGTTACACAAGAAACAGCTGTAGAGCAAGCTACTCAACAAAAAATCGAGGATGTTGACCATGTCGCAGCTGCTCGTTTCGTGCGACAACAAGAACAATTTTTACAGAGTGCTTACGCTAGAGGTACTAGGGATCCCTTCTTCGACGGTTTCACGCCTAAAATCGATGTTTCGAATGCAATTGCACAAGTGAAATCGATCGCTCAAGTGAAGGGACCTACGCTTTTGAGAGAGCCTTCGCCCATCGGCGGGTTGTCTGCTGTGGCGCTCTCTCCACGTGGTATCACGCCAAGAAAACTGCCAATACCTGCGCATTTGAGAGGGGTTACAACTGGTGAAAGAAATGAAGTTGCAGTTGGAGCTTCAGGTAGCGATCAAGGTAGAGGTGGACAAATTTTATCCCATTCATCTACTCCGCGAGGCACACCTGCCAAGGTCTTGCTCCTTCCACCTGATTGGCGGTCACGAAGTCTGACGCCCTCAAGGGATGCTAGGAAAATGGAGCGAGAACGACAGCAGATGGGAACGGCGCAAAACAGAGCATCTTCTTCATTCTCAGGAATTCCATCTCCAAGACAGGTCTCAGGACCACCTGGAGCAATTAAGTTCTCTTCAGGACTTCAACTTACAACAAGTAAAAATCCGCTCTCATCAAGCGCCGTTACTCCACGGAACATCAAAAATCCTAGAAGAGACGTCAGCCCTCGTGGACTCCTCGCAACCGGAGCAGCAAGTGGGGGAGCACCAACCGTGGCTCCTTTAGATGAGGACCTAGAAACTTTTGACGAGATCTCCGCACTTCTAGATAGAAAGCTTGCGGCGAGTTGTGGCAAAACCTTTGCAAAAGTCGACTCTCTAGCAACGGCAGCAAAGGCAGCGGCAGCTCCTCTGGCGAAGGCACATGAGAAGCCTTTGGTAGTCCCTTTAGTAGCAGGATCAGGAGAAGCTCCGCTGGCAGCACAAGCACAAGTGAATCGAAGTGGTAGTGGACAACATCTCGGAAAAAATTCATCTCATCGTCATCCTGCTGCTCTAAAAAGTTTCGAATTCGATGTGGCATTTTCATCTATCAAGAAAACTTCTGTGAGTACTACACTAAAGGAGCATTTACTGCGTAGCTGCGCTCGGGCTCTGACTCCAGTGACGCTACCTGCGTTGCAAGAAGAAAATGCTGTTAATCTCCACGATTTACTATCATCAGAAGTAACGCCACGGCCACGAGGAGACGAAGACGAAGTTCTACAAGACGCTGATTTTGAAGGTGATAATGTTGCCGAAGCTAGTGCTACCGAAATCAGCGTGCGAGACACTGACGCAGCTCAGGCTCATATCATAGATGTTGAGAATCAACGTCAAGCAGCCACCTCGTCTTTCTACCCTCTAGGGGGGCGTAGTCCCCGTGGGCCTCCTACCAGTGTGAATTTAACATCGAGATTGGAGCATCTGAAGGTGGCGAAGGATGTCATTGGTGGCATACACCTTTCTGCCATTCCCTCAGCACCTATCAAAACTATCGATAAGCCAACACCTGGTAAGAAAATTCTCGATGACCCTGTGGTGAAGATACCTAAGCCTGCTCACGATGGCGGACATCTTAGCAGAGCTTTGCTGTCTCCACGCTTGATTAGTGCGTCACTAGCTACCTCCAGCTCCAAGGATACATTCTACAACGCACGTACCAAAAAGGACGAAGAAGACCTTCCCAGTGACCACGAAATGACCAAGCTGCATTCGGCATTAAATGTTGCTGGTCGTGATGCCAGACATAGTAGGTGGACAAGGAGAACGTCAAGGGATACAACGACGACCAGCAAAACAAGGGAATATTCTCCTGCTACTAGTCTGAGTCCCCCTGCTCGACCACCAAGTGCTGCTTTCGATAAAGCTATAGTAGTTGTAAATGAGACGGGAAGCAATGAAGACCTTTCATGCGGCAAAAGTCCTCTTCCGCTTGTCAAATCGCTTCCAGCTTCACCAAAAAGGGCAAGCACACGTGCTCCGTTGTTCGGCCAGCAGAACTTGGACTTGCCTCCAAGCTCAATTGCCTTAGCTGTAAGGGGGTCTCCCTTTTTGTCGCCGCGGACTGCTTTCTTGCCTCCGCCAAGAACGTTGAACACCGCGAGAACTTCTTTGGTCAATCCTCTTCAATCCGGTGCTGCGGAACAGAGTTTGGACCCAACGCGGGCATCTGCGCCATCTCTGCAGCCTCTCGTTGCACCGCTAAGCGCAAGAAAAGCCATGCTTTCACCTACGGCATTACAGACTACGGAAGAAGCTGCGAGTCCGGCAGCGAAGAAATTGCAACCTGCAACGCTCGCTGGTGTTCAGATTGGAGGATTTTTACCTTCGCAAGCAGCTGTGAGGGAGACGACAACTACAGTGAAGGACGAGCAACCTCAGGGGAACAAGAAGAAAAGCAATAATAAAAAGAAGACCAAACTCAATCAAGCTGTTGTATTAGAGAATGTGACCAAGCCTGAGGACAACGATGCGCTCTTAAAGCATTACACGAAGTCGGCTCTTTGCTGCAGCAGCCTCGGCGAGATGGTACGGCAGATTTCGGAGCTGCAAGAAAGCGTTTTGTATTGGAAGTCTAAGTTCAGGCATGACCGAGATGCGGACGTTTTGGCTGTCTTGGAAGCGGACCACCACTCCTTGGTCGCTGAAGTTTTCAAACTGTGGGCTGGTGTCCATAGCAGTTCCGCATCTGCGCATAAACTACACCTCGCCGAGAAAATGCACGCCAATCATAAAAGGGAACAAGAACAGCTTCGAAGGGACCGAAAAGCTATGTACGAGCATGAAGAAGCGGAATTGTTGGCTGTTTATGAGGATGCACAAAAAGAGATGAAGACTCTGTTGGGGCAGCAGGAAGTAGCGATCCAGAACGTGCAGAAGGAGATAGCGGAAGCGAAGGAACATGAGGAAGTAGTTGGAGCTTTGACAAGGGACGTTATCACGCTGCTGGTACGGGCTATCGAGACGGAACTAGAGGTGGATCGAGAAGGGAAGCAACAGCAAGAACTACAACAGAGACGGACGCGTGTGTTAGATGAAGTAGATGCAGAACAAGATGAGCATTATTTTGACGACCATGATGGAGAGCATGCTCAACAACAACAAGTAAGAATTGTTCCTGTTGATCCTGAACTACAACGACCACGAGAGCCACGTGTAGTCGAACCAGAAGAGCTCTCTTACGTGTCTAGTAGTCCACCTGGCAGTACTGGTAGTCCTGCATGGGAGGATGAGGAAACGGCCATGATCTTTCAGGCACAGGTCCGAGACGCCCATGGGGAGATCAACGACATGCTCAACGATATCTCCCGCAACTTGCAGTCGCAGGCATCGAGGGTAAGCGCGATGACGGCACTGGATGAGGATGAATATGAGCAACAGTATGGTTTTCGTCCGATTCTGAAATTGAGAGAACTTGGGATCCCGGGAGGTAAGGCCTCTCGTGCATCTCATGTTTCGGCTGAAGGAGAAGCTACAGAGGACGAAGAGCATAGGAAAGCAGCTGCTTCGATCTTTGAAAATTTCGAAGACTTTCGGGCAGCTTCACGCGTTGCGTCTGGAAGTGAGCAGGGTGAAAGAAGAAGTCGCCAAGCTGATCGGGAACCTTTGACAAACCGAACTTTTACCGCCATACTGTCAGAAACTCGAGAAGAAGAAGAGAAAGAATCCTCCATCCGGTCCGTTGCGAATGTGATTGAAGATCCACCTGTTATTGAGCAAGATCAGCAACCAGGAGAACAGGAGAACAACAACAACAAGCAGCAAAAGGAGCATGACGATGTTGGTGCCAGTTCAGGAGCTTCTTCGGCTACTGCTTCAGAGGGTGGCACTAGACGTCGTAGGATAGCGTCAGTCCTCTTGGAAAGGAAGTCAGTGTCCTTCAATGTCGTGGACGTTGTTGTCGGTAGCACAGTACACCAGGATAAAAATGCGGTGCAGAAGGAGTCCTTCACTTCTACTACGAGGCGTGGTCAGGTAGAGGGATCCTCTACTTCTTTCTCGTCGTCAAAAGATCAAGGAAGCTTCTTTAGAAGATACATTGCTTCACTTCATCTTTCTCCCCGTCATCATTATGTTGTAGGGGCAACAACTGCCGCTGCAGGCGCAGGGAGTCAAGAACCACGACGGTATTTTTCTGCTCCCTCTTCACCTCGGCGTGGACTTGGTCAACATGATGCTGGAGATGGACTCGTGCAACAAGAAGCTGATAAGAACAGGATCCACAACCCTACACTTGCAGGAGCCTCTGCGTTTGCCTCTCACCCGACGCGCGTACCAGTTTTCGAAGATGTAGAAGTGCTCGTAGCGCCTCCGGCTTCACCTGGCATGAGCACCAGGAGTGTTACGGTGGAGAAACGCAGTCGTAGTGGCAGTCCCATAGTTGTGCGAGACACCACAACTTGGACGTTTCCATTCCTGCCACCTTTACCAGCTTTGAAACACGCTAATGGTGTAATTGGTAGTGCAGGGACGCCGAATTTCTTGAAATCGAATGCGCCAGATGTAGGAACTGTAGCATCTTCACCCCTATCATCGTCCAGCCTTCGGTCGCCGGTCATTTCTGTTTCTTCCCCAAGGAACGACTTGATTCTGCAGCCACGAGTCGTCTCGGCAACGACGTCCACCTCGTCTACACGGTACGCAGATGCCAGAGAAGTGGGAGTGAGAAAAGCGAACAACAACAATGAAGTAGAAGCGATAGTAAAGCGAGGAGAAAGTAGTAGAAGAAGATCATCTCGCGGTAGCGGCCGTAGCGGTACGTCTTCATCTTCAGTACATCAGCCTCGTCCACCTCGACGACTCTCGCGTCATAGCCAAACTGTCGTGCAAGAAATGCGTACATTGTTGGATGAAAAGCTGCCATCCTCTAGAATCCCGATCTTAGACCCCTTTGACGCCAGCCGACTCCGCATGGTGCAGATGCAGAATAATACTACAACCCCCACCCAGATCTCCAAGATGAACTCAAACTTGAACTTGAACCTCAACCTATTGACTCAAAGTGTACGGATTATGCCTGTGGAGGTTGGAAAGACGACTCTGACCCCTGGAAGTGGAAGCGTTGCATCGAGATCTCCTAGGTCGAGGTCTCTTTCTCCATCGATTATCAGCTCACCTGACGATATAGCTGTAGCGCTAGTGGAAGATCCTCAGGAGGAAGATTCGACCAGCATGCCGATGCCAGAGAGAATCGTACCACAAGCAGTCTTTGAAGTTGTCGGCAACAATGCGATTGCTACTGATCTACCAAATGCGGTTTTAGATGAAATCAAAGATCATAGGGCATTCTGTCTTGGTGTTGATTTTACTACCTCCACAACTGGTCGTCGTGAAGACGGATCTGATCGTGCTGATGTAAACCCGGTGAGAAGTGTGCAACCGTTGATTGGACCCAGGTTGTGCAATCCGGGTATGGGGTCTTCGCTTGAGTACGAGAATGAAAAATGGCAACTGCAACAGGAGATACGTCATAACAACGCAGGAGCAGGAGTTGGAGTTGTATCAGGAATCTTCGCGAGCAGCAGCAGTCGTGCTGCTCCAGGAAATAACACCGTCACTCCACGAGGAACAGGAGTACAACTGGTGCAAAGTGCGCGGGGGTTTTCTTCATCAAGAAGTGGTCTCACTATGGGAGTCGGATCCCCTAGTCGACTACAAGGTGGACCAGCAGTGTTATGTCCTTTCGGTAATTCTCCAACCTTCCGAGCATCATCTACTTCCGGGCTTGACTTCAAACTTGGTGGAGTAGTGCAAAAAAACAACGCGCCACCACCATTTGAAGTAAAGGTGGCACCTGGACCTGGTGCAGGCGCGTCTCGTCAACTCTTTCCGAGCTCTACAACTAATTTGTTGAAAAATGTAGCTGTAGGTACGAGTACACCACGACAAATACTGCAACCATCTTCACTCACTTCACCTAAAACAGCACAGCAGAGTTTTTTTGCCAGTGCTGGGGGGCTTCAGGATCGATCGCTCCTGTTGCCTGGAGCACGCACTGCAGCAGCTGTCGCATCTAATCCTGCAAGGAGTAGTGTGAAGCGACAGGCACAGATTCGTCCTTCATTAAGTCTAGCACGACTTCCAGACACTTCCGCAAGTTCATCTGCAACGAATCTAGTCCTCTTTGACAAGCAAGCAGGCTCTTTTCTGGGACCAGTAGCAGGACTACATCAAGACACACCTACACCAAACAAGAATCTTAACAATGCGACTGCTGCTGCCAGTGCTACTAGTGTTTCTAGTCTGCTTTCGCCTGTCACGGGACAGATTCCTAGTTTGGAAAGTCCACCTTTTCAGACCTTCGCAGAGTTACGTCCTTTCGCAAGTGTAGAGTACGATATTAGACATTACATCGAGAGTGAGTTTACAGAGAGAGAACAACAACAACAAACCTGATGAGCATGACTATCTTTATACTGCTATAGTGAACTACTCTAGAATTTTTCTGCTTGTCTTTTTTTTTGTGATCATCGTCGCTCGATGACTCAACATCTTACATCATTGAAGATCGTTAGCACTACCACTAGCAGATAGAAATGTTACGTGGTTTTCGACATCGAAACTCTTGAGAAATTCTTGTGAACTGATTTCAACGATACTGAAATGCTTCAACAAAATCTGGAGACTTTGCTGTGTGAGTGTCGTGTGCTCTCTCTTTGAGCTGCGCATGCCCATCTTCATGCCGGTTTGTGTTCTCCTCATTTCGAGAGACAATGTTTGTTGCTAGAAATCGAAACAAGAGGTTGATGTTTGTTCCACAACAACTGAAAGATCGCAGTCGCAACGGTGATGATGAAGTGTTGGTCATGGTCTTGCTCTTGTAACGTGTATCAAAGATGAAGGCATGATGACGCATGTCCTCGGTCTCTTATATGGTGGCCTGAAGATCTAACGCTGACACGAGTTGTAGAAACAACGTGTGCTCTCGGTCCCAACTCTGCGATCCGAAGATCTTTAATCTTCGGTTTCTCCACCCCGTGAGCGCCTTACCCACCCGCCTCCAAGAATCTCTCTTTCGTCCTGCGCTGATTCATGCTGTTATAGTTAGTTGAAGATTAGCCCTATGCTTTACATTTAGATTGATTTAGTCCATTCGCGTAATTTACTGTGATGTGTATTGAAATCGAAATGAGTTTATTGATTCGCGAAAAATACATCGTATGTATGTCTGTCATTTTGTTTTTGTGATTGGTACACCCGAAAGATATTAGTGCTGGCCCTTCTTCTTCGATGCACCGCGTGCAATCGCATAACGAATGCGCATATCTGGATAATTTGTCATCAATGTAAGTGGAGGTTTGATCGAGTTAGCAAATTGTTCCACGCTCTGTATTTGAATCTACTCCTGATATTGATCACGACGTTCTCGCCTTGGTTGACATCAGCGACGAGGAAGACGTGAACATATTATAACCTGAGAAGCCACGGTCATCTTCTTCTTGTCCGAAATCAAGAAGATGTCGCGTCTTACTCCGATCAATTTGATGGAGGCTAAAAAAGCCTTTTTCAAGAATGGGTGTAAAGATGAACCCAACTTCCAGTACAATGTGTCGCAAGCTAAAATGCGCAAGGACATCTTGAAGTACGGCGCTGTGAGCTACGATCTTTTTGAACTGGCGCGTGCTATTTTAGAGGAAGTCAGAGAGCGTTATGACAACGTGGTTGAGGCACCTACGAGTCTGGGGCAAGGTAAGTCAGAAGTTACGGCTCGATACAGTTCATTTCCACCAGGGGTCGCCATTTTCTTCGGTTTCCTTCTTAGCTAGGATGCTGAAGAAATGAATGAAGGCAAGAAGTGAATTGTTGTGGGCTCTAAAGAAGGCTGCGCAGACTTTGGTGGCGGAGAGGAAGAACATGGGGATAGCAGTGACGATGGAGCAGGAGGAGGCAAAAGTGGAGGGAAGAAGTTTGAGAAGGACGGTCGAGTGAGGGAAAAGCCACTGTTTCCGGAGGACGTAGTAAAAGCTCTGCATCCATCGGGTGGAAGTTCGGCTTATCGCGCTGTGACGGTGGTGCCAAGAGCGGACAGTGGTAGCTCTACTAGTGGCACAATTGGTGGCATGGTCATGGTGCCACCTAGAGACCGTTTGAAAGCAGCTGGACAACAAATGTTCAACTCATCCACATCTTCTTCTACTTCTTCCAGGATGATGATGACATCGTCGATGATGAATAACGTCTCTACAACTCCAGCATCAGCAGTTTCGCCAGGAGGAGGTTCAACACAGTATACTCCACAGGAGTTGACAACTACTAATTCTTCGCCTGGTACAGGAACAGGTGATCGTGATGCTGGATCAACAAATGCTATTTCTTCACCATCCAGCACATCACAGCAGGTTGAACAAGGATATTGCAGTTTGTCTGGTGGCCGCTCTGCCTCTCCTGGTCCTGGGTCCAAAGCTTCAGCAGCATCGAGCAGTGCCACCAGGGCTTCAGTAGTGACGATTTCTCTAGGCCTTTTCAGTGAACAACAGGAGCAAGTGGAAGGGCCTGGGTCATCTTCTTCATCAGCTATCCAACAGCCTCCACCTCCATTTGCCGGTATTGCGATGATGACTACTGGCGGGCGTCGGCAACACAGCACTGCTCCAACATTTGGCATGAACAGCAGTGCGAATTTTCAGGTAACGAACAACCAGGCAGCTGGCGGTGGTGGTCATGGGCAACATCATTTTCCTCTGGGCGGAAGCGGAAATAGTGGGGCTGGTGCTGGAGGAACTGTACTCCCTCTTCAAGGTTCAACTGCTTCAATCTCCTCTATTCTAGTTCCTGGTGGGACTGGTGATCTTCCATCTTCCCCGACACAGCTAGTTACGACGACCACTCCTGGTGCGACTCCTACTCCTGGTGCATCTCCAGCTCCAGTAGCTGGGAGTGTAACGAATGGGCAAGGACTACAGGGACAGAGATTGCTCTCTACTACTGGTACAACGTCTAGTGGAGGTGGTGCTCAGATATCACCAAACTCATCCAAAAGTGTTAGTCCTATTGGAACAGGGGGTGTAGCCACGACGTCCGCAATTCCGGACATAGAGTCCACATACCGAAAGTTGCAAGCTTCTAGTTTTAGCGTCGCGGAACAAGAAGCACTGCTGAGGCAGGAGCTAGAAGCAGCAGCTAGAGAAAACGCAGATCTGAATATTGTGACTAGTACAGGTCTGAAAACTGCGTCTAGTACTAGCCCTGGTACGGCAAATGCGGGAGCAGGGGTTCCACCAACCACTTCTCCAACAGGCACGAGCACTGCCACGAATAACTTTTTGTGGTATACCCATACCAATAGTGCTTCTTCTACCACGACTGCTGTTGGCAGCAAGACCAATTCAAAGAAAGCTCCTCCTGGAGGCACTGCCGGAACGCGGTCGGTAAGTAGCAGTCGTTCTAGCACACCCCAGGAGCGCGCAGCACGGCGACGTAAAAACCCTCCTCATGATCATGAACCTATGAAATTGAAAGGGGCTCCAAACGCAGGACGTAAAAGTGGCCGGCTATTTGAGCAGAATTATATGAGCTCCGCTTCTTCCTCCTCAAGTACTGCTTCCAATTGGAAAGACATTCACGGAAAGCGAGCGAGCGTTGAGGAAATTTTAGGCAAAGTGCGTCGTGCGAAACTACCAAATCAGCACCAACTAGACCCAGATGACGATGTTGAAGAACCATTACCTTCCTCATCAGGAGGATCGATGGCGGATCATGGTAGTAGTTTACACGACGGTGAGGAGATTGAAATGCCGGACGACGACGATATTGCCTTGTGTAGGTTGGCAGCTTCATCTACCTCTAGGGGAGAGCAAGTCCAAGATCAAGACCAACATTTCCTAGATGAACCAGGAGAGAGTTCCGGTGCGAGTGATAGTGAACCTGCAGCAACTAGGACAGAACAGCTGCCGCGTAGAACAAATGCTAGTTGTCCAGAAGCGGGAGTCCGCGTCATAGCAGGCCCACGCCCACCGGGAATCGGAAACGAGACTAAATTAGAGCAAGCCCCTGGAGCGCCACCGAGAACATCGTCGAGCAATGGCAAAAGCTCTTCTTCATCTGCTCGTCCTACTGGCAGTGAAGGAGGTACAACTAGCAAGAGCAGCACACCGAATTATCACACTACTTCATCTAGTAAAGGGACGACGAAGAAGGTAAAAAGGAGTAAGCTAAAATCTGGAGGTGGCGACAAAGACAAGGACAATACCTCAACAACACAAGGCCAAGGTTCATCATCTTCTCAAAGGACAACTAGTTCCCGCAGTAACGGCAAGAAGAGTTTTCCTAGTACTGCATCAACTACAACAACGACCACGAAGATCTCATCAGAAGACGGGAGTGGCCGTCTAAAGCGTCAAGGTACACCGGCTTATCCACCACCCACCAGCAGTTCTTCCACAGCCGCAAGTAGCGGAGGCGGGAGTTCATCGTCTTCGTCGACCACGACTCATCATGTGCAGAGAACATCAGCTTTCAGTTCCTTCCTTGATAGTGCTAAGGCAGGCGGACCAGAGAGCAGTTCCTCACAGATGTTCGACCACAAGGTCAATAACAATAGAAATACATCATCTGGTACGACGGGAAGTGGCCTCGTACTACCTTCAAGGAGTGAAGACATTAAAAATCTACTTGCAAAGGAGAATACTTCTAGTACAGGAGGCATTTCTAGTTCAACATTGTCACCATTGCAACAACTGCTTCAGGGAATGGGTAGTCCACCGGGAGGCGGAGCTGGAGCGTCCACCTCTACCAGCCCTTCCGGGACCTTCACAACTGTGCATAACCCTATCCAACCTCAAAGTACGAGTACAACTAGCGGCGGTTTTGCTGCCGCACCAACGGCTGTGCTTAGTAAAAGCCCTAGCATCTTTGTGGCAAACTCCAAAAGTAGTTGTGCCCTCAACATGCGGCCCTCTGCAGCAAACATGTTTCTACCAGCTCGATCAAATTCCTCTTTATCCCCAAGCTCATCAGGAGTACAGATACTAGACAATGTTCAGAACAATTATAAGGGAAAACTCGACTCCCCCCTTGCAGGCCAACCACAACAACAACACCCGTCTTCAACTACAACATCACCAGCGACTGTAATTCCTCCGAGTCATACAGCGACCGATGGCTTTGAAAAAGCACTCCACCGTTGGAAAAACGACAACGTATCAAAAGCTGCTTCTCCCGCATCTCCTCTCTCACCGCCTCCTCTTGTTTCGCCCGATGGTGTTGTAGATCCAGCGGGAGGGAAGAAAACCCCCAGTGCAGAACCACTACAGTCTGGTACTTCTGGAGCTACTAAACAGTCTGGCTCCGGTAACAACACTGCCAAAAACTCACCCAATGGAGGTCACGCAAGACCTAGCACTAGCGGTGGAAATAAGAAACCACCATCAAGTAGAAAGTTCCTAGTCACAAGTGATGCGACGTTCAACCTCGCAGGAAGTGGTGACTCTGCAGATGGAAATAATGACGATCAAGTTGATCATGCTGGTGCAGTGAAAAAGGGTAAAAAGTCAACGTCAAAGCCAGGGACTGCGAATGGGAAGAGCCGGAAAACCAAAGCCAAACCTGCGACAGCGTTTTCCGCAAAAGAAAATAGTGGGAATACTTCTAGTCGTCCGACTAGAACGTCATGTGACGCTGATGACGATGGAGATGATGAAGTACAGACTGGAGAAGGATGTTCACTGGAGAAGAAGCAAGCAGTAGAAACCGACGTGCAGCAAGAACAAGAACATCAGAGTGCTTCTTCATGGACAACAAAGCCAACTTCTAAGAAGTCTCCTTCAAGTTCCACATTGAAAGACTGGGTGTCTCAACTACCAGATGAAACCGACGACTCAGAAGTAGACAGACTTGGTTTAGCTCCGAAGGATCCCTTTTTCCTACGCTCTTTCTACCAAAACGAAGTCGATAAACAGAAAATGTATGAGCGGAGACAGGCCTACATCGAGGAGCAAAACCGTGCAGCTGCTGCGGGAGGAGGCAGGTCTGCTGATTTGCAGGCTCCACCTGATGGAACTAGAAGTTATACACTGGAGCAGGCATCTGCTTTGAGCAATGCGTTGCATAAACGGATATCTTCAGGTGAAGGAGCAAGCAACCAGAGTACAAGTGGAACAGCCGGCACGAGTGAGCAGGTGGCGCAGAGAGGAACTAGAGCAAGTCCAAATACTGGAGTTGCACAGCAAGACGCCCCTGGTGGTTCAGTGTCTAGGAAAAAACAAAAACCATCATATGTCGAGGAAATCTATGGGAAGCGTTTCTGCGACGTCGTGCGCATTTCAATGCGCACAGGGAAAGAAGTGTTGATTACCAACGACGACGATGATGGATGCAAGAAAGTGACCGACGAGGAGATTCTGCGAAATAAAATTTTGGATGTTATGCACCTGATCTTCACCTCTAGATGTACATTACCATTAGATAGCTGTACCTCGCATTCATGATCATGTCGTAGGATCCAGATGATTCACAATGATCGAGTTTTATTTCAGTAGCAGGTGGCGGCAGGCTTGTCTTCCTGTGCCGGTCATTGATCATCATTCAATCATGAAAACCATTTCCGCACCCGTTTTTCCTCTTTCCTTCATACCTTTAGCAATGGGCTACCTGCAACGGCACATGTTGGAGCGGATCATTCGCATAGTGTTTCCGAAGCAAAAACTAGTTTGCAGTTATTCCAAAGCGACGAAAACGATGGCCTTACACTCAGATTTCAAAGTCTACCGATTGGAACGCTTTATATCGATCTTGGATCATGAGATTGGTATCTATTACTTTTACATGCTAGTACTCCGTCCAAAGATGGTTTTTCTTACGGGGAGCAACTGCATTTTTAGACATTTATTTTAACTTCTGAAAAATCTACATGACCCTTTTCTCCGATATAGCATGTTGACGTTGTAAGTAGAAGAAACTTAACATCAAGTAGTTTTTTCCTATTCTTGACCAGGTACCCACTGCACCCGCGGCCTCAACAGCGAGATTATGGAGGAGCCCTCATGGCCGCCTTCGACCGAAGTGGTCGGCTTCCGTTCCCGAGGACAGTGTTCCAATAGGGACAGACTTCGCATTTTGAACTATGTGCATGAGCGTTGCGTTGCGCCAATGGTCGAGGATCAGGGTTCGTCTTCAAGTTCAGCTTCAGGCAACAACTTAGCGGCGGACCACATGACTAAGCAGGACCGGGACGACCCTCTCCAGGAACACGCAGTGTCCGTAGCGGGAGCTGCTGCAATGGGAATGCTGCAGGCTAATGGCACTCTGCCGGGATTCAACTCTGTAGACATGAGAAGAGGAGATACTACAACTGTTGGTGCTGGTGGAACACCAACATCCATCACGGCGATTGGCAATCCAAATGAAGCTGCCTCGATATCGAAGCCGTCAGCACAGTTGAGGAAAGAACGCATGGCAGGTGGCGAGGATCGAACTCCGGGAGCAGTGGATGTCGCTAGAGAAAAGAAGATCATGCAAGACTTGGCAGCGATATCAAGAACAGCGAATGGAGACGTGGAAGGAGAAACAGTTAAAAATGGAGCTCCGACAGTAGTTGTCACTAGTAACATGGGATCTCCTTCATCTAGTACTTTAAGAAAGGATAAGGAGCATTTTGCTGGATTTGAGGATGAAGATGGCGGAATAGAGAGTGCTACAACTTCTAGCTCATCAACATCTGCAAGTAACAACAAGTTTCAAAACAAGTATAAGATGAAACAGAAAGACTCCAGGAGCAGTGCGGAGGACGAAGACATGTGTGGCGGCTCTAGTCTCCAAAGGGAGTTGCTGAACAGAGCAAAAAAGGCTTTTGAGAATGGGAGTGCTGGAGGTCAAAGGGACAGGGATCAAACCTTTACACCATATTCAGACGTGGTGTCAGAAAATAGTACTTTGCAGCCTAGTGGTAGTATGTCAACACCAAATAGTGGCATTTTTTCCAATGGAGGATTCCAGAATTCGAACTTTGTGAACCCCAACAGTGTCAAGTGGTCTATGCTGCCAGCTTCGTCATCTTCAGGTGCGGGTAACGCGGCAGGCAGGTCGTTTTCCTCTCTGCTGTCGCAGCATCATTTGATCGAATTGGTGCAACGCTTCAACTTTCAGAAACGCAGTAGCACGCCACGAGAACGGTTGCGCAGTGAGGAGGGACTTGCAGCTCTGAACACGCATCAATACTACAAGGACAAGCTGCTGTATGAAACCAAAATCTGTTATCATTATCGTACTTTTCTACTTCAGAAACTTAATAATGATAACAGATTTTCATTTTTATCGTACTTATTTTCTACTTCAGAAACTTGATAATGATAACAGATGATTTTCTTTTCATATGCTATGGCAGCCTGCTTACGTTTACTACTGCGTGTGCATGAGCGAGCGCCTGTCCTTTGTGGAGCTGTTTGAGCATTTGAAAAGATTCACAGCGGATCCGGATCATAGATGGCGAGACTGCGTCCGCGCTAAGAGGGGTTGCTTTCCAGTCACTTCCAGGAAACGTAAGGCTGCTCTAGCCTACCACGGGGATGGCGAACAGTTGAGTCCTCAAGCGCGTTTTCTTTAAGGCTTCTCCTTCTCCTAATCCATCTTCTCTATAGGGATTCTTCAACCTCCGTACTATGCGCCCCAATTGACAAGGGGAATACTCTTGAGGCATAGACTGTTGAGAGGCCTACTCCACAGGGATGAACTAGGAAAGGAAGAGGTCTAATCTTTGCTCAACCATCCTATGTTAACCAGTTTGAAGGACCATGAGCATAAGACAGTGCGCGATCACTGCAAGGATTACGACGGTGGCGCTGGAGGTAGCGAGCACTCCTCCCCAGCGAACAATAAATTCCACAGTAACAACAACAGCAACAACAACTCAACTCCCTCAGTGGGATTTGGAACCCACATCAGCAGTTCAACCGTGGCAGGTGGTGGTGCACGCTGGAACAGCAGCACCAAACAGGCGCAGTTGCACCAACACACGGCCTCCTATAACAATCGTGGGTCCTCGAACTTCCCCTCGACTGCCTACTATCCTAGCAATTCTACAGAAAAAAACTCCTCATCCTTTATGAAGTGCAGAGTCACAGCGTTGTACTCATGAAGATACTGAAGAAAATAGAATTAGCTAATCGTAATCCTAGTAGGTAGTTTCCCTTTCCGATTCCCATGGCCACTGTATCTGAAATCCTAAAATTATAAGTCCTAGCTAATTGTAATAGTAATTTCCTGAGTTGTAGATAAAAATCTGAATCTGTGTCTATGAGTACAACTACTTCCACTTTTTTCTACTTTCATATCTTCCTCCTCCGTTCCCCACTATGCAGAGAGTCGTGGGGAGCAGGGCGTACCTTCCGACGTCCTCTACGAGAGCTGTGCCAAGGACCAGGCTTATTTTGAGGGTGCGATAGAGATTCTACGTCGACGCCATGAGATCGACTTTGACATCATGCATGCAGGCAAGGTGTTGATCAGAGACGCGATAGTAAAGAATCCAAGAGCAGGATTTTTGAACAATTAAGGGCAACATGTTAAAGGTGCTTTTGTTACCGTTTGTTATGGCTCTCCTAAGGGGGACAACCATAACAAGCGGAATAAACGAACACCGCAATAGCCTACCTCTAAAACAAGGAACACAGCCAAAGCAGTTGGAACTACTCGGACACGAGTAACAGCATTCGACTACGTGGCTATCAACCTGGGCAACAAAACGGTGGCCCAGGTCTGCAGATGGCGTCGGGTATCGGCGGAGGCCTCTCTATATCAGGAGGTGGAAACTCTCCTAGGAGTTGTACGGTCTCGCCGCCTGCTGCATCACCACCAGGACGAGGACAAGTAGAGAGCACGACTAAAGGTAACGGAGCAGCGGTTGAACAAGTTGTTGTAGGAGAATTCTCTACAACTTCTAATACAACAGCAGGAGCAAGAACAGCGGGAACAAATGGAGCAGGAAACTCAAATTCTAGTCCATCCACTACATCCACGACTAGCTCAACTTGGAGTGGGAGTTATTTGACGCCCCAACAGCAAATGCTCCAGTTTCAAGAGGGTGAGGCACGCATTCTCCGAGCTCCACTGGTACGACCACACTTCCTGGATGACCTCGACGCATACCTAGAGCGCATCGAAAAAATGGCCCAAGTGAACCTGCGACCAAGACGCTCAGGAGTACAAACCTTGCACCAACAGCTAATAAACACACAGCGAACAGCACAACAGCAGGTGAGGAGATCTGTTTACTAAGCAGCGGACCAGCATGATGATTCACATTTATGGTCATCATGTTGACCTTGATTGTAAGCGTACGAAGTCTAGAAGGTGCTAACAACGTGAAGAACCGAGATTTTTTATACATAAAGGAAAAACCCTATAACATCTTCAGACTTTTTTTGCGACAAGGATTGATAAGTACTAAAAGCTATGTAGCTCGTAACTTTTCCCTAGTACGACACGACATGTAGTGTAGAAGTTATCGATGACAAGAAAGCAGGATAAGTAAATGCTAATGCAACCACTCCGCCATCGATAAGTGTTAATATGCATACCTCTCGAGCAGAAAGAGAAATGCATATATCTGTATCTCAGATTTGTACCTAAGATGATTGTAATAGTACATAAGTTAAGAGGCCATATTGACGCACAATCACAAACATTATTGATCCATGTCCAACACGACAATCAAAAACTCAAATCACCTCAAATTTTCAATTTTTACGATCTAATAGAGCACGAAACTACCACTCATGCTTTGATACAACATGAACATTCATAGTGAAAGAGAGATGTCATCGTGATCTGCTCGTCCTATTCCATCTTCTATAGAAATCAACAACATCAAAAGAGAGCTTGCTCGTCAACTGACAACTCGTAAGATTACCATTACGTATCTATACGTACTATTAATCTACTTGTATTTAATGATGAACATGAAGATGAAAAGGTCAAACTTTATTTCCTTTCAACATCATGACCATCCTGTACAGATGAACCCAAAATGCTTCTAGATGTTGTATTGAGCCAGGAGTTGCATAAATGACAGACCACAACCTTGAACTTTGAAGTATTAAGGCTTGCGGTCGCGCCGTTCGTGTCGCCGTAAGGTGCCGCGTGTGCTTCAGGCTTCCCGCGGGGTATTTAAATGGAACTATGGCGGGAAATTGTAGACCCAGGCCCCCAAAAAAAAAGTGCCGCCGTGTTGACCATGATGAAGGAGTGCATCTGCGCCGTCGTGTTGCATGGCCGACTTTGCGTCTCTTGGTGGACCAGAGTTACGACGAAAAACAAACCGTCTCTATTGAAGTATAGTAGTACCATTATCGGCTTATCTACTCTGAACAAGGTGCGTTGCGTCGGTCTCGGTCCTCTCTGATGTGATGTTCTAGGTAGTATCGTGAACTGAAACAAAACATGGACTCGAAAAACATGTGCATCGGAGCAAGACGCTCCGACTACAGCTGTGTTGGTGTCAACGAGCAGAAAAAATGTTTTGTCTGATTTTTTCGGACTCTTCCATTAGAAAATATAAAGTTTCGCTTTGACTTTGAGGACTCTTCAAGATGACAGTTAGTTTCACCTAAACTCTAAATAATATCCTAAGCTGAAACATATTTGGTGAGGAATATCAATCTTCGACATTCCGACTTGATCCACTTCCGTGATGGTGGTGTAGGCCCGACGAGCCCCGTGAACGTGGCCAAATCGCTGTGATTTTTTGAAGATATTGTACATACTCAAGGTTGTGGCTATCACGGTGTACTTATAACTACAAAGTCATAAAAGCGATCATCTGACTCGCATCCACATCCACCCTCTTCCCCATCAACATCACGAAGGGCACCACGGTGAAGCCATTTGAGTCTCTTCCTCCGCCCTCGCCTGCTTTGAGCAGCACGAGTGCGAGTTCCCACGAGCAACAAGAGGATGGAGAAACGAGAAATGTGACTAGAGCAGGACATCGAGAAGATGGAATAACGAGCAGTACGACCAGCTCCAGCTCTAGTGAAGTAGATTATGATGAACAAGAAGAAGAACAATTACAAGGTGGAGAAGTGTTGAGAAGACGGAGGTCTACTTCCATATCCATTCGTTATCGCAGAAGCAGCAGACGTCGTGATAGCGCATCAAATTTGGTGGAATGAAAAAAAAAACTAGAATAAAACAAGTGTTCGCGCTGTTGACAATAGAGATCTCCTACGAGAGGACGAGTGACCACCAAACATAGATGTTCTGGGATTTTTTGAGGCACGAAAATTGCGCAAGTCCTCTGTTATTGCTGAGCCACGAGTATGAGCATCAAATGAGTAGAACAATCGATAACTACAATGATACATTGTGACGAGAGACTTTGATGTTTGACTTTGATGCCTCAATTTCCTGATGACCTAGATGATGAGGTGAGAGTCACCGGACTACATTGTCACGAGACACGTTGATGTTTGACGATTCAATCTAGACCTAGAGTCTCTCTTTTGCATCTTCTGCTTCTTTCATAGTGCTGGAGAAGCGAAGACGATATTGTAGTCAAAATCGTCTTCGTCAATCATCGTGCAAGAAAAAGAATAAATTATGTATCCGTCTTCTTCATTCTTCTTTTCACAGGAGTGTTGTTGAGCAAGAAAAAGAGGATTTTACTGTTTTCTTCCCTGCATCAGGTTGAAGTGTAATTACAACTTTTTTAAACCCGTTGTATGTTGAAGTTCATGACTATTTTTGAGAATTTTGAGGATTTCACTTGAACTTGTCCTATCGCGAAGATTTTCGTTTCTTCGTATTAAAGTTAGAAATAACTGGTACTTTGTCAGGGCAATGCATTGATTTTAGTCTTTTTAAGATTCTGAGAAGCAAAAGAGTCGTGTACAACTAACTACAAAGTGATATCAACAACACATCAATTTACCATTATTTTCTGGTTTCAATTCCAAAGAAGATCTAAGTACTTTTAGTCTTAGTTGTAGTTAAAGTCCGAGTATAAAGATTTTTCCGAGCGGGAAAGAGAGCCTACTATTTCTTACCGAATTTGTGCAAAAAAATGCATCGCAGTCGGAGTTTTTATATCAGCAAGCGGAAGCGCGTTGCTGCAGCGAGAGGGCTGAAAATAACATGCACGGCTGCCGCAGTTGTTTCAGTGCTATGGTTTTTCTTCCACGCTTTCGCTTCCGGTTCTGTTGTTATGGCTAGTGTTGAATATTCGAAGAGACAAGTAGAGGCACGACTAACATTTTCTACAACAGTTAGCTCATCTAGATCTATTCCATTCATATCGCAGAAGACAGATTCTAGAACTACAGCTACAGCTATGAACTTGAGATATGTGCTTCTGTTTCTGAGCAATTTTTTCTGGATAGAACTTCTAACATTGGGGCAGAGACGGATACTCTGGACGACCCTGCTTCGCCTTTCTCTCGTCCCTTATTCAAGACTGGCAACAAGACGCCGACCATCTACGAGGATAGCGACACTAAGGCTCAACAAAGAGAAGCATACGGATAGACTGAGGCTCAGATTTACACTGAGAATCTTAGAACCTCACTCGAAATCTTTCAGCAGCAGCGTGTGGCCATAGCTTCTCGATGAAAGGACGCGACCTCTGTCATTTTTCATATCATTGGAAGTAGCTAGGTGAAAGCTTCACTTCTAGCGTCTACTTTTCATCATATTCATAATGTCTTGCTTCTAACCCTCGCTACTTCCTGGAAACGCTGTCCCATCGAGTTGTTTACTCGAACAACGTACGCAGCGTGGAGCTTTTGGACGATCACAGCGCTGAGCCTGGCAACGACCACAATGCGGATTTTTTGGGTCACAGCGTTGAAGATAATGGAAACGCTTTCAACCTTTTCGACGACGAGGACGCCTCATATATGGAGGACAACCCTCACGCGGCTACTACGGTTGGCGCAGACGCGCCTCGTGCTGTTGGAGTAAACGCGACTACCAGTGCTGGAGATGGTCTCGATGGGGCCGCTTTTCTTGATGTGGAAAGAGCATCAGAACCAAGCTATGGCGCCACTTTCTGGTCGTGTATTTCTAGGGCGGTCGATTTGTATTATTTCCTCCCTCCTTGACTCCAGCCCGTTATGATTATAGCGTCTTGGAATGACGGCAGCAGAACTTCGCAGGCCTCCGATGTTTGGCAATTGCTAGGTTTTGTCTTTAGTCCTTGGCAATGTCTTGGCCCGAGGGCTTGCTTTCGTCTAGGAAGCGGGGGGGTGTCACTGCCTTCCATTCTAGAGAACTGCCCCGCACTTGTGCTGCCTGGGGGCCCCGAGCTTGTTGTTACACCACCCGCTTTTTTTTTTCTCGCCCGCCGGCCACGATCTGGGGGCCTTTCTGGCAACAACATGGCGAGGCGCTCCTCGTGGTGAGAATGAAAATCACGACAGAGGCGTCCCGGGCATGTATAAGGGGGCCGAGAGTGAGACGCAGACGCCCCCTCCCTTTGCTAGCTAGGTTTGGGCTTGGCTACGCTGGTACCCATTCACTCGGCCGGCATCGCTTAAACAAGCGCCGGCGCAGTGTATCGCGCTCGTTTGGTAGTTTTCGTTGGGTTGTGGGTTTGAGGCAAAGGAGGTGGCTGGCGTTGGCTCGCACGCTCACAGCCCTAGCGCATCCGGGGAAAAGTTGACACCTGGTGACGGGGGAGCCGGGCATTCATCGCCCAAGCTGATGGGCTTGGCGCGGTTTGTCTCCGGGTTAGTGGAGTGGCTTTTTTCGTGTGTTTATTTCTCTGGCTGTCCTCTTTGGGTGGGTTTTTGTCTGTTAGTGTGTGCTGTTAGTTTGTTGCCGGGGGTTGCCTTGCGGTGCTCCTCTCTGGGAGTGCTTATATCTTAACATGGGGCAACTAACGGCGGGGGCCCAATGAATCGACTCCAGCCTCGGGGCGCTTTGTGGGTTCTTTGGTTAGTGTGAAGCTTCGAGATAGCGCTGCGCAACCAGCGCATGCGGGTGCGTGGCTTTCATTCTGTTCATTGGTCAGCATAGCTCGGGGCGGCTTGTTGTCTTCGGTGGTGTGTGTGTCTATCATCGTGCTGCGAGCTCCTCGGACTTTTGCCGGGGTCCATTCATTTCAGAGAAGCCTGGAGGAGATGTCGCGGGACAGAAACCTGAAGCCACTCGCAGGCGCTTTCACTGAATGGCTACGGCACGCTTGGGCCCTCTCTTTGTTTTGCTTGGTGGGAGTTCGTGTGAGTGTGTGTGGGCATTTACTCACGCTGGTTCCAGTAGGTGCATAGCGTTGAGGCCTCACAGCGGTGGAGGGGCAGCGCCAGCGGCGTCAGGTGGGCTGGGGCCCTCGTGGTGTTTATGATGTGGTCAGGGCCACAAGAACTGAAGTCTGTGCGCTCTTAAGTTCATGACTGAGATTAGTCGCAGATCATAAGGGCGCCCAAGGATTTGCCCCAGGCCGTAAGGCCGTCCACGGGTTGGCCTCAGATCATAAGGCCGCCCGCGGATTTGTCTCAAATCATAAGGCTGCGCACGGATTTGCCTCAGATCATAAGGCCGCCCACGGATTTGCCTCCCTCTCTCAGGCCATAGATAGGGCTGCTTGTGGATTTGCCTCAGGTCACAAGGGTCGCCCGCGGATTTCCTTCAGTTCATAAGACCGCCTGGGACTTGTCTCAGATTATAAGGCTGGCTGCGGATTTGTCTCAGACCAGAAGGCCGCCCACAGATTTGCCTCAGAATTAAAGGCTGACCCGCCCCGGATCTGCCTCGGATCTGATCGCGCTGCCACCTCTCTGTGGATTTGTCTCAGGTTGATTGTAGGGCTGCGCACGCATCTGCCTCAGATCATAAGGCTGCCCCCGGATTTGTCTCAGATCGTCTCACGCGTGAGAATATGGCCGCCCGCGGATTTGTCTCCGAGTCAGACCACAAGGCCCTCCACGGATTTGCCTCGCTCACGGATCAAGGCCATAAGGCTGCCCCTGGGCAGCTCTGTCGCGCGCCGCTCAGCGGGCTCTTATTTTAATCGCGCTTCTGCTTCAGTGTCGGATATTGTGACGGCGGTGGCAAGGCCCATCTTCGTTAAGACTTACTGAAGACGAGCAGCGTCGCTTTTCTAAAAGTAAACACACGTGGACTATGTGAATTTTTTCACCACGCTGATGACAGACAAACCTGATGGGCGCACGGCGTTACGGATGGGGCTTAGTTTTAATCTATATGATTCCCAACGAATGTTAACGCCTCGGCTGATACATATGAATAGACGTCTAAAGATAACAGCTTTAGACGCTGTCCATTTTTAGCAGGAATATTGAAACACAAACGCTACTTTGATTATCTCTCTAGTAAGTAGATTTAGTTGCTTTCTTGCCTATGGGCAGTTTATTGTTTAGAGTGTTCGAGTGTGCCACTATTATCAGGGGCGTTCTTCAATTAACTTTTATTTATAAAAAAGCCCCACCATCCATCCCCTGCGCTCCGCCATGTCGTTGAGAGGTTCTTTGGTTGGAACTACGGTTGCAACTTCCCTCCGCTGACTAGGTCGAGTTTTAGGACTTGTCTCCCACTCGTAGGCAAGGACTTCGTCAGCATTGTCATCTACCGCCTGTTATTGCACTTTGCATGACTTTAAACGTTAGTGACGCTATAATATAAGACTGCAGGACGTGTCTCTCGTGGACAAATTGGCAGTCGTTTACAAATTACAAAATAGTCTTGGGTTTACTGTAAACATTCGTCGGGACGCCTTTTGGAAAAAGCATGCCGACGCCCATAATGCTGAGACATACAGAGGCGAGTTAGTGGAGTGTTCAGGAGACTTATGGCTCCAGTCTATTGCGTTCGAGTGATTAGCTTTTTCTTTGAGTGTGAAGGCGAGTCTCTCGGCCAGTCAGCGGAAGAGGGTGACTTCTTTCGCTCTTGAGTCTGTTTTGTCTGCTTTTTATCTGTTTGAGGGAGAAGGCTGCTTTCTTTTGGTGGGCGTGCAAAATTGAGCGCAGTAGCAAAGTAGCGAGAGTTTTCTTTTGTAGAAAGTTGAAATGTCTTTCCCCGTGAATATCAGTCAAAACCGAGCACCTGCACCCTTGAAAATTGGAAACCTAAAAAATATAAAAAAGAGCACCGGCGCCGCCTCCCCAAATAGGGCAGGCTGTTTATTATAATTCGAGCGTTGCCCGACTAGCTTCTTCCTCTGACTAAGAGCGAACTATAGGGCTTTTGCTCTTCTGTAGTTGTAAATAAACGTAGAGGCTAGCGCATTACTGTGGAGATATGGGTGACAAATTTGCTAAGAAACTTGCTCGCTCTTCTTTCGAAGATGCGAAAATATATACAGACAAAGTCGCGGCTGATCTACAGACAGCTGCGCCTCGGGAATCCTTTAAAGTAATCGAGGGCGTAAGTTTGGACTTAATTGCAAACCAGTTGCCCGCGAGTTCGTCGCACGCTACGGGAAGGCTTAGAACTGTTAGAGGAATTGCACTCTTGGTCCTTTTCTCCTGCGCAGCACGAGCCTGACTCTTCTTTTTTCGATAGGCAAAATTCTAAAGTTATTGGCTTCAAGAGCGTCGCCTTGTTGCGCGAGTTGAACTCTAGACTTTATCCTGAAGGCCCTTCGGCTTGGAAGCTTATTCTACTAGAAGGCACGACGCGCGGGCCGTTGTGGTGTCCTCCTGGTTGGGAGAACCGTAATAAGAAATTCGACGACGACGATAGAGGTAGGACTGAAAAGAGGTGCCGGGTGGCGTCCTTTATTTAAGAAGGCGACTAAGCCCAAGCTAGAAGAGGACGCGCTCCAGCTTATTTGGGACCCCTCTGAAGCGGAAGCTACTAAAGGCTTACTTAATTCTTTTGTTGAGTTGCAAGATCTTCCATCTTCAGCTGAGTTTCTCACTCCGAGGCTTGCAGTGTTTCAAAAGAATAAGCATCGCCTTACAGACGACGCGCGGGCTTTCGACTTCACTGCGGGCCTTTCTAAAAAAATCCCGCTTCCTTCACCTCTGGAGGCTTTGGCGACTGCTACAGCAGTAGCACGCACCAACGCAGACCCGGCGCTTACCCCCAAGGCCTTGCGTTCTTTTGCTTTTAACCCTCGCAAGAGGGAGAGCGCTTACGACTTTAGCGCTCCTATATCTAAGTCTGACGCGTTTAATGCGGTAGCTTTTGATAGGTATACACTGCGATCCTGGTGCTGGAATCGATTTCGTTCGAGACGTTTCTAGCCTTGTCGGCGGATTGGTTATAGATATAGAAGGCGCCGACAAGACCACTGGCATAGCCAACGGCCACGAAGACGAGAACTGGGCTGCTATTTGGTCTCCGCCTTTGAAGCGCTTTGTCGCCTCGCGAGCCAATAGCCTGCTGCTTGGTAACGCCCATAGCGTAGTGTGCTGGGTTAGACTTTCCCTTTTAATTTAAGTTCATTTGCGTTCGGCTCTTTACAGTGCCTGCGTGTGTCTTTAATTATAGATGACTTCCACTCATTCGCCAAAAGCGGTTTAGGGGCTAGCGTTTTGAGTGCGGCTTGTCATTTGTTATCTTGTCTTGGTTTTGGTGTTAAGCGTGAGAAGTTAGATTGTTCTGGGGTGCAAGTTTTGTTGTTCGGACTGTTATTTAATTTGAATAAACGCCCTTCAGTGCAGATCGCCCCTGAGCGTGCCGCTGCTTATCGCGGCTTAATGAATTAGAACACGGCCTGACTCCGGAGCCTTGTCCCAGAATCAAGCCGCAGAAATTTGCGGGAAGCTTAGCTTCGCCTTTTGCGCACTTTGTGATCGTCAGCGACGCCCTTTGTTGCGACCTTTAGTAGGTCGTATGTACGACTTTCAATTCATGGCAGTGATCACATGTCTTCAGCATTGGCCGAGCGTCTTAAAGTTTGTTATGGAGTTCTTCCGGCCATTCCCCCGTGGTCTCTCTTCGCGTTCAAGTTCCGTTATTTGTTGTACACGGACGCCTCGTGGCAACGAGGTAGGGCCGGTTTTCTGGCGGGAGTGCTTGTAGATATTTTTGGAGTTTCTGATCCGGCCACCCCTAAGGGCCTCGGAGTTCTTAAGTTTTGGCGTTTGTGTGTTAACAAGGAGCAGCTGCGTAGTTCTTTTAAGAGCTACCCAATTAATCTTCTCGAAGCGTTAGCTCCCATTGTGTCAGTGTACATTTGGGCTGACATTTTTAGAAGCACGCGCGTCGAAGTCTTGACTGATAACAATAGCGCGAGAGGCTGTCTGGTTAGGATGAATAGCGGCAAGATGCACATGAGCGCCATGGCTTTTCAATTTTGGCGCTTTTGTTCTATCAATGAATAGCATTAGCTTTGTTTTTTGTTGACAGGGTACCCTCGGAGGAGAACATAAGCGACCTCCCGACAGAGGGCCACTTGTGTAAGTTCTTTACTGAACAGTTTTGCACGGAGGGAATTCAGATCAGTAGCGAAATTCTTGAACAGATCAAAAAGATTATGAGTCTCGGCGTCCAGTGGAAGAGTGTGATGCTGGTGAATGATGTGGCTGCACATGAGTAACGCCTCCGGTTTTGAAGCCATAACAGTACTAGTTGTTTGGTCAGCTTTGCGCCTTTTTGCTTCGTCTGTGTAAAGCAGAACTTTGAGTATTAGAGTCTGCCGCATCCTCTTCGAAGGACAAACTATATTTTTTTTTCTGGTGCATGGTTATTTTGGAAATTAATATCTTTCGTCGCATACTGTAAAACTTGCATATATTCACGCTTCGCGCTTTCGTAAGTTTTTAGAAATTACGGAAGCGCCATACTTAAGTGGTTTGGTTTTATTGAAAAAAGCTATTTTGTCTATGTATAGTAGGAATTGGCTGGAATATCGTTAAAGGAGCCTGTGGGATTAGAATTGACAAACTCGCTGATTTGCGATTTTGCTGCTTTTGAGTAAGAACCTACCGCGTTCGTGAGTTTGTAAAGATGGCTGAGCATGAAGGTCTCCAGGCTGCATTCGCCACCATGGTGGCAGCCTCGAATGCTGATCGTCCCGATCAGCGAAAAGCCAACGCTTTTAAGCAGGCGTGTATGACATTTGGGATTGCCATCGCGGCCACGTCTGAGACGGAGACTAAAGTGGTCGAGAAGTGTCGCAAAAGTGGGTAGTTTCGGTTTTCTTATTTGTGCGGTTGCGGTCAGTTGTGGATTAAGTACTCTGGTGAGCATGCACCACTAGGCTGAGTACTTTCTGCTTGTCCCTCCTTATGCGAGCACTCTTTGTCATGGGATTCACCCAAAAGCGACCCTAGTGGCAGAAGCAGACGCAAGTAAGTGAATAAAGAAAAGAAAACTAATTAGAAAAGGGCCCCGAGCCTGCGTACTTCAACCCATCTGACTTCAGGACGCCACTGAAGTGAATTCGTCTGAGTCTGATCATCTGAGCTTCTGACAAACCTTGCCGCGACCCTTTTTCCACTCTCATAAACTTAACCCACTGACTAAAGAAGAGTAGAACGCAAGGACTATGCTTAACTTTCTTGAGTCTGCTAAAGTTTACTAAGTTACCTCAAGTAGATCAAAGCAGTTACTTGCGCGGTTGTGTTCCTTTTGTCTAAGTTATTTCGCAGGTGTGGTTTTATTAAGTGTGCTCTTACTTATCTGTTGGCCATGGTCGTAATCCTTGAAACTAGCACAAAGATCCACAAAGATCAGAAGGATGAAGATCATCAAAATGACCAAGATCGCCAGGCGAACAAGGTACCCACCGGCACCACTTTCAACGCGTTGGCCTTAGTTGGCGCGGGTGTCGGCGGTTTCTCCTCTCTCTCTCGTTTGTCGTTTCAAGTCTCTCAACACAGTCAAGGACAAAGAAACACAGGAAAGATCTCAAGATAACCCACAGACCTAAGCGCATATGATTCCAAAATCAATGATCAACAGGCAAAGGGCCTTCAACGTAATCAGATAGCAGAAATGACGAATGTCCATAGCTGTAACCAGGTTCGTAACGTTTTGTCAGTTCTGATCAGTTCAAAGAGCAAATGGCGACCGTGTGAGTCAATGGTGATAGCCTAGGCGTTCCCATATGAAGCACGTGAAAGTCTCCGCATGCAACATGGTATCCCAATGAAGAAGCTGAGGCTTCCTTCCCTTGCAGCCCCGATGAATATCCACAGGGATCAAAGCAGCCAGAGCCATTTGGCCAGTGGTTAAGGTGTTCGGCTTGATCAGTCAGCACTCATGGATCGAACCCGGGAGAGGGTGGAAATTCAGTCACAGGTCTAGCAGACGGCGGAGTCCCTTGGCTAAGGGCACGCAATTCGCAATCCGCTAGCTACCCCGAAGAAGGTGAACACCGGAACGGCAGCCTGATCAAACCAGAGATCATTTGTCTCAGGCTGTAAGTGCAATCTGTATCAAACTCAAGCGTTTCTCAATGAGAAACTAGACGCGACTTAACAGTCTGGGTCCGAATGGTCCAGCACTGCTTTGGCCCTTGAGTCTGGCTCAACATAGAGAAGAGATTCATCTAGAAACGAAATGTCTTGCGAAGAAACTCGACTTGCCTCAAAACTACCCGAATGTAGTTGACGTGGCGGCAGCTCCTCATGGTATTCCCGACGGAGTTACCACCCGGGAGGACGCAGCCAAAACGTCGCAGAGCAGAGCTGAGACGCGGAAACGGTGGAAAGTGGATTTTGCTCGCTGAATTTGGACGCTGACGAGCAGACTGCAGACGGAATAGCTGTGGATAGTATTGGGGGAGTAAAACTGATAGGACATAGTCTCTCAACTAGTTCCATCACTGCAAGAAGATAGAGCTAGTCTGGTTGATAGTTGTGCAAACAAATATACTTCAAGACACAAAGGCGACGCTAGTGATACAACTACGAGAATTGATTGCTAGGATTACTGGTAGCACTAGGAAAAGGGCTTAGGCTGTCTTGTGCCTTGGCTAGGTGGAGGGAACTGCTCGCAATTAGGGTGGGAATTCAACCTCAAAGGCGCAGGCGGTTGTCTCGTACATACGGACACCGGCCAGGCCATACCCACAAGAAGTCATCCACGCTTGCAGCTTCCCACACTTGCGCGCAACTTGTTTAAAGAAGAGACATATAGTGGCTATATTTGTTCAACAGTAGCCGAAGGAGTCAGTAGATTGCTATCTTACAAGACTCGAACTTCATAGAAGGCGTGGGCGCTTTCACGTAGATGGCCTCCAGGTAAATTGTCCTGAGTGCGATCCACAGAAAGGCCAACGCGCGCCATATCTATGCAAAACAATAGAGATGCTTCGAAATGCAAACCCGTATCAGTTAGATCAAAATAAAAGAAGTGTACTAGTGATTTCCGTAATGTAATTAAGAAGGTGTGCGTCGACCGCTTAAGCTGTAGAGTGACTGTGTGGAGGAAATAGAAGAAGCGACAAAAGCCATTCGCCAGGACTACTCCTTATCTCTTGATGGCAAGGTAGTATGGTTCCCCCGGAGGGATGGAGGACCTGTCCTGAGCAGTGACGACATGGCCAAAGTTATGCAATCGCTGCGAGTCTCAGACAGTCCGGCTGTTCCTTATATTCTGGAATGAATGAGACCTGCGAACGTTTTACGCGGACTTTGTTCGGCAGTGTTCGCACAATACTGACTAAAGTTGATAAACGTCTCTGGCGTTACTGCGTCGAGTACGCTGGTGACTGCTGGGATTGTTTACCGCATAACTACGCGGAAATGCCTCAAAATGATGGAAAGAGTCCAATTGAAATTTTGGAATAAAGGACTGGTAGAAACTCGCCGAAGAGTTCAATCGACGTGCTCCGTCGATTTGGTTGCCTAGTTCACTTTCGTGAACAACTTCAAGCCAACCCTCCTGAACCCAAGCTCTAGGCCAAATACCACCGTGACGCCTTCCTTTGGATTCTGTCCGAAGTCGTCTGGTTGGTTGGTTGGGACTTTCGCTCATGGCGATCGTTGCAAGCTTGGACATCGATGGGCGGAATACTCTACCCGAGATGTAAAGTTTGTCTAGAGAGGACTACTTAGTTAATAAAGAACATCGGCTGGCCTTTGCCAGATAAAAGGGCATCTACGTAGAGTCTGACGAACTGGGGAATCTGCTGGGTGGCGCGTCGTAGCTGGGCTCCCCCTTGCTTGGACCGTCAGAGCTAAGGCTGGGTCATCAGTCGGGGTTCTCTGGCACGGAGCACATTCCAGGCGGACCGACCGGAATCCCCGAAGAGATTACTGGATAAAGTAGAGGAATCCAACGCGTCTGACTCTCCTAAAGGTGTTGCACCTGAGGAGGGGAAAGCTGAGGCGAAGGATCGCGTGACATCTGCTCCGCTTAGTCCGCCTAGGTTGAAAGCGCCCTCTCCCGCCCGTGTTGTGGCAGGCGAAGGAACGCCATACACACGGCGAGAAGCGTGGCCGACCAAAAGGAGCTAAGGACAAGGCAGGCAGCAGGGTACGAAGAACAAAGAAACAGTTAGAAGAACTGAGAAAGAGCCTGGCGCTGTTCGCTAGTGCAGTTGGTGGCATGTGTGAACTCGACGAAGATGAGGAACTCGTCGAGTCATGTGTGACTTTGTCCGTTGCTCAAGCACTCAAGTCTCCTGATGCCGATAAGTGGCAGGAGGTTACTGGGAAGAGCATGCGAGACTGCTAGCCTTTGAAACGTGGAAAGCAGCTTCTGGCGAGGAGCTTGCGACCGCGTGACAGGCTCGACCAATTGACACAATTCTAACTATTAAAAGACGTGGAAGATGCAAGGCCTGCGCTTGTGTCGTCGGTAATCTAGATCGTTTAGGAGAGCTAAACACCTTTGCTCCCGTAGTTTCACACGCCGCTAATAGGTTGCTCCTGACTTCTGCTGCGTCAGAACAGGACTACGCGACCCCGTTCGATTTAGATTCTGCGCTCCTCAATGCTGAACTCGATCGCGATGTCTTCTGTCATCTCCCATCCATCTGGGCAGAGAAGCATGGGCGCGAGATCGTGAAGCTCAAGAAGGCCTTATACGGCTTGAAGGACGCACCATGGGCATGGTTCAAGAAATATCACGACATACTAGCCACTCTTGGCTGGGAGCCGTGTGATTCTGCGCCAGGCTTATGGAGAAACCGAGAGCGAAAGTACCTGAGAAGTTCCTCAAGGTGTCAGTCTATGTTGATGACAATCCTGCCACGGGTCCTGATCTCGATGGGCTCAAGACTGAACTAAGCCCCACCTTCTCGCGTGCCCCTGGCCGTGTGATTGATGTGGAGTCCGTTCTGACCCTTTGGGTCAAGCGTGGCTAAGGTTCGACTTCTTAGGTGCCATCGTGTACTACTATCGTGAAGCTCGAACGTTTCGGCTTAACTTTGGTATCAGGAAGAGGAGAAGTATTATAGTAGCACATGAGCCACAGGCGCGAGTGCGACGTTGCCACGGAAGAGGGTGCACCTGCAAAGTGCGAGCGCGTCGGCTTTGAGGTAATGCGCCCAGCACTCACACTAGAGCTCACACTCCCGCTCGAGCTCGAGCTTTGAGAGTGATGCTGAGTGCCAAGCATCTGAGCCTCCTTGTCTAGCTGCGTTGCTGCAGTAGCTGTGAGCGAGTCGGGTACAGGGTGTTGTTGGTCACTGGAGCCGAGTGCATGGCGTTGGTGGTCGCTTGAACCGGGTACATGGCACTGTTGGCCACTTGAACCGGGTACAGGGTGTTGTGGTTCATTCGTCGTTTCCATATCGGATCTGCCGATCAGCTCGTGTTCCTTGGGCGCCATCGCTTTCTTACCGCTGATAGTGGTGACCTTCATCGCCGAACGCTTGCTGGGCTTTGGTGCAGCCGCCGTCGCTGCTGATTTCATAACCTTTGCCGTCACCTTCATTGGCTTCGACGCAGTCTTAGGCTTTGGCACTGAGACGGGTTTGCTAGTTTTTCCGCTCTGGGCACGAGTCGAAGACGAGTTTGAGCTTGAGCTACTCGAACTCGTCCCGACTTTGAGCTTTTGAGTCTTCATCCTGAGGCACAACAAGGAAAAAACAGGCTATGCGGTGAGTGATTTGGATACTTAAACAGAGAGATGCGCCTTTGTGCCACGGGTAGATATGTCGGCTACAGAGTGAGATACTACGAAGCGTGGTCTTTTAGTTAGATCATGGCGAGTCTAAACGCACACTGATTGGCGGGAGCATGCTAGTGAAGGCCTAGTCTTGCTATGGAGATACAGGCGTGGGGTTCGAGGCCGATACTGTAGGGAGGAAAAAACTACGGAGCCACTACAACAACCGACGCAGACCGACGACAGAGTGACATACTTTGACGGCAAGGTCCATGCCCAGCTGTATTTCGCAGAAAAAACGAGGCATGCACTCACGCTCTTGCTTTGGCGGTCTCTGTCCACGTAGGACAACACGAGGTCGGGCCCAAGACTCACTATGAGTCTGAGCACTGAGCTTCTTTCAGGAGGCGACAGCTCAGGATATGTCATTACAGTCCTATCCGTGTGATTCTGTCAGCAAGGCATCTCAGAGCCAGGAAAAAGGATTGAGGTTATCGGTTCAGACTGATGAGCGCCCCACTATAGGGATCACTTGCAATTGTATGAGTACGGGCCATACATGCTGACCTTCAGAGTAGCTCATATGATGCCCCGTTCACACTTTCAACGGACTATCGCCACTTTTCTTGTCAGATGCAGTAAGTTGCAACTCAGTTGGAGGCCATCCTCACTACTCAGCCACTGCACTATAGGCACCGCCATGGCTCGCGACCAGCTGTCGTTGTATCCGGAAAGGCTCACTAAAAGGGAAGTCGAGGCCAAGGATGCTCTTCTAAAGTTCATTTTATATGTAATTGCGATTAAAGTGAGCTCTAGAGTGGTGTCTCTCATAAAAGAAGACAATATCGCCGCCCGGCACCTTGCCAATTCTGCAAGCTGCGTACTCCCATATAGGAGCGCAGCACGCGTAGCGCCTGACTCAATACCCGCGCCCTCGTCTTTGAGGATCATCGCAAGAAACAGGATTCTGCACACTGTCGTACTGTAGAAACGAAGCAGCGCCAGGTAGTGACGTGCTAGCTTTGCTGCAGCACGTGCATCCTCAAGACGAGCCTGCTCATCCGCTGCCCACGAGAGGTTCGACGCTGCAGCTCTCACTACTCCACCAGCCAGCTGCGCCATCATTCGGGGTAGAAGACGCGTCATCTTCCCCGCTGCGCCTACTGCCGACACGACTGCCCGGCTCATGGAGTAAGTATTGATAGAAAGGGTTAGTATTCATAATTGGTAGCCTAGAGGGGTGCGCCCTCCGTCAATTATGGATTCTATATTTCTTTTATTAGCCAGCTAGTGAGATTAGTGCAAGAAGCTTAGTTGAACTCGATATCAAGTTCAGCAAGTGGTTTGTGAGGTTTACTTTGTGCCTGCACATATGTCACTCGCTCTTAGCTTCGCAGGCTTTCCTCTCATCGGCCTCAAGTCTCCTGCGGCAGCTGCCGGAGATATATGTCGAGGGCTCTCTTGGATTTGTCATACAGGCGCGCAGGGCGATAGTCTGCGATGTACCAGACGGGGATGGACTGCGCCACGAATACACGGACATGCGTGCGCCACGGTTGAGGCCAAGGCATAGTCGGTGAGCAGTGTGAGAGCGCCCCTATGTGGACTTGCACGGGGAACAGCCATATCACTACAGTAGAAGTTGCTATGTATAGTGCAACTCAAAAATAATTTGGTAAATATACTTCGCCAGCCCAGTAGAAGAGGGTAAGCTCTCCTACTCTTTACTCATGCGTTATCTTCGCTCTTCATCTAGGCACTCTTACTTACTCTTTTGACAAAGAAAAGGAAGAAAAAGAAGAAAAGGGAAGAACCTGAAGACACAACACCCGCAGAGAGCTGGCGCGGATACTCCTGAGAGAAGCAAAGGAGCCACAAGCGAGAGGGGAACCGTGAAGAAGAGCGGGACGCAAGTGGCCCCCTTAGCGCTCCTCCCCCCCGCCTATCTTTTGACCTTTGATGACTGAGAGGGCGGCGAATGCGTGGCACGTTGCTCCCAAGCGGGGCCAGCAAGCGTCGCTAGCTTCTGACCTGTCTGGTTGTAATTTAAACCAGCCCGACCGGGTTGCAGCAATGCGAGGAGAGCTACTTCTACCAGCCCGCGGCCATGTCTTTCGCCTTGCGCGCGTGGAAATCAATCAAGAGGCAGGGGAGTTGCCGTGTGTCGTGAGCTGCGCGCGCCCTCTCCGTTAAGCCAGACGGAAGGAAGAGAGGCGGCAAGGGTAAGGAGGTGCCTGGGCTACAAGGGCAAAGGATCGAGCTACAGGGGCAAGCGTGTAGAAGTGCCAGATATCTGCACAACCCGAACGCCTTTCGCCGTGTTTATCCTGCCAATGTCTTGAAATTGCCAGCGTAAGAGCTCGCTCGCAGGTGCTCGGAGTGCATTTCTGCAAAGTCCATACTTACACAGCGCATATGATATTCTAGCAGAATTTGGCGGGGGTGTGCAGTAAATGCGCTAAAGTATCGCATAAGCTGGGTGGCATATTTAAAGCTTTTGCCTAAAGCTTGGGCAGCTTACAGGGATCAAAAATGGCCAGAAAGTGGATGGACTCGAAATTCATGCGAGCCCACAATCTGGCAGAAAAGGGGCGCGCTACTTGTAGCGCTTGTAGATAGCTTGTGGCCTTTCGGGCTGCAGGAGTCTGTTTACCAGGCAAGGCCTGACAGACTTGGGATTAAGTTGGAAACCTTTCCCAGAAGAGGCCAGGAAATTCCAACGCGCCGCGGCGAAGTTGCTGATCTATAATTAGAAGCAAAACGTATGGAAGATAAGGCATCAAGAGGCTTGCTACTATCTCAAGAGGGGGACGCAAGTAGGAGCCTTAATAGATGTAGCAAGCGGAGACGTAGCAGGTAAATGCTTCGCCATGCCTATGGTCTAGCCTCCAAGTCTGAACGGGCCGGAGGAGTCTACGCCAATCAAATTAAAAAAACCAAGACGAGCTTACACGCCGGGCATTACCTCTAAAGCCTTGCGCAAAGCCCAAGCGACTCCAGGGAAACTCAGTAAGAGCCTCGAAGAGGGTCTCCGGCCGGATACTTTTGCACAAGCAGGGCCATAGAATGGAAAAGCAAACAGCGCACATCGTACACAAAGCATGCCCTGGCCTAACATTATGGACGGCCCGACCCAGACTGCGGAGCACAGCCAGACCGAGACGCCAGAGCATCTTGGACATAGTTGCAAGCTTCTGCGGTAATCTTATCCATTGGCGGCATTGCTTCGACGTCTATAACAGAAGCAGATGACAGACGGGGTCGCGTTGGTTTTAGGATTCTGCTACGTTCTAAATAGCGCCCGCGCGTAGCTGAGTACTTACCCCCAATGCTTTCGCAGATCAATGCCGCTACCATTGGGGTGCGATAACCATGGAGGGCAAAGATACTCCATGAACAAAACAGGAACAGCAGCGCGCCTGCAGCACATTGATGCCAGGGAGTGCTTCTCTGTTTCGTTTCTGCCCTCAATAAGGCAGGCGGCCGGGCTGGAATCGTCTTAGAGGAGGGGCTTCGTAACTTCTTGAAAATGAGCTACATAATTTGGAACAACTCGAAGAAAGGGCATAACGTAGCAAGGTACTACCTGCGTCGCCTGCAGTGAATCAGGAGCAGCGAAGGCAGCCACGCGTGGCGGCTAATCTATAAGATGCTCACGCGTGTGCTGTCTGATGCTCTTGGATCTTTGCAGCAGCTTGAGAGACTAGGACAAACATGAAAAACCTCCACGAGCGTGCTCAGCCGTATTGGCGCAATACATGAAAAGACTTGGGTGAGGAATCTGGTCGATGCCCATCGCCGGCGAGCAACGTGCGCGACAGTCTGCCAAAGGCGGCCAGCGTGGCTTCTTTTTTTTCTTTGACTTTTCAGGATTTGAATCGGGATGGCTTGTAGTCGTTGAGGCTGAACAATCGGCAAAACTAGTCAACTATTAGAGCTGTTTCTCCCTACTCTACATGCTGCACGGTGCTAGTGCTATGCTCTTTCTCTTCCTCCGTCAGAATTCATTTCCACCGTGGATCTTAAATAAGGAAACTGGCGGCGCGGAGCCCGGATTTGTGTTCCTCGACGGGGAGCTTCTGCCGCCGGGCTTAAAGCCACAGACAAATTGGGAGCGTCGAGTGTTATGAAGAATGACTCGAACAATATTGCATGGTCCATCCCCTTGTTGAGAGTTTCGATAATTTATCAGTGTTTGTCTCTCTGGAAAATAGTCTTACTTTGCGAAGACGACTACAGATTACGCGCACCCTGGCGACGAACAATGGCTAGCGGTAATCCTCCGCAGCCTCGAGCCAGCCTTGACTATTCCGTCGATAGAATGACGGACGTGAAGCTCAAGGGTGGGGCCCGATAGAGACGATCTCTAATTAAGTACGCCCGAAACCTGCTTGAAGGTGTCACCGCGCTCATGGACAAGGGCAGAATGCTGGGAGACCGTCACGATGGCCTCGATTACGTTCCCCACTGCCTTTTCGTGAATGAGGAGACAGATCGCAAGAAGAACTATCATTGAGGCTAAGCATATTGAAGATGAATCATGTGGACATGATCACTCTGAAGGAAGCAAGCACCTATGCTTCTTCTGTAGGTACCCATGTTGCGCCTGATGCTAAGCCGAGACAAATGATTCTGCTAGTATAGCAACAACAGGCACAGGAGCAACACTAACAGCCAGTAGCTGCGTCTTAACTATGTATGAAGTTTAGATGTGCATCTAGATGTTGAAGAAATCCTTCTTCTAATGCCACCTCGGAGTTGTGTGGCTGCCGGGCATTCTTCCTACAAGAGCCGAGGCTTGGCAGATGCAAGAAGAGAATCTGTATTTCCAATATTTTTCGACGTATTCCCAGAAACATGATCTTCCACGTGAAAAACAAATAAGTGAAGTTCTGGGTGCGATTCGTGCTTTCACAGCACTCTCAAGATACTGGGTGCTCGGTGAGGGTCTTAGTTCGTTGAAAACCGACTTTACTTTCAATCGTCGTGATGCTGATGACGTGAGCGTGACGATGATAGCCCCGCTTCCCCGGAAAGATGAAGTGGGCACACCGGAATTCAGGGTCAGCAGAGCGCGAAAAAGAGCCGAGGGATTTCAAAAGTCTTTGGAAGACTTTATGTTTTTAAGGGACACGCTCTTAATCCATTTTGATGAAAAACATCTTTGGTAGACTTTTTCACTGAAGAAAGCCGCATGAAGATGACTCTCAACTTCCAGATGGATTTCGATGTGGTCTAAAAATAGGAAAAGAATTCACCACGTTTCCGAGCATTTTGACTGCTGATGATCGTGGTGTTCCAAAATCCGCACCCGCAGACGCAGTGCGTTCCATCCTCCTGCCTAGTCAGAGAGAAAAACAAGACCTCGTCGTTCGGGCAGTATTCAAGACCACACTTTAAGAATTCTTGCCAATCGACCTATCTTCCATTTCCAACAGCCTATCTAGTATGCTCTTCATGGAACAAAGCCACATGTAGATATATACCAGGACCATAGGTCAAGCGGGAACCACTAAAGTGACATGACCCACATCGGATTCGTCTGGGGCTTACCTGCAACCGATCGTGCTGACCGGAACAACATAGAGAGCCCTTTCGTCCAGCTGTGGACAGTGCCGGGGGCTGACTGGGGAAGCCGAGTAGAAAACTGCGACAAAACGTATAACGCCCTCCTCAGTTCGTTCTTTCCCAAACAGCGCATATATGCGGGCGGGAAGCTAGATCGCGTGGTCGCTCCTAGTGGCGCTGGTACCTAGGTCACCATCGCCTGTAGTGGGGATGTCTAGGTCTCTAGTGTCTCTGTTGGGGGTAGTTAGCTTCCTATCGTCCTTTCTGGGCTTAGGACTTCTAGTGCCCCTAGTGGGTGTGGGTTTTAGATGCCCATGCCCATCGACCCTAGCGGGAGTAAGGTTAGCAGCGCTTTACTATAATCAGAAAAAATATTAATAACTCTGGTGGGTACGACCACTTGATGTAGCTGATTGCTGTTGTTCTAACTTTGTTTATTGGTCATTTTCGTGCTTAGAAGGATTTATTTTGTGCCTGCTTCCATTAGATACAATGCTAGGACTGAAGATGGTGCCTGCTGTATTATAAAAGCAAGAGATGCTGAAGAAGATGAAGATGATGTTTGTGCTATGTATGTATGTTATATCCACCGTCTGTCTGAGAAATAGATTTCCATTGATCTTCGTATGTTGATTTTGATATAGATCTATTTTTAGGGAGGGGGAGGCTTACTTCTACAACTACAAGTTCTACACTGTAAGCTCTCCTCTAAAGTGTTACGCTGTAGCGCTTCAGCGTCCAAATTCAGTGTAGAGCTTCAGCGTAGAAGGATTAGTGTGTATTGTAGATCAATGTGGATGGAAGCTCTCTGTGAAATCGCTCGTAGCTCTTCTTGCGAAGTCTTGCTGTCGCTCCTAAGCTTTAGAGAGAAGAAACCTCTTACTAGTTCACAGCTGTAAGAGTAGGAGACACTTTCGCCTTGTGTGAAGAAGAGGCCAAGGGAAGGCGCCCTATCCTATCCTATGCTATATTTCCCTGCTGTCGGAGATGATACAGCCAAAAAAAGTTGTGAACTAAGAGCAGAACTTACGAACCAACTACTAAGAGAAGCTGCTACAATGTAAGGAAATAAAGCTTACGAACTAAGAGCAGAAGCAAGCCAGCTAAGAAAGTATATAGGTGAGGACACGCCAAACCCATACCACATTTGAAGACAAACTTGACAGATTTGCGCTATCTTTTATACCACGTCGATTGCTATTACTATTTTACTCACTTCCCGCCCAACGAGTGCTACAACATGGGCAACGAATGAGAGAAAGCGTTGCGAGGATCTTCTTCATCAGGTGTAATAGCGTAGAAGAGCTGCTGATGATCGTTCAAGCTTCATCAGCATGGTACCGCCAAGAATCAAGCTACTTCTACTTCATCAATCTTCAACTTCATGCTCATGTTAGTCGTATGGAGAATCAAGAAGAACATTGGTCGTAGGGCAAGAGCCACTGTGTCATGAATAGTATGAGCTTGATGATGTTGCTGCTGTATTTGAAGACTCGTTGCGACTCGGTGTAGTACAACTCTTATTCTTATCGAGGAGAGTTACGAGTAGACGATCCTGAAGAGACGTTTAATAGACGAACGCAGGCATGTCAGCATAGAGGAGTAATTTAAAATCTGCAATCGCATTCCTTACTCCCCTTAACTAGAATGGTCTGGCATTTTCAACATAAAAAGATTTTTAACGATGAACAAAGAGTCACTATCTTAATATGTTGTAGTAAGCTGAAAGGCTTATGCTGTAAGAGTAAGTAAGTATGACGCAAAATATTAAGAAAAAAAATGGGATAATATCAGTATGATCATACTGACCACTCGGGAAAATAAATATAACATCTAGATCGACGTCGAGCAATGCGTGCCACTTTGTAAAAAGGATCATCTCTCGCCAGGAATTGCACTCGCCATGTTCTTCGGATGTTGAAGTAATTATAGGAATGCAAGCCAAGAACGCAAGTGCCTGACGGTGTACTTTTCTGGAAATTCGCGGGCGTCGCCCTCTAAATAAAAAGCATAGTATGCCTGTTTGGTGCACAGCGCCTTGCTGTGTTACGGCGTCTACTGCGGTGGCCTGTAAAACCTGAGTGGTCGTGTGTTCCTTGTGAACAGACTATTAAATCTTGTAGATGCGGCGATCAACAATATCGCAAACAAGAAGCAGCTGTCGTCGAAGATGGTGAGATATACCTGTTTTTGTCGGTCATTTCGTCAACCTTCCCTCGGTTATTACTCGTCGTGTGGGACCTATTCTTGCATGTATCTTTTACTACAGGACCACATGATCTGGCTCATCTTCTAGTGCTCCGACTGCTCTGTGCATCAACCGGAGATTAGGCTCTGGCTCGGTCTACTATATAATGATTTAGAATGTTGGAAAAGGACAAGTACACAGTGGACGCGTTTCCCTACCCCTTGTTCACAGCTGCTACTTCTACCTCTCCTGCTACCTCTACTTTATTTTTATCCCCATCGTATCATTTTTTGTCGTGAGGGTAAATAAAAGAGCAGCCTCTTCTTGTTACCGCCGCCACTTTTATATTTCAATAGTGTTGAGGATCAAGTCCCACGACCACCTCTGCTACCTCTTATTCTACTGTACAACTCCATCCGCTACTCCTTCTACTTGATTAGTTTCTGTTTTGTTTCAAAAAGGAAGTTGAAGTAGATGCCTATTGTAATAGCAATGCAAATGATCAGTTTGAATAGAAGGTGGCTCATCTTTGGATATGGATGCACGACATTAGCATTATAGAAGAAGCCAATATCACGTGGCTTGATGCTGGTGATGTAGAAAGATCACATGGCTTGATGCTCGTTTGTAAGTACTATTTTCAGCATCTGTCTACTTCTGCTCTTGTGGTCATTGTCCTTCTCTCGCAAACGCTCGACCACGCCCAGAAGGGGACGCCATACACGACACGGCCTACTTCTCCTCTCGCATGCCTCTTTTATTCATACGGAACATAGGTGGACGATAGGAATATCCAGAAGAGGAGACTAGGTGAGCGGCAAAAGAAGAGAAATCGGAGATCAGGCCCAAACACACGACGATCAGCGACCTTGTAGTGGATCGCCTCTTGCTCTTCGGACTTGGGTGGGTCTTGTCAGTTCTTACCATCTCTGTGCTCGCCTTCCCTGTTGATTTCTCGGTTCTAGACCTCGCTCCTCTAGTTTCAGTCTCTCTCAAACTTGAAGCATTATCTGTCAACTTGAATGTTACGGTATCATTGTCGGTTTATCTGTCTTCAATCTGTGAGCAACGTTGTGTCTGTCCTCTCTGACGTTATGATCTAGGTAGTATCGTGTACTGAAACAAAACATGGATTCGAAAAAAGATGTGCATCGGAGCAAGATACTCTGACTACAGCTGTTCTCGTGTCAACGAGCAGAAAAAATGTTTTTTCTGTGATTTTTTCGAAATCTTCAATTTTTACAAAATAGAGGGTTTCGCTTTGACTTTGAGGACTCTTCAAAATGACAGTTAGTTTCTCCTGAACCCTAAATCCTCTCCTAAGCTGAAACATATTCGGTGAAGAATATCAATCATCGGAAAACGCAAAGGCTCTCGCGCAGAAGATTCTTGATGGACCCTTCACCCATGTCCCCCCCTTGATCCATTGGTTTTTTATGAACCAATCTTCGATCGCTGTGATTTTTTTGATGATATTGTACTCAAGGTCGTGGTTAGTATGACGGTTTACTTATAATATATTATAACTACAAATAAGTCATAAAATCGATCATCTGATCCGCATCCACATCCGCCCTCTTCCCCATCAACATCACGAAGAGCACCACGGTGAAGCCATTTGAGTCTCTTCCTCCGCCCTCACCTGCTTTGAGCAGCACGAGTGCGAGTTCCCACGAGCAACAAGAGGATGGAGAAGTGCCAAGAAATGTCACTAGAGCAGGTCATTGAGAAGATGGAATAACGAGCAGTGCGACCAGCTCCAGCTCTAGTGAAGTGGATTATGATGAACTGTGGAGGAGTGTTGAGAAGACGGAGGTCTACTTCCATATCCATTCGTTATCGCAGAAGCAGCAGACGTCGTGATAGCGCATCAAGTTGGGCCTATCATCATGGCAGACAGCAGCCTTCTATGGGCAAAATATCGCCTCAGCAACAACCACACCGCAGAGGACCTGAAGATCGTAACCGTAATGAAAATCATGCCCCTTCCAGTTTCACGTCGTCGACCCCGCCTACGCGATTCTCATGTGTTGGTGTCCTCTCGGTATTCCTGATCGCGTGGTCGTGTGGGCAGTGCTTTTTGGTCTGGAAGCTGTTTAACGTTGTTGTGAAATAGATACTCCTCGCGGCCCTCGAGCAAGATTACGCTGAATTATTGGTGAAAGAGTTGTAAAAGCAAGCGCAAACTACGCGACGATCTTCAGATGGACCTCCTGGACAGAGTCACGCCCAAAGGCTCCATTCTTCAGGACCTTTTTCAGACCATTATGTTGTTCCTCCTTCAGAAGATGAGCAAAGGTCTAGTAGGTCTTCAGGAATATTCTCGTCAGGCGAACATATGCGTGGTGCTTCGTATGGCATCAAATTTAAGATGAACATGAAGATTTCGCGTTGGGATACAGCACGAACACAAGAAGAACTAGGAGCAGAGGTACTACTTCTGGAGGTCAGATAAAGATGAACAGACTGCTCAGGCGGACAGCCGTAGCTCGACAAGGAGGGGATCATGAACATAAAAATGGACGTATTGGTCGAGATGGAAGTAGAAGTACATTCCATGATTCTAGTTGGAGTCCTCGAACTACTGCAGCTTCCTCACTCCTCAGGAGAACAAGAAGAGGATACTGCAAAATAGAGAAGAAGAAGAAGAAGATACTGGTAGCAAAAGAGGGGCACTCACCGGTCTCAGGGGCAGCAGACCACCGACCAGAAGCAAATCGAAATTGCAGCTCAGCAACTCTTTGAGTGACTTGTTTGCAAATGTTGGCTTTGGGTTCGGAATCGGAGCGGATACCAGACACTTGTTCGAAGATACACCTTTTTGGACGACAAAATCGAAAAGGCTAGGAGGCGACTTCTGGTGGTGGCCAAAGAGACGCTCTGCAAAGAAACGACCTGACCCTGGCAATGGCAAATTATGTCCCCGAGTGCAGAAGAATAGTACGCAAGTCCACGGAGAAAACAGCAGTTCTAGTGGTGACCCCCAAGCTGCCGAATGTTGCGACCATGCAGTCTGGCTAAGCCGCTGTCAACCCAGTGGGCGAGCAGATTAAGGACTTCTTAAGATCGAGTACGATAAAGGTGGAAGAAAAGCAGAAGAACTCCACCACGTTCAGCACTCAAAGCACAAACACGGCTACGAATTGCACAGGTGGCTCAAGTCTCACAACTACGTCTTCGAGTAATGATATTGGACTGGTTCTTCTTACCTGCCCCACCGGTCATGAAAATGCTCAGGTTCAAAATGTTGAAGACCTCCGTCTACCTGGTTCCAGATGGGAAGACATACTAGATAAGTCTCTTACACGTCCAGCCACGGGCACATCCGCCAAGATTCCCAGAAGAATTCATCAGATGCGGACGTCAGCGGATGCTATTCCTCGAAAATATGCCTCCTACGTGCGGGATCTGAGCAGATTGGCACACTTTTCCTATCACTTTGGATGATCAAAGACATCGATGCTCTGGCTGAGAAAATCCTCACAAGGGACGCTTTTATGAGTGAAACTGAAACTATTTTCACAGTATGCGCGTCTTTGAGCACGTACATGTCGCTTGGGGTAGATCATTTGCATCCTGTTCATGCGGCTTGTTGATTTTCAGTTCGTTATCATTTGACTTGAGACTTCACCTCAAAAATTTGGATTTTATCCAGTTTCAATCAAATTCAATCTCAAAGGTTATGCTTTTTCGGTTGAGATCAAAAAGTATGGGATTTCGTTGATTTTTGAAGGGAATACTTTGATTTTAGGTGAAATCTAAAGAAATATGACTTTATTCAGGTTTGGTCAAATTCAATCTCAATCGTCATGCGTTTTTGGATGAATTCGAAAATAGCTGGCTTTCTCGATTTCTCAAGGAATTACTACAACCTTTGATTTTTATTTTAGGCGAATTCAAAAAAATTATGATTTTATTTCATTTTAATCGAATTCAATGGTCTCCTTTTCCAGCGTATAATTATTCCAAAATTTACGATTTCTTCATTTCTGTTGACTTTGAATACTACAGATTGATTCAAATTTAGAAATTTTGATTTTATTCATTTTTAATTCAAATTCAATTCTAAAAATCAAATAGTAGTTTCTTTTTTCACTTCTCGAAGGAATCGATTGACTTAAATTTCGACTTCAGAGAGCATCTCAGCGTGTAGGTGAATCGGCTTTCGCGCATTGAAAAAGCTGACGTGGCAAGGATCCTGATTCTCTACCTTTATAATACGGAGGAATCTACTTAGATTATTTGGATGTGAGTCTCCCAGGACCTTTACAGAAGGAGAGTCTCTTCTCACAGGAGCCTAATGACGAAGAGGAACCAGGACAAAGCTTTGCATGGTCAGAAGTTGTCGACCCACTACCTGGTCGTGGTGATGAACCACCAGCACAACTACCACAGGAAGAGGATACGAACCCTATCGCCCGTGATGCACCAGGATCCAAGCAAGAAGAGGTAGAAGATGAGGATATGGATGTGAACCTCACAATGAGACACAAATATTTGTATAAAAGGATAAGGAGTAGAGTGTAGTAAAAAACTATTGCAGGAGGAGAGACATTAAATGAAGTGAGGAAAACACATCTTTCTCGGATAGTGTCTCCCCGACTAGAGAAACTGCTAGCAGCTGCGGAGCATGCTGGGTTCCGCGCTGTCACTGCCCGACGAGATGGACTAGTACTAGTAGAGGATTTTCCCTCAGATAGTCGCAATTTATCATCCGTTCTCTCCAAGTCAACAACCTGCAGATGGACTTTTTCCCCATCAGCCTCCCCATGCATCGTCTAATTCTAGCAGCCAGACGTCGTTTTTTCCTAAGCCTATCGGAGGCTATCTTTGGCATGAAAAATATTTTTCGAGACCGCAACTTCTATCCCAATCACGACTCCCATCTGAGAAGTACGACTCTGAATACGGAAAACTCGACGACCATTTGGAACAGGACGCTGTCTCTTGGAGGTATCTCTATTTTGGAAATGGGCGACTGCTAGGGAGTAGTGCTGACATGAAAGAGCAAAATACATGAGTATACATCATGAGGATACGGGGCCTGTCTTTATGATCTCCTAGTAGTTCTGCTTCACGGATGGACCTCCTTCATCCAGGTTGCACATTGACATGATTTATACTACTCTTCTGAACAATCCAGGTCAGAGGACTACGGTGATCCAGTATCGTCTACCGGACCACGTCTATTAGATCGGTTTGCGCATCGGCGCGCCAGTTCTGCGGGTCTCGATGATGTACTACGACTACCGTTTTGGTACTTTATTTCTCCAGTTATTGCCCTAAGAAAGCTCCAATTGTACTGCTAGAAGCAGAAGAACAACAAGCTAAGAAAGCTCCAATTACAACTAGAAGTGGATGTATGAAGTCGTGTCAAAAACAAGGACCACAAGGAGTAGTACCTAGTAGTAGAAGTCTTTTTATATCTCCTTCTCCTTCGCTACTACCAGGACCACGAGGAAGTAGAAATCCACCACTTGTTCTGGCGGAAGGTGCTTTTGTATATGGCATGACAAATAGGCGTTCTTCTCGACGACGGCTGGCCAGGTGGACCTCACAACGAGGATCATCACGACCGGCGTCACTGTCGAAGACCGCAAAGTTGTTGCTTCACCTCCCTCGCTCAGCGTCTTGTCGAAGACGATCCAGGCTCTTTGTGGATGGCTGAAGCAAACTCTACGCAAACCGCATGTGCAATGCTAGAAGAAGCTGACACTTTTTTATGGGAGCGATGTCATGTGGATTAATGATATTCGGACACAGTCCACAACACGTCACTTATTTCTTCGTAACGCAGTAACTTCTTCAACCTCCTGAAGTCTGATTTTTTCGTTCATCATCGATATCGTTGAGGGTTTTCGGAGTAGAGAATATGGACCACGTATGTCAACGCCAAGACACCGGCGCTACTGCTTAATTAATTATTTACTTATTTACTCACTTCGTTATTTCTTTCGCGCGCTGTTCTTCGCTCGAAGTCGTTGTGTTGATCTCTCTTGTTACTTTCTTGTTGTTGGATCTTGCTGTCTTTCCGCGGCACAACTGTCGTCAATACTTGATCGGTCGTTAAGGTGGCGACCGAAGGGAATGGGAATAAGAAGAGGAGCGATGATATTGCTTGAACTCAAGGCTTATGCTCCTGGAAACGTCGCGCCTGTGGTTGTACTGTCGGAGAAGAGCAAGATGATGAGCAAGATGATGAGGACGCCGCGTCTGTACTGCTAAAGAAGAAGATGATGAAGAAAGCGAAAACGATAATGCCGCAAAATGAGAATGCCGCAAAAATTGCCCAAGGCTTGCGCTACTGGTAACGTCTCAAACTTGCTACTCTAGAAGAAAACGAGCGCCACACGCTGTCGTAGTTGATGGAAACGCGACGTCTCTGGCTTGTTTTAGTCAGCACGCCGCTATTCTTCGCGCCTTTTGTATGACGTGTTCCGAGTACTGTGCCTCCCTAAACATCGCTAGCAGTCGTGCTTCTAGTGCTAGCGCTACAGTCTCCTTGTGGCATGTCCTACTCATCGTCCTCCTCAGTCTTTTGATGTAGCCTACCAGTGTGCCAACTTTTTGCGTCTTAGTCAATGCCGACCTTCCATGTGCGAAACACTTCGGCGGATTTGGATAGGTGAAGACTGCCGTCTTCCCCTCTTGTATACCGACGACTATTGACTGCCCGATAAATTCACTACTGCCTGTCGCGTTGATGGTACATCCTTCGTAGAAGTCTTCGACTAGGTGCGGCCGTCCATTAGTTGGGACGTCTCTTACTCGTAGTTCACTTCTGTCGTCGACGTACCTCCACCACGCTATCTGTGTGCTATCCGTTCTGTCTGGCCTATAGTACTCGTGGTATAGTGCAAACGCCTCTGAAAGTCCTGAGGAAAGTTGGTGGCCGATCGGATCACCTCTCGTCTGCGCGTAAACACCCCCGTGGGTCCTCACATAGCTGCACTGCGTCGCGTGCCACGCTAAGTAGTACACATGCGCCAGTGGCATTATCCAATGTGTTCGATATGACCTCCTGTTCTTTCTGATTTCTATCAGTGGTCTGGCGTCCTTCTCCCACTTCGCTTTTAGGCCTCGGCAGAAGCCGCGGACACCTTGACTGTGTTGTCGTGTGGTCTGCTCCGAGTCCTTCTTCTTTATGGTCACGTAGTTACTTCCTGCCCTCGCCTCACGTGTTATTACGTCTAGGATTACGGCAAGCGCCTGCTCGCAGTTGCAGTTCGGGAAGAACTCACCTATGTCGCCAGTCTTGAACTCTAAAAGCAGCGGGCCTGGTTGTCGGGCTAGCCATTCATTTATCGTGTCTATATCTTGCACGAAGCTCTCCACCTTGTCTAGGGATTTCCCAACCCATTTTCGCAGTAGGTGCATTACGGTCATGTTAGTTAATCTATACAGGAATGCGAAGCAGTTTCTGTTTCCTGGTGTCACCATCCTCATCTTGATGTCTGAGATCAGAGTCGGCAGCTCCGCCCTCAGTCCTTTAGCCTTGCAGAGTGGCTTCAACCACCCCCACGCATTCGGCCTCCTTGCTCTTGGTACGTTACATGAGGTATGTGATGTCAGCCAGAAGCAGTCTGCGTTGTCAGAGTAAAAACTATTTTGGTGGATTGGTCGATAAAGATCGCCACTGACATACTCACTACTTTTTCTCCTATGAATATCCCAACACGTGAAGAAGATATCACCGCCATCCTTATCCACCACTCCCGAGTACATCACTCCCGCCAGGATGAACAGCTTCGGATTGACGTCTTCTACTTTGGCTGTCCTATCGTCGTCATCGTTGGCTTCCTTCCTCCATTGCGCTACCACCTGTTCCGCCCTCCTTACCGTTGTGACTACTCCTTTTCCACCGTCAACTATTCCCCCACGTGTTGTTGGGCGATTGAGCTCATCTATGATAGTGCTGATGGCGTCTTTCGTCGCTCTTTCTACCTCTCTTGCGCTTGGTCCTAGTTTGCTCTTCGCGTTCCAGTTGTTGATCTCGCCATAGGCGTCAGCGCCTGCCCTTCTTAGCAGAAGTGGCATTCCCGTCGTCTTAGCAGAGAAGTACAGACGTCCCTCCACTTTCTTGCACTCCAGCTCTGGCATCATCCTTGCTATCTCTCCACACCTGCATGGGCCTGCTGTTCCTGGTCGTGGAGTGCAGATGTCAATGATGCTCCTCGGCGGGATGGACTTTACCACTAGTAGCCTTGTCTCTTTTCCTTTGTATTGTGCAGCCAGGTCATTCACTAGTGCTCTAAAGCCAGTGGAAACCCGCTGGCCATGTACTTTGACGAAGAGCTTCTTCACGCGGTACTCTCGTATCGCATCGAGATTCTGCGTAAACTGCGTGTACTCCACGTTGTTCAGGCTCCACCCCGCTATTCTCTTCAAGTGCTCAATGTCGCTTTCTTTCATTGCCCGGAGCTCGCGCTGCCACGTCGCCGGAACCTTAGGTCGCATGGCTAGTGTGATGGCAACCCTGAGCTTCCTCACTAGACCACCCCCTTCGACATGGAGGCCACTCCGGACAATGTCACTTACGACTTTGAGCTGGGTAGTGACATAAATCCCACGCGCCTGTTGCCAGCCACATCTCTCGTCGTGCCTACGTCCGAAGTATCCCGGAGAGTTGTTCTTTCGTCTGCTCCTCGCTGTTATAAACCTTGCCATCAAGATTCTCCCTGCCTTGTTGAGTTCGTCTCTCCCCTGCGTGTTCTCGCTTGGCTGGAAATCACTGATGACTAGTCCCTCCAGCACGCCCATCTCCTTAACGCCTGCGGATGCCTTGCGGATGAGCTGCACGAAGAGATACTTGGAGAACTCCTTGCCACCAGTAGTGCGGTAGAACTTCTCAGTAGTGCTTTTCTTGCTCCTCCTGTAGTGCTGGCACACCCGCCTGGTAAACGCGCACGTGCGTCCAACATACTCCCTCCTCGAAAAGGGCTGCGCCGCTAGATAGACCGCATCCGCGTCCTCAAGTCTGAAGTGGAAGCCTGTTGCAAGCCAGTACGCCAATGTGCGCCGATAGAGTCCTTGGGAATGTCTGTTATCTTCCGCGCGGCCATACCATAGAGTGAAGACATAGAAATCAATAGCGCACAGCATGTATCGCGTCTCCGTCATTGTGGTAGAGTACCTTCCTCGCCATCTTGGTTGTAGTACTGACATGGTCGGCCTCTTTGTATATGTTTTGACTGTCTCCTTGTTGTTTCCTGAGAAGTTGACGCAGCACGTGCATTTCGCTCCTACTCTTGTACATAGTGGACATCCTTGGTCTGCTGTCTTCTGCGCCACCACGTCCGCAACTAGATTCCTTATTTTCAACACCTGCGTCATCTCCTTCTTCATCGTTCTTCTTTCCGCTCTAAACTTGAAAAGCGAAAAGTTGTGGTGTAACTCAATTAGTAGACTTCTTACTAGTTCTGGGATCTTTGCCCTTAGACACGAAAAACTCACTTTCCAAACTGGTGCTTCTGTCGTTCCTACTAAGTTGTAACTCGTCGGTATGTGAAATCTCTGATCAATATACTTCATCGCATCGTCACAGATCTCGAAGTCGAGCGCTTTGGCTCTTTCTTGCCGGTCACGTTCTACTACCTCTTCCTTGTGCTCTTATCCACCTCTTGTTGTCTTGTCCTTTATTTACACTGTCAGGTGGACCCCAAGAGTCCATCCCCAGAAGCTCCTCCATCCTCCTCCGGAGCTCGTTTTCTTCTACACCTACTTGTTCTTCTTCACCCACCATCATGTGGGCCGCCTCAATTTAAGGCCTCCGTCGCCATCATCACCATGGTGATGGCCGCCAACGCTCGCCCCACGTCCTGGTCTGTAGGTGTGAACAAATTGAGCTCCTTCGCGGTGGCCCTGATGTCCGCTCTCACCGCACTTGTCATCTCGCAGAAGACCCTCATCATCGCTTCCATCTCCTCCTCGGTGATCGGTCCTAGTGCCGACTTCTCCCGCACGTGCTTGAGCGCCTTCATGCACGCCTTCGCTCTAGCCTCTGCGGTGCCAACGCGCTTGAAGCCGAGACACTGCTCGATGAACCTCTTCTCGTTCTCCAGCGTCTCGCGTGGTGGGTCCAGCGGAATTGCTGCATCCATATCTTGTCCCTGATTCGTCTCGACCTGGTGGATCACCGTCATACATCCTGCCACCACGTTGGACAGCTTGGTCTCCTCCTCCGCGTTAAGTGAGATAGACGCCAGCGGGATCTTGTCGTTCATCTGTGCTACGATGCCACCGGCAAGGAGTGCGTTTCCCGCTACGCCATTGATGTTGTTGTTGTTGTTGTTATTATTCCCACCAGCGAAGAGCCCACCTCCTTTGCCTCCCGCCGCCTGTGCGAAGAGACCTCCGCCACCTCCTGCATTTGCATCCTGTTGTTGGACCCGCGGCACCTTCCTTGCTGGTTCGCCCATATGGATCGCCAGCATCTGCATCTGTCGCTCTTGGCTCTCCTGGAAGATCTTCATCATGTCTGTCACCGCTGTCGCCAGTCCTGCTCCCTCTGCTCCTGAAGTAGCTGCCAGTGACAGTTTCTGTTGTTCTTGCAGGCTTTTCACCTTGTCATACGGGCAGAGGACCAGGCCATACTTCAAGGACTTGTTTCCGACTGCGTCAGTGTTCAGGTCGAACAAGGACTTTACCACCTGCTCTGGCGCCATGATCGTCATCTGCTGCACGCTTCCGGAGAACTGCGACGCAAAAGGATTGATAGGCGTACTAGTATTGATGTTGATGTTGCTACTGCTCGGTCCGCCAACTACCTGACACTGCATGTTGTTCATGTTGTTCATCATGTTGTTGCCACCTCCATACGTCATCCCTCCTTGTCCGCCCATGCCGTTGGAGATGTGCATGAAGCGGCACATGTTTCCGCGGTTGCACGTGCCGCGCTGGAAGTTAAAGCAGACCTGTTGTTGTTGTTGCATCTTCGACAATGCGTAGTCCGTACGAAAGAAGGCGGTAGTACTTGTCAGGGAAATAAACGGGATAGAGACGAGCACGCAAGCACAACTTCGAGTCGACGCCGATGTGATAACGATGCAAATAGTCCTGATCTTGATGTTGACCTTCGACGTTAAATTTGGTGTAGTAGCAAGAATGTGGCCAATTCAAATACTCACCGATAAATTCGGACACAGTCCACAACACGTCACTTATTTCTTCGTAACGCAGTAACTTCTTCAACCTCCTGAAGTCTGATTTTTTCGTTCATCATCGATATCGTTGAGGGTTTTCGGAGTAGAGAATATGGACCACGTATGTCAACGCCAAGACACCGGCGCTACTGCTTAATTAGTTATTTACTTATTTACTCACTTCGTTATTTCTTTCGCACGCTGTTCTTCGCTCGAAGTCGTTGTGTTGATCTCTCTTGTTACTTTCTTGTTGTTGGATCTTGCTGTCTTTCCGCGGCACAACTGTCGTCAATACTTGATCGGTCGTTAAGGTGGCGACCGAAGGGAATGGGAATAAGAAGAGGAGCGATGATATTGCTTGAACTCAAGGCTTATGATATTATAACAAGTTTAGAAGTTTGTGGATTAATGATATTATAGCAAGTTTAGAAGTTACAACAATAAGTCAACTCGTCTCAATCTCATTCTCATTGTCTCTTTATGCATTATGACAAAGTATTAGCAGGTATCAATCGTGTCGAGCAGTCGTGGATTTGAGAACTTCGCGGCTTTTGTGCATCATTGGCAATGCTCTTGGTGTCGCTCAGATCCTACTTTAGATAACAAAGCGTAGTACATCGCTGCAGTACATCGCTGCAGGGTGGCGCGCGGTACATCGCTGCAAGACACTCTACTTGTTAATCTCCCAGAATACGAACACGGACAACATGCTCATTGAAGCTTTCTGCGGTCTTTTCTCCTTACCAGCAAAAGTTAGCGCGGAACTAACTAAGTAGTACATTAGCATTGAGGCTACTCGTGTATCATCCGCAGAGCTTTCTCCCAGTCCCAAGGTTCAGCTTACTCTTACACAAGGTTCATTAGTAGAACAAGCGCAACTTTCTATATGAGTGTGAACTTCTTTCATCTGTAACACTGAGAAGTCTGTTAGACTGAGAGGAATTGATCATGCTGTCACGACGAAGGAGTGCTCTTGCTGCTACCAACCTAAGAGAGCTCGTCTGTGATTTGAGTGCTCTCATAAGCTCTTCTGTGCTTTGAGTGCTATCAACATACGCCCTTCTACGCTTGAGTGCTATCATAAGCTCATCTGTGCTTTGAGTGCTATCATAAGCTCTTCTGTGCTTTGAGTGCTATCATAAGCTCTTCTGTGCTTTGAGTGCTATCATAAGCTCTTCTGTGCTTAAGCGCTGATATCTCATAAGGCTTTAGCTACAAAAATTTCCTACACAAAAATAAATCACAAACACACCTTTTCTCATTCTAACGTCAACAATGCTGTTCATTGTTCTTGCCTCTTTTCCTACCCTTTGCGTTGATGTTTTTGCTCATATACTTACCTTTACCTGGATTGTTCCTGTTCGTCAACATTTTCTTTGATATTAGATACGAAAGATACGACGACGCTCGAAGTCAAGTTGTAGCTAGAACAAGTGCAACATCTAGAAGGCTCTTTAGCCTCACAACCCTCTTCATCTCACCGTCTACTTCACACTACACACGTTTGGTTTATTGAGCTTTTTCAAGCTTCTTCTTTCGACAAGATGGGAAACATCATGTGCTGCAAGAAGCGCCCGGGCATCATCCAGGGTGACGTCAAAGATGGCGCCGCGTTCGCCAACGCCAAAGGCATGCTGGCTTCCGCGCAGACCAAAGTGGGCAGCGGGTAATTAGATTACACATTACATAAACAAATCTAGATCCGTTGTATGAGCACGAGTTGTTAATCTGCTCTGTGCTTACTATAGTACAAGTAGTACTGATTAGTAAAAGCTCCTGTATGAAAATAAAAATTCATATTTATATTGATACAGGCGCTTTTGGGGTAAAAAATTGCACAACCCATGATATCCAATATCAATATGAATAAAACACAGCGCTGCTGATCCGCAAGCCGTGAAGCACATGCAGCAACTGTACGATCAGGTTGGCGGGGATTTGAACCAATTGGCTTCCAAAACTGGCGCGAACCTTGCTGCTTTGAAAATTAAGGCTCTGGAAATTCTTGTAGATACTTCAACATATATTTAGTGGCTCTCCTTCTACTAGTTGTAGATACTTCATGCATATATATTGGTTACTTAGTCTTAGTGACTTTCCTATTGTTCATGCATGAATGAGAATGTCACTATTGTTCATGCATGTTAATCTTCGTGACTCTCCTATTGTACATTTACTAGTGAATGGTTCCGGTATTTGGCATCCTTCTTCAACCAGTTAGATCTTCGACCTCTAGTCAGGCACATGGATCAATCAGTCAGTCAGTCAGTCAGTCAGTTAGCCAAATCAATCAGTCAAATCAATCAATCAATCAATCAATCAAGATAGTGACTCTCCTTCTATTGTACTAGTCTACAACCTATCAATCTTTGCCTAGTGTCTTCGTCTTTGCCTGCATCCCTGAGATATAGCATGAGTGAGTTGTATCTCGCTCCTGAGTAATTCTAGTTTTTGCCTGCATCCCTGAGATATAGCATGAGTGAGTTGTATCTTGCTCCTGAGTAATTCTAGTTTTTGCCTGCATCCCTGAAATATAGCATGAGTGAGTTGTATCTCGCTCCTGAGTAACTCTTCAAGGATGCAACATCTGCCGTCCTCTAAGAAAAAGAAGCCACCGACGGGGAGCAAAGACTTCGCTACCAACCTTCTTCAAGGCGCATACTCGTAACTCACGTAGCAGGAGTTGAAGACGGTGGAGAGAACGTGGGGCCCCAGGGACACGTGCGAGGACGTGGGTGACGGGGAGGACGGAGTAGAGCAAGGACGTGGCCATAGGTTCAGGTAGTACGAGACGGGGTGGAGCAGGACTACATATTCAAATAGACATAGTGGAGGAAATAAATACTTTCATATTCATAGAGACGAACTCATCAGTGAAGATGGTAAGTTTATTTGGTCAGATCGCTGTCCTCTTCTTGTTTCACAAATATTTAATCTTCATGGGTAGCAAGAGCAACAGCCTTCGCATATCATGTTTAATGCCGACAGCGTCATATAATGAGTTTTGGTACTCACTACGTACTTCTAGTTGTAGTAGTTCTGCTTCCGCTGATGCAGTTCTACGTGTTCTTGTAGTCCGAGCTTAATGGTACTAGTTTGTGCATGATCTGGCGTGGTTATGACTTTGGAAAGGGGATAAGAAAACATGAAAATACTATTCGAAATGCAATTAATGAAAAAGGGTAAAAGTAGTGACGCAGTAGACCATGACATTTTTGATGAGGTAGCATAAATATGTAAATTCTAATTAGTATTATTTTCAGTCGTAGAAAGATAAAGATTAAGAACAAAATGAAAAATCATTCGGATTTAACATGTAGCCATCAAGATAATCGCGCCAGGTTGTATAGGCGGAGTCCTTCACCTTCAGCGTGATGATCCATGAAGAGTGATAGAGTGTGTTGCTCTGGTATTCAGTAGCCTGATTTTGATCACAAGGGGGAACAGAAAGAGAATCCTTGCGATCCAGTTCAGGCCACTAAGTACCGGAGCCATTCATAGAAACCGCTACTTTGACATCCATCGGGTTTTCAAGATGATAGATGATACGACTGACTGGTCGCGAAGCGGGTCTTCTCTTAGGACAAAGTCTCATCCTATCCTAAGAAGAAAGGCCGGATGCATTTGTTCGAATAGAAGCAAGTTCCTGGAAGAAGACGGCGGCGCAAGAAGTGCATATAAGTAATTAGAGTCTTGAACTCCTGATCTGTGGAACCGTCAGAGGGCTGAGGACACCATCTTGAGCCAGCTTCTGTATGATCGAGTTACATTTCTGTCTGGAGCCGGAGGACGCGAAGAGGAGTGATTTCTTAAGCTATTTAGTATCTACGTGATTTTTGGAGTGAGCGAGTATCAACAACACTACAACTACATCGAATTACTTCTCTGTCTGAGGTAGAGGGGGAGGAAGCTTCATTCTGTCTCTATACAATGAGAAAGAGAAACTACACGAAAGATGATCGAGCTACATTTCTGTCTGCAGCCGGCAACTATTTTAACTACCTGATTTTTAGAGCGACGAGTGAGTGCAAACAACTTCTCTGTCTGAGGTAGAGGATGCCTTGCTCTGTTTCGGAGAAAGCGAAACTACACGAACGAGCGAGGACCACGGAGAGACTACTTAGACCTTTATCGAACTACTTCTGGTTCTGGTTCTGTCTGAAACGGAGTTTTCAATTCTGTCTGAGAAAGAGTCCGAGTCAGTAGAGTGACAAATCGCGATCAGAAACAGAATGGAGTGGCGAGTCTTGAGCCATCTTAGCCTTAGCTGATGAACCTTGTGTGAGACATCCTAGACTGATAATGCATCCTCTTCCAATCCCAAAAACATATCTCTTCTTCTTCTTCTTACAGGTGCAGTTTTTCTGATAAGCAAAAGAAGTAAGAGACTTCATCCCCACTCAGAGGCTGTACTCCCAAGAAATAGACTAAAAACAGGCATAAATCAAAATCAGTAAATCAGTTCGATTTCCTAACATTATCAGTAACGAATCGTTTTTCATCTTCTATCAATAGAAATACGACATACGCATACGTTCATTATTTGCAAGATATATCATCGTTATTCGGCATTCACAAAACAACGCCACAAGTAAAAAAAACTTAAAAAACAAAAAAAGACAGAAAGCAAAAAGCTTAATTGGGCGACTCCTGAGATTATCCTGGTAAATACTAGAGTGAGATATACTAGTAGAAGTGTTAACTTCCTATTGAATCATACTAGAAGCCGCGAGCCTACTAGAGAAGATAAGCACAAAGAACATAACCGAGTACAGCTTAGTCGTATCTAAAATCAAGAAGATACTGCAGCAAAGAACATCCTTCCTGCAGAATCTGAGTTCATCAAGATCAACGTATCTCATTTTTAATTACCTGGCAAAAACAAAAATCAGCAGCAGAGCACTCTCCTCCAGCAGAGCACAGCACTGCGGTATCAACATAAGTAATATTAATCAGCAGAAGCCCAAAGCCAATCACAGGCCTACGCACTCAGCACGACAAAATGTTGGCAGTCTACAAGAACCTCGTGTGGCTGGCATCTTTCCTCTTCTGGATCGCGACGCTCCACAGTGCGGACTTCTTGTTAAGGCTTGATCGATCAACAATTCTATAACCCCAATGAGTCTAAACCTCGTGGACAGTTCTATGCTCTTAGCCACAGGGCCGGCCCTGCACCGTGATAGTAAGTGAATGAACGAATGAGTGAATGGATGAACGGACCAAGTAAGTATCATTTTTGTAGTAGGTAACCCCGATCGTCCCAACAAATCGTGAGAAATAACATAACTGGCTAGCATTTTTAGCAAAGCCAACAACAACATACAACAAGGGACATTCTGTTTCGGAGCGAAGTCAAGAGCTAAGTTGTATTGAAAGTGGCTGTCGTAGTTGAAGATCGCATTGATGTTCCAGTTTCTATCGTCATTATTCCTCGAATAAAAGTATGTTGGAAGAGTATTTTATCTCTAATCTTCTCGGTAACGGCGACGAGCGAAGTGAGCACCCGCAAAAATCTCCGTGGAGGGTCTTCGATGGCATTCGATGAAGACGATACGAGCCCTCTTATGAACGTTACTCATAGTCTAGTAGTACTTACTCATAAGCGTCAACGCCATCTGTTTCTTTCATGATTGCGCTGCCGCATCAATTTCAGCAACTACTTATCTAGTTTAACTGAAGTAGAAGTAGATCATATTTTTGTTGCTTTTTACCCTGATCGGCGTTGCCGTGTGGATGCATCGTTATTTTCGCTAGCGTCCTACCTTCATTCTGCTCAAGGACGAGAAGCGTACGCTTCTTCTAACAAATATTCTAGAGGATGGGCCTGGGCGTAAGTAGGCTAACTATCTTTACAAACTTGCTACTGAGGTGGGCTCGCTTAGCTTTATTGGGATCGTTTGATTTATTGTGTAGAAGCAAATGGCTATGATTTGGGACGCCTGCTCCTCTAAGGATCACAATTCGACCAGTTTTTCGGAATTCACACCCAAAAAGCTTCATGGTCCTTCCCTGGAAGATGGAACGCACCGGAAACCTAACGTCGCAAGGCGTTCCTTGTTGGCTCGTGCTTCTGCCTCAAACTCGGATACTTCGATGGCGGTGACAAACACCGTATTCGCTAAAACTTAAGATGAGCAACGTTCTAAAACTCCATCTAAAAACAAGAGTTTGATACTCCGCCTACATCCATAGCTAAACAATAACGATTCAGATAGTTGGTAGTAAGACGTTGATGGTCTTGGTCCTCAAAGATAGATGGATACAGAGTTAGGTATGGTCTCATCTCGAATGAAGATGTAGATGAGAATCTTCGGTAGACTTCTATTGAGTAAAAATATATAAGAGACCACTAACTAAGACCTTTTTAGTACTTCTAAGAGACGGCGACCCCACCCGACGAAGATGCTGTCGAAAATCAACCGCCACCCCTAGGGGATTACTCTGCGGCCACCAGCTCGTTTCTACTAACCGAGACTACTAGTCAGCCGCTTGCAGGAGGTGCAGAGATGCAAAGCGTGCAAGAATCTCATGAACAAGCTAAAGAGGCTGAAGAAAAGCGAAAGCATCAAAAAGTACGGCTTGCGGCTAAAATGAATGCAGATGCGGAAAAGCTAGAAAGGCTCATCGGGTTTCGTGGAGGAGGGCCTGGCACACTTACGTGTCTCGACGACCGCGCGTTTAGAAATCCGCGGACCGGCAAAATGCTCGACAACGCCGTGCTTGTCGGCAGCCGCATGAAGTTAAGGGTGAATGACTCGAACAATATGAATATTGCGTCGTCTTGTAGCCTCTGAAAAGTAAGCCTCGATAGAATTTTTGAACTCATAGGTGCTCGTCTCTCCGAAAATTATCCACCTACTTTGCGAAGACTAGTACAAAAAAGGCGCACACTTGGGATTAACTATGGCTAGCGGTAAATAATCCGTCACAGCCCGCGCCCATCCTTACGTGTTCCATCAACCTCAAGGAAGATGGTTCTCACAGAATTAATGATGATAATGTTGCTGCTGGTAGCAGTCTGTCTCTAACTAAGCACGCCCGAAAGCTCTTGAATGCTGTCACTTCCGAACGCATGCTCTCTCCTCAAGGGATTAAAACTCACACGTCCAGTTCTGCTAAATTCGCCGACCGCGATCACGCCGTTCCCCTGTGCCTCATCGTGTGGTCGAACGCACGCGTCCGCAAAGAAGGCGCTGCTCTTGCTTATTAAGGTTAAACATATTTCGAAAGATGAATCGTTTGCGCATGTTGATTATCAGAAGGCAAGACGAGACCACATTGGTGAGAATAGTCGAGTAGAACTACGTCTACGGCCGCGCCCAGTGGCGTAATGCTGATGACCGCGGGACGACAGCAACAACTTCTACAGATGGTGTAATATTAGAAGTATCCGAGGTAATAAGTCATATGGACACGACTCGCTCTCGCTCCATGAGGTATGCCTGCTCAGTTGAGAGCAGAGCATGGCTGAGGCGCTGCACCCTTGTACTTGTTCCCTAATTAAGCCCAATATACCGTCTACTTGGTCTTTTGGAAGTGTGTTGCTGCAGATGTTCAAACAAGAATTAGACCGATAAAAATTAATATACGAATTATGTGATGAAGTAAGTTCTAGTCGTAGCATTAGTAGGAATCTAATTGAAAAGCAAGAAGAGCAAAACTAGCAAGTGTGCAGTAGATGAAGGTCTTACTCCTCTAACGTGGTCGCCTCGCAGTTGTCTGGGGAAACTCCGAAATTTTGGAAACGATCATAAACACCCGTCAGGGTCAGGCTGACCACGAGTTGTACAAGGCGCGTCTTGGTTATGAATATTTTTGGACGGCTGCCGAGCAGATGGGGAAACAGAATCCACCCGATCTATTAAATAGGCATGATTGGCGAGAGATTATGGGCACGATTAAAGCCTTTGACGCACTAGTAACTGATTGGGTTCTTGCCCTTGACGTTGGCGATAAATTGTCGGACACTCGACCCGGCCCCATGAAAATGTTGGAAGAGAAAGACATTGGTCAACAGCCGCGCAACTGGAGAAGCTACACCTCACCCTCAGAAAGTGCAACAAGCCTGCTGGATTACATGGCATTAAGGCCCGTCGCGATCCATCTGGAGAAGCATCCTGAAAGACTTTTTCTTCAATCGAAAAAGCAGCATCATTCAAGATGGCCTTCTCGCTTACATGGGCTGCGGTGCTGACGTCTAATGAATGGAGAGCATTTCACCACGTCTCCTGATTTTCGGGATGGACATGATTTTGGGGCTGGAAGTGTAGAGAAAAGGCTAACAGGAACGTTTGAGGTTAAGGTTGTGACGGTCGAAAATACTGGATCTTGGTTTTCAAATATGTGGGGGGGGACGCCGAGGACCCAGCAGGTGACGAAAACGACGACAGCAGCTCGCTTTATTCGGGCAGTTTTCATGACCAATGATTAAGGATTACCAGAACTATCGTCCGACCAAAGCATATCTGTGGCCCCCTTGTTCTCGGGTAGAAATGTCACGACAGATATGCCAAATAGAGGACGATAGGCCAAAGGGAAAGATCTAAAGTGACGGCACTCAGATCGGACTCGTCTGGGGCTTGCCTGAGTCCCATGACGAAAAGGGAGAGCCAAGTATTGCCAAGATCAAAGAGCCTCTCGTTCAGCTCTGGACACCTCTGAGGAGCACACAGGAGAAGACTCAGGCTCAGTGTGAGCGCGTATATACCTACCTCACAGGTAGCGAATTCTTTCAGAGTCTGTGTGCGAAAGCGGGTGAACTAGATGAACCGCGTGAGAAAAGTCAAGTCTTTGGTCTTTCTGCTCCTCGGTGGTTCACGTTCAGAAAGTAATTATGTAATTTGTGAATCCTAGTTAGACGAGCTCCACCGGAAATGTTTAGTGATAGGGGAAGAGGCGCTACGCTCCTATCGCCTCTAGAGAGAAGGTAGGTTCGTATCGATTTGGTCAAAAGATCAGTCCGATTACACTAGCTGCGGGAGCTGCTTGTTGGAGTATTCATTGTCATTGTTGTACTCTTTCTTGAATATAATGCATGATAACCAAGAAAAGAAGAATGTTGGGCGACTTGCATTATGATTCATCGCAAAAGAGTGATCTTCTTTGATGAGCAGGGTCGAGTAGCGGCCTCGCCTAAGTCTCTCTCTCCCTCTGATGTCGTGATATACGTATAGGCGTTAAGCCGTACATGAAGAAAGGTAGAAGGTGCTGATAGCATTGCCGGAGCAATTGATATGAAAGAAAGAAGTAGTATGACTATAATGAGTAGAAATGCGTCTACGCATTTATCTTTCTCTTTGGAAGCAAATTGGTAGAAATAAGAAAACTAGTGCTACAGAGACAGGAGAGAAGCATCAAGCCAAAGCCTGGGATGAATGTCTAGCCTTGTCGTCATGTTGTGGCTGTGGTTCCATTTGGCCACTTACTGATGATATGTTGAGAATGGGTGTATGAGTTGTAGCCTCGTCTATGGTAGATAATTGTGAAGTTTTGGATCTTGATGAAGGTCTGCCTTGTGAGACTACCAGATAGAGTATCTATCAAGATTAATGTCGCGAGGTACTCCTTCACTTCCTTACCTACCTGATGACGTACTCCTTCGGGAGTACTATTGAGAAGATGCGCCGCCACTCATTCACTCACTCAACAGCGCGGCTGTTGAAAACAGCAAACTACTCGAACAACTGAAATAACCGAGCAACGCTAGTACTTGATAGACCTACTAAATTTGCGCTATTCTTGCTTATCTTCAGGCTTTGAGTAGATGACCACGACAGAATGTAGAAGTTTGTAGCTTTCCAAAATTGTGAGACGATAAAGAGTTAGATGCTATTTTTTAGTATACAAAAGTAAGAGGGACAAAACGCAAATGTTGATAACTATGTTGATAGAAAGTAATCTCGAAGGTGTCCGTAGTTTGAGCAACAAGGAGTTGCTCACAAAAATCGTAAAAATGAAGAAGACAATTTGGCAAATAGAATTAATTTCCATTGATCTTCGTATGTTGATTTTGATATAGATCTATTTTTAGGGAGGGGGAGACTTACTTGCACAACTGCAAGATCTACGCTGTAGTCTCTCCTCCACTGTAGCGCTTCAGCGTCCAAATTCAGTGTAGAGCTTCAGCGTAGAAGGATTAGTGTGTATTGTAGATCAATGTGGATGGAAGCTCTCTGTGAAATCGCTCGTAGCTCTTGCGAAGTCTTGCTGTCGCTCCTAAGCTTTAAAGAGAAGAAGCCTCTTACTAGTTCACACCTGTAGGAGTAGGAGACACTTTCGCCTTGTGTGAAGAAGAGGCCAATGCGCCCTATCCTATCCTATCCTATGCTATATCTCCCTGCTGTCGCAGATGATACAGCCAAAAAAAGTTGTGAACTAAGAGCAGGGCTTACTTACGAACCAACTACTAAGAGAAGCTGCTACAATGTAAGGAAATAATGCTTACGAACTAAGAGCAGAAGCAAGCTAGCTAAGAAAGTATATAGGTGAGGACACGTCAGATTCATGCCACATTTGAAGACAAACTTGACAGATTTGCGTTATCTTTTATACCACGTCGATTGCTATTACTATTTTACTCACTTCTTCTCGCCCAACGAGTGCTACAACATGGGCAACGACAGAGAGAAAGCGCTGCGAAGATCTTCTTCATCAGGTGCAATAGGGTAGAATAGCTGCTGAAGATCGTTCAATCTTCAGCAGCATACTACCGCGAAGAATCCAGCTACTTCTACTTCATCAATCTTCAACTTCATGCTCACGTTAGTCGTATGGAGAATCAAGAAGAACATTGGTCGGAGGGCAAGGGCCACTGTGTCATGTACTAGTATGAGCTTGATGATGTTGCTGCTGTATTTGAAGACTCGTTGCGACTCGTTGTAGTGCAACTCTTATTCTTATCGAGGAGAGTTACGAGTAGACGATCCGGAAGAGACGTTTAATAGACGAACGCAGGCATGTCAGCATCGAGGAGTAATTTAAAATCTGCAATCGCATTCCTTACTCCCCTTAACTAGAATGATCTAGCATTTTCAACATGAAAAATTTTTAACGATGAAAGAGTCACTATGTTAATATGTAGTAAGCTGAAAGGCTTATGCTGTAAGTATGACGCAAAATATTAAGAAAAAAAATGGGATAAAATCAGTATGAGCATACTGACCACTCGGGAATAAAAAGATAACATCAAGAGCGACGTCGAGCATCAATGCATGCCACTAACCACTTGAAAGGATTGACTCTAGAAGCAGACTTCGTTTTCATAATTAGCGATCCTCACATGAAAATAAGCGCTCATGTTGTCACTTCTCGACTTCGTTCTAGTAGTAGTCAACATATTTTTGGAGTCGAGAAACAGACAGCAACTCTAAAAAGATATAGATGCACTACGCAGAACATTCACTACATGACAATAAAGTAGCTGTTCTTGTTGCTGTTGTTTTTTTTTGGAGGAGGTCGCGCCACGGATTGAGGAAACAAAAAGAATGCGCTGGGAGCAGTCTCTTTTTAGGTCGAAAGTTCGTTGGCGTCGGTGTCCGCGTGAAATGAATTAAAGATGCACAGCTGGGGGGCCTCGGTCTTGTCAATCTTCTATCGGTTGTTACTTGCCCGGAAAGTAATGCGTGCGCCATGTGAAAGATGTGTCTTCTACAAGAAGTATACGGCATCTCGGTCTCCTCTACGAAGTGCGAACGCTGTAACAATGGACCACGCCCACGCGGCTCCCTACCCCTAACTCTACTTCTTGAGCTGTCTGCTACTTCTTCCACCTCTACTACCTCTACTACCTTTATCCCCATGATCATATCGATATCTATGCGTCAATTTTTTGTGTGAGTAGCAGGTTACGTTGGGTAATAGCCTCTTGCTATACGTCACTCATTCCTGTTCTGCTTCATGCATCATTTTGTTGCAAAAAAGAGTTTGAGGATGCCCCCAGTAGAAGGATTGCAAATTTTTATGAGTAGGTGCGTCAAGTTCTTTGGATGCAAACTGCAAGTGGGGAAGTCTTCGATTTCAATGTCACGTCGTGGCGTGTTAATGCAGTGCTTGGTCGTATAACAACACGCAGAAGAATTTGAATCTTTACGAGTAGTCCACTCTTTCTCCTCCTCTTGCAAAGAACGTGCGTGGTGTGCCTCCACCTTGAGCAGCAAAAAAAAGCAAAAAAAAGTTCGTGCTGCTGCACGAGACTACAACTAGTTGCAGGCGTCTAATACGGATATCCAAAAGAAGAGACTCAACAAGCGTGACCGACAAAAGAAGAGAACTCAGCAGTCACCAGGATCGCCGCAGAACCTCCAGAAGCACCTATAATTACCAATCACGACAACAAATATTTCGCGAACAGGATGCGGACTGAGTAATATTTCTTCTTCTTCTTTTACTGGATTCACATTATCGGGTTAGTTACTTTGAAGTCCCTTCTAGTTCGATTCCGGCGTCATATGGGTTTGAATTTCTTGTCATCCAGCATCAGAATTAAATTTCCAAATTTCAAAACTAAAACACACCAGCATTGCGAGTGGTCTCACCTTGGCGAAGAGTACTAAATGGGCCGTTTTTCAAGAACAACAGTGCCTCAGGAAAAGAGGACAACAGGCATACGAAGAGAAACTACAGAAAGAAGAAAAACTTCAGTTACGAACTCACTCGTAATTTTTTTAGTTAAGTACCCACCTTGAATAAATGTAGTATGAAATTCCTCCACGCTAATTTTACTCTTGATTCTCTCTTTTGCTCAGGACCATTGAACTTTTTTTTACTTGTCTTTGAATGACTGACCTAGACGACGACTTGTTTTAGACCTTATTAATATTTGACTCTCTGTCAGCTAAGCCCGATAGCTACTCCACCTATTAGCCTGCCACTTACGAGGACCACCACGGAGTGTCATACTAGATTATAGCCACTCCTATTAGCCACTTACGAGGACGACCAGACTAGATTCGTTTTAGTCCTTTTTTTCAGGTTGGTAGTCTTGAATATCTCCCGACTTCCTTGAAGATGACAACCTCCTTAGTAGAACAGTGGTGTTCAAGGAAGTCTAACCTCCTTGAAGATGACAGCCTCCTTTAGTGGTTCATCCGAAAGGGTGTTGTCATCGTAGCGGTCGTTCAAGCTTTTTTCGCGTGCTGTGCGTTGCTTTTTTTTTGTGCTGTGCTTTGCTTTTTTTTTGTGCTGTGCTGCAGTTTCTTTTTTTGGTCCGAAATGTTTAGTTTAGATATATATTCACGTCTCGTCCCGACTCTCTTGAAGATGACAACTATCAGGAGGGGTGGTACTATTTTGATCGCCGGCCTTTAACAATGCGACGCCAAGCGAGGCAAGCGGCACAAGGCATCTTTTCAGCAATAGACGCGGAGAGGGGTAAGATTTTGACTCCATTCAACTCTTGGCAGAAACGTCAGTGAAGAAGTCAAACGGTGTTGACATAGATGAAAGTAGTAGCAGACGTAGATGTAGTTTCTACGCCTCCTAGTCGTACTAGTACTAGTCGTGTACAACAGCTGGGCAGCTGTTGCACAAATCGCAGGAGAAATATAAAAAACAACTTACTAGTTCTAGTAAGTACTAAACGAAAACTTATGGTAGTACTTCGCAAACTCAACCTCAACCATGATCGTCTTTTGATACCAGCTTCCTTGAGCGGATCGGAGAGCTATTCTGGTGCAGGGACGACTCATTCCGGTGCAGGAGATGAAAGCGACTTATGAAGAGAACATGCGTTTGCTCTTTTTTCTACCTCCTACTACAACTCCTTAATACAACGTTTACATGCTCACTCTTCTCGCGTACATCGGAAAAACACGCGGATGTAGTTGTGGTTGTCCATATTTGTGGCTATTATTATAATCGGCAACGACACCATTACCCTAAAAAGCCGCCCATCTTCCTCTAACTCCCCAAGAAGTGAGACGAATCGTGAGAGAAAGACGACGCTCCACCAGACCAGCGTGGACAACTAATGGCTACAACCTAAACTTCAACCGTGACGTGTTTAGGCCATTAGAGGGTTATGCAAAACAAAGAGCGACCATCTACGAATGGGAGACAAGTACTAGTTTGCTTCTAAGTAACCTAAGCACATCAACATGTAGGTGTGCTATAAATTACTTCAATCATGATCTTCTAGTTCTACGATTTAGTAGTTATGGGAGTAGACACGTACTATTTTACTTCAACAAGAACAATTGAGGAGGTCCGCTAATATCGAGAAGGACTACTAGAAAAATATTCGCCATCCTATCTTCTCAGGAGAACCCGACGAATTTCGGAAGGCGGCGATGCAGCTACCACAGGGTATAGCTTGTAGCTCTACCGGTTCCCTGAGCAAACGTCAGGATCTGCGACTTTCGAAGTAGAATACCTACACATCTACTTCACATTCACAACACGCACGCTCAAGAACGTCATCCGCCTGCTGCTGCATAATAAGCATATTAGCTCAAGTCATCATCTTTATCTTGGCTGATGGCGAATATCGACATGATGTCATAACACCACCGACTCACAGACGCACAGATGACACAATGATCAACTACGACGACGTTTTCTGTTAGACATATAGATACGGAACAAGAATTGATGCGTCCCTCTCGAGTCTGTTCTCCTGAGGATGCAAGTTCTTGTTTTTTCGTGTCATGATAGAGGATGTAAGAATCTTCCACATAAAATTTGGCGTACGAATTTGATTCCAGAAGTGTTGCGAATCAACGGTAGTGTCGAGAGTGAGGAGAGAGACAGTGAGTGGCGTTGCCGCGTCCTTGAATAATCCAAATGAAACCTCCTCTGTGGTGACTACAGCCTGGCATCTGTTGGGCGCATGCGTCGAGAAGGAAGATCTGTAGAGGTAGACCAGCAGGATGAAGATCTCTCGCGGCAATGATGCCCGACGAGTGGCTTGTTCTCTCTCCTAGTACGAGGGTACTTTTATTTGATTGTGCTTGATCTGTAGTTGTAGTATTTCTGTCCCCCCGGGTACCACCAAGAACAGAGTCGTGAGTTGTGAAAAGATTGATAAGTAACAGCATAGTTAGCAAGAGCAAGTTTAGCCGTCTCCATGCCCAAACAGGTCATTAACTACAACATCACATTCCATTTCTCAATTTTCATTCTCCTGATTGTTTGTTCTTCAAAAGTCCTTACTTTTTCTTGATGTGCTACTACTTCTAACTAGGCTTGGAATTGCTATTCAGCCGTTCTTGTACAGCTAGTCGTCAAAGAGTCATCAATCTGTTTGATTTAAGTATCCATAAGCGTCTACGTCATTACTTTCTTTTCCTACTGCTTGTGCTAGCGTCACTTACATTATAAGCAGATAGCAATATAATTAGCATTCATCTTGATCCACGATCGTTCTCTCACTTGTTCTTCAAAACATACGAATAAACGCAAAAACTCCATTACACGACAAAATGGCGGACGCGACTGCCCCTTGTGTCGTTATCGGAGGTGGTTTGGCTGGCATGGCTGCCGCGAGTACGATCCTGGAGAATGGTGGGAATTACGGCAGTAGTGGTAGTAATAATTCTTTTTCGTTGACGTGGACCACGTTTTCTAATTGTACTACTTCTCGGGCTCTTCATGATGTTGATACTTCTACTTGAGAAAGTCATGAACAACTTGAACACTTCCTCTTCTTGGGTTCTGCATCGTCATCAGAGCTAGTTCTTCTTCGGATGAAATCAAGTATGTAATTATAAATACTTCGGGTTTGAGTACTAGATTATAAATAAATCTTCGGGTTTATTCGGGTAGAAGTTTGAGTACAAGAACTAGTTCTTCGTCCTCTAAGCAAAGGTAGTCTTGTTGGAGAAATGTTCCTCTTGCGGTGGCAACTCTGTCAAAGCGGCTTCTGGTATCAACATCGTAAACACGCAAGCTCAGAAGGATCAAGGCATTGAAGACAGCGTCGAACAGTTTATTTCGGATTGTGTAGCGGGTGGCGCTCCAAGGAATTATTCTTCGACAGACAAACTGAAGATTTTGGCCGAGAACAGTGTCCCGGATTGCGACTGGCTGAAAAAGGTGTTCAGCGTGGATTTGTTCTCGGCGAAAGTAGCGCGTCTGGGTGGCCACTCGGTTCCGCGGACGCACCGTAATGCACCTACAGCTACAGGAGAGAGTCAACAATTGCCAGGCCTGGCCATCACTTCCGCTTTGATCAAAATGGTCGAGAAAATCGCACAAGAATCCAAGGGGGAAAAAGCCAAGATCATCACTAATGCCAAGGCCACGGAACTTATCTTCGAAAACGAGGAAAAAGTAACTGGCGTCAAATACGAAAAGGACGGGGAAACGGTCAAGCAGATGGGAGCTGTCATTATCGCCACAGGCGGATTCGGAGCGGACTTTTCTAGCACCACGGGTTGCTTACTTGAGAAATATCGACCAGACTTGCTTTTCGACCCCACCTCCAACGGCGAGTTCGCGACTGGTACTCTATTCAAGTGTAATCCTCATGTTGTTCATTTTGTCAACATAAGATCATATTAATGTTGTTCGTGGCTAAGTAAAACAACCGGTTAGTTTTCACCTCTACGGGGAAATCTAAGGCAGATCGTCGAGTAGATTATAACATCATCAGTTTTCACCTCTACAAACTTAGGCTTATCCCGTGCAACAATATTGTTGATGGCAGAGATCCACCTTTTTTATTATTTTTACTGCTCCTAGGAACAAAAATTTCTTCCAGAGTTAGATAGAATTATATAAGAGCTACGCCTACGATTTATATTTACCTTGTTGCATGAGTATGACTCATTAGAATTGAAGCGAAACGACGTTCCTCTTGACTAACTCTATTAACATGGAGATGACCTCCACGTTGACTACAAAATGACCTCCACGTTGAATTTGACGTGATGACATTGACACTGACGTGAATTGGCATTGACTTTGGCATTCACTTTGGCATTGACAGGAGACATTGACATTGACAGGTGACGGCATCAAGATGGCTCTGGAGATCGGTGCTCGTACTGGCGATCTCCACCAGGTCCAGTGTCACCCATTAGGTTTGATCAACCCCAAAGACCCAGATGCTAAGGAAAAGATGGTGGCGGCTGAGGCCCTTTGCGGTGCTGGTGCCCTCATCTTCGACAATGGTGGGAAGCGGTTTGTGAATGAGTTGGGTCCACGAAATTACATGACGAAAACGATGCAGATGAACTACGAAACTCCTTTGCGTCTATTGATCAACAAAGTACTAGTCGGTTTCTTCTTCACATTATACATAGACCTTAGGCTGAGATGCAGATGACATCTTTCACTTTCCGTCTGTTGATTAACAAATGAGTACTTCTTACTTTTTTTTGTATATATAAAGAAACATGATCAGTAGCTTCTTCGTCTTCAAGATATTAACTACAGCTTGATCACTGATTGAAGATATTAACTACATACTCTAGGCCGCTTCCGAGGAGATGGAGTTCTATTGTAAGTATTACACTGCAAGCGGACACATGAAATTTTACGAGAATGGTGCGGCATTGGCTAAGGAATGGGGCGTTCCGGTTGAAACATTGGCTGAAGTCCACGAAGCTCACTACCAGGCTGCCAAGAAGCAGGAAGAAGACCCAGAAGGCGGAGAATTTCCAGCTTATCTTAAGGCATGATCTTTCTTGTTGAGAACACACACAGAGCACAAAAAAAATACTCCTTCAACTATTTTTTGTTCGGCGACGACACTTTATTTCTAAAGGGAAAGAGGAAGATGAGCTGCAGGAGCACCTCCCCTGTCCTATCAAGGAAGATGTCTCTCATCATTCAAGATGAGTCATTTACGCAACTCTCATCATTCAAGATGAGTCATAACCCACTTCATGTTCATAATGACATTTTTTTACGCAACAAGCTAACAAGCTCTAATGATCCCGATGGCCAATCATGGGACAAGCCTTCTGGTTCCTGGGGTGTTGGCGACAATGCCAAGAAGTTCTATGCCAACGTGATTCCTGGAGAAAAATTTGCTGAAGAGCCGTTCTACGTTGCTACCATCACTCCGGAGGTTATTCTTAAGGCTTAGCATTCACATTAAAGACGTCTTATTAAAGGTCCTTTCGTGTTCATACTAAAGGCGAAGAGTATTCGGGGATTTTTAGTATTCTTTTTTAATAGAGTACTATTGAGGGAATTTGATCCATGATGGAATCTTCCACCCATCTTAGTTTTATATTTATATAATTCTGGAAGATGCTGGCATTGGGGAGAACTATGGACATATGCAGAGGAAGAACTGCATTGATATTTTGCAAGCTCTAATATTTACTACTGCCTGGGCGGTCTGGAGTGTACGACTAATGCGGAAGTCGGCGGCAACATTAAGGGTGAGAAAGTGCCAATCCCTTTATGGTCAGCTTTTATCCATCTTTTTCGACATCTTCTGGATACCTTTTCTCCCCCTGTATTTTGCTCATGAAATACAAGAGGAAAGGGACCAAGATGAGGGGGCCGAGATGCATTCTAGCACACGCTAATCCCTGGCCTCTACGCTGCTGGGCAGGTGATGGGAGGGATCCACGGCAAAAACCGCCTGGGTGGAAACGCGCTTCTCGACAGCCTTGTCTTTGGACGTATAGCGGGAAAAGCGTGCGCGAAATACACGCTGGGGGAGGAAAACTTGAGGGAAACGGATTTGAAGGTACTTCATATTACGCATCATTTTTAGAGGAATATAGATCGTGCTTCAACAGTCTTCATGAAAAATATGTTTAAAGGAATAAAAGTTGTCTACTCGTCTGACATCGCTCTTAATATGTTCATAAGTAGAAGCTAGAGCTACAGCTAGTAGTGCACCCCCTTGTCCTAGTCCGTCTAAGGAGAACATCAAGGATTCAACATGATCTTCTACTGAGTCTATTCTTGACAGCTACTTCTCATCAAGAACTTCTCAACGAGAACTCTCTCATTTTCCAACTTCCACTTTGCAGGTTTTGTCTGGCGCCATTCCCAAGACGGCGAATGCGACAGGTGAAACGAAGACAGCGGTTCCGCGCAAGGCTGGGTGCTGCCCTAAGAGAGCTGCCTAAAAACAGGAACAAGGGTGCTTTCCAAGAGTCGCCAATGGAAAACGACTTTGGAATGGCGAGATGGGAACGACGTGGCCGTGGAGTTGTTTCGTTCTTATATTAAGGGTAGGCTAAAGGTGCTTTTGTTACCGTTTGTTATGGCTCTCCTAAGGGGGACAGCCATAACAAGCGGGATAAACGAACGCCAAGAATATAACCTACGTCTAATTATAATACAAGACTTTGGAAGAGTCGGCTCGTCAACAGCAGAGTGCACTTGTAGTTGTTTAGTTCAAGATGTGGACTACCTGTATTTCATTGAAGCTGCATAAATGGTTTACCTTATTACATGATACGATGCCACTCTATAACATAACAGAACCTGCACAATAGCATTTCTAGACTTTTAGTCATCCACGCGTGATGATACCTCATCGTGAACATGATGCGCAACATGTCATATTCTTTGTTGATCTATACAAATTTAGCGAGATTTTGTCGCTTTCGTGGACTAGTACTAACTTTTTTTAGCTGGACCGACTGTACGCATAATGTGAACGTTCTGCTTTGCTGCATAGAAGTTAACAAGTGTGGTCGCTAATGGCGGCATAGTTGCATTTGATCTTGCATTTACGGACGATTTTGAGACAGACACTAGAAAAATATGAAAAGTCGCGGGTTGTTTATAAACATGAATAGCTACTAAGAACCAGTAAAGAGCAAAGTTGCAACTTTACTCTTTGTCTTTTTGGTTCTTTTCGAAATTACGAAGCGGAAGAAGAAGATGATTATAATTTGAACTTCTGTATGTGTATGATTTTACGCGAAAATCACAAAGACAGAGTCATCAAAGATACTTCAAATACAACTAACGCATATTGAACTGAAGACAAGAATCGACGTTGTGCGGGCAGCCGCACAGGAAAAGACCATTGTGTGGTCGAGGATGCCACAACCAGGAAATAGCCAATTTGCAATTTTGATCTTGTTCTGCTTCTGAGGAGATGCATACTTGTAAGAGACTAACTGAGTGTTTTTCTCGACGAGAGACGATGGAAGATGCTGGTACTAGCGTCTTGATATACGACCGTGAGTTAAAAATATGTGCAAGTGCCACCTATTTGGTGGAATGAAAAAAAAAATTAGAATAAAGCAAGTGAAAGTGTTCGTGTTGTTGACCATAGAGATCTCCTGCGAGAGGACGAGTGACCACCAAATAAAGATGTTCTGGCATTTTTTGAGGCACGAGAATTGAGCAAGTCCTTTGTTATTGCTGAGCCACGAGTATGAGCATCAGATGATGTTTCAATGTGACGAGAGACCTTGTTGATGTTTGACTTTGATGCCTCAATTTCCTGATGACCTAGATGATGAGGTGAGAGTCAACGGACTACATTGTCACGAGACACGTTGATGTTTGACGCTTCAATCTAGACCTAGAGTCTCTCTTTTGTTTCTTCTGCTTCTCTCATAGTGCTGGAGAGACGAAGACGATATTGTAGTCAAAATCGTCTTCGTCAATCATCGTGCAAGAAAAAGAATCAATTATGTATCCGTCGTCATTCTTCTTTTCATAGGAGTGTTGTTGGGCAAGAAAAAGAGGATTTTATTGTTTTCTTCCCTGCATCAGGTTGAAGAGTAATAACTTTAAAACCCGTTGTATGTTGAAGTTCATGATTATTTTTTGAGAATTTTGAGGACTTCCCTTGAACTTGTCCTATCGCGAAGATTTTCGTTTCTTCGTATTGAAGTTAGAAATAGCTGGTACAACTTCGTCAGGGCAATGCATTGATTTTAGTCTTTTTAAGCTTCTGAGAAGTAAAAGAGTCGTGTACAAAGTGCTATCAACAACACATCAATTTACCATTATTTTCTGGTTTCAATTCCAAAGAAGATCTAAGTATTTTTAGTCCTAGTTGCAGTTCAAGTCGGAGTATAAATCGATTTTTTTTTCTCAAGCTATTCTCCACCTTTCTCTAACGACCTTCATCGATCTTCCTCCAAAAAAAATAGGACGAACAAGATTCGAGTAAGCAATAGGTTCCTCATTGCTGAACCTGAACCTGCTGTAGCTGTTCACTCCATTATAATTCTTAGTACAGATTTTTTAGTTGTGCACAAGCACAACATCTGTAAATAAAAGCATATCAATCTACATAGACTTATAGAGAATCCACATCAAGTTCGTTGTTGGATCGTGTAATAAAAAAGACCGATAAGATGTCGACTTGTGTCGTGTTAGGAGGTGGGCTGTCCGGTATGGCCGCAGCCAACACCGTTATGGAGCATGGTGGTAAGGTGGTTTTGCTCGATAAGAGCGCTTTCTGTGGTGGTAATAGTACCAAGGCCACCTCCGGTATCAATGGCGCAAACACGCAGACTCAGCGTGCGAAGGGCATCGAAGATAGCGTCGAGCTGTTCGCCTCCGATTGCCTAAAAGGTGGGGCTAAGAAGCCGGAACTGGTGCAGGTTTTGGCCAAGAATAGTGGTCCGGATTGCGACTGGTTGATGGACGTCTTCGGCCTCGACCTCTCGCTCGTCGCGCGTCTGGGTGGTCACTCCGCTCCGCGTACGCATCGTGGCAAGGAGCGCTTCCCGGGTATGACCATCACCTACGCTTTGATCCAGATGGTCGAGAAGATCGCGGAAAAAACCAAGGGAGAAATCGCGCAGGTGATTACCAAGGCGAAGGCCACCAGCTTGATCTTCACTGGTGGAAAGGTTGTCGGCGTCAACTACGAGAAGGGTGGACAAATTAAGGCTCAAATTCAACCAATCATCAACTTACAAACAGATGCAACAGATGAAAAGTTGCCATCAAGATGATATTCTCTACCATAAGTCCTTCTACAACCAGTTGCTTTTATTGGAAGAATTAAAGTTACATGATCTCGTAACTATAGTTAGAAGTTGTTAATTATGATCTTATAATAGTGACTTCTTAATAAACCTCCCATTCACGACCTTTTCCTTTTCTACCTCTAAAAAGAGCCTTCAGCAGATGGGACCAGTCATCATCGCCACTGGTGGATTCGGCGCTGACTTTTCTCCCGATTCCCTGCTCGCCAAATATCGTCCGGACTTGATGCACTTGCCCACCTCCAATGGCGAGCACTGCACTGGTACAAATCCTTAGTTTGTTAATTGTTATCAGTCCTTGATGACGAAGTACCACAAGAACTTCTGCTAGTAGTACTACTTTTACCAACCTCAACAACGACGCAGGATACACGACGACTCAAGATACACAACGACTCAAGATACAATATAAGTAGGTGCTAAGGTTAACAGTAGCACAAAGTACATAGTGTCCTTTTCTGTGGTTGTGGGTTTATTATTATTTGGTGTTACTTATAAGCATAAATTTACTTGTTTTCCAATGTGGTCCTCATACAAAAGGTGACGGCATTAAGATGGGTGAGAAGATTGGCGCTCGCACCATCGATCTGGAGTGGGTGCAGGTTCACCCGACTGGTTTGGTCAACCCGAAGGATCCCGATGCGAAGGTGAAGTTCCTGGCTGCTGAGGCGCTTCGTGGTGTCGGTGGTCTCATCTTCGATGCTGATGGAAACCGTTTCGCCAACGAGTTGGGCCGCCGTGATTACGTCACCGGCGAGATGTGGAAGAACAAGGGACCCTTCCGCCTTTGCTTGAACAAGGTACTACAAGTGCCAAGGCCAACAACTATTTCCATTTCCAATGACGACATTTCCCTTTCAACTACATTGCCATGAATAAAAACAGGCCGCTTCCGATGAGATCATTTGGCATTGCAAGCACTACACCGGACGTGGTGTTATGAAGTATTACGAGTCTGGTGCTGCTTTGGCCAAGGAGCTGGGTGTCCCGGTTGAGCGGATGGCGGCTGCCCACGACGCACACTATGCTGCGGCCAAGAAGCAGGAAGCCGATCCGGAAGGCGGCCCATACCCGGCTTATCCCAGTGGTAATGATAGATCAGATTGAGATTCAATAGGAAGACATAGCATAGGAGGAAAATCAACATGAACAACTAGAACTACAAGGTTATTCATCATCTGCTATTTCGTGTCCTTTTTTCTTGATGACAACAATAAATATCATCGACATGACGTGTCGATGACAACAAAAAAATTCAACTTTTTTTCCAGGTCGCACGTGGGATGAGCCTTCTGGGAAGACCGGTTCCGGTAAGAAGTTCTTCCATAACATGATCACCGGCGCTCAATTTGCCTCTGAGCCGTTCTACGTTGCTATCATCACCCCCATCATCCATTATTGTATGGGCGGTTTGGAAATCACAGCCAGTTCGGAAGTTATCGGCTCGAACGGACGTCCTATTCCGGGCCTCTATGCCGCTGGGGAAGTGATGGGCGGCGTCCACGGAAACAACCGCTTGGGTGGCAACTCGTTGTTGGATTGCGTCGTGTACGGACGCGTAGCAGGAAAGGCGTGCGCCAAATACATGCTGGGAAGCAACATCAAGGAAACTGATCTGCAGGTAGTTCAAGTTTATTTTTTTCCATTAAAACATGAAAATGAATTTGAATGCGCTAAGTAATGTCAGAACAGTAGAACAACTGGACCCATAGCTTCATGTGCGTGTGCCACGACGTGCAAGTAGTTCAAGCAAACTCAAACTCAGAACTACAAGTTATAATCTGCAAGAACAGAGGTCCTCTTCCCCATCTAAAAACTTAAACTTACAACCACCTACGTACCATCACTATGTACAAGGTCTTGTCTGGTGCGGTCTCCGATAGCTCGGACACCTGTGTCGTGTTGGGTGGAGGCTTGTCCGGCATGGCTGCTGCCAACACAGTGATGGAGAACGGAGGAAAAGTAGTGTTGCTGGACAAGAGCGCCTTCTGTGGCGGTAACTCGACTAAGGCGACCTCCGGTATCAACGGCGCCAACACCAAGACTCAGCGCGCCAACGGCATCGAAGATAGCGTTGAGCTTTTCGCTTCCGATTGCCTGAAAGGTGGCGCTAAGAAGCCCGAACTGGTGCAGGTTTTGGCCAAGAATAGTGGTCCGGATTGCGACTGGCTGATGGACGTCTTCGGCTTGGATCTGTCCCTCGTCGCACGTCTTGGCGGGCATTCCGCTCCGCGTACGCACCGTGGCAAGGAGCGCTTTCCGGGTATGACCATCACCTACGCTTTGATCCAGATGGTCGAGAAGATCGCGGAAAAAACCAATGGCCAGTACGCCCAAGTGATCACAAAGGCTCGCGCAACCGGCTTCATCTACAAGGGCGGCGCCGTTGTCGGTGTCAACTACGAAAAGGGTGGCCAAAATCTCAAGCAGATGGGACCAGTCATCATCGCAACTGGTGGCTTCGGAGCCGACTTTTCCCAGGATTCGCTGCTCGCCAAGTACCGCCCAGATCTCATGCACTTGCCCACTTCAAACGGAGAACACTGCACTGGTGACGGCATCAAGATGGGTGAGGCGATTGGTGCTCGCACAATCGATCTCGAGTGGGTGCAGGTTCACCCGACCGGCTTGGTGAACCCGAAGGACCCCGATGCAAAGGTGAAGTTCCTCGCTGCCGAGGCGCTCCGCGGTGTGGGTGGTCTTATCTTCGACGCTGATGGCAACCGCTTCGCCAACGAGTTGGGTCGCCGCGATTACGTCACCGGCGAGATGTGGAAGAACAAGGGGCCCTTCCGCCTTTGCTTGAACAAGGTACTAAAACTAACTTCGTGTCTAAAAAAAATACTTATTCTGCCGGCTCAACCATGTTTGCTTTATCCCGCAATGCGGACAAGAACTTGAAGCTTCATAATTCCTCACATCAGAAGAATATCTTCAAAATCATATTTCATGTCATTGACTACTTATTTCAATTTCTACTCTAGCATTCCACCTAGTACAACAACTGCAGCAACAATTCATCATTCCTAGTACGACTTGTTCAGGCCGCATCCGATGAGATTATCTGGCACTGCAAGCATTACACTGGACGTGGTGTAATGAAGTACTATGAATCCGGTGCGGCTTTGGCTAAGGACCTGGGAGTGCCAGTTGAGCGGATGGCTGCTGCCCATCAAGCTCACTACGAGGCCGCACAAAAGCAGGAGAAGGACCCGGAAGGCGGACCCTTCCCGGCCTACCCGAGTGGTGCGATTTATTTACCTTTCCTAGAGATCATGTTGCATCAGAACTAGTACATCTAGTACGTAAAGATGTAGTTGTATTCAGTCTACTAGTTGTTTCAGGAAACCAGATGAGCTTCTTCTAACATGATAAAGTGTTGTTCATTGTTCGTTCCAACCACTACGACGAACTCGAATCTCCACCACGATACTAGGTCGCACGTGGGATGAGCCGTCTGGCAAGACCGGTTCCGGTAAGAAGTTCTTCCATAACCATATTACTGGAGCCCAATTCGCTTCGGAGCCGTTCTACGTTGCCATCATCACTCCGATTATCCACTATTGTATGGGTGGGTTGGAAATCACTGCTAGCTCCGAAGTCGTTGGCAGCAATGGAAAGCCGATCCCGGGTCTCTATGCCGCTGGCGAAGTGATGGGCGGTGTCCACGGAAACAACCGCTTGGGTGGCAACTCGTTGTTGGATTGCGTCGTGTATGGCCGTGTTGCGGGTTTGGCGTGCGCCAAGTACATGCTGGGAAGCAACGTCGTGAAGACGGATCTCAAGGTAAGATTTATACAACGAGATACTGTACGCCTAACCTCGTGGGTATTTGTTGTTGTAGAAGAAAGATAATGATTAAATCATCTTTTATTTTTTTTGAAGATTGAAGCAAGTACTATCGGACCAAATTAATAAACAAAAACATATCCAGCACCATCTTCCTTCTTCTACCTTTCGAAAACAGGTCTTGTCCGGCGGCGGCGTCGTCGGTGGTGGTACTCAGAAGAGCGCTCTCTCTGGCGGGAGCTACGAGGATGACGGCAACAAGGCTGCAGCTGCTCCGGCTGCCGCAGCTGCCACGTCTGGAGGTAGCAAGTACACACTCGCGGAAGTCGCGAAGCACAACAACGACAAGGACTGCTGGGTAGTGGTGAATGGGCAGGTGTTGGATGTGACCAAGTTTCTGCCGGATCATCCCGGAGGTGCATTGGCCATCGTCACCTTTGCAGGAAAGGACGCCACCGAAGAGTTCAACATGATTCATCCACCAGATGTCATCGGAAAGTACGCTCCGGACGCGGTCATCGGTGCACTGGATGATGGAAAGTTATGTGCTAGTGACAGTCAACATTAACAGGTATATATACAAGAGGTAAACCAAAACTCTATAGGCTTTTCCTATAGGAGCCCTATAGGAGGCTCTATAGGAAACGCCTATTAGGGCCTTCGTATAGGGACCCCCTATAGGACCCCGTATTTGAGACCGCGGACTTATAGGAAGCCTTATAGGCATCTCTATAGGTCATCGGTGCACTGGATGATGGAAAGTTATGTGACACTCAATCCAGTGCACCGATGACAGTCAACATATAGATGACACAAGTTGTTAGTCCACCTAAGTAGTCTTATAATCATTCTGGTTCTTCTTGAGTATCAGTACCTATCACGCCATTTATTCTACTCCTTTTTGACTTATTATTGGGAGCTACAAGAATTTGCAACATGACTTCTACCTCCTGATTTCGATTTCCCTTACAACTACGTACTTTTTCTAAGAAAATCTGCTCCTGCCGCTGCGACTACGACCGCAAAGCCGTCTGCTGCTGCCTCGACAAAGGAAGCAGCGAAGGGAACAATGCACTGCATCCCGATGATGATCTTGACTCCTTTGGCGATCTTGGCTCTTCCAGCTGCTATGGTCGTCACCGCCATCTGCGGATAGGTCGTCACTGCGATGTGGGAATAGGTCAGTACTATCTGCGGATACAAAGACAAATAATGAAGATGGGAGTACTATTGGTAATAAGTTGGTAAAAACATAAGAAGGTAAGAAATTGAAATGGGAAACAACTACTGGGAGTACAACTACAACTAGAACCATGATGAGAAAAGGGATACGGAGGATATACACAGGGGGGATGGACATGCAGGAAGTTTGATGCAAAGTCAAAGGCAAGCACACAACTGACTGTAAGATCAGTGATGTTCGCCTGTAGAGAATTGATCAGATTCATTTTCATAGTAGGAAAAAGAGTTGGACATCCTCTACTACTTCGTTGTTCTTTAAACGTTAGTAAGGAGTTGGAGGTGCATTCTGTTAAGCAATTAAAGTTAGTACTATCAGTTCAAGTAGAAGTTCTGAAGAAACCATTTGACACCTGAAATAAATTAGTCCAAGTTTATTGACGAAGAATGTCAATGTTCAAGAAGAAGAAGTACTATTTGTGTTTGAAGACGGTCATGAAGATTAGATAGTAGTATTACTAAGTTAATAGACTAGGTGATGTAGTTTTTTACTGTACAGTGGATTTCGACACACCGACACGATGTTGACCCTGTTGACAAAGACATAGAAACCGTGGACACGACACAGAGGCTGATAACCTTCTTCGTTTCGTTTAGTGAGATCAAAGCCCTCCTTTTCCTATACCGGGAGCTGAGATCATACATCGAAATCAAGTCGGAGTTATTGTTATCATCCTTTCCTTAGTTCGTACTCGGATAGCTGGTTTTTAGGACTTCATCACTTCAAGTGTTGTCGTTGTCGTCCATGAGGCTGGTAGAACTAAAGCTTGTGTACTATAGAAGAAGGACTGCATTATCATTATCTTCTAATTTTGTGTAGGTGTACTAAAAACATGATCTGTTTTAGATTTCTTGAATGCTCTACCTAGTCTATAGGAGTTGTAACAGGGTCGTTATAATTAATTCATATAAAGCGTTGCTTTATGCCATGTCGCTACGTACTTGTTGTGTAGATTGTTTTAGTTTCAAGAAATTCAAATTTTTCGTTGGTCTTGGTGCTTGGCCGTGCTTGGCCCGACGGGCCGGAGAAGCGTGTTGTTGATATATCATTCATGGTATTCTTCATCAGTGTCCCCTTGGTCGGCGTCCTTGTTGCCAGCACTCGCCACGTCGATGACGATGTTTCAGTGTGATGCTTCCTGTATTTAAATAGTGTTTCAAAATTCAAAAAATCTCGTCATTTTTATGTACGATGACGCGACACGAACACGATCAAGTACAACAACTTCTTAATTTAACACCATAGACATAGTCGTGAAGTAGATGCAAACTTTTTGATGAAAATGAATCAACCGGTAGTCTGTCGAACCTGATGAAGAAAGACCTTTCGTTAAGAAAGAGAAGACTGCTTAGAATGAGGAGTAACTTGCGAAGAAAGCACTCATAATTAAGGAGAAGAAATCAATCTATTCCTAGATGACCATGGTGGTCACCTGCTGCAAATTGTAACAAAAGGCGTTCTCTTCAAAAACATAAGGGAGGTATAATTGTAACAAAAGGCGTTCTCTTCAAAAACATATTTTTAAGGGAGGTAGATTATATTTTTATGTCTGACTGCTAGCTAGGCTTAGGCAGTTTGTTATAGAGAAAAAATCCATGAGTATGAGGCGAAAAATACTGTATTTCTGATGTTGACGAATAGGATAGAAAGTCAAAGAACTACATCAAGGGAACTAGAATCTTGTTCAATCGAAAACTCAATCTTTTGAAAATGTTGATATACGAAGAAACTGCACTTTCATCAGGAGAATCGATCAAAGTATCGGAGTGATTAACGCAAACTCGGAACAGCGAGAGTGTACTATGAGTTTATTGTTGCCAGGAGGCGGAAATGGGTCTGTTGTTCTTCATGTCGTGAGTCTGGACCTCCAAATATATCGATGATCCAAGTTAACAAATCTTGACGATTCCATGATTCTTCACGATGATCAGCAACAATTATATATTGTTATGCACGATGATCAGCAACAGAAGAATGCTTGCTTTCTCTGCGCCCACCCGAGCTGGTGCGTCGAACAAAATCGCAAAATTTGTAATTGTAAAAAAGAGGGGAACAACCTGCTAATTAATTTGTCTTTTCCACTGCGCGAATGGGTACACTGCTACGACTACTTTGCGTAGCCTAGTCTTAATTGTCATCCTCTCTTGAGACCAGGACGACCTATCTCATCATTAGTCGAGGTAGAAGACATCCTTCCCATATCATCTTTCGTTCAACAACATCAACATCAACTACAACACACAGTCACAGTACGAGTCGTACTTCAAGTTCAAAGAGAACAGCAAAATGTCTTCGTACATCGATGGTCTTTCTAAGGACGTGCAGGAGCTGGAGTCTCTTGTCGCGATTGCAAAACGACCTGTCGTCAAGAAGCTACTCGAGACACAATTGGCACAGAGCCGAGTCCAGCTAGATGCGTCTAGGAAGAACGAGGAAAGTGCTAGACCTGTGGTACTAATTGAAGATGTCACATTACGGCAATTTCCCCAATGAACTTGCTTAGTAACGCCGCGGCAGCGGGCATGATCCGTGGCTGCTTTTTGGTGATACTTGATAGTATATCGCTCGGTTTGCTTGCTCTTCTTAGAAGGTACAGGCAGACTGAGACAACTTCTCTTTCAATAAGTTACTTTGAAACACGAGAGGTTCCATGACATGACATGACATAATCATGGTCCATCTTCCTCTTCAGAGAAGTCATCCTAGGAGACGAGTCTCTTTTCAAGGGGAATGTATGTACCCCTAGAATGGGTTTACTACTACTACTACTACTACTACCTAGGATGCATCTCGAGATGGACTAGGATGCATCTCGGGCTCTAATCACAGAGTCGATGGACGGAGCAAATGGAGTGGAGGATCACGATGTGGAGATGAAGAAAGCTGTTGTAACATCTACTTCTGCAGGTGGAGGCCCTGATGCGTCATTGAGATGGACAGATGTGACGATGTATGAGATGAAGAAAGGCAAGGGCTTCAACGACCCTCAAGTCATCGTTGACCTGAGACTGAAAGGTACTTGTTCTAGTACAACTACTACAGTTACATTTTTAGAAGAACTTCATCTTCTTGATGATGAAGCCAAATATGGACTCCTGCCGAGTTTTAACTAGAAACTCTGCTCTTGCTGGAGGGAGACGCTGATGCTGACAACGACCATTTGTTTCAGATCATGCCGAGTCATCATTTATGTCTACCATTTTCAGGTGTCGAGACCCTCTTAAAAGAAGCTGTGACGTGTGACTTCACGCACATGTCTTTAGACCTAAAGGTTCGTGGATTAGAGGGTGTCAATTACCGCTTCCGAAGACCAGCGCTCCTTCACGATATCATCGCGGCTGAAAGTTCGTTTTTGGTGAAAAAGAACCATGTTCTCATCACTTTGCAGAAAGAAAAGGGAGGAACTATGGGGTATTACTAATAGTGTACATGTTGGATATTATGAATTATGTGAAGGGGTACACTACTACTACTGAAGATGGCTGCTTGTTGCGGAACAAGGTATGTATTACTACAAGGAAGAAGAACCACACCGTGTCCGTGAATATTAGCTTGATTCTAATCGAGAAAAAAATGTTGTTATCGTCATTTCTGTCCACCACAAATCCACAACCCAAATCTCCAATCAACCAGTTACGAGACCTGGAACGATCTCCATGGTCGAAAGAAGAACGAGGAGGAAAGAAAGCAAAAGAGCAAGGATCCAAGTGCAGGCATTATGTCGATGATGAAAGACATGTACGAGGATGGGGATGACCAGATGAAAAAAGTCATTGGCGAAGCAATGAGCAAGGCCTACAGTCGAAATAAAGACGATGATCCTATGGGAGGTATGGGAGGTATGCCAGGTATGGGAGGTATGCCAGGTATGGGAGGTATGCCAGGTATGGATTCTCTTGGTGAGGGGTTTTAAGAGCAGGCACAAGTCATGGAAAGCGAATATTCAATATGGTGCTTGACCCCGACACTTTTCAATTATGAAGATGGGCATTGCAACACTTGCTGCTTCCACAAACTCGTCCCTCCTTATTCTGCGTGGTCTCGTTCGTGAACCAGCGTGCGAAGGGACCTTATTCAACTACAACTTGACAACCCCAAGCTCCTATCCACTTCGCGGTTGTAGCGTCATGTCTACCAGCTCCCCCATTTCACTCCAAAAACCTGATTTCAGAGATACATTTAGTGAAGTAGAGCTGCACCACCGCGAAGATCAAGATAGTACTACGTCCACTCTAGAGATACTAGAGAAACGATGTTTTTTCAGAAGAGATCAATGCGAAGCTGTCCATTGATTGTCTCGTTTGAAGTTGCTCTTGTTCGGTTTTTGATCCTCTATTCGTCTTTTTTTCTGTCGTGTTACTTAATGGTACAGCTAGCCCTGAAAATGCGGTAGTTTTTGTTGGATCTGTCCTCAGACATCGACGTCTTCTGTGTAAGCAGTCCCTTCTGTAATCTGACATCTCAGCGTAATCTGCACTCCTGGTTGTGGTTCTGTCATGATATTTTTGTTCTAATGTTGATCCTTTGTTTGTTGGGCTTGCTTCGCACCTAGATTTCTGAAGTCGGTGTACCTCCTTAATTTTTAAACTATCTAAGCAAGATACTAGTAGGGTGCTCCGTCCACCACAAATATCTAAGCAAAATTTCATCACATATAATTGATTGCAGCCAGCACCAGCACCAGCATAACTAAGGACACCCCCAAAACGACTTGGGAGAACTTTTATGTCTGTTTTTTTCGAAGAGATGTTTATGCCGGATCCCGGCTCCTTGTCGATCTTTTTTTCAAATGTTTTATTTTTCATTGTTGTTGAGGACAAGAATTTAGTAGTGGCAAACCAGCGGCATCCGGGTCAACATCGTCATTCTTGTCCTACATGATCATACAAAATTACGTTTAGTAACCGTTACCGTTAGTCTTAGCATCAAAGCCAAACCCTTGTTCTTCAAACACAATTTTTAAATTCGACAAACTCCGATCATCCATCATCTAGTTGTATCGTCAACAGAGGCGGAAGCTTCCATCTTGATCGACTATGGCAGAGGACACGGATTATCTCGATGACCTGCAAGGGAGGTGGCAGACTAGCGATCAGGACTTCGTGGTCATAGTTAAGGCCTGAAAGACATTTACTTATATTTCCTGATTCGTTCGGAGATCGTTCGACGTAGTGGTCCCTATTTGCAATGCAATGCTAGCTAGAAATGAAACGTTTCAGCCTTTAACATTTAGGCGGATCAAGTCTGGTTTCTCGGAGACTCGCAGCTCTACGGCCACATAGAAGCGGAGAAGCAAAAGGATGGGCGGATCGTCATTATTATGGTGTTCATTTCCGATTCCGATGGATGCTACACTTCCAACTAGAGCAACAGACGTCTACTGTTTTCCACCCCTGTAAATATAATTTGGGACAACCACAGCTGCAAGAGATGATTTCTACTCCCCTCCCAACAAAACCAAAAAAATGGTAGCCCCTATACCTCGCGAATAGGTAAATCAATCTCAATCGAAGTTTCGGAAATGGGATCAGGATGGCCTGCTCTAATCTTGCTTTCTGTACCAGGACAATGATTTTGAACTTGCCATGTTGAAGTTGATGTTACGATCCTTTATTTCCTTCATCTACTTGTAGTATTTTTTACGGAGGTCGTTCATCTTGTACTTCCCCGGAGCATCATGATGATACGGACGTTAGTACACTGTAAAAGGTGTTTCAAACGTTGAGGGTATGTCAGCTTCAAGTTCAACGAGAAGTTGTGTATTACTAATTTCCTTGTTCGACGAGAAGGAGAACTGACGTTATAAAAGATTTTTATCCACCAACAAATCAGCACCGAAAACTGAAGGTGAGGAGTCAGTATCTGGAGGATTTGTAGACGTCGAAATGACCAGCATAATATGGGGCGATGGAGACGTATAACAAATACATCTTGTTTTGTCATTCGTCTAATTATACCATCAACCTCTTGCCCAAAATATTACGATGAAAACCAAATTGATTATGATTTAAGTTGTTAGATGGCTACAATCACGGCATACTCGTCCGTATGCATATACTAGATGAAGCCATGATCATCCCAAAAAAAGGTCTGGAAAAAGATGCTTCCTGGTGATGCTCAGAGTATCTCGGTGGATCGACAGCAGTCCATATCAGTAGCCTCTGCCACAGGAAAAACGATTGGCCGATTGAATAGTGGTTTGAGCTTTGAGCTCGACGAAGAGGGCCAAGAGAGACGCTGGACGAAGAATGGGCAGCTTGGGTCGCAAAGCATCAGTAACCAGAGCATTGCGGAAGAGTAGAGATGAAATGAACTTAAAAAGAGTAAGAAAGTAGGAGGTCGTTCCTGGAGTGTCTGCGCACACGCGATCATGATATCGACCTTGATACTGTTGATCATGTCTGCAGCCTTGATACAACTACTAGTAAGAAGTATGACTAGTCTTTTTTCTCACTCGAAGGCAGCCAGCGTAGGTAAAAAACGTAGCTGTTCATCACAGTAGAATATAGAACGAAAGATGATGTCCTGCAAGTAGACAACCAAAGAGAAAAACATCCTGCGGAAAAACTTTGTATTCATCATCACAGTCTATTTTTATGTGTCATCCATGCAGTAATAATGAATAAGCAATATCTTCTTTCTTACAGCAGACTCGACGAAACATCATGACGACTGAGACCACACGCTGTGCCATGGAGACCACTAGTACAAAAATAGCAGAAATTGAACAGATGATTCATATGACCGACTCGCACTCGCGGGTATTAAAACATGAAGATGAAATATCGTAGTTGTGCTGAAAAATTTGCACCAGCAGCTCTTGCTGTTATGCAACAGCGGTATTATACTTGACTCTACTCCTACTGCGTTTTCATTTTCTGGTGAAGGTGTTGTTCTGATTCTGGTGATAAGGTGACAACAAGGGATTTATTTTACTTCTGTCATCTTGGTCTCCACGTCGCTTCACGAGTCTCGTCTTTGTAAATAACCTGAAAATATTCGATTTCGATCGTAATCGGTTTAAATGCGGTTTGCAATCGGTCTACTTGCCAATCGTGGTCACTTCGGTTTTCATTCGTGGCAAGAACGCTCCCTCCCCTTATTCTCTCCACTAGCTGTAGTTCTAGATTCCTTCATCAAGAAGTATAATCACGTGATCACCACATCATCGACATCGTAGAAGAAGAGCTTCCTAGTATCAAGAGAACACGCACACGACATCACAAGAATTTCACATAATCAAAAAAACATCTAGTAGTACACTTCTGCGTCTCCTAAAGAAACCACACTTGAATAAAGATAAACCAAACAAAAAATGAATTTCCCTTTCGTTTCCACCCGCGACCGACGAATGGTGCCGCGGAGCAGTCTTCTAGTGGAGAACCAGCTAGCGGATGACATGGCGCACAAATATGCCATCAAGAAGGAAAAGTTAAAGCCTAAGCTAATTCATTTCCCGCGGTCATTTTCTTCTGTTTCCAATGACAACAAGGATGACAAAACAGAAGAAAAAATGAATCCAACAAGAAATGAAGCGTTTTGAGCTCTAAAAAAGTACGGTCAAAAGATGTCCGTCAAACGCGGAGAGGAATACCTCGAACGCGAGGAAAAGTTCCGCCGCACCTGGTCTAGCTCCAGTTATTCCGATGAAGATGGGAGTGGAAGGTAAATCATCTTATCAATCTTACTTTATGTCTTTAGTACGACTTTGATTTTGAACTTCCTGTTCTTGTAGTACAAGGTCATCCAGTTGTGGCATGATGAACAAGATGAAGATGGTTGCCCAGAACCACATTTGTGCACATGTACTTGGTAGTACCATCACAAACTCGACAGTGGCAGCGGCAGTCCCAGTCCTAGTACCGTCTCTGAAGACGGCTTATTTCCACCTAAAAAGGCCAATAGGCACTACTGCGGTCCCAACCGATTTGGCCGGATGATGATGGTGACGCAAGACAAACGTGGGAAGATGCTCTCACGTGTGTATATGGGAGGAAAATGGGTTTATGTTGCGTGAAGTCGGAAGGCAAGAGGAAGAGGGGATGTTCATGTAGAAGTTACTAGGAAAGTAGAATCTGAATCAAGCAGGAAGTGTGAACTTATTTTTTTGAAGTAGATTGCAAGCATCAATGATGAATGGTTATGGTATCAACAAATGTATCGTAGATAGGAGGACTCAATAGTTACCTCGGCTCCGCTATCCATGTTACAACATTGTGTCAGAAGTTTCGTAAAAAATGCAACTGATTCTGCTCTTATCCATTCATTCTTCGTAGCAACAAGAAGTAAAATTTCAAGCGTGAAGATTAGTCAGCCCTAACGAACTTATTTTTTTTGTCATCCTGTTGCTTGATTGAGTTATGATTAACATTAACAAGTAATTGTCTTCGACTTCGTCACGTATCGAAATTTCTAGAATAAGTGTCATGATCTTTTTCACGACCAACTCCAACGTATTATCGTTCATCTGAAAAAAGTACCTCCGTCTCATTCTCATAGTATGTAATTAGTGGGGAGAAGTAACACGTTTAGATTTACTGGAATATAGCTTAGAAAATTTTGAGAGAAGTTCAAGTCTGATTTTTGCTCGCAAAACGATAGTCCTCGTTGTACGCGTTTCACATGAAGATAATAGAACTGAAGAAAATTCCAGTTGATATTGATTTTCGACCAAACCCGCAGGCGAAGTCATTTCTACGCGTCTGTCGATTTTGAGAATGACGTAGTCTATGAGGTAGTAAGTAATAAAAAGAAAGACCTACACCTACTTGTGACACTTGGCGAGAGAGAAAGAGGGACAGAGAGAGATTTGTTCTTGAGTGCCGCGAGATGTTGAGGAACATGAGGCACACCAAATATACTTGCGCACTCCGTCGACTACCCAAGTGTAATTAGATCGGAAAATGACACGGAGCAGGACTTCACCCTCTGGGAATAAAATTTCCTAGTCTATACACTCACTCTGCTCTTGTGGTTGTGGTTCCCAGAAGGACTACAATTTCTTGAAAACCGACCACGAAGAAGATGGTAACTTCAACACGGTCGACCAGGGGTCGACAGCTGCACGCGACCTTCACTCCAGTTTGGGATAAGCTGGTGGAGGAGAAAGCAACCGGGACTGCTGCTAGTACAGCAACTACTGCCTCCACTAGCTCATCCACTAGCTCAACGACATCTGCGTCGACAACAGTCCTCGTTGTTGGACGGAAAAAGTTATGCTTGATAAAGATTATGTTCCTCAATTGGACGAGGAAGAACGTGACTAACTAACATGAAGTTATTAAAAAGTTGGGAAAGTCGTGTCGACGTGGTCGATAAGTTGGAACAAGATGTACGAGAGAACATCCTTTTTTTGCAAGTTTGATCAGATAAGGTGGATGAATACTAGTAGTTCTACCTCTACGTACATGATGATCTACTACGCTGCTTGATATGATAATAAGAAGGCAAGAACTTCTTCTACAACTAGAACTGCTTCTTCAACTTCTACTAGAAGACCTTGAACAACTTCAAGAACTTCTACTAGAAGATCTTGACTACTACAACTGAACAGCTTTCATTTTCCATCCCTAAAGTACATCCCTAAAGAAAGCTGGCAAGACGACTCTGATTGAGCGTTTCATCAACCCCACGAAAGAGGACTTTCCGAAACCGACCGCAGCATTGGATTATAAATTCGTGCGACAGGATTCCGGAACAGGGAAAACCATTGCGCATCTCTATGACTGCAGTCAGGAACCATTGGCTGACATGGTATCTCTAGGCTTTTTAGGCTCCAGATCTACTACTGAAGAAACTGAAAGCGTGCTGTCTAGAACAGAACTCACAAGAATAAAATCAAAAACTTGCAGAATCATAATTGTCAGGAGCTCGTCTTTTTTCTACTAGTAGTAGATTGACGACCAGCACTTCTACCTCTTGTTCTACCTCGCGCTTACTTATGAAGATTTCTTGTATTTCCTGCTGGTGCACCATCTTCTTCTTCTTCAGGTCATCCGCACTGCACCATCTTTAGGTCATCCGCACTGCCACGAGTCCTGCTGCAGCTTCGCAACAAACGAACTTTGTGTGTTGCGTAGTGCTTGACGGAGGAGAACCTGGGAGCATAATGAAATCCCTTTTGCAATGGACTGCAGCTCTTCGGAGTAAAATCACCACGGCGAATAGACCAGACCTAGTCTCTCCTGAAACGCAGAAACTTTACCTATGTTCTTGTTCGTAGGACCTAGAGGACATAGAAACTTTGTAGTTTGTGATCTATAGTATGCAAGAAGTCAAAGCCTCTTTTCTTGGTTTATTTGAAATAGATGGATGAAAGTTAACAACTTATGTTTAAAGCGTTTAATACTAATACTCAGGTTTGAAGTTGAAGCTTAATTTAGAGAACCGTTTTTTTGAACGACTTGTAACCAGGCTCACATCTAACTCATGGCATTTCAATTCCAGAGCCCGAAAGCAGTACAGCGACCGTCCTCAAGGCGCTGGAGGGACACAGCCTGCGACCGTTTCCAGTGCCATTTTAAGAAATCAGCTGTGATATCAACCCTTTAAGATGTTTTCTGCAATAGCTCCTCACTAGTAGACATTATATATAATGATTCGTCGTGTCTACTTTTTAAGGTGTTTTCTTGTTCCTCCTCCACAGTCATCTCTGTTTACACCGAACAACCTATGTCCCTTCCTCTTCTAACCTCTACTGATCTGCATATCGAAGTACGACTTGATGGTGTCTAAAATGGACGCGGAAAGACGGAAGCTACTACTAAGAGGCTTGCGGTTTTTCTCTCACCTCATGTGCGCCCACTTGGTCACGTGTGCGGCACAAGAAAAACAAGCGATGAACAGCTTTAGAAGTACTTTACTTATTTAAGTTGATTGATTTACTCGTGCTAGTTCATAACTGAACCAGTGAGTATTAACTACTTCTTCATGATATTGATGATCATTCTTCTTGTTTTGAACCACTCGATGCAGCTTTGAATATCTTCTTCTTCAATTTTCTCCATACATTAACTTCCTCAGGTCTCTTGAAGCCTCTGTTATTCAGTACGGCATCAACCGCAAAGGCTTCGCTGGATATGACGAAGCCGCTTTGCGTTCCAGCAGGTATTTAACGGTGAGTTTTTACGACGACCGAAGACTTTTCTTGAGTACTCCGTTCTGCATCTAAAGTAAAAGAGCAACTCAACATATTTTTCAAGTTGTGATGAAAATCCAAAAATTTGAATCTTTTCGAGGATTTGAAACTCCCAACTCCCCAAGCCAGGTTCCGACAGTTTCGAGAAGGTTGGTCCTCCTTTGCCTGGTGCAGCAGCCGAAGCCTCCGTGTGGCAGAAATTGCTGGACCAGGAGATCGGTAGAGAAGCCTCGTCAACGGATGGAGGCGGTGGAGCGGAACAGTTGACGGATGCCGATCTCGCCAGATTTGGAGAGGCCAGTGTAGACGGTATGGTCGACCAAAAGCGCGACGAATTAGTGCAGTACAAGCGAGCGGCTGAACGAAGATTGAGGTTGCAACAGGAGAAGTAGTAATGATGATGCTCCTCTGGTGGTCATCTGATGGAGGAATTTGTCGTTGTGGTCCTTGGGCGGGCGCGGGTCGAACAGGATTACACGCAGAAGAAGTCATGAGTGTATCTGATGTGATGACATTCGGAAATCTCATTGCAGGTTTTATGATTCAGGTTCATGTGAAGACCTCACACCTGAGACATGGGTGGAATGAGAGCTGATGTCTTCAGTGTCCGCGTAGTGAAGATTTATCTACTTACTTATAAGTAGATGCTTTTGATTACTAGTGATGCGAGTGGGAGTGCTAGTAAAGATCATCACTCTTCCCACAATCACGACAAGAGAAGTAACTTGTTCAAAACCAAACCAAAGGTCGTACGCAAAAATTTTTTTCACGATCGGTGAATGATCATCCTAGTGACCCGCCAAGAACCGCTCCTGTACGACGTAGAAGTACTTACTCGGATCTGATTCGGCTGTCTCTAAATGTATTTTCCTCCGACTTCCCCCTGATCGATCCGATCCACCCTGGTGGCTCTTATGATTCCCAGAAATTGACATGTTGGAATACCAATCACAACCCACCTATCAATGCTTAAGATGGATGAGGATAGATTTAGATCATCAACACCATCAGTATATCAAAATTAGAATCAGCAGCACTAGAGCTCGAGCCGACATATTTTCTGTCGCTGTCGACGAAGATCGCCATTTGTCCGACACGACTTACCACAAACAACAACCGCTACAGATGGCACGGTAAAGATTCATCTCATCTGCGACTAACAATCATTAAGGTTTCTTTGAAAAGAAGATCTGTACTAATCACATAGCTAAGAGAGCTAAGGACGATCGTGTAAAGGCAAGATGACCATGACCACCACCACATTCGGTTCTGTGGGCAACAAGGAGACCTTGGAGCAGCAGCTCCTGGAACTCAATGCCCAGCTAACCGGTAAGGTAGCCGTCTACCATGCCTCAAGCGCCGGTTACGATAAGGTCATGAAAGAGAAGACGAGGTCAAGCTCGAGTACAAGTACAAGTACAAGTACAAGTACAAGCACGGTTCCTAATCATAGTTATCGAGTAGAAGAGGTAGAGGACGAGGACAAGGTACGTCGCTTACGCGAGAAGCAGATTCTTGCCGATCCGTGTGCAGAGGCATGGCGCTGTGACCACTGTGCTTGCTTGGTTCTTCAAGCCGACGTAATTCACGTACCGGACTCCGGATATACGGTCCATAATAGATGCGGAGGTGTGTTGAAGCACATCGTGCCACGGACAGGACCGGGTGGCGTGGTATTGTCATCAACTTCATTGGGAGGAGCTGTTTCTTCAACTTTAGGTGCATTAGAAAATCATGGATGCGGGATTGGTTCTCCTACTACTCCCGCATCTATGATTTTCGGAAGTACCAGTGGATGTTCTGCATTTCCTCCCGCATCGAGCTCGAGCAGCCAACGCATGATAGCTGGAACATGCAGAAGTACAAGAATGTCTTCATCAGCAGCAGGTAGTAGTTCATCTTGCAAGAACAACATCTTGGCAAACGCAAGAGCAATAAGTTCGTCGACACGGCGCATGATCTCACGACACGAACGACAGGACGACGACGAAATGATGGCAGACGCAGACGCACTAGAGGACCTAGATGAAGAAGAAAATCACTTGATGTTCGATTCTAGTCCTGCTCAATCTAGAGATGAGGGTGTTGAGGAGAATGATGTTGAGAATCATGAAGATGACTTGCTTCTCGCAGCTGCCAATAGAAGCAGATCACTACCTGGCAACTCTTCAATTGCCTGTACTATCGCAGACGATTTCATGGATGAAGTGATCGAGCTTCAAGATGACTCTTGCAGGAATCACGCATCTTCTACTACTACTTACGAGCCATCAGCGGCAATGAAGGAGCTCGACAGACTGCTCGCATTAGAAGAGGCCGCTGAAGCACAGGAAGAGAAACCTTCGAGGAGGAAAAAGTTTAGTCTCGGTAGTACTCCGTGCCCGGCTCCGACAAGCTTGTTACAAGTACCTCCACGAGAGCAAGCGGGTGCGTCGAGCAAGAAAAAAGCAAGTTCTTCATCGTCCACTACTGCGCGACAAGATAAGAGTAGAAATGATTTTCCTGAAAGTACGAGTTCACGCTCACCCACATCACAAGAAGAGCACCCACTTTCATCTGTTTTGCAGCATGATACTGTCGAAACACATCAAATTGGTCAACAACTACACCATAATTTTCCTTCATCTAGCCCCGCTAATCCTAACATGACCCTGCCACAAGGATCATCAGGAACATCACAGAATCAAGAGTCTGCAGCTGCTCTTCCGAGCAACGGGCGAGAGCATAATGTCACATCCTACTGCATGCGTGAAATTTTTAACACATCTGGCGGTGGTATAAAGCGGAGACTTGAGGCATGTTAGTGATACTAATTGAAAAACTTCTAAGACGCAAGACTTAGACTATCACCATCACAAGCCCGACAAGAAAGTACTAATTGTTGTTCTACAGGAAGAATCTCCACTCATCCTGCTCATGATCCCCATCCCTTTTTATTTAGGCTTGATGTTCCTGCTCAATGGCGAGTTTTAGTGTCCACCTGATGGGCAACATTATCATTACGTGTCATACGTGTAGAGACGCACCAACACTTGCGCCAGATGATGCTGCTGAAGCTACAGGGAAGACTTCTGTACTTGTTGTATCACTTTACTTACATGCCCGAGGAGGACTTGTGTTCGATGTAATCTTTCTCTGCAGGGAACAGTGTAGTGCTCAGTTGATCGGTACTTGTTCCTCCTGTCGCAGATGAAGAATGAGTTGTAGAAATCGTTGATGTACACTAAGATCCCACGCTCTCTATCATGATCGTTACTTGGTGGATAGGTTCAGCCAGCATATTTTTTGTCGTAGAATTTCTACGACATGATCTACATCTAGATGATCTACTTCTCGTAGAGTACAGAGTTGGAGAGAAGCAGTGAAGAGTAGCGCTCATACAACACTAATGCGTATCTACTTCTGAAACGAGCACGAGATAAAGCGACCACGACGAGGACGTGAGCAGGAGGTGGAACCCGAGGAAGAAACGACACACGAGCAAGAGTCACGTCGCCTCAACGAGCAATACTACTTGTACGGTTCGCTTTTCGTGCTTTGGAAACAAAGTCGGCACCGTGAGCATTGTTCAGGACAACCGCTAGCAACAAAATGACGTCGTCCCCTTTGAGATCATTCGTCTTATTTGCCTCTCTGGGCCTACGCATACAAAACCATTTTCACGTAAACGCCGATCGATCTTCTTCCGCTCAGCATGCAGGAGGAGCATTCTCTTCTGCCTCCTCCGGACATTGGAAAAGATACTACTACCATCACGAAGTCGAAGGTCCTCTTGGTCGTGAAGATGCTCCTGTAGGTCGTGGTCGTGGTCGTGTAGTTCCAAGGACGTCCACGTCTGGAGGTGCAGCTGTGTTTAAAACCACAACTACACTCAAACAAGAACGAGAAGAAGAACCTGAACTACCTTCTGATCATGGTCCTTCTGATCATGGTTCTGGTGTGGAGAATCCTAGACCTAGAGCTAGACTTACTTCTATCGACGACGAGATCCCTGTAGTCCCAGACTGGATGCCACAAGCCTGGGTTGCTGCAGCTGCTTCTAGTACTCCTGGCACGGCCAGTAGGGGTCGGTCCTCTACTGTTAGTAAAAGTTCAAATCGAGGAGGGTCTACTCAACAGCATATTAATAGAGAGGTTGCTCCAAGCCCAAGCACAGCCGCCAGTAGTCGTTGGAACATCCGTCGAGGAGGTGGAGCCTTTATGGCGCCGAAGAGTAGAGGTCGCTCTTCTGTGCGGCGCACGTCGGCTGGAGGTTCTGCTGCTACAAGACAACGATCGACGATTTTTACTTCATCTAGAAATGGGAGGGGACATCGATCATTCACACATGCATATGTTGAGCTAGACGACGAAGAAGGACGTGGTCGTGCTGGAGGCGTGTTAGAAGATGAACGCCAGAAGATGATGATGAATAATCTAGCCGTTGATGTTGAAAATATATATGATGATGACTACGACATGCAGAACCAGAATGATCGTCCTCGTGGTGAACAAGAAGACTACTTGGAGAAACGAGAAGACCTCAGTGCCGATGAGCAGGATTCTTCATCCGCGATGAGTGATCTTTTTAGCGTCGAAGACGATGAGAAAGATGAGGAACCTGAAGTCCCACGTGACCGTGAAACCAGCACTGCGCCGACTTCATCTAAGATGTTGATGCACGGTCGTCAGAGATCTCCTTCTAGCACATCCAAGAAGTCATCTAATTCCAAGAATACATCCCCAGCATCAGACGTTGTCCCTAGGATGCATGTCTTGCCCAAGGATTTGATGGGAGAGCAACCTGGGATGTTGGACTCCGTAAGGTTTTTCGATATCAAAGTGGACCCGATGAAGGCTTTTGGTTGGCACATGCAGGAGTCGGATGCCCAGAACCAAGCACGGTTGTTTGCATTGATTATTATGGCATCCCTTGTACTCCTATGTATTGTTCCTATTCCTATAGAGATACAAGGACTCCCTCCTGCTCTCGTCCCAGTTTTGAGGCGAAGAAGTCTCCACTGAATTTGATCGGAAAGGGTGTCCCGAATCCTCTACATCATAGATACAACTCCCTGCTCGTCTCGTCCCAGTAGTTCCTTCATCTCCGGTGAGGTGGCCACTGCGTACGCCGTATTATAAATTTAGGATTTATTCGCGTATTCGAGTTGTCGTGTCTTCGCAACCATGATCGGCTGCGTATATTATAGGACTTCGCCAACAATGACCGGCAAAGTAGAGGGGACCTCTTTGTTTTATTGCAACCATGATGGAATAAAGTAGAAGGTTTCTAAAAACATCTTTCACTCTCTAATTCCCAGCGTCGTGAACGTATTGCGCAAAATGCCTTACTCCTGCGCCCAGAAGACCAGCTGTTGGTCGTTGCGAACGACGAGAGAGTCAACGTTGGGAGTGTTTTGCTTGGGAAAGCTACTCCACCTCCCGAAGCAGAAATCGCTGAGATTAGTCCTGACGTCGTTATCGTGAATGCTGGCTTGATTATGGCTTGTTCATCGTGTTCCCAAAAAATTCAAATGTTTTATCTTCAGGAGAAGATTCAGAATGAAACTACTTCTTCTTGGCGCTTTCCTTGTTATAATGAGAGGTCTCAGGCTCTAATCTGAGTCGCAGTACTGGCAGTCTGGTCAGGAACGTGCCAGTCCCGATGCAGCCACGTGTGGGGAAAAACTCCCAACCACGCAAATTGCGACACGTCTACTATCGAGGAACCCAGTTGGATGCGTTGAATCAAGCAGCACTGAGCAGAAGTCGGAAACATTGGATGCTTCCAGGAAAGGGCTCTCAGTTAAGACTAAGACATGATTTGACTTTGATATTATAAGTACAGAAGGGATGGTGCGTTCTTCGGCTTCTCAGTTGAGACATTTGATTAATGATTTCATTGATAGGTAGAGAATCATACGTACATTTTCCTTGAGACTTTCTTATTGTCATCGATGATCAATCTCATCGAACTCGAAGATGTCGGGGAGTCATTTTTTGTTGGAGGAAAACGAATGATCTTCATATCATTTCAACCTGTCTCTTCTAAAGACATCTGCCGAAGACGCAGGTGGCCTTGTAGGCGGTCAGATGTACGACCCTAGTAATGATGGACGAAATGGTAACATCGCAGCTTCAGGACTCTACGACTTCGCATTTGATGGTATGCGCGCCAAGCATTTGGAGGGTGTATCCCAACGAAGTACCGATGCGCAAGCACAAAACTGGCACAATTATCAACTGGCGAATCAGATACACCTTGGCGGTGATTTCCTATGAGCGGTGCACTCAGACTCTACTCTCCATCATGGTTCCTCAGAAAATACAATAAATAGCATGACACACTCTACTCACTCAACTTAATGAAACTACGAACAACTCACGAGCAATCTTCCTGCGACACAAACACCAACACTATCTAGTACTTGCAGCAGCATAGTCGTGTAGACGTACTACTAGCACAACAAGAGTCTTCAAGTTTCTTCCTCTAAAAATTCAAAACACAATCAAAAGTACGACTCGTTTGTCTTCGTGCGAAGGAGATGATTTTGCGGTTCGCTCATTTTGCTACCAGTGCGACGAACTGGAGGACCGCATGACAAGATGCAACGATGATCGCCAACAAAAGGCTGCAGAGCCCGAGGCCGCTGCGCACGAAATTCCACCGGAACGGATCTTAAGGCTGATCTTCATACTGGTGTACCTATTATTTGTTTCTGCACTCCACAGTGTGGAACTTGAAAGCTAGTAAGTATCTTCTTGCTCGAATAGGAAGAAGGGTTTTTTAAAGCTAGGATGAGTCTGTTAAAGAGGTTAATGACATGTTGGATAGCTCGAAGAGGAAGAAGGGTGAGTCTGTTACTACTAGACTTCCTTTCCTTAGAACTGTGATTTCTCTTAACGAGTAGTCTTTCTTTTCCTTTTCTCAGGAGTAGTCTAATCCTTATTTCCTAAGGACGAGTTTTTTTTCTAAAGTCTAAGGTCTAATCCTTTGACCTCTTTCACATACTCATCCTTCTGATCCTCTTATTTAAAGTTAGTTGTACTAAAGGATGTTGCGTCCTCCTCTGTTAATGAGCAGGTTAATGACATGTAGTTGGATAGCTCTAACGAAAGCAGGTGCATCCCCAGAGATTCGCCAAGGCCGCGACACGGATCTTCAGTTCTACCTGCTGGATACCTCTGGTGACCCGCGAACGGAGCTGAAAGCGCCACCCGCTGAGTTGCTGCTCGGAGGAGAGCAAATCGATTCTGTTGCTGCCAAATGGGCCAAGCTACACCACACTGACCGAGACCTCATGCTGGCCTACTCCGTCCTGAGCGTCAATCCCGTTGTCGCTGCTCCGAAGTCTGGGTCGTCGGTGGCGTCTGTGTCCTACCGTTTGAAGCACATCGGCGTCCGCAGCGACACTGCAGCTTCTACAGGCATGTGGAGTCGAGTCGTTGGAAGCAGTTACGCCTACGACAGCGAGTTATCGCAGTCGATGCTGGAACAAGCGCAACCCTACTACGACAAAGACCAGCCTTTCGCCAGTTGGCCTACGTTCTTGCAGAGGTTGATGAGACCTGGTTGCCCTACGAGAAACAAATCTTCGGCTCCTGCAGTGGGACAACAGAAGCAGTTGTCAAGATCAACATCCGGACAAACGAATATGAGGATGGCACAGCTACCGGGAGGACGAGGAGGCCAACAAGCTCAGGTGTATGGCATTTGAGCAAATAAGAAGACTTCTAACGTTAAAAATGATGTAGTCACCGGTTTTTAAACAGTTGCAACAGCTGGTGTACATCCAGAAATTAGAAAAGTACAGCGAAAGAGCCTCGGCTCAACCTCAAGCTTCTAGCTTTTTATCCATCAACTTGAAACTTCTAACTCCTCCCAGCTTCCCCCACGTCAAACGACCACCAGCAACAAGAAGCTGACAGCAGTTTAAACCGTTACCTCTCCTTCCCATTGCGTACGTGCGAGTGGCGTCAGGTGCCAGTCTATGTCAACGTCTACGACTTGGATCCTCCAAGTTGGGAGAGCAACAAAATCCCATTCTGGAATCGGGTTTTCACGAACGATGTGTTGAAAGTTGGAGGTCTTTTCCATGCAGGCATCGAAGTTTACAATCGCGAGTTCTCCTTCGGTTACACACCACGTGGAAGCGGCGTAGAAACGCATACGCCAAGAAACCATCACACCCATGCTTACAGGGAAAGCGTTTTGCTTGGTATTCATTTTTCATCGAGGAGCAGTAATTTTCGTAGCTAAAAGGTGTAGTTGAAAACCTTTAACATGTTAATGAAAAACTACTGAACATAATGGTAATGAATTAAGATCATATTAAAAGATATGAGATGCTGAACGCCAATCTCCAAGTCTTGTTGATTCTATAAATTCCATCACCACATCAGGTTTCAGCTACCTCTCCTTAGAAGAGCTTTCTCACCTCGTCTCCGTCAAGCAGAGGCAATGGCCTGGTGCCAGTTATGACCTTCTGGAGCGTAACTGCTGCACTTTCAGCGATGAATTTGCCCAGCTATTGGGTGTCGGTAGTATTCCGCAATGGATTCACCGATTCGCACGATGGGGTAGTAGTCTGGCCTACGCTGCGAATCAGTTTCCGCACCTGATGTCGTCGACTACAGGAGGCAGCAATCAACCTGATGGTTTTACCGGCAGTCAAGGTCATTATTTGACCCCACGTGCAATCGCATCGGCAGAACCTGAAACCCTCAACTCTTTTGGAGTTTCCACGAGAAGTGCAATAATGGGAGAGCATGAGCATGAGGATCACATTTACGTCACATTTCGAAAATATAAATCAATGTTTCTTCATCTCTAGTACTTCATGTATGAGAACTAGAACAATAGATATTCTCTTCATCATTGCGTTCTCACTTGCTCTTATTATTTTCACTAGTATGGTTTTGAAGTCTTCATTTTTATCAGTTTCAGATTGATTTAGAACAATAGATACATAGACGACTTCTTTTCCAACAAGATCAATTTTGTTCAAGTGCTGATTATCGTTAATATCCTTGAAGAGTCTAACATACAGGTTCACACGAGGAGGAATTGCGAGGACCCAGTAAGCTAGGATTGACACTAGAGGAACCCGACCACGATGATCGCGACTTCTGGAAGCTTGGGGAGGAAGGGATCTGATTTTTTGACGACGGAGAGGATCTTAAGACTGCTCTATTTAACACTGAGTTAGTCTTAGTGTTACTTAGACAAGAAAATAGATATTTCGACATGAATTGAGAGTAAAAACCATTGTTTTTTGGTCTCTTCTACGATGATCATACTTGTGGTAAGAATAGTTGATGATGATCGGAGTAGAGGTAGCGACGTGTCAGCAACAAGGAGCATGTCAGCCATAGTACTCAGAACACACAGTACAATTTTGTTCAATACAGCTACGAAAAGGAAGTCACACAATCGTCATGATCTTCCTAATACAGCATAATTGCTACAGATCATGATCTGTCTCATATTACACCAGACTAGAACAAAAACATGTATTTTTTTATCACATGACCCACCATTACTGGGTAAATACTATCGATTTCACTTGTGTACTAGTTGATCAACATAGCACATCACAGGTTGGCTTACGTACTTTTTCTAGAGCTAGTCACCACTGCGCGGCCTTCACACGGAAATACGATTGAAAAGTCATCTACTGTATTGTTCCACTTCTTCATGTGTACCTAATGCAGTGGTCTCGAGTCGAGCCACAATTCTAGGGATCTCTGCTTGTCTGTAAAACGTAAAAACTAACCATCACCAGTGGGGAGGTATCCTCAAATCTCAAGCTAAACTTTCTTAATCTCTGTTGCCTGCAAAACTCACATCGATCATTCACAAGACTCGACAAAGTCGCTTCTATCTCTGTTGTTCGCCAAACGAACAGTATCACCAATTCTGAAGTTTATTCACATCCATATTCACATCCAGATTCAGATTATAATGGACGACCACTCCTAGAGCTGCAATCAATTTTGTGGTCGGTGCAGCAGCTGGTTTTTCTTGCTAGTAGTGCGTCGATCGCGGCAGCTCCAGATGAACATCAACGAGACTAAGTAGACTTTATTTGAACAAGTAGTGAATAAGAAGCTTCAAACCACCTGTAAAAATCTTCGAACAGCAACTCCTTGTTTGACAATTATCCTAAACAAGGAAGATGTCTCTCGTTGCCTCAGCAGTTCGTTTTCTGGGTCGGAGACGGATTGGCCTCAAGGAGAACTATTGGACGGAGTATGAGCCAATAAAGCAGTGGTATATCGATGGTGACAATGCGGGTGTGCGGCAGTCGTGTAGGAAAAAATGGAACCACTATGTAGCAAGTCCAAGATGGAAGGCAAAATGGGTTACACAAGAACGATACAGATATCAATTTCGGAAGCATGGCTATGAACTAGATGTGCCGAGATTTGGGGGATGAACATTTTGAAATGTTGTAGTCGACAACCTGAACAACATCCGACATCCAACATGGAAAAAGTTGGGCTTGTCGTGGCAGAAGTAGAAAGAATCGCAATCGATAGAACAACATAAAGATTGTAGTTCTAATTTAGAGCTTGAGGCCTTGGCTGAGTGAGTAGTGTGAGTCGGGCTATGCGCAAGTGAGCCGCGAGAGTCTTCAAAAAGAGAAAAAGGAATTTGAAGAACAATCAAAAGTAGAAGAAGACCTTGAACAAAACTGGTACTTCTAGCAAGCAGAAAAACTAAAGCATGCGAGGCGACCATCCCAGCAGAGATCCAGGGTTCATTTGACGATCTCGATCTTGTTGACAATTGACGTTTGAGGTCATGATCATGTTCATGGCAACGGCAACGCAGTGACTGGGATAATTTTTCCTTAGCCAAAGTTAAAGCTCAACTTTCATTGGTCACCATTTAGATTGGAGTCTCTGAGATCGAAGAGGGGCTCCCTTCAGATCGAACAGGGGAAAACAAAGGGAGAACAAGTAGAGGGGTATGGGGCCCTTTTCTCCGTTTTTAGCTATAGGAGGAAAAGAAAATGTGTCTCAGTTTCTCGCCTCCCCGTCACGCACACAGGAGTGGTTTTGAATATTTTGGGCTATAAAAAGGTGTAGCACTACAAGAATGATATGATGTAGTTCCTATTTTTAGTACGAGTTTTTCTTCCATCATACTCGTCGTGAGGTCGTGGATGATATACTAAAGCGTTCTTGTTGTAATTTCCGTCGAACTCTCGTCTTAGTTGTACCAGCATGAAATTGGGCGAAGACATGACCTCTACTTCTACTGGCCGTGTTGCAGGAGCCGCTTGCGGCGTTGAGCGCGAGCTCGACGCCCTGCGACGTGAGGAGCAGATGGCGATGTTTGCTCCCAAGCGCAAACGGGCACTTCCAGTCGTTGTAGTGACTGGTTTCCTAGGTGCGGGTAAAACGACTCTCATACGACACATCACGCGCAACCGCATGAACCTGAGACTCGCTACCTGCATTCACGAAGCCGCAGAAGCTAACGTGGACGCGCACATGGTAGCCGGAGATAAGGTGGTTGTGCCTGGTGAAGAATTATCTTCTGCTGGTAAAAGTATTAGAGCTAAGAATAAAGAATCAGGTTCGGTGGGAGACGGAGACAAGGACAGCACGAATGCAGCAAATGGCCTGAAACTCAGCGAACAGGTAGAGCTTTTTCGACAAGTGAAACACCGTGGATGGATGATCCCACTGCATGGAGGTGGATGCTGCGGATGCGACCGCTCTGGCTATGAACAAAGTTTGACGGCTGCGCTGAAGGTCTTCCTGGAAGAAGGCGTGGACGATTATGACTTGTGATGTTTTTGACATTTATACTTTGACAACCGCTCCTGCTGCAGGGGAAATAAATGCACATGCATTCTACAAACTGCTCAAGCTCATTAAATCTATTTCTACAATACTGGCCCCAACTGCTCCACCACCTACTAGTACTACAACTACTAGGTGGACGTTTTCTGTGATTTTTCTTCTTCTTGTTCCACCTTCATATTATATTTATAGTTCTTGTTCCTGTTCCACTCAGGAGTCCCAGGAGTTAATTATAGATACTGAGTTAAAAACACATTCTTTCCTACGTCTAATTGCAAGGCAATGTCGATTATGTTTTGATGGAAACGAGTGGTGCTGAGGATCCGGCTAGGATTTGCGGCATGATGTCAGAGAGTTTCGGAGCTTTGTACAGGGTTCGTTTGGACATGGTCCTTTGCGTCATTGACTCCTCTGAAGTATTCAATTATACTCCGGAAAAGCTAGAACTGGTCTCTGCCCAACTAGAGCAGGCAGATTTGGTGGTTCTGAATCGTTTAGACGACGTGTTGCAGGGGAGAGGAGGGGTGTGCACGGAAGTTGTGGACGACGACGATTTAGATTTGGGTTCCGGTAGTGGTAGCAGTGTGCTAGGAGGACCAGGAGGTCCTCTAGGTCGAGGATTTTTGGGCCTCCCCCTAATGCCACCAGGTGCGCCTTTAGCTAAGCAAGAGGAACGACAGCGATCGAATTTAGCCACTGCGATTTTGGAGAAGATTGGATGGGCCGGACCGCATTTACTTGGCGGTCCCATGTTTAGCGATATTCCGATTACGAGAGTTCTAGCCGTAGCAAGTACGAAGGATCACAACCGAAATGAAGTGGTCTCCCACGAGCAAGACGACACTCTAAAGGTGTTGGACCCGTATTTGGATGAGTTTGGAAGTAGTCGTGACGGAGTAAGAGAAAGAGGAGAAGGAGGAGACAAAAATCCGTTCTTTAATGCGGGGAGTCTTGAAGGCTTCTCTGGTGGAGGAGGAAGTTCTTCATCATCTACAACAACAACTATAGGAGCAGGCAATCAAGAGACCGGGAGATCGTCTTCTGGTACAACAACTTCGTTCGGAACCATAAGTTTCGAGCATACCGACAACCCATTCTCTCCTGAAGCAGTGCTCTACTTCATTCAAGGCTTACGAGCAAAATGCGGTACCAGACTCTGGCGAGCAAAAGGTGTCTTTTGGATCAGACGAAATCTTAGAGAAGAAAAGTGGATCTGGAACCTGAGTGGCGATTATAGGATAGACCTTCTGCGAGAGGATTGGGAACATGGTGTCAATAGGTACTCGAAGCTGGCATTGATAGGGTTAGAGTTGGAGAAAACATTTAGAGAAGAACAACTGAAGGAAGATTTCTTGGGCGCTGCTTCATCATCTCGAATACAAGAACAAGAAGACATAGAAGTTGCACCAGTAGGAAAAGAAGACGTCCTCGAAAGGAATAGCACGATCTTTGAAGAGATATCACCCTCTTCTTCTACGGAGGACAAGGAGTCTGCTTGTCTCCATTTCCGCATCAACATCCGTCATCTTTTCCCCCATCGCACAGAGAGTTCTGATGCCGAATTCCTAGCCAAAACTGGAAAGTCTGTCGCCACTTTCCCTTACGCCTTCGCCCAAGAGGTGTGCTCTTCGTATAACAGACGGCGACGAAACGACTCTGTGCTTGTTGCTGTGAATGATGCTGATTCTGATTTAGCGGACGAAAACGGAGAAAATAATGCAATGGGTGTCTTTATCACACTTTCAAGCTTCAATGATTGGCGCAACCTCGAACAAGACGCAAGAAAAACGGCACTCCATGAATTCCGGTTTATCAAACTCTAAAGGTTGCGATGCTCTCAACATCTTTAAACTCCCCTTTATCCCATTCCATCCCATCAAGCAAACATACAAATTTTAGACCTAACAAAGACACTATCCGAGACGCGGGACTTAGTGGTGTTCTCTAACTTCTCATAGATGGCAGTAATGACCCGAATCATAACCTCAAATCTCACCTTGTATTCCAGCCTATTCTTGGATCGCGCGAGTAAGACAGAGTCATCTCAGTCGAAATCTCTAGAAAAGAACATTTTCCACACAGCGAAAAATTTACTAGTATGGTGACGTCGATGAATTAACATTACGAAAATGCATCGCCATCGGTTCCTGTTCAATTTTCTCGTGGTCTTGTCTATACAGCGTCCCAGCACATGAAGCACCATTCAATGACACAGTGACAGAATCTTCAGGCATTGTTGTAACATTGCTTTTGACCACGTTTTTGATTTTCTTGTCAGCACTGTTGGTTCGAATGATACTAATCTGTTCATTTTCTGCGAAATTAAGACTAGTTTCTTGTCATAAACGACCTAACATGACTAGAACCGTGTATCCCGTCTCTCCTCAGACAGCCATTTGAAGCTGCCTCGTGTTATACCTTAACCTTATTGCAGCAACCTCCTTTTCCTCACCAAAGAATGCCGCCACCTGACCAAAAAACCGACGGCCAAAGCGCCCCATCCTCCTCCACCTCCGTGAAGAAGCTTGCGTTTGGTTCGTACTTTCGCGCCAACGCTCTGGGAGAAGGAAGCTACGGATCCGTTATGGTCGTCTACGATGACGATGGAAGTGAGTTTGCTGCAAAAAGATTCGAAGAAGCCGAGGAGGGGGATCTGGATGCTGGAGTTGTGCGAGAGATAAGTTTGTTGAGTTATGGGTAGTGAAGATAGTGCAAAATATTGATCGTGCTTTCTTGTACTTGATGCTTGTTCTAATCTAGTTGTGCAGCATCGATTCTTGTTTAACCGATGCAACTTTTTGATGGCAGTGACAGACACCGTGCGTAGTAAATAGAAGAATTGAACGAGAAACTTTCTCTTTCTACTGTTCTTTCTGCAAGAAGAGCTCCTGCATACTCTCTAATCTGAACTCCTGAGCCAGTGCCCTCATCCCGGCATAGTGCCTTGCTTCGACATCTCGCTGATCGAAGAGGGCGGTTTGTCGATGATCATGCCCAAGTACGAGTCCGATCTGTTTCATATGATCGAGAACCAGAAACTGACGAAAACCAAAGACCAGCTAAACGTTATCTGGCGGTCTCTTGAAGCTCTGGACTTTTTACATGCGAGAGGCGTGATGCATAGGGACTTGAAAAGTGATAACATCATGGTCAAGTCTACTTCAAGTGATGGTGGTGGTACTGCAGGCGGAGATCTTCATATGACACCGGTTTTAATCGATTTCTCTTTGGGCAAATTCTTTCGCGATGATCCAGTCTTCACCAATGGAGGGGCTAACTCCAAAGAGCAAAACAAGACGGCGAAGAAGAAAGCCCAGAAAGCTGCTAAAAAGGCGCAGAAAGCAGCGAAGAAAGATGGGAAAAGTCAAGAGGGGGCGAAACATTCGACTGAAATGGGAACCGTGACTTACATCGCGCCAGAAGTCGTACGTGGGGACGAGAACTATGACGAACGAGTTGATGTTTGGAGTTTTGGCGTCATTGCCTTAGAGATCTTGACGAAGACGGTGATGCAGGCCCAGCGGGATAGCGAAGCCTTCGCGCATATAAGGGAAATGAAGTTAAGATGACTGAACATTGATGTTGTAATCGTAGTTTTTATTTAAGGATAACGATAATTGATCTTGAGGATACTGTAAGTATCTGATATCAGTATCAGATAGTGAGAATCCTTTATTTCTCCTGATGAATCTCTAGGGCGAGGAAAATAGCGAGCTGGCTCTCTTTGTCATGTCTAGTACTTATAAACACTGACCCTTCTTCTAACAACAGGAAAAATGAAGCAAGAGACGCCACTCGGGAAACTTCTGCATGGCTGTTTACAAGAAGATATGGAACTAAGGTTTCATTGTCGGGACGCACTCGCGTCCATTGAAGATCTCGCAATAAAAGCTAAGATTACACCTGCCAGCGGTTCTTCTTTTAGTCCATCATCTTCAAGGTCAGCTGGCGGAGAGAAAACAGCTGCGGCAGGTGGGTCTTCAACAAGTAGCACATCAACTGCAACTCCGCAAATAAATACACCTACTCCTACCTCAACCAGCACCACAACCACCAGGACCCCGACCTCTTCCATCACCGCCCCCTCCGCCACAGCCCAGTGTTCGCTGGATGCCAGAAATCACTGCAAGGCCTGGACCGACATCATCGAATACGGTGGCAAGACGAAGGATCAAGCGGAGGCTTACTGTGGGGAATTAGAGGGCAGGCATGGACTGAAATTATCCAATTGGGATTGTCTATACTTAGTCTTGCTCGCAGCTAAAGTGTGGGAGCCAGAAGTCGTGGACATATGGGAATTAGACGAGGAATGGGATCCATCGTTTAAAAAGTTCGACCCTGATAGGTTTATAGAAAAGGAGTTGGAATTTGGGAAGTTATTGGACTGGTGCTTGTATCTGAGAAGGTTTGGGAAGTAATACATAGTGGTAAAAGTAGGACTCCGGCGCTTGTTCTTTGGATTTGGACGTCAAGACATGCGCCCTGAGGCTTGACCGATACTTTGACATTGACTTTGACATCGTTCATGTTGGCTGTAAACTTGTTTGCTTTGTTGATATTTACTAGCATTCTTTCAGCTAAAAGGATTTCTTTCCGAGCTTCTCAGCTCCGATCAACAAAAAAGATCGCTTATAGGCATGACAGCTATTCCTCGCCGATTTCCGCTGCAAGGATCTTCAATGAATAGTGCGACGTGCGGGCCTGAGAGGATGAGTTCTTACAAGAACTAAGTAGAACGAGTCGAGAGTAGTTATTCCCCCTGGCCCTTCTAGTTTATATCTTCTGGTACATGCAAATGCGATTGAGTTTCATCAGATTGAGTAGTTTAAATTATGTTTTATACCTGTCATTATACTCGTCGGGCTTCATTCATGATCAACAACTGTCTTGACGACAAAAACACCATGAAGAGCATGTGCTAGCAAGTCCCACGTCGCCTTCTCACCTGAGCTGCGGCTGCCTACTCTGTACCTGTAGGGTCGGCCCTTCATCTATGCCAGCATGCGAGGACCTCCAAGAATCGCCGTATAACAGCACAAAAACGAATAAACACCATAATGGACAATGATGGAAAGTCCGGCCCAGAGCCAGACTGATAAAAATGATGCTGCTCATATTGCTGAAGCATGTGGCTCTGGGATTGTAAATAGAAGTTGTGACGAACAACAAGATGTTGGATTTGGTGGAGGTGATGACGCTTCAGCAGTTCTTGTTCAATATGCCGCTCCTGCACCTTCTCCATCTCCTGATGCTGATTTTAAGAAGGAGCTGTACAGGAACGACAACGGCGATAACGACGACGCCAAGGACATGGCGGTCTCAGGAGACGGTGGAGACGTTGACCTACATCAAGTCCAAGGAATCAGCGCCGCTTCTTGTTCCCCAAGGGCAACTACCTTGTCTCCATCCCTGCTTTTGACCGATGAAGGAGACGAAGTAGGTCCGCTTGGGTTCTTCACCGCAACGAATCCAGCTCCTGCAGACAAGAAACCTCCGAGCTCAAGGCAGACAAGACTACCGAGTGCGCTTGGTGTTGGGCGAGCAGCTGCCAGCTCTGCATCTACGGGCCAGCAGGAGCAATCTCGAGACGCAGCAAAAAAGCAGAGTGCTCCTGAAGGTGAAAGTGCTCCTCCTCCCAAATCTCCTGTTGCCGCTTGTTCCCCAAGGGCAACTACCTTGTCTCCATCCCTGCAAGAAGTCGTGGAGCTGGAGACTGAACAAGAAGAGGCAGGAGACTCTAAGGTCCTCGACGTTCTGGATACGACAGATGACCCAAGGAGATTGACCGAGCAAGACGTTGTTATAGATACGAAACAAGTTCTTGCCTTGGATATTATGGGGATGGATGATACTAATAAAGTTACCTTGGAGCAGGATAGGAGTGAAGATACTGTAGTAGACACCCCTAAGATAAAAACATCTGAGAAAGTAACTAAGTAACCTCCTCCCATAACAGGAATTCGTGGCTTTCCCCTTAACATAATATGAGGCTGTGCTGCAAATCTTGATTGGCTCTTGCCCGTAAAACGGCGAAGGTTTAGGTCCAGCGACGCCCAAAGCACTAAATAAAACAGCCGCTTAGTTTTTACCTCTACAAACTTAGGCTTATCCCGTGCAAAAACTAATAAAGTTACCTTGGAGCAGAATAGGAGCCAGGATAGGAGCGAAGATCTTGTCCTAAAAACACGTCGCGGTCCTTGGAGTGGGGATGCGGGGTCGTCGATTAGTACCTTGGCTGATGATCCTAGCCTTGATGGCACAGTCTTGTCCCTATTGAAAGCGCTGGAGGACAATGGTTCTGCCTTATTTTCTCGCAACACCTGCTACAATGCAAGTGTAGCGCGAACTCCGACAAAAAATCGTCGCACCAGGAGGCTGCAAACATCAAACAGCTGTCAACAACATGTTTTCAAAAGAACGGCGGGAAACAGAAGCGGACTACGGGAGACAGGAGACCGCTATACTAATGATAGTGAACAAGGAGACCACCTGGAGCTGGACGCGGCTCAAGCATCGAGCCAGAACTTGGATCTCTACTTTCCAAGAACAATGGACTTCTCGACCGAACCACGTCATCAGCATGGGACGCCCCCGTCCTCTTTCTCGACCGAATCACGAAGATCTGCTCGTCCTTTAGATGAAAGTCACCTATTTTCCACGTTAGACGGTGAAGAAAATCGCGCCTTTTTGTTGGATGAGACTCCTTTGGGTCTTTCACCTTTTGGTCTAACGCCAGAAGGCAACATACATCATGGAGTCTCAACATCTACTTCCGGAATAAATACTGTACAACTAGCAAGTGCTGGCAATCGTGGAGAAGTAGATCACATCAACTACATGAACATGTTTGCTGGAGGTGAAGCGGCGTCACGGTCTACCTCGTCTCATCTCTATCAATTTGGTAGAAGTGGTCAGCTTCTAGGAGGTGGTGGAGCAGGAGGTGCACGTAACTCGGAGGAGCTTGAGGAGTTGGTGAGATCAAGAAGTTCAGGGTCCAAGAAAATCAGATCAGCTAGACAAATCTTAGCATCATCAGCAAAAAAGACACGTGGTGGTGGAGGTGGAAGTTATAATGAAGATAATGACTGCTGTAGTCCTCGTGGTAGAAGTAGAAGTTGTGGCAGTAGAAGTTTACTCGGCACTACAGCCACATCTCGGCTCAGTAACGGGGAAGACGATGGTAGCAAAATTGAGACGAAGTCGAAGACGCTACTGGCCAGCAAAAGTTCTCACGCGGCGCCCTCTTATCGAAGTCGACGGCGGCGGTTGATGGTTTTTCTTTTCTCGCTTGTCGCCAGTGTCTTTTTCCTCGTTCTGTGTTACCTCTTCTTTTCTCACTCTTTCTTTGTCCCCGCGAATACAACGTCGAACAAGCTATTTGTTTCATCCGGTATAGCTTCGCCCGACGCTGCAAATGATAGCAACAAAACCCCGACAACTATAACACATGACACTATGGACGGAGGACACCAGGATCATGCTGTAGTTTCTACTAGTGCAATAAAAAATGTCAACATCAATGGAACTACTTCTAGTTCTACTACACATGGTACTAGAGGTCCACGTCGTGCAGACGACCACGGACCTCCTCCTGACTACATCAAGGCGTTTTCGCCTCACTCCTCGCAGGGAACTGACGCGGCACCAGAGTCGCCTCTCGGCGTCACCGATGACGAAGTCGTCAGTAGAAGAGCAGCCAGGAGAATGCTGCTTGCACAAATCCCTCTAGGCCCTTCACGGAATCATTTACTAGGCGTAGGTGGAGGACGTGGCAAACACCCTTCAGCTCGAGGAGGGTCATCTCCTTTCAAGAACAATGTCTTTGGTAGTACTGGTGTGCTGACTAGATCTTCAGGTACAACAGGTGGATTTGGAGGCTCTTCTGCCAAGAGGAGTGGACGAAGCAGTGGTCTACTCTTGCTGACCGCGGCCTATGAACATCAAGGCTCTGCTGCCTCGTTTCTCGCTGAAGATGAAGGAAAGCTACAACAAAATCGAAGATTGCATCCGGCATTTTTTGGAGCAGGAGACAGGTTAGTGGACGGTCCGGAGGAGCAGCTACTTCACCGTAGTTGTAGAAACTTGAGCTACACAAGCATTAGTGAAGATGGGAATACCCGAATTACCTTTCTCAATTTAAGGCTGTCCGAGTAGATTGATATTTTTCTTCTACATTTAATTAAAAAGATGAGTCCACCAATCTTCAAGATCATGAGGATGAAGGTCGTGAATTACTATGATTACTACGCAAGCACATAGAAGTTGGGTCATCTAAAGTGAACTTCTAATGTATGACGCAGCAGCACACCATATGCTTACTTCTGAGCGAGTTCTTGCTGGTGGGAATGGCCATCAAGTGCATCTACGACACGTGAAGAGCGAACCGCTAAAGACGGTGGACGAAGTGGATAGCCCAGCACCATCAGAAAGTGTGGTAGAGGGTCCGACGGAAGAAAAGAAAGTTGACCACGACGATACTAGGGGAACTACTACTCGTCCTCAACATGCTCCCATTCATGGACACCCACCGACTACTTCTCAACACTCAGCAACGCACCTTCATGGACCACCACCACCACCACCACCAGCAAGTAAGACTGAAGCCACTCCTTCTATTAAGGCTCAACTTTCAGTGGTCATTGAGGTTGGTCACTGAGATCGAAGAGGGGGCCCCTTCTTGAGAGAACCAACAGGGGAAATAAAAGAAAGGAAAGGGGGAGAGCTTTGAAGCCTTCAAAGCTCTCCCCTTTTCCCTTCTTTTATTTCCCCTGTTGGTTCTCTTCCGTTCCGCATCAGTGACCACCGACTGCTGACCTTTAATTCTAGTACTGAAACACCTACGGATGATGCTCTTGATCCACTCTCTTTTCCAAGTACATCTGCGTCTGGTAAGAACAACAACTCATCTTCGAGTACACCAGCGACCACTGCACTTCCACTCTCTTTTCCAAGTACATCTGCGTCTGGTAAGAACAACAACTCATCTTCGAGTACACCAGCGACCACTGCATCTTCGAGTGTAGCGCCAATAGACGATACTCGTCGACCAATAGACGGTAAACCACGTATCGTGGTCGCGGACTCGAATTCACCTGCATTAGCTAGTCTTCAGGTTCAGCCTGTCCCATCCTCACGTCGAGTGAAGAACACTTACAACTACAAGCAAGACTCCCTAACCAGTGCGTCGCGACAAGCGAGTTTGATGTCCGTTCGTGCCCTTCGGAGCCTCATTGCAGCAAAACGTAATGGTACTGCAGATGTCGTGGTAACGCCTTCTTCTCACAATGCTTCTTACAAAGGCGTGAGTGCAGAGATCGTGGTAACGCCTTCTTCTCACAATGCTTCTTCCAAAGGCGTGCCCTCTAGCACGACTAGTGCAACAAATAATCATGGTGCTGTTCTTAATATTAAAAATGCGAAGATGTTGAACAAACCGAAGGAGCCTCAGCAGGCCCGAGTAGAAACCACCGCCACTACAGTAAAACCAAACCATAACCTCCACGGTCGCAACCGTCGCGAACACGAAATAATAGAGGCTAACAAGAGTAGAGTAGATGTCAACTCCAACAAGAGTAGAGTAGATGACGAAGCCACTTTTACAGCCACACCAGGCACTACAGGCTATGACCAGGGGGATTTTCTGCATCAAGTCCGAGATAAATTGGTGCAGTGGAAACGTGCGAAGAGTCGTCCCCTGCATGAAAAAGTGTCAGAGAAGCTCCTGGAATGGTCAAGAAAGCACCCGGAGGATGAAAACTCATCATAAGAAAGGACGCACAAAGAATGCTTCGTACAAATCTGTTCCTACTTTTTCGATGGCTTCACTTTTTCAGTCACAAACGCTTTGAGCACGAGGTCGAGGACCAGTATCAGTGTCCCACTTTATTCTCTATTCTAGTTGTACTAGTAAGTACTTAAAACATCAACATCACTCTGTATTGCGTAAGCTGGGTAGAAGACTAACTCAATTATGGCAATCGTTTTTTTTATATTGTGTCAACAAGAAAAATCTTCTAGCAATAACCTTCAAGAAAAGGAATGTCAGCATTTATTCGAATATATCGTCGCAAATTTATCATACATTGTGTTTTGGTTTTTTGTGCAGCACCACAACTCGCCCACTTGTTTTGTAGATAGTTTCATTTTCCACCCTAACCCAATCCGAGGCATCAAAGAAAAAGAAATAGTACAAAGTTCGAGTTTGTAAAGGGCTTAGTTGCTAAATGCTTGGTTGATCATTCATATACGACACCAGCAGATAAGGACATGATCATGGGAGCAGAAATATGAACAAGTGTCCACCTCCTGGTGAATGACGATGAAGAAGGTGAATGACTTCACCAGGAGGTGGACACTTGTTCATATTTCTGCTCACATGAAAAGAAAATATAATTAGCCTAGTAACAAGTTCGTTGATGTACGTTAATCTTCGTTCCCAGAGTAGTGGGTACATTCTTTCATTCAATCTGCGTTCCCCGAGTAGCAGTAGAAGAAGGTTGTTTCAAAATCTGTATTAGAAGTTGCGATGTACACTATTCGTGCTGTAGTAAAGAAGAAGCAGAAGATGATTGTAGATACATAGTTGTACTCTACGTACTATGTTTCTTCCAGTCTTAATTTTCTGATTAGAAGTGCTGTCCTCACAAGAAGAACTACTCCTCACCATGTGGCAGTGACTGAGACATAGTGTCATGTGTGGAGGTTGTGGCATTGTTTTGCAGACCTCCAATTTGAATTTGAGTTAAGTACTTTTGAATACTGGTGGTCGCGTCGGTTCGATCGTTGATGCGATGTTTCTCTAGCTCTACTTGCAAGAACTAAGTACATAACTACGTAGCTATGCGTAGGGCTGAGGCGGGAACGACCCCCCTAATCCTAATCCTAATGCGAATATAGACATCATCTTGATAAACAAAACGGAACTGTGTAGAAGAAGTAGCTTAAAAAGCTTACCAGGAGTAAGTGCAACTCACACTCAGTCACAACTGCATCTGTACGTGTACCTCTTGGAAGAACCGACTGTCTGTGAAACAAGCAACTTGTTGGTAAGCACCTAAAAATTACATCCTGTCAGGCGTGGTCTAACTGCATCCTGGTGGTTGTTTGTCAGACGACTCTATCATAATTCCTGCTGATCCGGTGCTTCATGCGCAGGGCTGAGGTGGGAACCCCTCTAAATCTAAAGTGCTCCCCGTTGCGCGAGAACAGCTGCTATTCACTCAGTTTGGTAGTTGTCGTCGAACCTTGATCGGCGATGGACCCCGCAACAGAAAATTCATGGAAAGGGCAGGTCAGCACATGTTGATGAAGATGATAAGTCTAAAACGAAAGCATGTAGTTGATGATATCATACAGACAAAAATGCGTCGTTGCTGCAACTACCAATATTAACTGAGATTTCTAGTGTGACCTCTAGTTTCAGAATGAGTCGATTCCTAGCTTGTGATTATGCTAGACTATCAACATCGTCGCAGACAATCTTTTGCTTTACTTAGTCATGATTAAATTCAAAATGTTCGGGGGCTTCGCGAGATTGATGCTCGTACCGATATTCCTTCCCGGCCTTCCTTTTCCGTCCTCCTTCTCACTGCCGAGTGCTGTCTACGCCAGCTCTTCGACTGTTCGCAGTAGTCCTGCGAACAAAGCCAGTCATTCTCGAAATACAAAAAGGAAAAAGGGCACAACTAGATCACGAACACAAGAACGAAGTAGTTCTTCACGACTACTTCAACATCGTGTCGCACGAGAGCAGGACGACGATTCAAAAAGAACAGCCAGCAAAGACCGTGCAGCCAGCACATCAGACCCTGTAGGTGTAGTTGACGGAGCAGAAGCAGGAGCAGAGGAGCCATGGAAGCCCAGGCTATCTCCACCTCTTCTAGCACAGCACAGAAGCCTCTTGGAGGATTTGAAAATTAATAGAAAAAGAGCAGGCACTTCACCCAGTAAAGGCCGTGTTGTGGTTCCCGATTCCGTTCCAGGAAAAAGAGCAGGCACTTCACCCAGTAAAGGCCGTGTTGTGGTTCCCGTCCTGCTCCAGGTATTTGAGATTTCAGACTCAGGAGATGTGACACATCAAGAATCTACTGACTCGCCATACAGGAAAGACACTCGGGACGATTGCAAGGATGATGAATATGATCATGAGTCAAAAGAAGGCCCTCAACAACATTACACGAATGTGCTACCAGGCGAAGTCGAGGCGCACGCTGAACAAGGTAGCGATGGAAATTATCATGCAAATCTACAACTAGTAGTGTTGCCAAGAGAGAAGACGACCAACACGTCGACGGCATTGCCGGAAAGCGCCCAGTATACACCTAGACCACCTACTTACACTAACATGGACCTCCTCGAGTCCCGCAAACGAGAGAGCCCTCTTGTATGGGCTGATTGTAGCGCATCTGAGAGTAGACCTGCAGCAGCGTCATTGACAGAAGTTCCTTCATCTTCACGGCCGATAGCTTGTTCATCTGCTGGAAGCAGACAACGAGGAGATGTGCCACCAGCAGCAGAACAACGTTGTAGGAATCGCAATACCATCAAAATTGTTCCACTCCATAAAATCAAGAACCCAAATAAGCTAGAAGGCCATCTCTCCACAGTAGGTTACCAAAGACGGCAAGAAGAACTTCTAGCACAGACGGATCATTGCAAGCTTGTTACATCTGAAGCGGCGTATCACTGCAAAGTGCAGGGAGATATCGCTCACAGGAGATTAGTCGGCGGATTTGCTACAAGGCGGAGACGAGAACGAGCTAGTATCGTGGTCACCGTTGAGGAAGGAGATGGAGATAACAAAAGAGATGAGGTAACCACGATAGCTCTTTCTGAAACTGCATCTTCCGTCCTCGCAGCTAAGTTAGGTCTAGCATGTGCGTATCGGGCCCGTGCAAAACGACATGGAGTTCAAGATCATACAAATCGGAAAAAAACTCATGCTCCTGATCATGGATCGTCGATGACTAGTATTGAACCGGAAAGAGAACCTGAAATACCACTGCGGACGCATAAAAGCGGGCTGCACATACTTGTTGACGCCGTCCACGACACACCCGCTACAACTGAGGTAAAAAACGACGAGGGCGAGTATGATTTTCATCAAGGAGAGGGGACATCACCTGAAAAAGAAGATGATATACACTTAGCGATTAATGACAATGAGGACCAGCATGAGGGCCGGACTACACCGAGCCATCTTCTTTTCTACGATATGCTCGAAAATTATGACTGAAGAAGCTTCTTTGAACCGTGAAGATGCCAATCATCTTCAACAACAAGTTTATTCCGATAGTAAGTAGTGTCATCAATTTCAAAAATCATCATGAACCTATAATATATATAAATACACTATGCACGCCTGCTGAGACAAAAAGAGATTGAACCACTCCTCCACAAGGACAATACAATGTTTCTATATGCATCTTCGAAGGAAAGTGTAACTGTGGGAGATTGAACCACTCCTCGGTCACCCACCCTCGTCTGTCACCGTGCGCATCGACGGAAAGTGATCGCTCAGAGTTGTCAGAGTCAGAGAGAACAGTTCTTGGCAAAAAAAATTGTCGCATTCGTCGCAGAGTTCTTGCTGCCTTGAGGAGTTTGAGTCGCAAAAATCACCAAAGACCAGGACTTCAGGAGTAACCGAGAGAATACTTTCGGGTCTCAAGAATTTAAATTCGAAAACGGAACAAGATGGTTATGTTTTTTTCGAGAAAGGAGTCTGCACTGAACTTTGTGCGAGATTAATTCAATTGTATTGTATTGACCTACCCATTGTAGAAGTTGATCACGATTTTGGAAATTAACACAAGAGCAACAATAAAGCACAGGCCTGGCATGCTTGCTCCTGAGGTATAAATATTTATATCTAATATCACATCTTCACAAGCAATGTAGTTGAGCGAAACTGTACTTCTTAATTCAACAAGAGGAAATATCACAAGCGATGTAGTCGAGCAAAACTGTACTTCTTAATTCAACAAGAGACAGAGAAAGATGAGAAGCTTGTTCACGAATAAAGCATAATATGTAGACCAAGCTCGTCCTTTAGGAGGAGCTCCACCACAAAGAGTGCGATGAGTACCGACAACGCACTTCTCACATCCACTGCCGTGGACGCAGCGGTGTCCTCAGGCGGTGTCGTAGCAACCTCATCGGCGCTTTACACCGCTGGTCAAAGTCCAGCTCATGCGGGGTATGCCGCTTATAGCATCTGGGAGTCCATGGTCAGATTTTTATGAACAGGAAGCTCAACGTCAACATTGTAATTCCCATACTACGAACGGAAGTCAAGTGTAGTACATAACATATCTTTTAGTCACAAGCAGCTTTTTCTAGAAGTTCTACCTATTCCTGTACACTTCTGTGTAGCTGTTTCTCGCGACGTGGTCGAGTCCCGGAACAACTATTGTACCTTTTCGTGCCACTTCTATATCGTCCCAACGCCCTCGTCGTGGTCGCACTTTTCATATCACTTCCACCGATTGAAGAGACCGGATTTCACCGCGACGCCAGACCGCACTGCGCTTTTCATCCTGCTTTGTGTACTGTTTGGGATGCTCCTCCTCGGATATCTTACCCTACGCTTTTGTACCAGAGACGTCGTTTATCACTACTTCCAAAAGAGAACGCAAAAAATTCGCAGTAGCGGAGCACCGATGGGTACTCCTATTTTTCAAAAATTCGAATTTCGGGGTTCATCATCTTCTTGTTACTTAACCGCAGAGGACATTTCACATTTTTCACGTTAACGTCACTTCAAATTACAATTACTAGCTTGGAGCGTCCGATAACATCCCTCCCACTAGGATCCCCCTCCTCCCCAAAATAAGAAACCAAACAAGGCAAAGATGTAAGCGATATGCGTTCTCAAATTTCGAAAATTTTCCACGTTTTGCCATCGTTTGAGGATTGGGCCTCGTGCGTTTGAAGTCAAGGGCTAAGATCCCGAATCTTTTTGACTTTAAGCCGTTCCGCTGAAATTCAACTTCTTGGATTTGCTTTCTTCAAATTTCGAAAATTCTCCACGTTTTACGGTCGTTCTGGGATTGAATTTTGTGCGTTTGAAGCGCTAAAGTCCCAAAGTTTTTAAATTTCAGCCCTTTCCCTGCGATTCAGTTTCTTGATTTGCATTTTTCAAATTTCAAAAATTTTCCACATTTTGGCGCCGTTTTGGGGTTGAATTCTGTGCGTTTGAAGTGCTAAAGTCCCAAAATTTTTGATTTTAAGCCCTTTCCCTGAGATTCAGCCTCTTGGCTTCGCGTTTTTCCAATTTCGATAATTTTCCACGTTTTTCGTCGTTTTGGGAGT